GAAAATATTGCTCAAATCAATAGTCAGTTGAGAAGTCAGTAGTATCAAGAAGATAAGGCGTCACTTACCATCATTTTTAATTGGTTCACTTCTTCACTTAACTTATCAACTTCCACCTGCAAGTAGAACAAAAATACATAAGGTGAAAGAAATTCTTAAGACAAATTAGCAGAAGAGTCCTGCAGGCCTGATAGGGGGAATGTTCCAATTACAGCAGAAACAGATGGACATTTAATTACAGGTAACCCAGATGACCTTCTTCTACCACCTCTCTCCAAAAAAAAAATCTATCTTTTCCCACATTGTAAATTCAGTTGGAAGCTAAAGACTGTCTCTACTAAACAAATCGAATAAAAGAAGTATGAGGGAAGCTATACACATTCCCACAACGAACATGACGTTCATCCCGGATGAACCCAACTTCCTTCAATCAATGGCAACAAGAAAAGAGAACCCTCTATGAAGCCAGTTATGACTCTGTACAATTAGACAAAACCAGCCACCTGAGTGGCGGATCAGATCGTGAAACCTCCTCACTTCCCACAGGCAACAGTTTAAGGCCATGCTCATTGACATTGACATTACCCTTATAATCCATACGCATGATCAACCTCAACTGGTAACGCCCCACAGCCACAAAGGCCACTTACAAACTACAGACAAGTTTCCAAATCATGTGACCCCCCAAACATCTACTAACCCATGAAATTGCCACACACAAAAACTTCAAGCAAGTAGCCATCATCCCCACCAAACATTTCCCTCCATAAAAAGCTCCAACAATTTGCCTTCTCCAAAAGGTCCCCCTCCACCCCAATAGGCAATAGAGGACGGGAAAAAACAAACAGTAATAAACCCTCTCCCAATGCTGCATCTAACATTCCAATTTCCCTATCCCGTCATTCAGATTGATACCAGCTAACCATGTCACATTTAGCAACAATCGGAATTTTATAGAAAATATAGCGGGTGTCGTTGTACAGACAAAAAGGGAAACTGGAAAGAAAGAACCCGCTCAAGTTTCAATCAAACAAACAGACTCGAAACGCCTTAAGAAGGGACAATATAAGGGTACCTCGTGTTCCCGGACGAGAGTCTGGCGATCCCAGACCAGAAAACTTGCGCAAACAAACACGAGGAAGAGCAGAGCCAATTTCTTGGGGCGCTTCAGGTAATAAGCAGGGTTGCAATACCTCCACTTCGAGGAAGACGACGACGAAGATGCCGACGATCTGCTGCTCCTCCCCATTGATTGGTGATCGGATCACCGACGAACCAAAAAAGTGAGGAAGGAATGAAACCCCAGGGGGGAGAGAGAGAGAGAGAGAACAGAAGCGAAAAATCAACCGATGTCAATCGAAATTCAACGCGATGATGGCTGGCGCGGGTGCTGGTTCAAGAGATGCGCCTAAAATCATCGCCCGCACCGGAAAGGAAGAAAGGAAAGGAGGATGGCCGGCTGCTGAAATGGGGAAAATGTGCGCAAACAGATGGATGGCAGGAGGAAGGAAACAGGGGATCGGGAGAGAATTGAGGGAGCAAAGATTCTACGACCAAGACCTGAAGACACGCACCTACGTCTCTCCCTCAACAAATCTCAGAGAAAGGAAGGGAGAGAGAGAGAGACGATAGAATTGACGGACGGAGACTTTAACGTATCGGAGGGGAGTATATGACTATTGGAAAGGAGTGGCCATGGAAGAAACTTGTTGTGCCTTGGCCTGGCCTGACTCCGGGCTAATTGTGGTTTTGGAAAGATAATTAATTGTGAACCGGGTCAACTTTTTTTTTTTCTATCTCTCTTTTGGTTTCCCAAGATTGTCAACCCGCGGGCGGTTCGACCCACTTTGATCCCGGCCCGGTGACGGGTCGCATGTACCTGTCGGGTCGAGTGCTTCAAGGTATCAGGTTGGAGGGCAAATTGTGTCTTTTTTTTTTTTGTTTGTGAAATGCATCTATTTTCCGATTTTTCTTTTCGCCTAACTCAATCTTTGGAATTCTAAGTTGAACATTTGAATAGTGATGTTGTTATATAAGTGTGTGTGAATTTTCACTATATGTTGGATCTAAGTACGACATATTATTTTGGTGTAATATTATATGTTATAACTCATATGTTAGATGAGATTTGATATAATTTATCAGAATAAGTACAATATAATGATTATTTCTAGATTTCCGAGCCAAACCGGACTAAGACGGGTGACTCATTAACACTTGACCCACTTGCTCGACCGGGTCCCGGTCAGCCTGGGGGTTGACAACCTTGGGTTCCCCTAATCAACATTTTGTTGGATTTTTCTTCAACCACCATCTCAAATCACTTTCGAGAATAACGTGGGAAAGTATTCAAAAAAACAATGACTGAGAGGACATCTCTCGCAGCTAGGAGCTCCGCAACGTTGGAATTAGAGACCCCAAGATTGTGAAACTCAACAATCAATAGAACATACACGTATGACCCGCGAACAAGCCAAAAGCACAACCAGCACTACAGACAACAACTTAAAAGTTTATTTTGAGGAAGTCATCAGGAGTGGCAAATCCGATTAGCCAGAGTTGACGATGGAGGAGGAGGGACTAGATACTAGAATGGGAGGTAGATGAAACTTCGTCTACTTGAAGAAAAAACTTACGGGCTAAAGAACGAGAATGTAGTTGAGTGAACGAGAATGCGATTGATTTTAAAAAAAATAGATTCTCCATAATAAGCAGGCACATTGGAGATTTGATATTAGTAGTACTCAGAGAGTATAAATTGTCCACCATAAACTATAATTTATAATCGGGCATAATCCATAAAATCACTTAAACCCACTAGAGACCACATCTAAATGACCAAAGGACATCGGAAGAACAAATATTCAATACTCTCGTTGTTTCTCCAACATATCAGAATCGGTCATCGAGTGAGGCAATTCTCTCATCTTGTCTTGAGAGCAACCACAATTGATATAACCATTCTCATATTTTGCAATAAGTTATTTTAATGTTGAATTGATGAGAGTGTCGACCATATAAAAAGGAGGAGCACTTTGACATGCTAAATAAGCTAATTTCGGTCCCTTAATAAGAAAAACAAAGTTCCCACCTCATACGAAGAAAGTAAAAAATTGAACTTATATGATACAACCTAAAAAATTGGTTTGAGTTGGAAACGAGACAATTTGACCATTGTCTTATTTTATAAGATGAGTCATTTAAAATGAGTTAATTCGAATTATTTGTCCACGCCCTAGACAATTGTAAACCGAGCCAATTCAAAATTTATAAAGCCAAATTGCTTCATCTAAATTGTATGATGTCAAACGAAACAATTAGTCCAATTGTCTCAAACAAGACAATCAATCAAATTAATCACGTATAATTTGTTATTCAAACAACCCCAATAACCTTTTCAACGATAAAATTAAGGTCCTACAGTAGACTTTACATAACATGCCCCACAAAGATATGATGCAATACTACAAGACCACTAGGGTTGGAAAAAAACTACTTGGCAATCGGTTCGATTATAACTACAATTGTTTCGTCTACTGTTGGACAACTGAAAACCAGTTTGTGTTTATTGTTAATCCACCGTTTATACTATTCGGTTAACCATAATCGTATAATCGGTTCACAATTATTTTGTCGGTTAACCGAAAACTATTAAACAAGTGATTCGAATAGGTTATGCCAAAATAACTAATCAAGAACATATCAACAGAAGTCCTTCTCCTTCTTGTACTTTTTGTAGATTTTTTCCCATATGTATTTTCTTAAGTTGTTAGAATTGAATACAAAATCATTTAATATATATATATATCAATCTATAATCAACTCAATACAATACATGTACACAATAATATCATTATACTGACAAATTTGATTAAAGAAGCATACAAGAATAAGATATCCAACAATCATTACTCAACTCATAAATCCCACCTAATTACATGGAGCCTTATGTTACTGATTATTGTCGAAGTACTTTCCACAAGTCCAACTTTCTACTATACTCCTTCAAACACCCTTCATTGAAATTATTCTCATTTGAACCTAAGTCACTATTACAATTAGGGTAGAGAAGGGATCTTGTATGCCTTCAAACATTCCATTATTTTCAGTCTGTGCCTACAGTTCGTCGAGGTCTATTGTTTTCGACCCTAACTATGAGAATGATTATAATCGGTTAACCGTCGATTACTAACCATTTAACCGTCGATTAATAATTGCCTAAAGTTGACTATAGAAAACAGAATATTTGTTGTTTGATTAGTTATCAATGTAACCGTTAATCACCTTAGGATAACACTAAAACAAACTATCCTTTGAGACCTTGACTATTCCTATCTGGAAACGTTGACGCATTATATCAATGAGCCTCAAATACCTCTCTGCAGTAATGCAGTGGCGCGTAGGGATGGCAATGGGTAGGGTCGGGTGCGGGTTTACCCTATACCAACTCCTAACCCGCCGGGTAGAGCCTTCTAAAATACCCGACCAATTAACCACCGGGTATGAAAATTATATAACCATACCCTACCCACCGGGTAACCACGGGTATTAGGGTAACCATGAGTACAAATCCTAAACTATGAACTTATACACATTTATGCACATACATACTGTTGTCCATTAAAAATTCTCAATACTTGTAACTGTTCTAACTTCAACAATCCACACAAATAAAAAAAGCAAACACATAATAATTGTTCTTGCTTCTACAATCCACACAAACATAATAGTCTACATCTTCATCATCAATAATGGTAGCTAAACTCAATTTCTCAAGCTAAACTAAATTTCTCAAGGGAAATTGACCCTTTGGTTAGCGGGGCGGGTATAGCGGTGCGGGTATTATCGATTACCATACCCGTACCCTACCCTTTATTTTGAAACCGGGTATTACCCGTACCCGCCCCTTAACCCGTCAAAGCGGGTAATTACCCTCGTTGACCGGGTACGGTCGGGTAGGGTACCCATGGTTACGGGTTAGATTGACATCCCTAGTGGCGCGCCTTTTCTTATTTTTTCTCCACCTGTTCTCAAGTCGAGAGATTTTTTTTTTTATCTCAGCTTCTTCTATCCTCACCGTTGGTTGCTGTACAGGGCCCTTGTTCAGACCTAATCCGACGGCTTCGGATCTTCATCTACCTCTTGTCCCTCCATCCATCACAATCCGTTAGTTTCAGGGCTCATCAGAATCTCTGCCTCATTTCCAATTCCGATTCGAATCCGTTCCTGCCCACCATTTCCAATCCAACCCTAATATTTGTTGGATTATCTGCACCTGGTACAACCAGCACTGCCCTTTGTATTCTCTAAAACGTATTTGAAAAAGTCTGTTGCTTTGTTGTTGTCTGTTTCCCAGGCTGGTGTTGATTTGTTTATCAGATACTTATGGTTGCTGTCTTGCTGATTCTCCTTGTAAAATGTCGAATGAGTTAGGAATTGAATATCTCCGTTCCATTCCCGTAAGCTATGCAACCTAGCAGGACGGTGGGCGTTTTCTTTTTCAGTTTCTTTCTTGCATTGCACCACTGGCCTAGATGCCATGATACATTGGGCAATGTACTACTAGCTTTGACTTGCTTCTACTGTGACTTCCTTGATATTGTTTTGGGTAAAGTTGATAGCTTTCTCTTGTTGTGCCTTTTTTTATGGGGTTTTGTTGTAGAACCTGGGTTTCTGTATTTTCATGAGTGATTCGCGTGGCATTTGTCTGTTAGTCAGGAAACTTGACCCTGTTGTTCAATAACATTGTAGGTGATTGTGGCTGTGGGTTGATATATGAACACCCCTAAAATCCAACTTCTGTGGGAAGTAACAGGTAATTGAAACTTGGAAGTAGCATGGACGGCAGTCACGAGACTGATCCTGGAATGCAAATGGGCGGTGCAGAAAATGAACTCAATATACATTATGAGCATTACCATCATCATCATGAGGTTCATGGGATGAGTAATGGCAGTTTGATGAACGATGGTGAAGAGGGCAATGATTGCCATGACAACAATGGTAATGGAAGTGACACCATGCCAGAAGTCGAAGTAGATCAGGGTAATCTTTCAGATTCTCAGGTTATGATGGTGGCTGATCCCAGTATTGAAAATGGTGATCAGCTCACTCTTTCGTTTCAGGGTCAAGTTTATGTTTTTGATTCCGTCTCACCAGAGAAGGTGAATGATTCTCTATTCATTTGGGTTACTGTTGGTAAACATTTGCTGATTGTCCAAGTTCTTTTCCCTCCAACGTGTTTCATATGATCTTGTTGAATTGTCTAGGTTCAAGCTGTGCTATTATTATTAGGGGGGCGGGAGGTACCTTTAGGTGCTTCTCCTCTTCCAATGACCTCTCCTCAGGGTAGTAAGGTACAACTTTGTCATCCTAGCATGTTGATAGGTTAGTTCATGTCTGATCCAATCTAATTTTCACCTAACTATACATCTGATCAGGGCATGTCTGCTACCCCGGAACGGTTTAGTGTACCACAGAGATTGGCTTCTCTGCTCAGATTTCGTGAAAAACGCAAGGAACGTAATTTTGATAAGAAAATCCGATATACCGTCCGCAAAGAAGTGGCTCTTAGGTATGTCTTCCATCAGTAATCTACTATATTATAAAATAGTGTGGTGTCACCTTAGGGTAGCAAAATCTATTTTATTATCACATGACTAGAGAGTGGTTCGTGCTCCTGGGTGAGCTCCAATCGAACTTGTGTCGGGGGGCTGTTGTATCATTAGCACAAGTGACAAGAATTTGTATGTTGGAGTTGGCATTTCTGGGGCAGGATGTTACACTTTTCATTGTAACATTAGTAAGCAAAATTGATGAACATCCTGAAGAAAGTAAGTTGAACTTGATGATTAAGTATGTACGAGGTATCTTGAATTCAATTACATCCATTGAGCATTCTTATCATTCCTGGTTACATATTGGAATGAGCTCCTTGACATTGGTAAGTAACCTGTAAGAACAGGGACAGTTGGTAAGCTGTGGCTTATGATGTTACTGATTTGGTGGCATGTTAATTTTTTTTTTGTTGACATGAATGAATCAAGCTGTCCCAATTTCGATCTGAACAGATGGTGGTAGTATTTCATGAAATTGTGGTAAACTTGATCTTATTGGTTCAACCTCGAACTTGGCAGCAGAAAGAGAAATGGGGAAAGTAGCTTTTTTGGAAATTTGCTCTTTTCTCTCATCCTTTGACCATGGAGGATATTGCATCTGCTTGTGCTCACTTGTTCCATTTTATAGGATGCAACGACATAAAGGCCAATTCACATCGTCAAAGGGGAATAATGATGATTCAGTTACTAGTTGGGGTTCAAGTGAGAGTTGTGGATCAGACAGTAATGGTTCGAAGCATCAGGAGGCCGTGTATGCTCTCTACTTCGCTAATTGCTGTTAAGTGAAGTAGGATGTTTCCTATGCATAATTAGCCTTTCTGTGATGCATATAAACAACCAGCAAATCATTTATTTTAAAGGTGATGTTGACCCCAATGTTCAAATCCAAAGTGTGGTGGATGTTATCAACCCCACATTACCACCAGACAGACCATTGGGGTTAACCAGCAAAAGCACATTAGTGCCATCTACAAAAGTTTGCTTGCTGTGTCTGATTCAATGATTTAGAAGTGGGGTTGTTTGAATGTAGTAACTGTTAGCAAATAGAGTAATGTCAAGGAAAAAACCCTTGCCCAGCTTTTAAGAAGTTTCTTTCTTAGGAAATTGATTCACGATATGATTATAGATGGTGATGCCACTATTATCTTCTCAAGTGCATTTTGCACTCTTGAGACTTTTATTTTGATGCTTACGTGTCCGACCTACTTAATTTTCGCTTGCACGGTGTTCATCATACATGCTTCGAAAACACAGAATAGAACATAAACTTGCAGTGAGATTCTTTCTCTTCGGGAATATTTCCGTTTTCACAGCTGCATCTTGTTTGTCTATCTGTTATCATTAAACTTCATATTTGCTGACTAGGAAATTTGCCTTGACTTGTAAACGTTCAGTTGTCGGCACTGTGGTACAAGTGAGAAGTCTACTCCAATGATGAGGCGTGGACCTGAAGGCCCCAGGACTCTTTGTAATGCTTGTGGGCTTATGTGGGCAAACAAGGTTAGTAACCTTTAACCATTAGTCTCCCCGGGAAATCCTTTCAGATCTTCAAGTCCCTCTCCTGATAAATTTTGTTAGCTATCTTCCTAAAATGATCAGTCTGGATGCTGCAAAAAGAACTCTGGCCTTGCTAGGATGTTGTTAATTCACTTTATTCAAAGTGCTAATTAAATCTTCATCTTTGTGGTGGTTGCAACATGTAATTGCATTACCCTTCTCTCATTTGTTCCAGGGATTTAATTTTTGACTAAAGTACAAGGTCGTTTTCTTAATTGTTGTCTTGGCGCAATCGTTAATCAAACAGGGAACGCTAAGGGACCTCTCGAAGGCCGCACCCCAGGTTGGACAGAGCACTTCTGCTTTGAACAGGAACCCCGAGGTGAATGAGACACTCCTGAAAAGGTTTGTGATTCTCGAGTGAACTTTCTTCGGGATCAAGGCCTGAATTTCCTCTTCTTTTTTTTGCCTGTTTTTCGTGCATAGCAGGGGCAAACTGGGCAGGTCGAGGCCAGCCAAGGGGGTACTTGAAATTCCAGTCAGACAATGAACTATGTTTTTGTTGAAGCTGTTTCAGTCTTCTCAGAGCAAATACCAATTTGGATGGAGGCAAGTTATCATCTGGAAGTGGCGATCTAGGCACCTGTTGGATGGGTTTTGAGGTATTCTTTTGAAGGTATGGTTGGTTGTCCTGAGCTTGTCAAAATGCATCAAGTTGCTGGGTTCTGCTTGCCTGGGCTTAGAGATGTGCAGTAGGGACTAGGGAGTTCGATTGTTGTAACTATTGTCTAGGTATGTAGTTGTGGTGTTTTAGATTTGGAGCTGTGATGGTTCATTGGTGATCAATAATTAGTTTGGAGACTTGGATACCATTGTTATTCTGGACCTTAAATAAGTTCCATTGTATAGTGCTAGATAGCCTTGTGGAACATAAAAAGTAATGTAATGGTTCATGACAAATGAATAAAGAGTACAATTATTGATTTAACATACCGCTCTTTTTGTCTGTTCTCTCTAGTTTCTTGGCTTTCAGATCGTAGGTATTATGTTAATCGCTCTTTTTGTCCGTTCCCTTCTCTCTAGTCTTCATGTTTCTTGGCTTTCAGTACTCGAAGGAGTTATTGATTTCAATAACAAAAGGTTGTGGTAGAAATAATTCAACAAGCGGGGATAGCTCAGTTGGGAGAGCGTCAGACTGAAGATCTGAAGGTCGCGTGTTCGATCCACGCTCACCGCATTTTTTGTTTTATTTTAATTGGGCTAGTTTAATTTATGGTGGGCCTGATCCAAACGATCGATTTTAGTTGGGCCCATTTCATTTATTGCAGGCCTGATCCAAAAGTTTAGCCATGATTTTAATTGTGCTTTTAACCCTCACACGCTCGAATCTTTTTCCCCCAATTGAACTGTTTGAGTTATTGAGATAACCAAGGTCCAAGGATATGAAACAACGTAACCAAAGCCACTATCCAGCATTCAGTGTTTGTAAACTCAGCTCCATTACGCTATTACCGACCTCTGCCTTCCACTATTTACATGCAAAGGCCAAAAAAAAAAACGGATTAAGAACTAATCCTTCCAAGCTAGCCTAATAGTCATAGATGACAAAGTCGATGAATCTTGATCTTGACACAGGCCTCAGAGCTTTTACTGTATAATTCACCTACAAACTTAGACCACAAACAGATGAACGTCTAACAAAGATAACAAACTAACTACACCATCACCACCATCCGATTCTGCCAGTGTTTTGGTTGTACAAAGATTACTGATCTGTCAAGCTGCATCAGAGCGGCCGGTCATAATGAAGGCATGGATAAGACACTGAGCTGTGTGGATTTGATGTGAGGTCCCGGATATCCCGACCACAACATCACCTCCTCCTGCCTTTGGTTCCTGGATCAGTATACTCGCACCCGATATCTGAAAGTGAGATCACCGCATGTAAGAACGATAATTTGCTTCGGCAAATGGGTGCCCCCAAGACGTATAAAGCAAATAGAAAACCGACCTGTCTGATCTGGTTCAGATTGCTATTGTTCTCTCCATGTACATGGCTAAGAAAGTTCAGAGGAATCACCATCTCAACTGGGCCGCCTGGTGCTTGGACTCCACTGTAAAATATTCAAACCAGAGTATTGGTTAGGATAGAAAAGAGAAGCATACAGGGCACAGCAACATGCACCGTAATATCAACTTCGAAAAGAAACGAACTGTTCTGGGGAAACGAGGATCACCTAGCTGGAGGCCCATTTCTCGCTGCGTACCCATCAGCACCTCCATGTGGATTGCCGCCGTTAAATGGCTGGAGAAGAGAGCGAAAGAGAGAAATGGAGTCACTAATAATAGCTGAGCAACTGAGTAGGCTGTGAAATAGCAACAACAATACAATGACAAAATCTGAAGATGAACATCAAGATTATTTCCAATCTGACCGAAGGAATATCGAACCTGTTGATTATTCCATGATCTGGGAGAAATTTCAAATGGAGGACCATGCCCAGGTCGTTCATCACCATAAGGAAACGAGTGGTGATCTTGATGATGTGGGGGAACAGCAGGATGGTCAGTGCCATGATAAGGACCTGCGGCAGGAGAAGGATAAGGACCTGTTGATGCTGGATGAGGTCTTGGTCTAAATTGAGGAGGAGGCATATCAGAGAACTGGGACTGATAAGGTGGCGGACCACCACTGTTTGAAAATGACGATTTCACTGGAGGAAATATTATATCTCTTAGTCTGCCTGTTATATGATATAGAGCATCTTGGACACACTGCAAGTTGCCAATAACCTGGAAAATGAATCAACAGAACACTTCAAAAAGGTCCCTCATGGCAGAAGGTAGACAGAGTGGAGGATCAAGCACTTGAAGATAAATTTTGGATAGTATAGAAAGATCCGGCATCAGCATGACATAATAAACTCTGACTCTCCGGTTCCTCATATCTATACAGGCTAATGGCCTGAACAATACTTTTCCTTCGAAAGAGATTCTGAAGTTTTGTTGCAGCAGAATAGACAAAACCAATAAAATTGACACAACTTGCAATGAATAGTGACAAAGTTCACAGGCACAGCCAACACTCCAGAGTTCTAAGTTCTAACATGAACATCGAGCTTATTCCACAAAATAAACCATAAAAATCTTTTAGAAGAATCGAACAAGTATGGCCATGTAACCCCTCAGGAGAATTATATAGTACATCGTGCTATGTTAGAGAGACCCATACACTGCACAATAATATCCTGAAAACGAATTGTAATTATCAAATATCAAGTAACCCAAAGATATCTCTGACAGATCACATAGAAACAGCATACACTCCTCACGGTCCAGCATGGAACTAAGAGGCACTCATTCCTTGGTATTGCACCACTCGTACAGAAAAGTAATCATATAATGGATAACAAACAATAGACCAGGAGCAACAAGAGGCACTCATTCCTTAGTATGCAGTTTTTAGTACCCACAAAGACACCTCCAGATAGTGTCGACCAATTTAACAGTATCAGTATTATCAGTATTTATCACCTTCTGAATACCTGCACAATTTCGTCATGTGGTGTTCCATGCTTGGCAGCTTGATCCGTAGGAAATATGCGTATGTGGGCACCAGTAAGGTGTCTCATCTCAGATATAATCTGACCTCCTTTACCCAATAAGCGTCCTATCTGCTGCGAGTGTACAATAAGACGAGCAACAACTGGAGCACCATGTTCATATCCAATCTCAGCAATTCTGGTTTGTACTCGAATAACGCCATCCTGGGCTGGAGAACGTCTTTGCTCTGAATTCTGCAAGAATTAACGCTGCAATCAACACTAGCAAGGATCTGAGGCCACACTAAGTTTTAAATATAATGAAGTTTTTATAATCATGTTCACAAGGTGACAACAAGAAACTAATGGAGTTAATTGAGTGATCCAACAGAGATGTCCATTACAAAGGATATAAGACCAATAACCAAGACGAAATTGGCCAAACATAGCCGGAAACTCAGGTTGAGTGATGACTGATGAGGATACAATATATTTGGAAGCAAAAGAATGATTGAAGTTAATTGATCCCAATAGACATTCTCAGGGTTGCACAGCTAACTACTGGAGTTGTCAAGAACTATAACGATATAACACCATGTCTTAGCTCTTCACAACAGAAATGCGAAAGGAACCCTTTCACAGAACTAACACGTTGTCATGCCTGTAGGACACGCATGTCTAATGATATGTCAATGGAACAGCTAGAAACATTGCTGATCAATGAAACAGTTCTATGTCACCTAAAACTGGAGAATAAAAATCCCAATCCCGTGCAAAGTTAAATTGGTCCAAAAGGCACGATAAATACTGCAGCTCAATACAGACTTAACAAGGTAAGAGTAGAAGATATCAGAGTTAAGTTCCCATGCCTCTCGTGCAGATATCACAACAATTCGCTCTTGTGATACCGGCATAACATCAGCAATTTTGATAGACGCACCAGTGTCGTTCTGCAAAGTTTTTATGACAGAGCCACCTTTTCCAATCAAACTGCCAACTTTATCCAGTTGACACAACAACTTGAATACAACATCCTCCTCCACAACCCTCCCGTTACGGCCATCAAAGTTTTCAGCTCCCATATTAGGAGAGTGACCCCTAGAATGATAATCAGCATAACCCCGCTGCGAAAAGTCTGCATGCCCATGGTGCCCCGAATGTTTGGCACTACCAGGATTAGCAGCTTCTGCTTTACTTATATCTTCAAGACAACTATAAAATGCTAGAAGTGCTCTTCTTACAGCATAATAGCTTCCGGTAACCTGAATAACCACAACGTTAGGCATCAGAATAAATTTGAAGGAAACATCATATACAATATGGACATGAGTCGGAAGGAAAACGCGAGCAATTATAGGCATTACTCCTGGAAGAGGAATGAGGTGGCAACATTCCCATATTTACAATTTATAACCGTAAAACTGGTATCATTCTCCTCCTTAGCTTAAGGTAAATGCACTACGGCAAAGGGCAATCCAGATCTTTCATTATCAAATGGAATAAAAATGCAAAGCAATCAACATGTAGATTCTGATTTTGATAAACTCATCGACCGACCAATCGAAATCAATTTTAGAACGAAATGAACTTTTCCACAGCCCTTACTCAACGAGTGTAGCAGTCTAATTCACATACTCTAAACCACATTCTCCTTGAGGAAAAGGGCATGACATGAGCTAAAGAACCAACTTGGATAGATGAGACGATTCATCAAGTGGGAGTAAACAATGAAGTTTACCAGCATGAGTTCATCGCCGAGAGATGCGCAAGGAGGTATCTGCTCACGAGGGAGAAGCCTGACTTGGTGCGCTCCACTTTCTGCCATAATCTTGTCCAGCACATTCCCCCCTCTACCGAACAGATGAGCAGCCTGATCGTTCCCAATCAAAACCCTACCCACGACCACCACTTCTTCACTCAGCTCCTCCAAACTATCCCCTTTCACAATCTTCTCAAATACCCTAACCAACGCTTTCTGCACCGGACCCCACCCTTCATCTCCCCCTCCGCCACCGGACTCTCCGCCACTGCTTTTGACGCCAACAGCGGAACTCCCATCAGCAACGGCGCCGCCACTGTCCGGCGGATGAGAAGAACTGCTATTACTGTTTTCATTCGCGGCAGTAGTCTCTTCAGCCGCGGTTGGCCTAGGGTTTCTGTTGTTGGCGGTGGCACCGGAAAAGGGATTATTAACATGCGAAATGAGAATGACGCGTTCGTCGCAGGGAGGGTGGCCGTGAGGGTTGTCGAGGAGGCGGATTTTGGCGCCGGTGACGGTCTGAATGTGGCGGACGCTGGAGCCTCCTTTACCTATAACGGCGCCGGTCCTGGCCGACGGACACAGGATACGGAATTTGGAGAGATTGGAAGGAGAATCCATGGGAGAGAAATTGCAGGGCGAGAAACTCTGCAAGGGAAGATCCCCGGTGTTTCTCTATCAGATTTTCGCCCGACGGCTACCCGCCACGGCAACCACGACTTGGATTTGGACCTGCGCCGGGAGTATGGACTTCCATTTTAGGATATTTATTGTATGGGCCTATATTTAATTAGTACTCTATCTCTCCCATGTGTATAGAGAGGGAAATTATACTGCCGATTACTTGCCTTCGCTTGCACGGGTCATTTGTCTAATTTTGGTACACATCTCTTTGATGTGCATGATTCGATTTTTGGTAATTGGTTGTTGTACGACTCCATGGCTATCTCCATGGATCAAAATATTATTAATATGAATTAGAACGCTTTGACGTCCGTCTTTCTAAAATGAAAATTATGATGCAGCTGCAAGTGCAAAGTCAACCCCAAGTTGGAGACTCACACACTTAACTTTAGTAACTTTTAACGAAATGATTATTCTCTTAATTTCCTTTAATTTTTATTCATAGGTCTTAACTATGCTCATTATCTCAAAATAATTAAGGTTTCAAAAATGGTTTTCACTAACTGTACTGGTCGAACAAACATCGTACTAGCATGAACAAACATCGTATTATGCTTATTATGTGTTTAGGTTTTCTTAAACGTGTTTTCCTTATTGTTTTGCTGTGTCGAACAAAGAATATATATTTTGACATGAATATGTCTCGATCCAAGTATCAATGTCGTACTGGCATAGTAAAAGTTTATGCCCATATTATTTGATTGAATAGAACTCCAAAGCTCTCTTCAAACTCCAACCTAAAAAAATACCATGTGTAACCTAAACTAACTGTAAGTCTGTAACACTTTAGGCAAATCCCACATCGACAAACACACGGGAGAGATCCATGGTTCATAAGTAAGAAACCATCATTAACTGACAAGACGCGTTCTGAGGTGAAATGAAGGAGTTCTTATGAGAACTTCGAAGTTAAACGTGTTCAATGGAGTACAACAAGGATAGGTGACTTTATGGAAAGTCACTTTGAATTGCACCCCAAATCGAAAATTCGTAAGAGACGGGGCCCAAAACGGACAATATCTTCATCGAGAAAATGTTCGGATATTACACTAACCATGCCATATGGCCAGATTATTAAAAAAAAAAAATGCCATATGACCTTCTGCTTGGAACTTGAAAGGGAACAGTCAAGCAGAAGCTTGTCATAAATCCGCTCATGGATAAATAGTGCAGTTACACATTTAGGGTTCTACTCAGCTTGTTTCTGAACATACATCAGTCTACATCGTCAAAAAGTCATATTTGTTTTTCTTTATTGGCTCCAAAATAGTTAGTCGGGTTGGGGGTTCTAAAGTCTGTTACTCAACCTAGTCAAGTCCAACAGATACAGAGGCACAAAATTCTGCATATTTTACATGGCAATGTTTGTGTTGTTGTATAAACCCTTCTTCACGTTACCGCAACAAAAAGCGACTAATCAAAGTCAGGAAGAAGGCCTTCTTCCTTCAGGAAATATGCAAGGATTGCAAGTAATATGATGAGAATGATGATCCACCAGCTTAATCCTCCTGCAGAAAGGAAAGAACCAAAAACATGAAACAATTCCTCAATAATGAAATCTGCACAACAGATGCCGAGGATGGTTTCCCTGTATTATTAACTTTCTTAGTCTACCCTCGATTATTGGCATCTTACTTAGTGGTAGCAAATAATTGGATGCATAGTTTACTTGCTTTAATTTGATTTTACATACCGTTTTTCTTCTCCTTTATCAATGTTACCCGTGCACTGGAATCCATAGAAGCTGATACCAAAGCCCTGTATTGAAAATTACCGAAAGCCAAGGTTAAATCCAAGAGACTGTTGGACGCAGAAGCATAACCGATGGATACAGGCATTTCAGAGGGAAACATAGAGACGTGAATGAGCTCAGAACGGCACTTGACACAGGAATTAAATGTTTTAAGTTAAAAACTTCTTACCTTGAATCATGTGAGAAGGCCAACGCAGTTACAAATCCAAGATGAGCTTTCCTAACCACCATCTGAACTCCCAACTTGGATGAATCTACAACTACCACGTCCCCTTGGGTTGTACCACTGTTGGTTCATCATGCCAAAGGACGAAATGAATTTTTACTATTGCCACTTAATAAACTAAAAAGATCGCTCTGAGATATTGGAAGAGGGAACATGTCATAAAGGAGAAATTGAGCCACTTCGTACATTGCAAGGAGCCTTCCGTCAGGCGAGACATTGAAGGAAGAAATGGAATCACGAACCACATGCTTAGAGCGTAACCTTTTCCAAGAACTTGTGTTCCAAGTCACTATACTTCCACCTTTACCTGCACGAAGTACATCCTCATAAGCTCTTAGAGATCAATAACTAATTTTTCTCCAACGAACTTAAGGGGCAAAAAGGGTGTTCGTACAAAGTTTACCTGTTATGGCAGCAATATACAGTATTAGAGAATTATCCCTACTTTGTGCAAATCTACAAGAGAAGAACACTTCATCCTGTATGCAATGGGATGCAAGGGAAAACAGTAAAACCGCATTCAGTCAAAAGATGGAGAACTGGACTGACTTGCAGAAAAAAAGCTTAGAGATTCAAAATTGACGACATTCATCTTTGACCAGGAAAGGCAACAAGGTTATCCTATTGTAACTATGTTAAGAATCAGGCAATTCGTAACTAAAGCGGAAAACAATTCATCCGTGCATCAAATGAGTTCTTGAGAGACTCGATACGGGCTGATTCGGGGACTTAGAAAACGATAAAATTCAATGCTTCCATGGCTGTCAGTACAGAAAACAATGCAAGGCCAATTTGAAAACGTTTTTTATCTGTTGCACAAGAGAAAAAGAAGGAATGAACTTAAATTGACAGAAGAAAACAAATGACAACTGCCTAGTCTACTTTCTAAGGAACCACAGCAAAGAAAGAGCAACATTGGACTGACTAGATAAAGGAATCTGTTGAAATTAAATGGTTACTCACACTTCCATTTGGCAACGAAGCTACAACTTTTGCTGAAGGTACATCCCATACCCTCCCAGGACCACGACTACCGAGGGAGACGAGAAACTTGCCATCAGGACTGCACCAGAGTTCAGTAAAGTTATCAGCTACAGAGACTAAAATGCTATCCATGCATACAGGTTTTGTAGATTGAAGTCCTATAGCTAACCTGAAACACAAGTCTTTCACGGAAGAATGTGCTTGATCCTCATTCAGAATCACTTCCATGCTTGGCCATTTAAAAATCCTCAAGTTGCCCTCCTGTACTGCACCAAAATCAGTGTGTCAAAGCAACTATCTCTAAGGATAGATCCGCATCATGTTGGCAATCCAAGTAGACGGAGTAGATGAAGAAAGGGCAAAGAACTTTAGTACTTGATAATAAACACCAACCTAGAAAATTATATCATTAAGTTGAACAGATGAGTAGGCGAATGCCTATGACAACATTTAAAATCCGCTAACGCAGTGAAAACTGAAATGGTGAAAAAAGACTGTGGCAGCACAGGGTAATGCTACACAACCTGAGCTAAATTACTTCAAGGTGACTATGGGCAAAAAAAGTTTTAGCATTTCTTGTGTCAATAACACCTCCCCTGTCATGCAATATCTACCAAACACAAGGAGAAAACAAGAATCTACCTCTCCTCCGACAGCAAGAGTGGAACTGTCAGTGTCATAGGCTAATGCTAATTGTTGTCCAACATCTTGTAACAGATCCAGGGTTTTATCCGAAACTTTGACATCCAGTTTTCGTGTTTCACTTTCTTCGATCTCATCCCACTCAAAGAACCTGAATGAAAAGGGAGGACACAGGAACTGACTAAGCATTCCAATAGGATGATTCTGCCAGCAATGACCGCGAAATTTTTACGAGCTTCCCAAACCCAATAATATTAACAGGACTGGAAAGAATTTGCACCTGCAACTGTTTTGCATAGCACATATTAATCCATCCCCTTTTGGGTGAACAGCCATTCTATATGGCAACTCAGAACCAAGAACCAGCTTAGCTACCTGAAACAGAGGAATGCAGAAGAATGATGAACATAATATCTTCTAGAAATGCATAAACAATACTATTACGTATTATCGAACTGGTTGAAGAGAATGCTTATGGCGTTTTATGATACTGGAATTGGTAAATCAATCTGCGAAAATATTCTAAAATGAATGGGGTCAAACAAAAGCATTCAGCAAAATCCAAGCACCAAGGATTCGATAATTGCTCAGTGCAATGTAACCCACGCATTCAGTTCACAAGCGATCAAAATCAACGCCATGAATGAAATCCCAAACACAAATTCAAAACCTCTGCTATCCTAACAATAACCTTAAACTTACGGGCTGCGGCGAGAGAGTACTGGAAGCGAAATCGAAATGAGCAACCACAATAGCATTTGCTATGCCACTTCGCCCTTCGCCGCCACCACCAGCCAAAACCACGTAATACTCCGACGCAGCAGGTCCATCGGCCTTCTGCGGTTCTGCAGCAGAGGGTTCCTTATCAACGGAATCCCCATCTTTATCCGCCGGAGCGGAAGTCGCAGATTCTTTGTTAGAGTCTTCACGCTTGTCATCAGATCGAGCTTGATCGTCGGATTGGAGCTTGGATTTCAGTTCCTTGTACGGAACCCAAGCAGCGGAATAGAAAGGGATGCCATACTTTTGCAACGCGGAAGAGTCCGGACTCTGACCGTTGGCCATTGGTGCTTACTTACTGAAAACAGCTTGCCCGTACGATCGATCGATCAATCAATTCCTCTGTTAGCCTAGCTTACCTTCCTTCTCCGAACCTGTGAGTAGAGATGGACAAAGAGAAAGAACGGAGACGACAGCCGGCGGTCTCTGCTGAAACGCGGTAGCGGTCGGTTTATTCGATCCCGATCTTAAAGCGATTGTCGTATTGAAGGGATGTTATTTGAGCCCTTTTTGTTTTGGGCTTTCGGCTACGAGATTTAACATGCGTGGGCTGAAATGAAAAGACAGGCCCATCCGAGAGTCTAAACCACTGGTAGAGTGGGAAAAAACAGGTAGGGTTTATGATCTCCATCTCCATCTCCATCTCCGAGGAGCTCTCTTCCCCTCTTTCATGGTCATTAGCTTCTGAGAAACCAGCTGAGAAGACTTCGCGAAAAGAGGGAGCTGAGATTCATCGCTTCCGCCATTGATTCTCTTCGAGTATGACGAAGTTCAGGAAGCTAAATCGGCCGACGGGCCACCGTATGGCCATGCTTAGGTTCTTGAAGAATTTGCCCCCTCTTTGTTTTTTTTGGGTGGCTTTTGTATCTCCAGTCGCCTGTTCTTTGTCTGATTTGTTCGTGTTTGTACCTGTAGAACAATGGTTTCACAATTGGTGAAGCACGAGCGTATTGAAACCACTGTTGCCAAGGTACTTCCATATGTGCTTTGCAGCGTTGAGTTGTTTTGTTTGATTATTGTAGTCTATAAAGGACTAGGCCATCGTGCTGTGTTCATTGAAAATATGCATTTTCTCAGTTCGGAATCCACAGCTGATTCTGGCCGTGCTTGCTGTTTTGATTTCACTTGAACATTACTCGGGGGAACAATTAAGGAAGTGAATTTTCTCCTTTTCATGTATTGTTTGATCTTCTTTAGGCAAAAGAAATACGGAGGCTCGCTGATAATATGGTGCAGCTTGGCAAAGAGGTGAGAGTGCAGTAACTGAATTACCTTGTCAAAAAGTTTGGTTGTTTTATGCCAACCACATGTCCTCTTGGTTGATTGCTTTAAGTAAGGAGTTACATGATATTTGTGTTTCTTAATTCTGGTTAAGCTTCATATCATCTCGAATCGGTCAAGTATTTGTTGAGAATTGTTGGGATCGGATGGTTTGAAACACAAAGCATCTTATTCAACTGATGTACCATTGCTTGAAGTATTTCGTTGTAGTATGATGATGTGATCGTTTATTTTTCATGCTTATGCTCCCTAATGAGTCTGAGATTTTTGCTATAGTATAGCCCTAACTTTTTACTGCATAATGCGCAAAGCATAAATTTCCCATAACGGTGTTTGAGCAAATCATTAAACACTACGCTGTACTATGAGAAAGAAAGTATGGAACTTAAGTTTTGAGATCTCAATCATATAAAATTGTAGAACGAGGTCACATTCACAAAGTCTTTGATGACTGATTTTAGCAGCTGTGAGATCACATCTTGCCAGTCTTTTGTTCATGGGAGACGATGAAGCAAAATATATAGCTCTTGAGTCTTGACCATTGTCAACTGTGGCGATCCTTCGTAGTTGTGAGGAATAACAACCATTGTGTTTGTGTCATGGCTTTTGATCTATACATTCCTTGAACTAGCTCCAGCTTCTGCTTAACTATTGTTTGAAAAGGGGAAAAAACTTGACAATGCTACCTACTTCATCAGAATAGGCAATTACTTTATGATAAATTCTTAAGTGTGGTTTTATTTCTACATTATGTTCTCTGTTTCTTTCTAAGAGAAAAAGGGTCTATGGGTAAGTACTAAGAACTAAGTACTAAATAGATGACCCTTAGTCTAATCTTATATTTTGTTACTGCTCTTCATCTATTGATCATTTTCTATATTTTTGAATTTTTGCAGGGTACCCTTTGTGCGGCCAGGCGAGCTGCTGGATTTGTGAGAGGAGATGAAGTCATTCACAAACTGTTTACAGAGCTAGCATATCGATACAAGTATGTTTCCACCAGTTCGTTTTAGTTTCTCTTTCGGTATCTCTTGAAACTGTATTCTTATTCATTGCATGGTGTATCACAGGGACAGGGCAGGTGGTTACACAAGGCTCCTACGGACACGGATAAGAGTTGGTGATGCTGCACCAATGGCCTACATCGAGTGAGACTCTCTCTCCTTCTCTGCCAGCTTTCAAGTTTCCATCTTTTGCAGACCTTTTCAAATAGAAATTGAATAAAATACCCTTTGTCATTGTGTGGTTGCATAGAATTTACACAGCTTGAACCGAATGAGAGTGAAAATCCCAGATTTTTCAAAGTTTCCACAGCACCTTACGAAACATAATGGTACCATTCAAGATAGTCCAGGACGTTCATACTTATCATCCATTCCTCATCACTTTATTGTTATTGAACAGTATGCATGTGACTCTAGGCTCTAGAATGATGTCTTGATAATACGAGTTTCGTAATTCGTTTATATCTAGTTTCCGTTGGTCTTGTATTGCCTTGCAATAGTGGTTTGTGCTGATGTTACATATATCAACCAGGTTTATTGACAGAGAAAACGAACTCAGACAATCAAAACCGGCGGTCCCTCAGCTGCCACAGAGAGCTGCTTTAGATCCCTGGACGAGATCGCAGCTTACCAGGAACTTTGCACCTCCCAAGGAGGAAAAGAAATCCGATTCGGATTCCGACTTATGAAGGAAGGACGATGGACACACAAATAAAACTGAGCCAATACTGTCTATCTAGGAGTGTTGTTATCCTAGTTAACTCATCATACCATTTTCAAGATTTGGAACGTGTATATTATTGATGGCTATTTCAATTGACATGGTAGACTGATACGGTAACACTGGGCGTTTTGAGGTATTTTTGTACTGTTGCGTGGAAGTTGGAAGTCTCCAACTCTGTCTCTAACATGGTGTCTGTCTGCATTACATTGCAAATTCGGACATTAAAAACTAAGATGGTGTCGAATGATGTTTTTCAATAGGCTTAATTGCAAGTTTGGTCACTCGAATTGCTTAAAAATTTCACGTTTGCCACTCAAATTGATTTATTCCATTTATAGTCACTCGAATTAGTTGAATAGTCCAAGTTTGGTCACTCTCCATTAACCTTCGTTAGACTTCGTTAGTGACGACCGTTAAGTGATGACGTGGCTAACAGAAAGACACAGTCAGCATATTTTAACATTAAAAAATGACGACCCGACCCGCCAGCTCAGCCTTACCCGCCCTGTCAGCCATTCTTGCCCAACCAGCGAACCAACCCAATTAATTGACCCTAAACCAAAATCGGAGACCCGCCGCCGTCGTTGTTGGTCTCCGCGATGTCGTTGTTGACCAAATTCAACGCTTGCCCACCCGTCGAGTAAACCCTCTCCTACGTCACCGCCCAGATCGAGAGAGGCGATGCATGCTCGACGGTCGACAACATATCGACGGATCGAGAGAGACAGAGGCGGGTCTGTAGATCCAGTGGGATGAACTCGCCATTTCGGCAGCGGCGGCGACGAATGAGAAAGGAGAGGCTTGGAGGAGATGAAGTCCGGGTTGGCAGGGATTTTGTTGGGACGGTGGAGATGGTGCCGACGGGGAGAGAGAAGAGGAGATTTTGGGGCTGGGCGTTTGAAATCTCTATCTCTATCTGCATCTTCTTCCCCTATCCATAAGAACACACAAAGAAAAAAGATCCCTAAATTGACGAAAAAATCATGCCTTCCAATAAATTGGTGTGGTTAATAATTAATTTAACCAAGGGAATGAACAAATCCCTTCTCCTTCTTCTTTCCCTTTCTTGTCTGATGGTAGCGCAGTATGGGGCCCTGTTGTTGCAGCGACGATTAGGTGGTGCGGCGGTGGCCATGGCGGAGGAAGCTGTAACGCTGAAGTAGCTTACACTTATCGGAATCGCTGTGCCTGCGGCCATGGTGCTGCTGTACTTGTGTACGAACAGTGTCTGCAATCAAGCAATTTCGACACCACAAAACCATCAAAATTCCATTCGAAGAAAAGGGCTGGAGCTGGATTGAATTGGAACTGGGAGAAAGTACGTACCTCGAAAACCCTTTTGAAGAAATGTACGGCGAGGGCGGATTCGACCAGGAAGAGCCTAGAAGACGAAGCTCCGTCACCGCCATGGTGGAGGAGGAGCAGGGAGGACAAGGCGGCGAGGAATGCCGGAGTGTAGGCCACAAGCATCCCGGTTTTGCTGGGGAGGGAGGACCAGGACGACGACGGCGAGGTAGAAGCGGATGGTTGGGCGGCGAACTTGGAATACTTCATGTGGTTGCCTCGGAGCTCCGACAAGCCGGCGTTTCCCAGGGAGACTACACCCACCACCGACATCGCGGAGACCAACAACGACAGCGGCGGGTCTCGGGTTTGGGTTTAGGGTCAATTAATTGGGTTGGTTCGCTGGTTGGGCAAGAATGGCTGATCGGGCGGGTAAGGCTGAGCTGGCGGGTCGGGTCTTCGTTTTTTAATGTTAAAATATGCTGATTGTGTCTTTCTGTTAGCCACGTCATCACTTAACGGTCGTCACTAACGGAGTCTAACGGAGGTTAACGGAGAGTGACCAAACTTGGACTGTTCAACTAATTCGAGTGACTATAAATGGAATAAATCAATTTGAGTGGCAAACGTGAAATTTTTAAGCAATTAGAGTGACCAAACTTGCAATTAAGCCTTTTTCAATATCATATCGCAGGCCGACTGTTAAAATTGTTTTCATTGGTATGAATCATGGTTTAAGTACAATAACTTACCATACGGTTTAAGCACAATGCCTTACCATGGTTTTACAATCTATAATTCAAAATGAACTATGTGCGCTGCTGAACTACAGGGCACTTTGACCTATACATTTCCTAAACTCTCTAGAGCAAGTCTTTACCTTTTTTGGCTTTTGGAAAAACTCAACATTATTAGAGTGCTTTGTCAGTTTGTCCATGGTATTGGCATTGGTGTCGTTTGATTTTGGCGATGGTTTAGTTTAGATAGTTACAATATTATTATTTTTTTGAATTTTCTGCGCAAACAATACATGTATTATTGGCTTGATGTGACACAAACTATCACTCAAAATGAGTGATAGTTAAATCTCGAGTTTTTTGAGAGAATGTTTGGTTGAGATTGTTGTGTGTTTTATTCTTCCATCTTTGTCCCTATCTTTTTATGTGTCTTGCTTTTTTATATTACAAACAAAGGGTAAAAGTGACATTTCACCCAAAAAATAATACAACTTATTTAAATAACACAATAATTATCACATAAACCAAACGCGATGCAAACTAAAATACACCAATTTTCTTATATACATATATTTTATTATGCATGCATTGATGACAATCCATATATTTAACTATCACCAAAATCAACCCATACCGTCACCTCGAACCTATACATAAGATCTTAGCTCCGTCCTTGTGATCACCCATAACGTGTATTTCACTCTGCAAGAGTGGTGTGAGGCTTTTGTGTGTGTTGTTGGCACCCAAATGAATCTGACGTCGGTGTGAAGGTGTAGGGACGCACACCGCACCAAAATGAAATTTGGAAGCCAGATGGTGACGAAGAAGACACCATTAGCGAATGACATGTGGCTGTTTTTGGGTGGTACAAGTTCACCACCACGTTTTCGTTTCCTTCAAGTAATGCAACCCACAACTACTAAAATAATTCATCTGGTGGAGATTGTGGGATGTGGTTTTGTGGGTAACAACCCAAACACGAATGCACCACCTTTCACAGTGTAAAAAAAATTACAGCCACAACCCAACGTGAAAGCGGGAAGATATTTATCACCCTTCACCTAACGGAACCCATTCTTCTTCTTCTTCTTCTTTTTTCCCTTTTTACGAAGTCATCATCCTGCATCCCGGTTCTTCCGTTTTTGCTCCCTATGAATTATTTTCATTACATGTCACTCCACCAAGCAAAGCTCCCCTTGCGTTTTTGTCTAGTTTAGAAATTTATGCCCAACACAATGGGTGTACTTGTGTGGTATTTTTCACGAGATATGTATGTATGTAGTAATCTCTAATTCTGTTTCAATTACCGACGAGACAATCGTTCTCTAAGTCTAATACATGGGTGTAATATTTTTGACGAGTTTTGTGTGCACTTGCTTGGAAAATATAGAACATGCTCTCGAGACTAAATTTCTCTATATTTGCTTCAACAATTAGCCTATCGAAGATCATTCTGCTGAGATTATCATACCTCGCATTACCTACAACGGCCTCACAGACTCGCATTCTTAAGTCCTTGTTGCGATGAAATGGGGAAAATGTTTTTCTTTTTTTGAGCTTGTTGATGCTCGCTTCAAAATATGGACTCAAATATGTGTACATTGTTTATCGATCACACTATGTCAATCCTCTCATCATTCAACGTTTTCATTCTTTTTAGGGCAATGTCTATTTTTTACCCAAACCTTTTTCAGATTCTTTTATTTTAACCAAACCTATAGAAATTCTACTTATTATCCAAACGTATTATAATTTATCAAAGTCTGGGCATTCATTCTGTTACCGTTACTTATTTCGTCCACGTGAGAGGTGGGATTTTGTTTTGTTTTTTGATAATCTTTTTATTAAAAATAGTAAATGATGGTATTCTAACCACCACGTAGGAAGTCAACTCATTATGGTCATACTTAGTCAGCATTACTAACAGAAAAGTTGACAGAGAGTTAACGTTTGGATAATTTTTAGGAATTCAATAGGTTTGGTTAAAATAAAAGAATTTGAAAAAGGTTTGGGTAAAAAATAGACATTGCCCTTCTTTTTAAAATGAAACGTGCGTATATAGTATATTGAACTAGAACACTCAGATCCTTATGATGCCAACCTAATGAGCAGTGGTGGAGCTAGGTTGAACCTTGGTTGGAGGAGCTGCAATCCTCCTCGATGTTGAAATATAGGCAAAATTACATGTAAAATTTTGTACAAATTTAGATATTAGAACAGACTTTAACCCCTCTGCTCCATTTATAACAATTCAAGTCAACATAGTGCGTTGTAGCAGCACTCCAAATGGCAGATGAAAGCAACTTCAGCGGCGGATCCCGGACAGGGTGGAGCATTGGGCCACCTTTGAAAAAAGACGGAGAAGGCTGGACCGTAACGTGAAAAACACCGAAACGAATACCAAAAATCGGAAATTACAAGTGCTATACTAGCTCGAGATCTCGAGAAGAGCTGGGTCGTGGCCCCCCGGATCCGCCGCTGAGCAACATGTACCAGGATCAATATGCTAAAATTGTAGAAATGTAGTAGTAGAATGATATTTTCCACCCAATACTAAAAGTTGAAGCTTTCGAGAGAAACGAGGTTTCTTCCTTGAAGCAGCGTGTAAAATTGTGGTGGTGGTAGAAGAAGACGAAGGAACCACAACAGAACAAGGCGGCGTGTCCACCTCGGCTCTCTCAAGTCTCCTTCCACAGTCTCCTCCACTCCCACCACCACAAATTTCCCCAAACCCAACGTTCTATTTATAGCCGCCACCGTCCCCCTGCCACCAGTCGACCGCCGGTGCCTCCTCCACCAATACTGCATTTCACCCCCTACATTTTCTCCCGATCACGAAAAACCACCCGCCGCCTCTAACCCACAACCAGAAACACACCACCGATCCAACCTCTCTCTCTCTCTGTTCTCTCCTTGAATCTCTCTTCCTCAATTCCCTCCCTCCCCAAAATCTCTTCCCCTCTATTTCTCACCACAAGATTCTTTTCCCCCTTTTTCCTTCCCACCATTTCTATTTAATCCCTCACTTCTATCAATCACCACCCATTCTCCCTTCCTCTCTCGTTTCTGAATTCTTTTGATTCAATGGAGGATCGGGCTAAGATCTGCGAGCTCTGCGCAGGAGCGCCGGACGTTTACTGCAACTCCGACGACGCCTTCCTCTGCTTCAACTGCGACGCCAGAGTTCACCAAGCCAACTTCCTCGTCTCCCGCCACCTCCGCCTCCTGCTCTGCCGGACCTGCCGCTGCCTCACCCAGAACTCCGTTTTCGGACCCAGATCCCTTCCCTACTGCGCCTCCTGCTCCTCGTCGGAGGTGGAGAGCGTTTCTTCGGAGCAAGAGATGGACTCGATCTCCTGCTGCTCGTCCTCCAACCCTTCCGAATCGGGGAGTTCCACTGCGAAATTCCCCGTCCGCTGCGACGTGACGGTGGACCAGCGGCAGGGGCCGAGGAGCAACAACGCGCCGCCGAGATCTGGAGCCTGCGAGGGGAAGATCGGGGACGTTTTCGCGAATTGGTGTAGGAAGGTGGGTGTGGAGGCGGATCTGGTGGAGCCGAGGGCGGTCCAGGCGATGGGATTGTTGAGCGCGGGGCGGATCGGGAGGGTGCTGCCGCTGCGGCTGAGCTTGGCGGCGGCGTTTTGGTTTGGAGCGCGGCTGAGCGGGGACAGGTCGCGGCAGAGCCTGCGGAGATTGGCGCACGTGTCGGGGGTCCCGGCGGAGCTGATCGTCAGCGTGGAGGCGAAGCTTGAGCAGGGGTTCAAAGGCCGTGGAAGATCACGGCGGCGACCGGAGCCGGAGGAAGGTTGGGCGGAGTCGGTTGTTTGATCAGGAGGTGTTGACTCGACACGTGTCTGGCTGGGTGTGGGTTAATTAGGGGGATGATGATACATATCAATTAAGGGGTGATTAATTCAGATTTGATTGTATTTAGTGAGAGATTAAGATTTACGAGATTAGTCATCTAGAAAAATTAGTCAATCAGAATTTACGGGTGGTGTGGATCAAGTTTCGACCATTTGAATGATGAAATTGTATTCAAAATTCCATTGAGTGAATGAGGATTCCATCGTTTAAAACAAACTTTAGTTTAGATGTTTCTTTAAATTTTGTGTAGTTTAGCATCGTTAATCAGTCATTCTACACAAGAATGACAAAGCTGTGTGGCTAATATTATCTTAGATTAGATGCATTATGACGTATTTTCGTTTTCGACCATATACTTTAGAAGATGTGGATTGTGCCAAATTTTTAGATTAAAAAAATGTAAATTCGGTCGGTTGTATGAATTTTTAGTTTGAGTTATTTGAGTGCGATTTCAAACAATTATAATTGGATAGTAAACTTTTAGAAATAGATGGTCATGATATTACTAATTTTCTATAGGTTTCTCTTATTAGTTTGGGTCTCTTCAATTTTGTCTGTGCCAAAAAGTCGAAACTACTTTTATATTGCCTCATCGACCAAATTTCTATCGTCACATATTGCCTCATCGATCAAATTTCTATCGTCAAATTAAGTGAGATGGCCAGATAAATCTCTCCCCATTTGCTAGTTAATTAGTTAACTCCAACCACATTGAGATTTATGGGACAATTGACTCCATTATTTCTTCATTTTCATTAAGAAGAAATTCTCACTTGATTTCTAAAAAAAAAAAAAACTATCGTAGGTAGTGTGACACATCAAATAAAATAAAATATTTGGTAGGTAGCGTGACACATTTTGTCTTCAACTACTATGCACAATTCTGGAAATAATTTATTCTTCTTAACCTTGATTAGTATTCTAATAATATAGGTCCTTTATCACCCACCAATAAAATAAAATGAAAAAACCCTTCAAGCAGATCATGCGATTTCAAACCACAAAAAATCTCCCTAATGAAACTCATTAGTCCTACTTACCATCCGAATGACATAACCATATTATTCCTCTCCTAGGAGCACTTTCCGTAAAAAAAGTGTCCCACACATTCTTAGTTCTTACTCATTCTTTAACTTGATTCTTCTTTTTCCTCTTGCTAGTATGACTCTCTGTTTCTGTTGCTTCCTCCTCCAACTCAGAAGGCCGCTTCCTCTTACTCTTCTTCTTCACACCATCTTCAACAGCATCAGTCTGTCCAGCTTCAGCTGCTTTCTTCTTCTCCTTCTTATTACCATCAGCATCTCCATTTGTGACTTCAGTAGCTTCCACATCTTTGCTCTTTTTCTTCTTCTTCTTCTCGTCCAAAGAAAGGGCTTTCTTCTCTTCAGTAGCAGGAGCTTCCTCATCAATCTTCGTCTTCATCTCGACCGTCTCCTCTCCAACTGATTTCGGTGTTTGTTCGAGAACAGCATCAGTAGAAGGATTATAGGTCTGCCAAAAAGGGCCATTAATGTTATGATTCAGGACGCAAGTAATAAAACTCAAAGAGCTCAAGTTCATACAGGAACCAAACCTTTGCAGGAGTTATCATTCCAGCTGCTGCACCCTTCTTTCTATCCTTATCATAGACTTCGATCTTCGGCTTCCCCTTAACTGAACCAGCAGAACGTCCCAATTCCTCGCCCTTGAGACTCCTCAGCCTCGCTTCCAGCTGCGAAATCAGCGCATATGATCAGTACTTCCTAGATTCAGAACTGAAATTACTTGCATGGAAGATGACGTAAGAATGTACCTTAAGACGGTTCTCTAGTCCGACGGAGTTATCTTGGCCGCCATCTCCAAGAGCATCACATCGAATGGCAAGAGCAGCTTTAGCAGCAAGCGACCTCGAAATCTTCCCTTTCAGCTTAGGTGCCGCTTGGCCAACGAGGGATGCATGGTAGATCAGCCCGTATTTAGGTGTGGCGTGCTTCGTCTTTAGAGCTCTGAATAGGGCCTTCTCTGCTCCGAGAATCTGGACAGTGCTCCCTGCCTGCTTGGCGAGATTCATCAAGCTGCCTGCATGGGCAATCAGCCGAGCTCCAACAAGCTCTCCAACCAGAGCTGTCAAATTAGGTGCAACGGCGTTCATCCTACTTTTCAGGTAGTCGTACAGTTGAGGCCTGTATTCGGCTAGAGACAAGGCCCTGTTGCAGAGCTCCATTATATTTGCCATGTCATATTCGTCCATTTCACTCCCCATCGATATCTTGGCTGCTTCCTTCACTTCTTCCTCGACCTCCTCAGGTAATATCTACAAAATCAGGAAAATACAGTTGTTGATGTGTTGTCAAGATTCAGAGGTGCATACCTCCAAGGAGCCAAGATTCAGATGTACATACCTCGGAGAAATCAAGTTTTGCAGCGTTCTCACGGAAACCCATCAACTTCACAGCTTTAGCATAGACAACGTTGTCATTAACAATCTTGGCGAGCTCTGGAAAATGCCAACCGTAAATTTCCCTGAGGCTCATTGCAAGCCTGTTAAGCTCCTTGTCAAGGTCGTCAAGCACGCCAATAGCATGAACAACCATTGTATCGACCTGGAACGTAAAGAAGAAAGCATAGGTCAATCCACGCGCCCTGCTACATATACACGGATGATATGGTGGACAAAAGATGCATCGAAGATGACAAAGTACCTTGTCAGGGCTAAACTTCAGCTTGTATCTAGACAAGCTATGAGACAAACCGAGGCTCATCGGTGCTAAATCTTGGCTCCCTAGACCACCTATAAGTTCTTCCAACTGACTCCTCACGCCTCTCATCAACTCCATGACACCATTGTTGTGCACACAGTCGATTTTCTGAAATTCCAATCACCAATCAGATAAAGAAATGCTAGCTGGTATACATATATAAGAACAAGTACAATGTCAAAGCCAAACAGAACAACTCATATGATGGATTAGTACTTAATGCAGAAGCATACCAATTTCTCCTTGATTGCATTTCCCAGCTTCGAGTCAGCCACAGCCAATTTCTCGCCCTCACAGTGAGTTTTCAGGAATTTTCGCAGGCTTTTAGTGGTTGAGCCGTCGATGATTTTGGTTGTTGCCTCCAAAGCATCAGCCGTGTTGTCAAACTTATCAAAGGCCTTCAGCTTCACCACCTGTTTCTCATATTCAATGATTAAATCAAACACTGAAGAGAAACACAATCTCAAGTGGGAGAAGAAAAAAGGGATCATATCTACCTTTCTTGCAGTGTCAGAGTTCGAGAACTCCTTCCACAAGTCCTGAAACAAAACCCAAAAGATTGAGCTAATCCATACACTAAACTGCTGCTACCAGTAAGAACCTATATGTTCTCCATCATTCTGTCATGATCCTTAAAATGTTTGCCGATGACGACTGAATTAAGTTGTACAAAAATTCTTTTACCTCAACTTTGGATAGCTTCCCTTCATCCAAGACTTTGAAAAGGGCAAAGCCCGCCGGAGTCTCAAACAGCACTAACATCTTCTTTTGCAAACCCTAAATAATCCTGCATATATAATGAACACAAATGTACACTCCCAACCGCTTGCAAACTCAGAACATTCACAATCGGGCAAACAAAACCCTGCATTCTGGCCACATACGGAGGGTTCCTCCCTCTGCATGGGCTGCATGGGCTGGGCTCCGATTGATTGGTTCATCACCGCCATAGCCGACATTTACCAGCTCAAATGCAAACAAACAAACAAACAAACAAACAAGCAAGCAAAACCCGCAGCCCCCAGATACGAAACGCAGGAACCCAGAAAACGTGAAACAGAATAAAGAAGATCCTGGCATTCTTCATACGCACAAAGCAGTTAGTTCATAAAAAACAGAAACCAGAGGCGTGAATGGCTATTTTACAAGCTTTCATGCGGAGAGATACCAACTACGTACCTCCTTAATACAGCGCCGTCGATGAAGGAAGAAGACAATCTTCACCCAGTAGAAGCAGAAGCAAAAGCAATTGAAGTTCAACTGAGAGTCGCTAATCGGCAGGGAATCGGGCCGCAGGTCTTTACAGAGAGGGATTCTACAGGGTTACAGCCGAGGTGCGCTTTTATAAATGAGATGGCAGCAGAGAATCGGGCTCTCTCGGGCCATCCAGTTGAATGGATCTTCGCCAATTGGGCTAAAAAATTCTGTCGCTCATTTTCTTGCCAATTGGGCTTCTGCTTGTAACGCTTTATGAATGGGCTAAGTACCCACCACCGTTTTGGTATCATGTTCTTGGGAAAAATCCAAAAGTACCACTGTTTAAAAAAAATTTCCAAAAATATCACCCAAGCCCAAAAAATTCCAAAAATACCACCCTTTTTCAAAAATCGCCACCCCACCCAGCGGTTTGGTCGAAAACCGCTTGTCGGGGGCGCGGTTTTGGACCAAACCGTGGGCCTAGGGGGCGGTTATAAAAAAAAAAAAAATTGGACCAAAACCGCTGGGTGGGTGGCGGTTTGGCCCAAAACCGCCACCCCAACCAGCGGTTTGGTCCAAAAGTTCGGTCGAAACTTCAAACGAACGTAACTTTGCACTCGGGTATCCGATCGTAGCGATTTTTTTTTCATTTCGCATAACTTTTCAAGATCTACAACTTTTACTAGGATAAAATTTTCAAAAAAGGAACTATTTGTGGATATACGGGACCTTGAGAATAACTTTACCTTTACTTTTCAGAAATCCATGTACATTTTGAAATTATGATTATATTAAAAGTTGTAGATCTTGAAAATTTATGCGGAATCAAAAAAAAGTACATAACATTCGGAGTTTGGAGCACAAAGTTATGGACGCCCAAAGTTTGACGAAAGGCGAGACCCGACGGTTTACGGCTTGCAAGATCTCAAAAAGTTTGCGGCCTCCATTTTTTGAATCCGAATAACTTTTTGAGATCTTGCAAGTCTCAAACAGTCGGGTTCCGTCTTCATCTCGAAAAAACGTCATTTGCCACCCCGAACGACCTTTTTTTTTATTTCGTCAAACTTTGGGCTGCCATAACTTTGTGCTCCAAAATTCGAATGTCATGAATTTTTTTTTTATTCTGCATAACTTTTCAAGATCTACAACTTTTAATATAATCATAATTTCAAAATGTACATGGATTTCTGAAAAGTAAAGGTAAAGTTATTCTCAAGGTCCCGTATATCCACAAATAGTTCCTGTTTTGAACATTTCATCCTAGTAAAAGTTGTAGATCTTAAAAAGTTATGCGAAATGGAAAAAAAAATCGCTACGATCGGATACCCGAGTGCAAAGTTACGTTCGTTTGAAGTTTCGACCGAACTTTTGGACCAAACCGCTGGTTGGGGTGGCGGTTTTGGGCCAAACCGCCACCCCACCCAGCGGTTTTGGTCCAAATTTTTTTTTTTTTATAACCGCCGCCTAGGCCCGCGGTTTGGTCCAAAACCGCGCCCCCGACAAGCGGTTTTCGACCAAACCGCTGGGTGGGGTGGCGGTTTTTGAAAAAGGGTGGTATTTTTGGAATTTTTTGGAATTGGGTGGTATTTTTGGATTTTTTTTTTTAAACAGTGGTACTTTTGGATTTTTTCCCATGTTCTTGCCAACTGTCATCATTGCCGCCATATCTCTCCGTCGTAGCATTTGATTTGAGAGAGGAAATTAATAATTGGAAATTAATAGTTAATTAAATTTGCGGGAAACAAGATGGAAGATGATTTAGGAGGATTAACCATCATTCTAATCTCAAGTTACCTGAACCACTTGAACATAATTCAGATTGAAGTAACCAAACACAATGATTATTAAGAAGCATCTGATGATGATAGACTGCAGTAACTCATAGTAGTATTTCTGCCTTGTGAAACAAGTTTGGACAACAAAAGCTGAAGCTTTACCCCATAAGCCCCTGCCTTCACAACATCAACGATACTACTGCTACTGCTGCTGCTTCTGTTCCCCCAACTTGATGAACACATATCAGCATCATCACCCTTTGTACTCCCTCCACCTTCTGACAGGCACCATTGCCACGACCTTCGCCCCTTGAAGACAGCATCATCAACCTTGTCTCGAATCACCTGGTCCTCTCTATCTCCACCTCTGAATCCTCGGACAAACACTGCTCCACTGTCCAACATGTCCGTGTACTGCAGATCACTCCCATCGACGATGATGTTGTACCTCAAATCGGAGTCCAAAACTGTCGCGTTTTGGAAGTCAGGGGAGTTGCAGAGGACTGTGTGGAAGTAGGACTCTAGTGGGTAGGCTGTGTTGGTGAAGAACATGAGCAGTTTCCTAGGGAGATTGTCCCAACCTTGCACACAATACTCCAGGAAGTTCCTTGTCAGAATCACCCTAGGTGAACCTGCATTGCATTGTGTAAATTTGTTTAGCATAATATGGTAAGGTAACATTGTGAAGCCTTAATCACTGTTATGATTTACTAAACCTCCATATATCTGGAAAGCATCAGGCGCGTCTCGTTGCTCTACAGCATAGTAAAGGTAGCTGCCCTTTTGCAGATGTAAGCTTGGATCCACCACTATTTGGTTCTTCTTGTCTTTCCTAGCTTGCAGCAATTTAATGTAAATGGAGGTTAATCAACTCAAAGAGAGCTCAGGTTGGCTGTGGGAAATGGCAGCAGCAATAAGAAGCAATGTTGCTTACTCTTTCCAGTCAGTAGAATTCGTGTAATGGACGAAATTGAGATCTCTTGGCAAGGAGCTGAGGGCGTGCAGCAAGTCTGCAAAACTCCATGGCAAAGTATTACACCAAAATCCAGCAAGAAAACGTAAATGGAGGAAGAATTTGGTTTATATGGTACCATCAGGAGTGACAAGTGGGTAGTCATCAGGGCTCAAATTGACAAACCAATCCCAATGTGGGCTCAACCTCATCAGCACAGCAGCAGCATGGAGCATTGCAGCAAGAGCCGAGGCACCCATCTGGCTAACACTAAAGCTCTTCTTGCCAACGACATTGACGTTGCCAAAGGTTCCGAATACAGATTGGGATTCAACCCACATTGCCAAATCAGCAAGCTCCCCATCAGAGGACTCTGCATCAAGTTCCATGAGGTACTGGTTCCTGGGATGGTAGATCGAATTCAGCTGCCTCGACATCCTCTTCGAGTCTCCAGTGCTACCAAATATCCAGAAGGCTAGAACTGGAGGTAATCCATGTCCTTTGGTTGGGATGATCTTGACAGTAGTACTGATGTTGTTAGTGGTGGCAATGTTTTGGGAGCCAGTTGAAGATGGACTGCTTGGAAGCCATACGATCCATGTCGATCGAGAAGTGAGGACTAGCAGGAACATTGCAGCAGCAAGGATTTTCCATGCTGAAGGGAACCTTGGTGTTCTCATATTCCTGGGTGATCAAATGGATTTGGTTCAGTTTAGGGGAGGAGTGAGGTGGTTTTTGTAATGTGGTGTATGGTTGGTGAGTGAGAAGGGGAATCATGGTGTTCTGTCTGTGGGGAGATGAAGAGGGAAAGTGAATGTGAAACTTGGGATTGAAGGGACTGAAGGGAGATATAATTGAAGGAATTAGTTAGGATTGCTTGAAACACAAGGAAAGAAAAGAGAGAGGGCCATGATCTTGATGATGTGAGCCATCTGGCTTTTTAGAAAAGGGTGATTTTGAACCTTTAGGTTTTGGTGAGAAAAGAAAGAGGGGAAGGGAAAGGCCACCAACCATGATAAGATGATGATATCTGCCATGCATGAATTATATAGGTGGCCATGGCTTTGCATGATGGTGTTTGGGACAACATAAAATTGGAGCAAAAAAAAGAGGATAGGTTCAAGTATTCTACCAAATAATTTGATTTGATTTTGTAGAAATACAAATTCCAATTGTGTATGGATTATTGGGAAAGATAGGGTAGTTATGGAATTTAAACATCAGACATCGAAATTATTACGAGAAGTTTTTGGAAAACTATCGATATCATTTCATGTGATACGTATCTTATCAATTATATTTATCCGAAAACAAACTTGTTAGAGGGTATAAGCTTTTTAACTTTGATTCTTTGAAGGATTATAACCTTAAAAAAGAGAGAGAGAGAGAGGAGTAGAGCATACCTAATTGACTTCTTAGTAAATTGGAAATGTAATTAGCGGCAAAGAGGAAAGCAAACTCTTTTCCGTTGCTTTGCGCTAGAATACAACGGAACGAACGGCAAGCGGCCCCCGAATCGAATCTCTCTTTCGAAAGACGCCATTTTTCACTCCATTCATTCTCCAGAAGAGAATCTCCAAAAACCCTTGTTAAATCTCTCTGCTGCAGTGCTGCCTCCTCTTCGTCTCTCTTCGCCCCTTTTCGGTCTCCTTACAATCTCTGCTCGCAGTGTTTAATCAATGGAGTCTATGGCAAGCTCAGTGTTCGTCTCCAGATTCCCAGAAACACACCCACCGCTCAGTCCCCCATCACCTTCTTCCTCCTCCTCTTCTGCCTGCTGTTACTCGTCTTCCAGCAAGATTCTGCTCAGCAAGGGAATTATGGGGTCTCCTAAATTAGTCGAAGCAGCGCGTTTTCCTCGACTGCGCCTTCAGGGTCTTGCCCGTGAGTTGTCTGGTGGAGCTGGAGAGGAAAACAGTCACTTGGGTGATGATGGGTTTGGATTGGTTTCTGATGCCACCCTCTCCCTGTCTCAGGTATCCATTTCTCCCCCAACCTTTTGCCGTCAACTTTAGGTGTCAGAGTATTTGCCGCAAATTTGTTCTGCTGTGTGGTTCGAGTATGGAGAGTATTTTGTTAACTTCGCCGGAGTTATTCAGATAAGTAGCCAAAATGGGGGGAGGGTTTGCTCTGGTTAGTGCTATTTACTTGATAGAACAAAGATTCCATCTTGCGGTTTGAGGAACTTCGAAATTCAGATTTTGAAACGTTTATATACATGTACTTGTTGCAAACTTGCAATATGCCATGTTGGGGTTTTGAGGAACTTGAAAGTTTAGGTTGAAACCTTGTATGCATACAGTTGCTGCGTCAATAGTGTATGTGTGGTCAATCGTGGATGCCATGTTGCGGTTTCAGGAACTTGAAATTTCAGGTTGAAACGCTACATACGTACTCTTGTTGCGATTGCAACATTGTATGCGCGTATGGTTCCTATGGTATTCTAGTCTATACACTAGAGCTAACATCAGTACCTTCGGCCCATAGGAATTCAGTTTCTTGTCATTCTAGAAATATTGAGATTTGAGGCTGTTAGTGGTGTTAAGGATCATGGAGAACTTGTAATGGGGGTGAAGTGGACATTTGCGAGTCTTGTTTTCAGCAGTTACGCATTTGTTGCTTATGATATGAAGCATTCTTAGCCACTGATTTCAAACAAGGATCTGTTATTGTTGTCATTTTCCAGCAAGTGCTCAAAGTATACATGTTTGACCTCGATTCCGAAAAATGGTGTCAACAATGTTGATTTGCCCAAATTTCTCTGGCGGTGCCTCCATGATTTAATCTAGCAGTGTAAAGCTAAAATTGGAAGGAATAGTAGTAAAAAGTTTTGATGATAGAACCAGGACTCAAGTTGTGATAAACAGAAACCAATAAACAGACAATAACATTGGCAAATCCAAAAGGTACGATGTTGCTTATTTGACACTAGATTTGCTTAGCTTTCTGTTGTTAGCTTTTAGGTCTTCTACTGCTTTTCTATTTGATACTTGGAAAATCTTCTTTGCTTTGATATAGAAAGTAAATCGATGTATCAAATGGCTACTACAGCTTGGTAGTGATCGCCTCTCTTGTGTTATGAAGGAACTCAGAAAGCAAGCTGAGAGCAGTCAGAAGGATTCAGAGAAAATATTGAAGGTGGAGCCACCATTGACAGTTCTCCATGGGAGTGGAACCACTGGGGGAACTAGAGCAGGGCTTTTCAGGACTCCAATTTCTGGTGGCGTACAGAGTGCAACCTCAGCACATGGCTTACCTCGACCAGCCCTGGCAGTTCGCAACCTGATGGAACAGGTACTACAGATGATGTGTTTTGCCATCTATTGATATTTCTCCATATGATTGTTTATTTCTTGAAGCTCTATCTCTAAATTGGGTCTATTTTTGTGATTAAGGCCAGATTTGCCCATCTGTGTACCGTAATGTCTCGGATGCACCATCGGCGTGAAGGTTACCCATTTGGTTCCTTGGTAGATTTTGCACCAGATGCAATGGGCCGTAAGTAATAACTTTTTGGTATCTGGTTGCCACAATGGATTCTTTCAAACATTCTTATTGTACCGAGGAAGTATTTTAGGAGTGTGTGTGATCAATGGTACTGTTCCAATTGTCTTTGAAGGTCTGTCACTGTAGAAGCTTATTTATGTGTATGCTAAACACCAACTTGGATGATTGACTCTATTTTGCAAGAACTGTCTTCTTACCTGCAAATAATAATATCCATGCTAGATAAGTGCAGTTCGAATCTAATAATGGCCATAAATCAAAACTTTACTTTAAAGTTTGTGCTTGAATTGCAGATCCAATATTTTCATTTTCACCCTTGGCCATACACACGAGGAATTTGTTAGCAGATCCAAGATGCACCCTTGTTGTGCAGGTTTGCTGTTGGACTGTCTTTATGTTAGGTAACCTTTTCTGTAGCTTCTGCATTTGTGATTTTGTTAATAGTTATCTCTGACAGATACCTGGATGGAGTAGCTTATCAAATGCAAGAGTTACAATTTTCGGAGATGTGTACCCTCTGGCAGAAGATGAACAGGTGCTTGCTCTTCCTTTATTTCTTTCCCCTTCTTGTCCATATGTACCAAGTTTAGGTTGTTGTTCTGCTTTCCACATTAGAAGCTCCTGGTTTTCCATAGCCATGGTTGATTTTGATTAGAACTTGTAGGTAGAAGAGCTCATTGGTTTGTTCTATTTGTATATTGTCCTACTCTGAAGAATATGTTATCATTGAGGTTCTTTCAGTGCCGTGTTAAATTGTTGTTCCTTCAAATACCATCAATTCAGAATTTTTTTCATTTGTAGGCATTTGAAGTTGTTCAAATGTAAGTGTATTTTCTAAGTTCTGATTGTTGGTTCAGGAGTGGGCTCATAAACAGTATATTGCTAAACATCAGCAAGGTCCTTCCCAACAATGGGGGAATTTCTACTACTTCAGAATGCAAAATATAAGGTCTGTTTCTATCATATTGTTGGATAACTGTAGATCATCTAATTTTTCTTTAAGTGCAGTGCTCCATTGTATATAATCTGATGACCCTGCCTCTTACCAAGTCATGCAAAACCATCTGCTGAGGTTGGGCTTGGGGTTTACCGTGGCCAACTGGAGGTTTATTATTTCCAAAGCATAAATTTAGCAACCCTTCATTATGGTCATAGCTTTACAGCATTCACTCTCAATTGTGTAAAACTTCTCTAATTGGTGCTCAAAGTCAAACGTGAACCGTTTAGTTGTTGCTGATGTTACTTGTAGCTACAAAAGACGATGTTGTAAATGCAAGTAACCTGACTTCTTTTCTTTCAGGGATATATACTTCATCGGAGGTTTTGGCACTGTTGCATGGGTTGATGTCAAGGAATATGAGGCCCTTCAGCCAGATAAGATTGCGGTCGATGGAGGAGAGCACAATCTCAAGGTAATTGTTTATTGTTCCACTGTTGTCAGTACATATACTTCACAACTGGAACGAGCAAAGCTGAAACATTTTGCTCCCGTGTCGTGGTTTGCAAATGCACGTGACAGGAACTGAACGTGATATTCTCGAAGCGGCTTAAAGAGCTTTTATCAAGTGAGATGGAGGTAGATGATGCTGCCATCATATCGATAGACAGCAAAGGAATCGACATAAGGGTCCGTCAAGGTGCTCAGGTAAGTAGCAAAAGACAGCAGCTTCCTCACTACCCTTTACATCATCCATCATTCTCTTTGTTCGATAAGGATGAAATTTTAAGCTGTTCTGATACATGCGTCTTGGTCATCGCATCTTGTTGCAGTTCAACGTCCAGAGGTTGTCATTTGAAGAAGGCCATGCAGTCGAAAATTTGGAAGAGGCCAAGAGTGCAGTGCGGAAAGTATTAAACAAAGGCAAAGTTCAAAACTTGCAGAAGTAACAACTGTTGAGCTCGCAAAGAGGTCAACCGAAATAAGGAAGGAGAGAAGGGTGAAACTTTCCCCCCACCATTGCAGCTTCATCAACATGATGGATGATGCATAAGCTCTTGCATGCCTTGTTTTTTTTGCTAATCTTCTGAAGGGACAAAAGGCTCTTTGGCTCTAATTTGTGTTAGAAGTTTGGGAATCTAATGGGACCTTTGCGTTAGAACTGTTATGCTTTTCTTTTGGACTGCTGACTAGAGGAGGAGGTTTGAGAGGATGATCACTTGGCGCTCCTAGTCGCAATAAGTCACGGCTCTCGAGTAGTTGATTCACGGATTGGAAATTTGGAATTCTAAAATCATGTACGTCGTCGTCGTGTAGTGTTGTCGTGTTACAGATTGTGTCATTTACTCATTTAGCATATGTTCTCTGGTTTTTATAATAAAAGCCTAAATCACATGACAAATTCCTTGTGAAATTATAAAAATATTCTTTCATCGGCAGCTCTATTATTTGTCGATTGTCGTATCTGGTGATTTGGTACTTTGTAACTACTTATCCTCAAATTTACTATCTACAGGGAAAAAAATGGCATTCCTCGTGATATAAAAGGCCTCAATTCGTTCTCCTCTCAGAATGGAATCTACACGATTGAATTCGGTGGTGAGTAAATACGTACTCTAAATTGCACCAACTACTACTCAGAGTCTTATATTCTGTTGCATGTTGGTCATTCAATTGCATATAAAGTAAATTTATTTTTGTGTTGTATTGTTAATTTTTTCGTTCTAAAGTCATCATTGCACTTATGAATCTAAAATGCAATGAATCGTTAACTCTGCTATTCGAATATACACAGCCGACATACCTATAAGTACAATGACTGACTTTAGATCAAGAAAATAATCCACTAAATCACTCAACAACATTAATGAATCTGATATTTTTCTAGCGTGAACATTTACCGTTTCATATCAATGGTCAAATTTGAGCATGAACAAGTGTACCTTTTTCCCAAGATGCTTATAGGAAGAACCGACTTTCTTGTTTTTTCAATTTCTTAGATAATTTAGATAAGGGCAAATTTGCTTTGTCCAATTAACCCGAAGCTGACAAAATCATTCATAAATTTTTTGATGGCGGGACCTCCCGATTGGACCATATTTCCGGGAAAAAATCTCGAGAAGTAACCAAAGTTAGAAACTGGGCGAAATTTTACCGCCAAAGTCCGGTAATCTGTTATTTTTTCATTTATTGTTTTGTTGTGTTTTTCACCCAATAATTCAAAATACGCTAAAGAACGGAAATAGCGAGAGAGAGAGAGAGCTCTCACTCTCAAGCTTCAGCAACAGCAGGTACAGGCAGCAGCTCCCCACGCTCCCTTTTGTCGTCAAACAATCATATTCTCTCACGGACAGAAGAAGCCACCAAACCTCCATTCCTGATTCATGGCTTCTTCTTCCTCTTCCTTCTTCTTCGCCGAGCCCACTCCTACCGACAACAATGGATCGTCATCAGTTTCATCATCATCATCATCCTCGCCGATCACCAACATGGCCCCAGATCATCTCTTCACAGTCCTGCTCCTGCTCCCCGTCGAATCGATCCTCTCCTTCGCCGCTACCTGCAAGAGGTTCAGGTCCCTCGCGACTTCGGACACGCTCTGGGAGTCCGTCTGCACCAGGGAATTCGGGGCTTCCTCCGTCGACGCACTCAGATCTTCTCTCCTCCCCAATTTGAGAAACGTTGCTGCGAAGCCGTGGATGGCGATGTACAGAAAGGTGTCTCGGCTCGACACCGTGTCTTGCCGCAGGCTTCTTCCCGACCCGGATGCTGCTGAATTGGGGGGAATTCCCAGCCCAAGGGCTTCTCACTCCCTCAACTTCATATCTGATTGCTTGGTCCTCTTTGGCGGCGGCTGCGAAGGAGGTTGGTAGCCCGGATTTTTGTTTTGTTTTTGTTTATACAGTGTATTTGAACATCCGCTTGGCTGATTGCAGAATCTTTCTAGTTTTGAATAGTGAATCAGAGGGGTTTGATTATTTATTTCGTTGTATTTCATGATCTTTGAGTGCTGCACGCAAGGTGCTTGTAGATATGCCCCCATGACCCAATTACGGTCACATTTCCACGCCCGGTCGAGGGGTTTTGGGAAAGGTTTTTCCTTTTAGTCTTTGATGCAACGGAAGTCTACACTTGGATTGGAATCATGGAATGGTACTTCCGTTGTAGTTTCTTTTTGGTTAAAATTCAATGGCGCCAATAGGATTTTGCTTAGTTTATCCAAGTCTTATGGGTTCCGAGTTCTCATCCATCCCTTCCCAATGTCGCTTGCTTTGCGATCACCCTCCTGCACTGGCTTCGGCCGAAGTATATTGATTACAGAAGCTCCATCTTTCTTTTACCAAATGAAGAATGCACTCAAGCGTTAACACCATCACTTAAGATTGATTGAACTACAGAAATGCATGTCTTCCCCTGTCTTTGGTCATGCCTCTATCCTCTTTAATCCATTTCCCCATGTTTTTTGGTTTCCTTGTAGGACGCCATCTTGACGAGACATGGATAGCATACGTTGGCAGCAACTCTCAAACAATGATAAAATGGCAGAAAGTCAGTACAGGGATCCCAAGTGGTAGGTTTGGGCATACATGTGTTGCTATTGGGAATTATGTCATCCTCTTTGGAGGTATCAATGACCGTGGAGTCCGTCACAACGACACATGGGTTGGGCGAGTGCTATCCACAGAGAATAATGTTGGAGGTGGTGGAATCACATTGTCGTGGCGGCTGCTCGATCTTGATCTGGGTTCCTCCAGGGCGCCACCACCAAGGGGTGCTCACGCTGCTTGTTGCTTCGAGAGGAAGATGGTCATCCAGGGAGGCATAGGGCTTTACGGCCTGAGGTTAGGCGACACATGGGTTTTGGAACCAGCAGAAGGCTTCTGTTCAGGAACATGGCGCGAGTTACTGACTTATCCAGCACCTCCACCGCGATCAGGGCACTCGTTGTCCTGCATTGGAGGAACCAAAATGGTTCTCTTCGGAGGAAGAGGGCTGGGGTATGAGGCCATGGATGACTTGTGGCTCCTGCAAATATCTGAAAGTGGTGATCTCATGTGGGTGCAGGTCGTGTATGAGAATCAGAAGGTGCCTGAAGGAGTGTCGCTGAGACGAGTTGGTCATTCGGCTACCCCAATCTTGGGAGGGCGGCTGCTGATCCACGGAGGAGAAGATTCACTTAGGCACAGAAAAGATGACTTCTTGATTCTGGACATTGAGGCGGTTTTGCCTATCAGAGAGCAGCTGCCACCGCCGGCGCTGAATACCAGGAGATTGCAGCAGGCATCGTCTAGTTTGTGGAAGAGGATCAATGTAAAGGGTCATAAACCAAACCGTAGGTCATTCCATAGAGCTTGTGGAGATCAATCGGGGCGTTATCTGTATCTGTATGGTGGGATGGTGGATGGTTTGCTTCAGCCTGGTGAAGCTGCTGGTTTGCGGTTTGATGGGGAGCTCTTTGTTGTGGAACTTTTTCAGTAGCCTTGTAAATCATCAGAAATAAGAAAGAAAAAGTAATTAGATCGCATCGCCAACTAGCTCCACCTACAGCATTGGTGTTGTCCTATGGTTGTGCTTTTTACTCACTGCGCACCGATCGACATAATAAAGCTCTCATCATCAGGCCCTGTTGCTTGCTGTAGAAGTCAAAGATGAAACCTTAAACCTCGCACATAAAATCTGAATATTGTAATGGGAACTACATGCTTGATAAAACTGAACAAAATTATAGGATTGTGTAACTTCTTGTTCTTCTCAGAATGAAAAACAATGATATCGAATACACATTTCTTCACATCGACATTAAGGTATGAAGTTGAACTCTAAAGATTCAGTTCCTACCTTCTAGATTTAGAGGTGAACGAAACTGAAGAGAAGGCCGTGGAAAAAAAAATTCTACAGAAAGAAACGATCACAACGACGATTGATGATACAGAGCTTTATAATCGCAGAAGATACAAATAATGAATTAGACAAAACTGCATTTCAGGGTTCCAACTTCAGTTTGGTTCTCCACATTTCTCCAATGACTTTCTTGGGTGCAGGATCGTCCGGTCCTTTGTCTCGCTGCCCTGACGTGAAGTATATGTGTCCGTCCCAGAAACCGACCAGCGTGGTCTTGACTCGGAAAGGAAGTTTTCCAATCACTGACCATTTCTGCGGTAAGTATCAGGCAGACACCAAAGGTCGTCAAAGGTTGAGAAACTTGCTTTAGATTCTCAGCTATCAAATTATTTCTCTCTGACATCAGACCATCTAAAAACAAAAGTGAATTATGAAAGTTCTTACCAGATTATTTAGGTTAAACTGGAAAATCTCGCCAACAAGGACCATCTTCTTTGTTATAGGATGCTTGTCAGTCGTCCCTCCAATTATTACAATGGAGTTATTTACAAGCGCCCAAGCAAACTCAATGTGAGAATCAGGCTTTGGCATTGAAGGCAACACTTTCCACTTCATCTCATCATCGAGCATGTACACGTCACCGAACACTACCTGAGGCAAGGAACCATGTGAATTATTCAGTACATAATATGAAGATAGAGTAAGAAAAATGCATCTATGGAGTTGGACATGCATCCCGAAGCACCACATGGACTCTTATTTCAGTTCAACCAGATCCTAGAGATCCTAATTTCAGAAACACGATGACAAGGAAAACTGTAAAAATGATGTTCGGTTTCTCATTCAGAGGGAGATGTAAGGCTCTTTCACCACAAAAAAAATCTCATTAGCAAACAACTGAAGATGACTCGCAAATTCATATGAATGACTCGCAAGTTCATATGAAGTAAGCATGGATTGTCTTCTGTAAAGGGAGTCGATCACCTTTTATATCATAAAGAATGGACTTTCATCTTTCTCAGCAGAACCACAAATACTGCTTAAAAAGTATGGTTGGCGGGATCGCACACAAATACTTCGTGTAACCACCATTCCCCTGGAGTGAGTAAAAAGAGGAAAGAAGTGTTGCAGCATTACCTCATTTCTACGTGAACACTTGAATATTGGAGATCCAGGTTTGGCCATAAAGTCACCCTCTTGACCACCAATGACATAAAGTCGATCATCTACAACAACACAAGCCCTAGAGAAAACCAAAATAAAACTAGCAGTTTAGCTTTTTGTGATAAGAGCAAGATGCAATCTACAGGCTTGCAGAATAAACGCATGAATAACCAGGAACAGGTATCATAGTGGACCACAAACCTATGAGGTCCTCCACGAGGTATGGGAATTTCTGTCCTCCATTCCGTTTCCAAGGCTTTTCCATCCTTAACAGCAAGACTCCAATGTTCTACTCCTGGCGTGTGCCTATTCTCCTTGCTGCCACCCATCACATGGAGCCTACCCCTCCAAAGCTGGGTTGCTGGTGCGTATCTGAGTTAAGCAAAATGCATGAGAATAAGCAGCATAACACGATTTCAATGTATACTCCTCAAATTTGCAGGCATTTGGGCACAATCAAGAGAATATTTTTGGTTCTGAATCTCACGTATCTAAGTTATTTTGACACAGACGCATACCTTGGAACTGGCAAAGGTGGCATGTCTCTCCATTGCTTTGTCTCAGTATCAAGAACAAACGTATGAGCAGTAGGCCCTCTGCATTGTGGGCCATATTGTCCAGTCACAACATATATGTATCTCCCATCCGTTACCATTCCCAAGTGCGAATGTGCCATCTCTTTGGGCATGTCAAATCTCCCTCCCCATGTATTATCAGTAAAATTATAAATATCGACATGTGAATGTACCTACTCCACATGAAAATTGTCAAATGCAGACATCAGTATTCAATAATAAGTCAATACTACTATAACGCAACAGTGATTTCTTACACTCTCAAGGGAAGCATCAGCCGGCTAAAATCACTCAACAGAGCAAACAAACTCCAAAAGATTCTTCTGAATATCAAGAAAATTTAAGGAAAAGGGAACAAGATAGCAGCAAACAAACAGCATATTTAACTTTGACTAACTGCAAAAGCAGCTGCACTTCAAGGCTTGTCATTGCTGTTTTATGCTGTTCAATTATTATTGCTTTGCCTGAACTTCTAACAAGCACAAAGTTATATAAAAGAAAGGCGTTCTGGGGAGGAGATCCCAATTATAGAAACAAAAGGTTCAGTACCAGAACAAAGAGCATATCTGAATGCTCGTTAACCTCTGCCAGATTACATCTCCAAAGGACCAAGTACGGCATGAAAATGTCTATACCCACCAAATTTCGTAAGGCCAATGGTAGCCCCATTGAAACCCTTCGCCAGCTAACATCAATTGCAGCAAACACTAGAGGAACTATAGACAACCATACTATATTTCACTCTTTCACTACACTGCTTTCAAGTTCTAATGTATATAGTGGGTTCCCGAGTTCATCTTAGTGGATCCCTATAACCAAACGGATATGAATCACAAGGAGTTCCTCAACTATAAGCAGATCAGAACTAAGAGAACGAACATAAAGAAAAAGGAAGAACAGGGTCCTCACATAATCTATGGTACCGTATCCAGCAAAGACAAAAAGAAGATTCTTAATCTGGATAGCAGCTCCATCAAGACGCGGCACCGGGGAAGGAGCCATCTTCTTCCAATCTAGCAGCGGTGCAGGCAAATCGGCAAATGTTGCTGACAGAAATCTCTCCGGCACATTGGCGTACTTCTTCTTGTCCTTCTCACTTCCTTTCTCCTTACCACTCCCATCTTTCTCAGCTCCCTGCTTAACATCAGGGTTGCCCTCTGATTTCACGGATGCGTCGCCGTTGGTCCTGGGAATGATTCTACTGGTTAAGGAGATACCGGCGTCAGAGAAATTTGAAGCCCCGAAACGCGGGGACGATGCCCAGAGATAATCGGCGATTAAGCCGAAACCTAGCAGTGCCACGCAGATCACGGCCAATCTCGGCGGTTTCTGCTTAGATCCTGGTAGCCGTACCATCTCATCTCAGTAGCTTTACTCCGCTCTCAGTAGTGGATGCTCGCCAGATCACAACTAGAGGGTAATTGCGACGGAGACGAATCTGCAGCTGAATCAGTTGATGTCGCCAAGCTTTCCACCAATAAAGAAAGTGTTCGTGAATCGAAGAAAGGTTCCTTACAGTATTTGCCTTCTCTTCGTTTTTTTCCTTTCCCTCTTGTCCTGCTGTTCTTGCTCATACACACCACCGACAGGAAGACGCTGACAGGGAAGACCGTCAAACCTTGATGACCATTTTGTAATCAAGTTTGGGCAAAATTACATTTACATGCCCTAAATTTTCATAAATTTATGATACCATGGTAAAAAATTTAACAGACAAATTTACTTGTTGTCTAACAATTCGTTAAATTTAACGGACACATTATAGCAGTTTTATATCCATGATAAATAATGACTACTTGAAGTTATTTAAGAAAAGGGCTTAAGAATCTAAAAACGAATCTCATGTTGCCATATAGAAAAATTCTTTCACTTTGAAAATTCTACATCATCCAAAAAATTTAGCATTTAAAAATGGTCAACATGGGACTCAAATAGCAAAGTATTGAAATTGTTTTGACGTGCTCTCGAGTTCGATTTTCACACCTATTATTTTGAGTAACATTTCTTGATGGCTACTAACATGATCATAAAAATTCAAAATAGATCTTTCACATATATAGAATATTCATAAAGTCGATGGAAGTTTGTAAACTAATGTACATGAATAATAATGAAATTTGAAAATAAGTGAAATTGAAGTGTTTTTAAAGAATCATATTTATTGGTGTAATTTCACAGCTGAATTGTATCAAGGATCTTACCTAGACCTAAAGTTAACCGAAACAGAATTCCGCTGGACGAACAGGGAATGATGAAATTGTACACAAATACTAGTGTGCTTCGATTATTAATGACTCTAAAGGAGTTTGGTGATGAAAGTGGAATTTGCCAAGTGAACTTATTTGGGTTTGTTTTGCTCTCCCGCTCCCTGCTCGGTGCCTTCTGCTGCGAACTCGGTTCTCTCCCCCCTTCCCAAAGCTCTTCTTTATGCATTCCTTGAGTTCGACGACGATATTGCAGTAAGTGTTCTTCTCTTCTCTTCGTTTTTCCTTTTGTCTTCTTTTCCTTATACACATACTAACTGACGCCGGCTGTCTGTGTTTCTCACCTGGGTTTCTGCCCTATTCTGCTTTCTGGGTATATGAAGACGTGCGAATCACCCATCTGCTCAATGCTTCTCTCTGACATTTTCGGTGAAAAGAATGCTTCTTTTCTTTTTTACATACTGTTAATCCTTAATTCTGCTCCATATAAGTGAACTGCGACCTTGGTGTGTGTGTGTGTCTGTTTTTTTTTTTTTGGGTAGAAAACCTTGGTGTGTTTGATTGTCTGAATTATGTGGAAAAAGGGTTTCCTTGGGTTTTTGATGGGATCCTCACTTCCATTAACTTTTTCCCTCCAGGAGCAGGCGGCTTTTATGGGATCCCAGGCGTCAGATGATAGACCAGTTACGCTTCTGGACAGTGTGTAACTGTTAGTTAGTTAGTTAGTTGCTCTCAATGAAGTTGGTGAGCATCTCCTCCGGGTTTATGCATCTGCTGAAACTAAATTGAACTTGCTTCATGTTAATTTTGAGCTCTCTCTGTGCGCAGACGTGCTTGAGCAGCGGTAGCGGCTACCAGTTCCCTCCTTGTCACATCCTAGAAGATGTGTGTGGGTTTAGGATATTGCTGGACTGCCCACTTGACCTTTCTGCTCTCTCAGTCTTTTCCCCAGTTCCTCCTGATAATGACTTTGTATCGGATGGAAAAGCCTCTTATAATTCAGCCCGTGATTGTTTCGCCAAGGAACAGGAGATTCAGAAGAGGCAGAAAATTGAAACACCACTTCATGCGAAAGACTTAATTCATGATGAACTTTGGTACAAAACAGTAAAGAATTTGCACCTCTGGGACCCTTCTTCGATTGATGTTGTGCTGATATCAAGTGTCATGGGAATGCTTGGATTACCATTTCTTACTCGCGCTGAAGGTTTCTCGGCGAAGGTACCCAAGTTAAAATAGGGGATTTTTTATTTTCTTCTGATCTAAGGTAGGATTTTTCATTTCTTTGACCTCAGGTAGAATTTTTCTTATGATCATATGTTTATATGTTTGTGGAGATCAGATTTATGTGACTGATGCAGCAGCAAGGCTGGCGCGGCTTATGATGGAGGATCTTATCGCTATGAATATGGAATATCAGTACTTTTATGGTCCCAGGGAGTCTGGTGGTCCTCATTGGATGAGGTGGGAAGAGCTTGAGTTGCTCCGGCCTGAATTGAAGAAGGTAGTGGTTGGCAAGGATGGGACTGAGCTGGGTGGGTGGTTGCCACTTTACAGGTGATTCTTTCTCCAGTTGCCAGAACTGATGGCCTTTTCTGTTGGACTTTGATTCTGAATCTTTGCATCCATTCTAAAGTTTGGGGGAAATGTATATTAGATGCTAGCATTAACAGATAACACACTGAAAACACTTGATGATATATGGATAGTTAGAGCTCTATTGTGCTGCTCATATATTGATGTGGCTAATTGAGGTCTCATATCCTTCACTCATTTGAGACAAAGGAAACAAGTGACGGAAGTGTTTTTTGGTTAGTACTTAGTAGCAGCATCTGATAAACATGGTTTGTTGCTTTAATTGACCTTTTAACTCTATGTAGCATTATGAAACGTCTAATAATTTTGCTTAATGATGCTGGGCAGTTCAGCAGATGTGATGGATTGTATGCGGAAGGTCCAAACACTTAAATATGCAGAAACAGCATGTTACAACGGAACCTTGGTCTTACAACCATTCAGCTCAGGTTCAGAGATAGGATCTTGTAATTGGACAATTGATGGTCCCAAAAGAAACATCACCTGGCTTTCCTGCTCAATATTTGCTTCTGCACATGCGATGAACTTTGATTATGGTGCATTGAGGGGACGAGATCTGGTGTTATATTCAGATAAGCAGTTCCTGCCTTTAATGGACGAAGTTCAAAGCAATGATGCTTCTTCAACCATTCCATCTAATGATTTATCAAGTCTAAGGTGGGATCACCTTGCTTAACTATGATTGAATAGGTTATAATATTTTCAGTTTTCTTGCAATGTCAATCTTATAATAGTAGAGTTTTCTTGATCAAATTCAGACTCTTAAATCAGCTCCCTTGGACCTGCTGCTTTTTAGTAGGTGCTGCAGTGCTGATAAAGATGATTGGAAAAAATTGACTGAGAGCTTACTGAGTACTGACGAGATTTTAGAAAAAGAGAAAATGGATTTTATTTGCTCATGCATTCTCCAGTCTGTTCAAGCTGGTGGTTCAGTCGTTATACCTTGCAATCGCCTTGGAATTCTTCTGCAGCTATTGGAAATGATACCGGTCCTCCTTGAGTCGTTGGCAGCAGATGTAAGTTGATTTTTTTCCTGTGTATATTCCTTGAAATTGTTACTAGTCAGAGATAAGGCCTGAACTTGATTTGGCTTATAGAAATATTGGAATTCTAGTCATCTACTCGGTAATGAAAATTGGTTCTGTCCACTTTCGGATATCATGGATGACAGGAAATATAGAGGAGACGAAAATTTCCCTTTATACGTTGCTGTGCTTTTGAAGTCTGTGGTTGTTGACCTTGTTGGCTTAATACTTTTGAATGAGTTCAATGTCTTTATCTAGAGAGCAAACTATTCTGTTCCACCTTCGATTATATGTTTCTCTTACTAATGATGTAAGGTTCTTTTAATATTGTCACAGATTTTGATCCTACTAACGTCATAATCTAGGTTCCAATTTACGTTATATCTTCGATGGCTGCTGAACTTTTAGCATTCACTAACGTCATACCAGAATGGGCGAGTAAGCCACGACAAGAAAAGGCATACCTCTTTGGACTTTCTATTCCTTCGTCGAAAGTTTAACTTCACTTCGAGGTCTCAAAGGTTTCCTCTTCCTTTTGGATGTTCTTGCAGATGTTTTCTGGTGAGCCAATGTTCTCCCATGTCGACTTTGTGAATAAAAGGAAGCTTCATGTATTTTCAGCTATTCACTCACCTGAACTACTGTAAGATGTTTTTCGTCTTTCTTATGTTTAGCTCAAGCGTTACATTGACTTGTTTAAATATGTTAATGTCATGCTTCTCTGTTTGACAAGTTTTTTAGATATTTTTTCTACACTCCTCTCTGGATTTGTCACTCCCTAAAAGCTTTCATTGAATGGATATAGTGGGCTATTGTTTTAAGTTACAAATCTATGGTCCTTGTTTGTATCAGCCCCTATGCATCTTATCCTGAAAATACACTCTAAACCATTCATAAACGCATTATGCTCAAACTAACATTGCCTTCAGAACCACTTGGCAGGAACCCTGCATCATATTTGCTCCACATTGGAGTTTAAGACTTGGTCCTGTTGTTCATTTGCTTCGGCGTTGGAGTGGTGATGAGAACTCTCTACTCATCTTGGAGGTGATTTTGCTTTATGATTAATAGTTTATTGAGTGAAGTTATCCTTCAAAATGCTGAAGCACCTTAGAAGGGGACAACATGAAACCATCTTCATCGAATGTGGAATTGTTTGGAAACATATTGGTTGGTGATATATAGTATTATTTTGCAGGATGGGGTTGATCCTGATATTGCCCTTCTCCCTTTCAAACCGCTGGAAATGAAGGTTCTTCAGTGCTCATTTCTTCCAGAGAGAAGGTAAGCAACACAGTTTTTAGAGAGCACTGTACATGCCCATGTTTATATGCAATCTAAAACCTGAGTAGTGAACATGGATGTTCTGCAGAATCATTTCTTGCTCTCATAATCTTGATTACCATTCTCATACTGTGATTAATTTCTGAAATCTATTATCTAGAGTTCAGTAGACTTCTGGAGCAAGCACTTGGAAATGCTTAAAATAATGCTAAAAAGTTGCTCAAATGAACTTGTTCGGAAATTGAAACTCTTCCTTCCTTCGCTGTTATACGTTTTTTGTGGAACATAATCGACAGTTCTTGCTAAAAAAGGGTTTGTCCCGCTTGGTCGTCTTCCAAATGTGCTATATAAAGCTCTGACCTATTATATTTTGGGTACTGACAATGTTGTAGGCTACCAAAAGTTGACTGTATGCTGAAGTTACTGCAGCCAAAGATTTTGGTGGTAATGCATTTGCTCTCTCTTGTCAGTATCTGCATTTTCTTAAACCCTCTCTGTAGAAAGTGTTGAACTTTGATTTTCTTTTGCATTCAAACACAGCTCCCTGACGATTTGAAGGAGAAACTGGATTTCTCAAATCCCAGTTTGGACTCATTCTCGGTCCTCTACTACACAGAAGGCGAAACATTATCTTTACCAAGCTCCCCTGAAGGAACCCTGGACCTGGAAATTGCATCTGTTTTGGCCGAGAGATTTGCTTGGCAAAACTTGGGAAGGCAGGATGTAATGTACACACGATTGGAAGGAGAGCTAGTTATGGAGCAAGGCAAATTTCGGTTATTACCTGGAAATCACAAGTGCAGATTCACACCCATCAAAAAACAAGGAAATGAAATCGGATGCAGGTTAGTCCCAGACAACACAAGGCTCTCGAACCATTTTCGTCCAAAGGTCATTCATGGATCCAAAGAATGAATTTGGCCACTGTGCATACAGACCTTGATGCAAGCACTGCAACCATGCTAATCTTAATTGACATGGAACAAAATATTGGAGCAAATGTAATAGTGATAGCAAGTTCCAACTGTCATCCGTAGGCTTCTATATTATACTCGACTTTGTCAAAATTTCCAGCCTACCAAACGTGATGGAGTTGATATTGGCTGGCAAGATGCTTTTCCAGAAACTCTTGTTTTCTTTATTTCATTTGTTGACTACTGAGTGACAGACAGAGACAGAGAGATATATACAATATAGATAGAGAGGTATATAGCTCACAGATGGTCTTTCTTTTTCCTTCTTTCTATTTAACATAACCGGGCAACTCTGCTCAAACATTCCTACAATATAATCATCAACATCCACCCCACATAACCAAAAGCCTTCTTCGATCCCTAGTTGAAAAAATGGAAACCAGATTAAACACAAAAAAACACCAAGACCAAACTATACACGAGTAAAACTTCTCAGGGATAAAAACAAAAAATTACAAAAAAGGAAACACCACCACCTAATAATCATTACAATCATCATCACCACTCATAGGTACAGCAGCATCATCACCACCAGCAATGCTGCATGTTTGTTGCCTGCCTGCCTGCCTTGCAGCTGCCGCACCACCACCACCAATATTAATGGAAGAAATATGCAGGAAAAACAAAAGGAGAAGAAAAGGCCTGCCATTGAGTCTGTCTACCAACCAACAAATTATTACACAGGTATGACATCATTCCTGGAGGTGTCTTCACATCTCAACACAATGCCCTCGAGACTAGCAGGACAAATGCACTTTCCCCACTGGCAACCTGTCGTGAAGGGTTCAGGAGGTGGTAAGATCATAAGCACATTGTCATTCCTTTGAACAACTCCCATTACACTCACTGTGCTTCCTTCTTTGATGTATCTACACAAATAGAAAAATAGATCAAACCATCAAAACATATCAGTCGATCTAATCGAACCATCCAAACAATGCTAGTAATGCCAATAACCCCAAGGCAGAAGAGAACAAATACTTACCCTTCTTTTAACCGCATCATCCGATCGTCGCTCGATAAATTCCTCTCGGCCAACCATCTTGAAAACTCGGGAGACAAATCCTCAGAACCCGCATTTATGTCAATGACAAGAGAGTCATCTACATAGGGTGTCACTCTTGCTCCAAACCCTGTTTTAACCAACGCTCTTAATCCCGACTGGAAGTCAGAGATGTAGAAGTCTACAGCACGCCTCTGCCAGCACAGATTATCAAACTTTTAGTGAGATATGTACCACAAGGTTTATTAAAAATGGCATGCATAATGGAACATTTAGGAAAATAACCAAAAGACAGATACAAGATGTGCACATGATTTAACCTTATGTATTAATCACTGTTGCTCCTACCCTGAGCTGAATATAAATTCCCCAAGTAAAAAACATTATTTAAAAAATGACAAATCTCTACTGTTCGGCAAGAACAAAACCTATGACGAGTACTAGTTGTCTCCTCATACATCAGCAGAAGTGCACTTGCACATGAATATTATTGGCAAGAAGATGCATGAATTGGAAGTATCAAGTTACTCACTTCAAGAGACCTGAGCCCCCAAGTGAAACGGCGATGTTTAGCATTGGCAGCTTTCGAATCCCATCCTCGATACTCGTACAAACTGGTTGATGTATACACACATCTAGGAACCCTTTGGAACGAGGACTCAAGAGGAACATTGCCACAGGTAACCACCTTCAAACAGTAACCAAGTCAGAGAACATTCTGGGCCTAGTTAGAATTGTATTTTCACTTCAGAAGCATTGCAACCATACGCATGGAAACCAAAGTAAGAATAGGTAAAGCTGAAGCTATTAAAACGCATAGGAGATGCAAGTCGAGTTTGTTAACGGGCTATAGAACAACTTGAGGAGAGGCAAGTATACATACCCCAGAAATCTTCACAAATTGTCCATTTTTGGCATTTCGTAGCTCAGCATCTGGATACTGGGCAATGTAGCCCATGATAGCCTTCCTCCCAAAACAATTATTCCATATGAACAATGCAGCAACAGCACCGAAAAGAACCACAACAACGACGAGAAGTATGGGATTATGAACTGCTCCAAGGATAAACCCACCAGCAATGAAACCCATTACAAAGAGTAGAATCAGCGACCAAAATATTGGTTTGGGGAAGTTCTTTTTGAAGGAAAACTCATCATCTTGGCTGAGAATAGTGACGGCCTGATTGTGAACACCGGATGGAATCTTGATCGATCCCATAGATTCCAGAGGACCAGATACCTTACGAGGAGCACCAGAGGAATTTAGTGGTCCTGAAGAAATAGGCCCAGATGTGATGAGGCCAGTTGCAGGAAGAACAGGAGGAATAGGGCCAGAGTTCTGTCGACCGGAAGGTGTCACTCCACCAGATTGAGGACCAGATGACTTCTTTATAGGTTCACCATGTTTGTTAAGGGGTCCAGAATTTGATTTCTTTAGAGAAGCTGAGCCAGACATGGCGCCAGAAGACGCAGCACCTGATGTAGTGTAGGCTGCCCGAGCAGCTGCATTTGGCATAATTGGTCCTGAATGTGAAGCAGCGCCTCCAAACGATCCCGTCCTCGAAGGTGCCCCAGTTATTGGTCCAGACTTCCTAGACTTTGAGCCATCCACAGGTATATCAAACATCTTCCCTAATTCTCCTGACTTCTTGATATCACCCCCGGTATATGGCATTGCCACAGAACTCATAGTTGGACCTCTTTCCTTCGGCTGCTCAGGCCGACCTGATACGTAGAGCCCATTGCTGAGCTGATGAGATGGGAAACGGGAACCCATCTATATAGCTTTCCTTAGAGACACCACCCAGAATTAATTACAAGACAACTGCAGCTACCCCCTTTGATGCAATGATCAAAGAACTCCTAAGAACAAAAAGCAATCACTATCACGTTAATAAGTTTTCCTACACTCATAGCACGATAGTAGATATATGGCTTCTCTTCAAAGCATTAGGTATCTCATGGATATTAATTGAAGGCAAAATCGTTCCACAAAAGGCATAACGGCCATCCCAATTTTGAAGGGAGTTTATTGCATGAAAAAGAAGCCAAGTAAGACAACAAGATGCGCATGAGTGTCAGTAGCTTCCTCAAAATCGCTACACACCAAAGTAATTTAAATATGGCTACGAAAGCATTAAATAAGGTGAGTAATAAGAGCCATTCAGAGTCCACATTGTGAGCAGCAGAATGAAATCATCCACAAAATGATCGTTATGTACCACGACAAATGTATGTGATCATGCGGGCAACAAAATCTATGCTAAAAAACAACTCACATTCAAAGCCAAGAAATAAAAAAGATGAGATGTAGTGTCCAAAACCAAATTCAGCAGCATGGGGCATATAATGCTTGAAATGACAACAAAATTACCACAGGAAACAAATAAAGAACAAGACACCTCATTATTACCCATGATGGTTATACACAGGTCATGTTGAGCTCAAATACCAGCTAAGTTTGACACATAAAAACCGTTGCTAAATCATCTGCAATCCACCCCCATTTCAAGAAATAATAACAACCCAGAACAGTGTGATAAATGGGCCTACTCTCTGTCAACTCTCCACTTCTTCATTCGGAAGGCAAGCAAGAACTAACAGATGGGCACTCCAACAAGGGGAAACAGGATTGTCACTTACGATTCAGTGGTTTCCTCATAGAAATGACTGCATACTATAAGACACAAATGAACACCCAGAATTCCCTTCAGCAAAGGAAGTCAACCACACACTTCAAGCAGATTCCCTAGTCCTATATCCCAATTAAAGAGGCCAAACACGAGAACCCAGCATTTGACTATCCAAGTTTCAACAAATCAAACTACAGAATCAAGATCCGTTGAGTTAGCTAACCGAGCTCCAATAGCTAAACACCATACCTTGAATGTTCTTATAATCACAGCATTCTAGCAATTTATTCACAACTCAGAGCGGCAGGCAGTTCATCAAAACCTCGGAGCAGATAAAGTGACAGAGCTGATGGTTGCATCCCAAGTAAGAATCAGCTAGAAATAGCAGTATTTAGACATACCCATTACCCATAGATTCAAATTGAACTTGTCCCATCTGAGAGAAGTGAACCAACCCATATCAACATTATGCACAACTAAACAAGATCTAGAGCAAATTAGGAATTAGAATTTCCAAGATCTCATCCAATAGTGGAGCTTAGAAGCGTGCCAGAGGAACAGAAACAAGAAAAAGATCCAGCGCACTTAGAGCGACCAAAATGAGCATCCAAACCCTTAACCATTAGTTTGAGATTGCGCCGGAAACCGAGCACAAGGATTTTGGGCCAAGGGAACCAAAAGAGAGAAAACTTCAGAAAACGAGACAGACCCAGGTCGCCATTTAGGGTACACACAAGTAAATGGGAGAGATCTAAGCAGAGAAGCACAGTTTGGACCCAAAAATATGACGACCGCCATTAAAACAGAGTGTAGGCACAAAAAGAAAGTGAGAAGAAGAAGAAGAAGAGTGAAAGAGAAAACAAGAATTAAGTACATACCTCAAGAAGTAGAAGACGAAAACGAAGAAGACGAATAGAGTGAAGAGGGAGCAAAGGAAGAAATCTGAGGAAGATTAGGGGACAACAGCAACACCAATAACAATAACATGGGTGTGGTGAATCAAAAGGACAAGACTTTGTTACTAGCAGCAGTACTTTCTCTCTCTTCCTCCCCCTCTCGCTCTCTCTCTCTCTGGGCAAATATCTCACACACACTCTCACACTGTCCCCTTCTCTCTCCCCCCCAATATCTGTCTCTCTCAAAATGAACCGGTTACTGTCTCTCTCTCTCTTTCTCTCCCTCGCCCTCTGTTTCTCTCACTAAAGTAGGAGGACTATCTTTCTCCCTCTAAAGTTCCCCTTTTTTTCCTTCCATTTGTGCTTCTCTTTCTATCTTCCGTGTATTTTTTTTTTTTTTGGCTGGTGGGTTCGTGGGAGTGTCACTTGAGAGAGCCGCAACAGCTGGTGAGTTGTCTCGTCCAGCAAACCAATTATTTTCCGTTTCCATTACTCATTTTAATGGCGGAAACCTAATCTTGGCGAAGCTTATGGTGCGTAACTCCTAATTTTGTAATTTAAGCCTGATTTGGTAATGTGAATCATTAATCTATCAAAGGGCTCATATGAGAAGAGGTAAAGGTTTTAACTTTTTTATACAAAATAAATCTACAAATAAATTTTAGCATTCATAAATACCTTGTAAATTTATAAGAACAAATAAGATGAGTATATAACAAGGATTAAAATACTATACCGTACCGGCGGTTCGACCTGAAAAATCTTCTACCGTCAGCAAAACCGGTAGGCGGTATTTAGCGGTTGAACCATGGTTAAACCACGGTTTTAGCATAAAATACCCTACCGTTAACTTTTCCGGTACAACCTCGAGTACGGTATTTCAATCCTTGGTATATAATCCTATTAGTGGCCACTAAACAAATAAAAACATAATCACTTTCCAAGTTCGAACCTGAAAGTTAAATATGATCAATGAAAACGTAGAATTAGAAGAATAAATTGTAAATATTTTTTTTATTGTGTTACTAAACGCAATTTGGTGGCACTTTTACTACTTCAATGTTAATTCTCAATTTCTCCGTATTTTTTTTAGTTCCAACTTAAACTTCAATGTATTTTGATAAATAATCAGCCAAGTAGCCCTTAGCGTGAACTTTTAGAAAAAAATTGGATCACTTGGGGAAAAAATTTCCGATGTGTGGGTTTCAGGGATTTTGAGTTTTTGACAAACATAGGATTTCAGGCAAATCCTTCTTGGGTGGATTTGTGGGGAAAATTCCTAAAGCTAAGCCGAATTTGGACCTGGTTGCACCACACCATTTGAGTGCTAACTAAACTGGGCCTTGGACCAAACTCATTCCTCAAATCCTAACAGTGGGCCAAAAATTAACGGATCCAGAAAAAATGTCCCTTTATTTTGACAATGTAGCTGATAACAGGCCCCGTGGGGATTGGATTGGAGAAGTGAAGAAAAAAAAAAACAGAAGGGCCGGCTATCTCGTTATTCTGATAAGGATGGGCTTAAGTCTTAGGCCCTTTTGATGAAGAAAAAGGAATAACTGGGCCTGAACATAAGGAAAGAAGTTGAAAAAAGGCCCAGCACTGTACCTGGTCTTCGAAATTACGGGAAGGCTCCCCCCAGGAATCATGGCCGTACCACGTAAACTCGTTCAACGCGTATTAAAAAGTAGACTACCCCAACATATTTTTAACCTTCTCCCCACAAAGATAATCATAGAAGAAAGAAGAAGAGAGGAACAAAGTCGTACTACAACGACACGTGGCCATGTCCAACAAAGCCCAGCACTGTACGTGTCATCACGCCAGGCTAACACGTAACTCTGGCTACCAGTCGTTATCCCTTGAAGTTGAACTCTTTTCATTCCCTTATAAAAAGGATGGCCTTCCTTTCCAACCCATCCAACAACTCTGGCAATCGGACACGAGAAGCAAGTAGTTACACACATGAAGAGAATGTCGATCAAGTCGAGTCTTCTGATTCTGCTATGCTGCCTTGCTCTGTTTTTCATAGCAAGATCGGTCGACGGAGAAGATGTCAAGTCAAATGTGAAGAGTCCGGCCGGTGGCGGTGAAGATGGGGATGGTAGTTCTGCACCAGCAAGCGGTTACTTGTACAGAATCAAGGCTGCCGCCGGCTGGGCTCAGTCCTACTTCGTTCCTCCCGGCCTTAACTTGTAAGTGCTATTTACTCCTGTCGTGTGTTTAGAGAGTTAGATTTCAAGTTTGTTATCACTGAATGACCTTTTCGCTATTCATTTGGACAGTTTCACAGGCGGTGCTACGAAGAAAGCAGCGGACAAGATCATCGACGGCGTGGAAGAAGGCGGTGGCGGAGGAAGTGGAGAGCGGGTGAAAGAGGCGGTGGCGAGGAGTATAGAGAAAGGCAAAGAAACAATGGAGAACACAGCGAAATCGGCAGCCAGAATGGCGACCAAGACCGCGCACGAAGCAAAGGAGAAGGTCAAGAGAACCATATCGGACGCCAAGACAGCAGAAGTAAAAGTCAGTGATTACGAGGACGACGACGAGCTCTGATTAGGTTCCATTAAGGGTGAAAGATAAAGCGTATGTATAATGTAAACGGATTTTACACGGGCGTGATGAGGTTCTTGATTAGGTCTCCAACTAGATAGCATATACCCGATGTTGCCATCCATATGCAGAAGAAGTAAAGGACTGTTGCAGCGTAGGCTTTAGGCTGCTGCTGCTGCTTTTGAGTGTGAGCCTTTGCAATTGCAAGCAGAATGATGCAGACGAGAGACGTGCTTCCTACTGCTGCCAGCTTCTCGTCTTTGTTGCCGTTGCTGCTTATTTTGCTCTGAAACGTGAACCCGTAGGTGATTGTTGGGAGTAACCCACACACCAGATATGATAATATGGCTGCCATGAAATGGATTCCAAAGTTTTCTCTCTTGCCCAGAGTTGTTTGGTAGCGGTCCTCTGCTTCAACGTCATTATTATCTGAAGTAGTAGCTTTGGAGCGATCCTGTTTTAGATCCAGCAGCTGCAAGAGGGGATTGGGGGAGAACAGAGAACTGTTAGAAGGCTAGTAGTTTCGTATGCGGGTGTCATGTGTGCTGGATTATGGTGAAAATGAAACCAAGTACTATAAATTGAAACAATTGACGATGAAACTTGCATTATTGGTAATGATGACGAGTCCGCCAATTACGTTCGCCAGCCCCATAACTAAAACGTTCACTGCAACAGAAAAGGGTGGAAATGGTGGAGATCATGTTAGGTTTAGGACCGTTATGGTTTCCTGAATCTTTGTTCAAGCGTGGATCAGTTACAATGAGACATGAGTACTTACAAGTTGGAGCACCGGCTCCAGCAGCAGAAGATACAACGCCAAGGCTCGTAATTGATTCGATCAAGCCTCCAAACACTACACACTTCAAAATCTCCCATCCATAGCCCTCTCCACCTCCCCCGCCTCTCGGTTTAGCCGTAGCCCTCTGGCTGCCAAGCTGTGGGCGACTACTTGCTCGTGCTGGAACATAAGCAATTTGTACAAAGTCAAGTAAAGCCAATACGGATTCAGATATAGTGGTTGACTAGTGAAGAGATGTAGTAGCTAATAAGTAACTCAGGTTATGACAGTCCATTTGACTGGAAAACAGAAGCAATTGAGTTGCAACGAACTGGTAAACAAGTCAAGGTGCCTGCTTGAGTAAAATCTACGAGCAGGGGATAGTTTCACTACCTTCGGGAATGAAAAATCTGAAGCAGGATAAGCATCTGAAAACATCCTGCTGACCATCAGTGCCGTCGATTGCTGCAGGATTGGAACCATTGTATGCAGAAATGTCGATATATTGAACCGGATCATCGGCCGGATGAGTGGGTTCAGCATCGAGCATAGGGTGAAATGGTGCTTTGGAAGTGTTCTCCTCCAGCTTTGCATACCCATTTGAGGTATACTGCTCGTTTTCCTCCAGAACTGCATTCCCTTTTGGAGTAGTGAAGTGCTTGTTTTCCTCCATTATGACATGCCCGTTTGGAGTATTCTGTTTTCTTATATTCAGGACAACCCGTTGTGTGATACAGGAACTACAGTCAGGGCAATACAGATCATGAGTATCTTGCTTCTCTAACAGCATTTCAACGTCTGATTCTGCAACTCCCTTTCTTCTTTCCACCGAGCCATTCAAAGATGTTAGACTTGAAGCAGAGAGCCTTCCATTTTCCAGAACGCCCTCAGATTGTTGCCTCAAGCCGTTAACTGAAAACCCATTCTTTTCAGCAGCTCCATTGATGGATTCAGCACCTGCAGTGTGCAATGTAAACCACATCAGAATTGTGGATCCCTGCGTCGGCTTGCCAAATAGCAGCTGCATCCCACTAGGTCTGTGACTCTTGCTGTAGACTCAACGTAACTGCTTTGTACAAGGACTGAACTATCAGCACCATAAACATGGCGCCACTTTATGGATATAAGCATTCATAGTGCTACTCATGAACAAAAAAGAAAAGGATGCCTAGATTAAAGACCTTTGATTTCAGGTGAGAAACGTGGAGCCCCATGGTCAACCGACAAGCTTTGGGTGGAGGAGTCGGAATTGCAATGGCGGCATCGCCACTTTGGATGGCTACCAAGCCCACCAGAACGCGAACTTCCAACGAAGTAGGTCCAGTTGCAGTGATGGCATTTCCATTTACCTAGTATTCAAAAGCATGTAAAGCAATTGGAAGAAGAAACATATAGAAATTTAACAAGGAAATCAGAGGAAACATAGAAGATGCCAAGATGGACATAATTAGATTAGGGTTTGTTTTACCATGGAGTTCATCCAAGTAAACGCTACAGTTCAACGGATCTGCCACACCTCCGTCAACGTCAACGCCACCGCCACCGCTGCTGCTTCCTTCCCAAATTGGATTGTGAGCAGAGTCGGTCCCGGGGAAGGTTAGAGTAACAGACTGCCCGCCGTTGACGCGGAATCCGCTTCCGTTCCGATAGCGCGGAACCTTAGACAGCAATCTCCGCCGCAGGAGCTTCATCACGGTCGCCTCCTCCTGTTCTTCGTAATCAACCTCGGTCGTCGCCGCCGCAGCAGCAAGATCGGCGGCCATCGGAAAACTTGTGCTCGACTTCTGTCACGCTCTGGACCGGTGAAGCTCTCGGCAGGGAAGAAGAAGAGAAGAAAGGGAAAGTAGCAGAGAAGAGAGAGAGAGAGAGAGAGAGAAGTGAGGGAGGGAAAAGTGGTTGTTGTATTCAGATAGCCGTTGTAGGTTGTTACAGCCTGTCTTATATACACTTTGCCATATTTCCCTTTTGGTCCCTACATTTCTGTTGCTTTTCTATCTACCTCCAAACTACTTCTGTTTCTTTACATTTCAGTCCGCGTGTTACAACTCCCTTCTCCTTCAGAAATGACTTGTCCTCAAGTCTGGAAATCTGGAAATCTTCGCTTGAGCTCGTCCAAAAATTCCCATGTAGCATCTTCTTCTGCTTGATGTGTCCATTGTATCAGCACTTGCGTAGCTGCTGCATTACTTCTAGCCACCACTCTCCTAGCCAAGATCAGCTCTGGCTCCACCTTCAATCCGCCATTATCATCAATCTCTGGCAAAGCTGGTTGTGTATTATATTGTCGACCCCGAGCTCGTTTCAGCAATGATACATGGAAGACTGGGTGTATAACAGACCCCGGCGGCAATTTCAATCTATAGGCCACACTACCAATCTTCTTCTCGATCTCAAAAGGTCCATAGAACTTAGGAGAGAGCTTCTGATTCAACCTGGTCACCACAGAAGACTGCCTATAAGGCCTGAGTTTCAAGTACACCCTCTCCCCCTCCTGAAATGCCCGCTCAGTCCTGTGAGCATCCGCCATTTGCTTCTGGCGATTCTGAGCTTTGGCCAGATTAGCACGCAGCACACCAATCAGACGATGTTGCTGCTGAAGTCGATCAGACACTGCTGCTACAGCAGTTGAAAGAGGGTTGGTAATGGAAAACTGGGAAGGAGCATAACCATAAAGGGCCTCAAAAGGGGTACCCTGTAAGCTCGAATGGTAGTTGGTGTTATACCACCATTCAGCCATGGTTAACCAGCTAGCCCACTGCTGGGGATGATGATGAACCATCCCTCTCAGATACTCTTCCAAACATCGATTGACCCTTTCAGTCTGGCCATCTGACTGGGGGTGATAAGCAGTAGAATAGTGAAGCTTGACCCCTTGCAACTGAAAAAGGGTAGACCAAAAGGTGCTGGTGAACAAGGAATCCCTGTCAGATACAATAGTCTGAGGCAATCCATGCAATTTGAAAATTCCATCGAAGAAGACCTGTGCAACTGAACTGGCAGTGTAAGGTTTGGCCAAGCTGAAGAAATGGCTATATTTGGAAAACCTATCCACCACCACATACACTGCTTCCTTGCCATGAGACTTAGGTAATCCCTCAATAAAGTCCATGGAAACGTGTTTCCAGGCCTGATCAGGAATAGGCAGAGGTTGCAGCAGTCCAGGGTAAGGTACATTCTCAGTCTTACACCTCTGACATATGTCACAAGCCTGTACATACTCTCTTAAATCCTTCTTAAGACCAGGCCACCAGAAGTAACGTTTTAACCTTTGGTAGTTGGCTTGGAGACCAGAATGGCCCCCAACAGGAGAGTCATGGAACAATTGCATCAACTGGGACCTCATGTCACCCTTAGAACCCACATACAAAGAAGCCTTGTGGTATAGCAACCCCTGTTTCACAGAATAAAGCTTTGGCCCTACCATAGGAACAGCAGCCTCCATCATCAACTCTTGCACCACTGGATCACCCTCATATGTACTGTCAATCTCAGCTAACCAAGCAGGCAAAGTAGCTGAAATAGCCTGGCAAGAGGCTGAATTAGCCAACCTAGGATGTCTGGACAGGGCATCAGCAACCTTATTGAACCTGCCCTGTCTGTAATGAATCTCAAAATCAAGTCCTAGCAGTTTGACCAAGCCCTTCTTCTGTATTTGTGTATGAATTTTCTGGCCTAACAAGTGCTTTAGACTTTCATGGTCTGTGATAATAATGAACTTTCTTCCTTCCAAGTAATGTCTCCATTTGGTAACAGCAATTAAGACTGCCTGATATTCTTTCTCATATGTAGACAGACCTTGCTTCCTTGGCCCAAGAGCTTGACTGTGATAGGCCAGAGGTTTTCCACCTTGTGACAGCACAGCTCCAATACCTATGTCACTAGCATCAGTCTCCAGGACAAATGGCTGAGTAAAATCTGGCAAAGCCAGTACTGGAGCATGCACCATGGCTGACTTCAACACTTCAAAGGCTCCCTGAGCTGCTGCAGACCATTGAAAGTTATCCTTTCTGAGTAGGTCAGTGAGGGGCTTGGCTAGTATACTATAATTCTTCACAAATTTCCTATAGTAACCAGTTAAACCCAAAAACCCTCTCAAAGCCTTGATGTTCTGAGGAACAGGCCAAGCTACCATAGCCTCCACCTTGCCAGGATCAGTTGCTACCCCATCATGATTAATAATATGACCAAGGTAATCCACCTGAGTCTGACCAAATGAGCATTTGGAAGGCTTAGCATATAGTGTATGAGTCCTGAGAATGTTGAGAGTAATGGCTAAGTGCTCCTTGTGACTGTCTTGGTCAGGACTGTACACCAAAATGTCATCAAAGAAAACCAATATAAACTTCCTCAAGTGAGGGGCAAAGATCTGATTCATAAGGGCCTGAAAGGTAGCTGGGGCATTTGTTAACCCAAAGGGCATCACCCTGAATTCATAGTGCCCTTGGTGTGTTCTAAAGGCTGTCTTATGCTGATCCTGGGGATTCATCCTGATCTGATGGTATCCAGACAATAAATCCAACTTGGTAAAGAATTTTGACCCCCTTAACTCATCCAACAGGTCATCAATTACTGGTATGGGAAATTTATCTTTAATAGTAAGTGAATTCAGCTGCCTGTAATCAACACAAAATCTCCAGGAGCCATCTTTCTTGAGAACCAGTAGCACAGGTGAGGCATAGGGGCTCCTGCTATCCTGAATATACTGGGAATCCATCATCTCTTTCACCAATCTATCCATTTCATTCTTCTGTGGAATTGAGTATCTATAGGGTCTAAGATTCACAGGTTGAGCATTTGGTATAAGAGGAATGGTGTGGTCACATGATCTAGCTGGAGGTAAGGTCTTAGGTTTTCCAAACACATCCTTGAATTCATTCACAACAGATTCCAAGAACTCAGGAACCTTACCTGCATTTGCAGTTTCCACAGAGATGCTGAACAAATGACCAACCAATGTAGCTTTAGTCTTCCTTATCATCTTTTGTAAAGTCTTGCCTGATATTGCCTTGCATTGTGCCATGTCCTGAACCCCTTGCAATGATACTTCCTGCCCCTCCCAGTCAAAGAACAACTGCAAATTGATGAAATCAAACTTGACTGGGCTGATAATTTTCAACCAATCTAACCCCAGAACCACATCATTTGTTCCCAGGCTCAGGACCCTCATATCAAATGTGAACTTGTGGCCCTGCATCTCCCAGTTAAAATCCTTGCAAACCAAGCTACTCAACAGCATAGTCCCATCTGCCAGTCTGACTCTCAATGGAGTCTCAGCCTGAACCAACTTGCACCTGAGATCCTTGGCCTTCCTCTCACTCAGGAAAGTATGGGTGCTACCAGTATCTATGAGTACAAATATCCTCTCATTCTTAACTTTGCCTTTAACAATCAAGGAATTGGATAGACCCCCACTGCTTAGGGCCTGCATGGATACCTCCACCACCTCGGGCTGCTGATCCTCTGCTAAAACTTCCTCCATGTCCTCCTCATCCATTACACTCCAGTCCTCTGGTGCCACAATCTCCCCATCATCAACTTGCATCACATTTAACTGTTTCTTTGTGTCACACACATGACCAAAGTAGTACTTGTCCCCACATTTATAACAGGCTCCCTTTGCAAAGTTTGGTCGAGTACTAGTTGATGCCTGAGCTTTCCCTGTGTTTGTAGGACGACTGCTAGGCCCTTCCCATTTCCTCGCACCAGAGCTGGCACCTTGCACCACTGGTGGCATTGAACGCATACCACTGCCCAAACCAAGTCGCCATTTCCTTCGATTAGCCTCATTTGCTGTTTCTGCCAGTTGTGCCAATTGAAAGGCATGAGCTAAGGTAGCCGGTTGCCACATCTTAATCACTGGCCTGAGCTCCTCCTCCAATCCACTGACGAAACTGGAGATGAAATACTGCTCGCCCAAGGCTGGATTATAACGAACCATTTGTGATTTTAACTCCTCGAACTTCTCCTGATAGTCAACCAACGATCCTCTTTGACGCAACTTGTTAAATTCCTCCACAATGCTCCCAAATTCTCTATCACCAAACCGGCCACACAAATCTCGCACAAATTCGTCCCAATTCCAATCCCTGTGCTCAAGTTTCCATCCCTCAAACCAGATATCAGGACGACGGTCAAAGTAAATGGAAGCCATTCGTACTTTCTGCTCATCAGGAATCGCATAAACATCGAACAACTTCTCACATTTCCGGATCCAATCCCTAGGATTATCACCCCTAAACTGAGGAAAATCAATGCGAGGCAACTGAATCTGATCATTACCTCGGTGTTGACCTAGAACTGGGCCTTGCTCTGCATCCGGATTGTTCTGAGCAAAACCTCGCTGTTGCTGTGGTGGAACGGCCCCTGGCCTTTGAACCGGCAGAGGTAAGAGGCCCCTGCCCTCATGACGAGCCAATTGCTGATCGGCGGCAACCTCCGGCCGAACTTGAAGAACCTCCAGCCGCCGGATGATCTCCTGAATATTCTGATCCATTTGAGCAAAACGCGCGACTGAACGATCCTCCATTCCATCCAAACGAGTGGTAAGCACAGCAAATTGTTGCGAATGACCTTCCGATCTCGCCATGATTTCTTGCAGCTGAGTCGATTGAGCTCGATTCTGATCCTCCAATGTTGTGATCTGATTGTGAAAAGTGTTTTCGGCCTCCATCGTCCGATTGGAAAACGCGCTTAAACGATCATCGAGTTGTCGCACCGTCGTCGCCATGGCCGAGAGATGGCTCTGATACCAACTTGTCACGCTCTGGACCGGTGAAGCTCTCGGCAGGGAAGAAGAAGAGAAGAAAGGGAAAGTAGCAGAGAAGAGAGAGAGAGAGAGAGAGAGAGAAGTGAGGGAGGGAAAAGTGGTTGTTGTATTCAGATAGCCGTTGTAGGTTGTTACAGCCTGTCTTATATACACTTTGCCATATTTCCCTTTTGGTCCCTACATTTCTGTTGCTTTTCTATCTACCTCCAAACTACTTCTGTTTCTTTACATTTCAGTCCGCGTGTTACAACTTCCTTCAGCTTCGTGTGTAGAGAGAGAGAGATAAGGTAGTTCAGAGTGAGTCCTCCGCTTGCAGCAAAGAAGAAGAAGCTAGAAGATGAGGAGCTGACTTTGTACCACTCCTCGCCCACTGCGTCGCCATCATCAATTCATCATGTCAGGCGGGCCGTATCCCGTGGATCGATTCGAGAAAGCTTGCTGGCGTGTTTGGTTAGTGGGAAAATAAATGCCGCGACATTCAATTAAGCACCAAACGCCATTTTTTAATTCCTCGTGTGTAAAACATTGACCGGGTGTATATTTAGGGGTAATTTACAGTCAAGGTCACCCCGAGACAATATAGTGACGCAACAACCATCATCGAAAGCGATCATTTTCTTGTCTCATCTGGTAGGTTATCGTACGAAGTGTGCTTGTTTGAATTTGGTGAATTCGAGGAGTGCTTCATCTGGTCACTAAATTTGCTCATTAGTTTCATGTTTGATACCGAAAGCAAAGGAAAGTATCATATAGACCAGTGGAATAGTGATTGCATGTGTTCATTTGTTAACGTTGAACCAGCTTTATCAAAGTTCACACGAGGCAATGAAGGTGTTTCTGAAGCAGCGAATCAGAATTTGAGGAGAAGTCACACATAGATAATTCTGTTAACTTGATTTTTAGGTATCGAAACTCACGTATTAAAGATTTCCCAAAAGAACCAATCAATTTACAAATTTTTTTTTCCTTATCATAAGTTTACAAAGCGAATATATTCTGGAAATCATAAAATCGCATTGGAAACCAGTAACATACTGGTTATCTCGTGTATGAGTATGACTCATCCATTCCAGATACTAGACAAATTTCTAAAATTACTACTATTTATTTGTGTGGACATATATATAAGGGTACCCAAAAATGAAAATGAATCGCTATTTGCCGCCCGTGTATTTACTATTTGCCGTCCATAATTTTGTGAAAAAAGTCTATTTTACCCTTAAACCCTTTAGAAACCTAACTAAACTCCCTATCCCGCCGCCGGAACCACTGGCCGGGATTTGCTGCCGCTGTGGAGAAACAAACTAGCCACTTCACCTTCCTTTTTTGGTTCCACTAATCCGGCTTCTCTAATTAACCCACCCCACATATATATCAATCACCACCAACCTAATTTAACATCATTATAGATAATTACTACTTTACCTAAATTAATGATAATATTAATATTGATATAAAATAATAACAATAAATTCCCCTAATCCACCCCACTTACTGCACAGAATCCTTCTCGTTAATCACTTCTCTTTTCAATTAACCTCCTTCAAAACTTGTCTTCCAATCCCAAAATTTCCCGTCGAATACCCTCTCTCCCTCCTCTCCTTCACCATCTCTTCGTTCGTCTGCCGTCCGTCGCCGGGAATTGGACCGCACCGAGCCATCCGCTCGTCAGTGTCGGGGCCCGTCCGCTCTCGCCGGCGAGGGAAAGAAATCGCCGGGTTTGGACTCCAGAAATCGATGTCGATCTGGCCTACGAACGCGGTCCGACGCCGACGATCGGACGGTTGCCGTCGACTATTTTTTTTCTTAAAAAAACCATTTTAAATTATTTACAAATTAATTAAATTATATATTAAATGATGATTTGTGATAATTTAGGGTGGAGGCGGTGGTCTGGCGCCAACGGCGGCGGTGGTGGCCTGCTGGTAGGGATGGCAATGGGGCGGGTTTGGGGCGGGTTTGCCTAAACCATCCCCATCCCCATCTTCAAATACCCAAACCTATACCCTCCCCATACCCATGCGGGGGAATATTTTGCAAACCCATCCCCATACCCGTGGGTTTCGGGTACCCATGGGTAATACCCATCCCCGTACATCCAACATTATTATACCTAAAACTTACAAGAAAAGTTTTAATTATAACCATAAACAAACCTATTATATCACGAAGTCAACAAAACACGATCATTTTCTAAATACGATTCAAAGAATATGATCCTAAAACGTCCATTAATACATAATATAGACTATAATATTTTTTAAATTATTATGCTCTAACTCTTGATACATTTATTAAGTAATAATTAACTAACATAATTTTGTTGACAAGGGGAAAAGTGAAAGAGTGGAAGGAGAATTGAGGGAAATGAATTAGGTTTTGATTAAGGTGGTTACTCAATTGCATTTCTACTATTTATTTTCTCGAGTTATCATCATCATCATTGATAGATTACAATTTAATCCACGCATTTTTTGATATGTGAAGAAATTCTCTTGGTGGGGCGGGTATGGGTATGGGTATGGGGCGGGGGAGGCTAAAACCATACCCGCCCCATACCCATCAAACCTTTTGCGGGTTTTACCCATACCCGCCCCATACCCGTTCAAAGCGGGGATTCCCCGCGTTGACTGGGTATGGGGCGGTCGGGTACCCGCGGCCATGGGTTTGATTGCCATCCCTACCTGCTGGTGGTGGATGAGATTTTTTTTATCAAGTTGGTTGATGAGGATTTGTGTTATGAAAAAATGGACGAGGGGTAAAAACGACATTTTTACTAAATTTACGGGCGGCAAATAGTAATTACACGGGCGGTAAATAGTAGACCTCAAAATGAAAATGCAAGAACCCAAGAGGAAAAAAGTTGTTTCCCAAAGCCTAAAACGGACCTCACCACCGATTTCTTAAGTCGCTAGGTAGGTGGTGACTTGGAAGGGAATGATGACAGCATATGCATCGGTGGCGGCAGCAACATGGTCGATTGATAGCTTCAATAATCATGGGCATATTGATTTCTCACAAAAGAAGTACTGGAAGAAGTTAACATTGAATAACACTGACAGTCTGACATCCTATCCTTTCCATCATAGATATGGGGGCAAGTGCCACCATTGCAGTACTGCAATGTCGCATAACAGAGCCAGCTAGCTGAAATGTGGTCATATATAGAAATCAGGTAGAAGATCATTAGAAAGCAGAAACGAAAGTGTAACTTATTAAGTTAACATAATAACATGAGTGAAGGTATGTTGAAAGAAGAAGCCGGTGCTGCTGTTGAAGTAGTAGCAGCAGGGGATAAACAACCGCAGGCTGTTGAAAGAAGAAGCAGAGGATCCTGATATCCAGTGGAGGCATGGCGGCCCCCCCATTTTCGACACCGTCAACAAGCTCTTCGAACAAGGCCGCACCAATGCCTGGGCAGAAGGGTCGCTGGAAGAGGCGGTCCAGAATGCTGTCAAGACATGGGAAATGGAGCTCTCTCACAAGACTCGCTTGCTCGAGTTACGAAACGTCTCACGACGCGTTTCGATCGGCCTTCCCACGAGGGTTTGCGTGGGAGGTCATCAGTGTTTACTCTGGCCCTCCTGTGATTACCTACAAAGTTCAGGCACTGGGGCTTCTCTGAGGGTCCTTTCAGAGGCCATGCTCCCACAGGGGAGATGGTGCAGTTCTTCGGCATTGGCGTCATGAAGGTAAATATTGTTCATTGGTTCTGCTAACTCTCCATTAAGGATAACTATTGATGATAATGTGTGGTATATTGAAAGGTTGATGAATCAATGAGGGCAGAAGATGTGGAGATCTACTTTGACCCACCACAGTTGTTTGGAGGCCTACTCAAAGGTGCTGCTACTGATCAATCTGATCCCCAAGTTGATCAGTCACTAGATGAGAATCGTGAGCAGAAGAAGTCCCATGGAGTTTCTTCAACCTCTGGCCATCTTTCGTGTCCCTTCTCCAACCAAGCAAGAACACAACTCTGACATATGTGATCTTGTTTGTCTAGTATGGTACTAGTATTGATGTACCCGGCTTCTTTGGTGTGTAGACGTTTCTTGTAACCGCCAGTTTAATTATAGGCAAAATACACTTCCATATCCACAACTATTAGATTTGTGACAAATATATCCACATCTATCGAAATACACGAAATACCCATTTCCGTCCACTCCGTTAACGGTGTCAGTTAACAGAGTGACTGGACTAACAGGGCATGCTTAGTTGGCGATATTTGTCCCCACGAATCCACGTGGATTAAAAAAAAATTAAAACATAAAAGGACTAATAATTGCGACATTGGTTTCGCCCAAATCTTCTTTCCCAATATTTGCTTTCTTCTCAAACTCTCCCGATTCGTCACTGCAACCATGGAAAATCAACCAGCGAAGAAGCTGCGAGAGAACAACAAGCATGAAGTGATGAGAACAAGCAACCGATGGCTCTTTTGCTCTTGGGTTCGCCATCACTGTCGATCTCGGTCATATTCGAAAGTGGAGGAGGAGATTTGGCGGTGTACGTTGTGGTGGTCGACTCCCTCCTACTCGCGGCGACGGACTGAGAAGGAAGAAGCGATTTGTGACGGCGACGGTGGTTTCCAGCAAGTCTTCTTCGCTTCCTGAATTTGATTCCATCCATTAAATTGGCTTTTGGGAATCTCTGGTTTTTATTAGGTTTCCAGCTGCATCAATTCAATTTGATTTTTGGAATCCCTAATTTAGATGATTTCTTTCTTTTTCTCCTTGTTCGAGCCTCCAACATCACTGGACATCAATATACCCTCCAGCAAATCTTCACACGCATGGCGTTCGCTCCAGCAACTCCGCCGACAAAGCCACCGCCGTGGCGTGGACACAAAGAACCCGAAGTAGGCTCGTGGTAACGATGAATCGAATTTGTTCCCTCCGTCGACGCTGACGTGCATAATGGTGGTTTGGTTCTGATCGGTGAATGTATCGATGGTGGCACAGCGCTTACAATTTTTTTTTTTTCTTTGGATGCAGTGGGAGTTGGCAGAGATGAATCGATGGCGGAGGGCGGCCGGGGGGTGGGTGGGTTTGGAATGGCGGTGGAAGAGGGAGCCTGGGAGGAGGGGCGGAGATGGGAGGAAGTTGAGGGGGTGGGTGGAATGGTCGTGGAAGAGGGAGGAGGGGTGGAGGTGGGTGGAATGGCAGTGGAAGAGGGATGAGGGGCGGAGGTGGGAGGAAGGGGAAGGGTCTGCGGCAGAGAAGCAATTATTATTATTATTTTTCATTAATTTTTTATCAGTAAATATTTATAAGTAAATATGACGTGTCACTTGGTGCTGACTTGTCGATGAGGTGTGCGCTGAAATGGCGTCCTAATCAGCGTATTGCTAACAGATCTAACGGCGTTACTAACACCGTTATAGTTTCAGACGGAAGTGGATAGATTTGTCACACAACCTTACGATTTTTGGATATTTCGTGTATTTCGATAGTTGTGGATGTATTTGTCACAAACGTGATAGTTATGGATATACAACTGTATTTTGCCTTAATTATATGAATCTGTGCCGAAACATTCTAAAATCACTTTGCTGGCTTCGCTTTCTCTCGCAATCCATCTGTTACAGTCCTCAAATCGTGCACATTTTGACAGCTTCAAGAGTTGAGATGAGACACTTTTGACTTGGTGCTTTTACCAAACAGAGGGCAAAAGCTGATAGCCTGATAGTATAAGAGGGAAACAAGACAACAGTACCATTATCTTCTTGGGAAAACATATGTACATGCAAAGATACAGGAGGTTTCAAGCCATTATAACGGGAAAAAAACCATAAAAATGGATGGATCTTCTTCAGCTTGCTAGATACAGTGGAACTGCGGGCTATCATTCCCAACTAATACACAGCTACCAACTGGAAGATCAAATTATTTAAACCTCCACAGGGTTTGCATCTGTACAGCTCCTCCTCCAATTGGTTCTTCATTCTTTATCACCCTTGTTACCTTACAAAGCTTCTTCCAGCTTCTTTCCATTGTCTGATTTACATTCAAGTTCCGAATCCGGACGAGCCTCTGTCAAAACAGCAGCATGCAATAAATAGTCAGAGAAGCCCTTGGTCACCCTGCGGCCCCTGCTTCACCTAAGAGGCTAAGATTAGTGCTAAATTGTCCCTTTACACGCTTAGATGATATCTATACAATCTACCACGCCCTCAGAGTAACAAAAGCACTCGCCTTTTTATACACCCATGAACACTGAAGCTCTTATTCCTTCTAGATTGTGCAGAGGACCTAATAGATACTTCATTTCAAATGTAGATTAAGATAAATCTATGCATAAGCACAAATATGAAATCCACACCTGAAGAGAGAAAGCTAAACCCCAGACAAGACGAATATGGCGTCCCATTGTATTTGTAGCGTTTGTTTGTATGTGTGACTCTGTTCTTGGAGTGTGTTTGTGTGTGTGTGCATGGGCTAGAGAGAGAGAGGGAGGGAGATGGATCTAATGAAGAATATTTTGCTTACCGAGATGCGAAACCCCATCATAGAAATTATCCTTCCTCCGTCTCAGATTCAGGGGCATGACTGGACGGTTCCTCGGTCTTAACTTCATCTGAAGTTGAATCCTTCTCCAATTCATCTGCTGTGTTATATACAGGCAACTGTCCGAAGCTGGCACCTGAAAGAAGCAAGAAAAGAAGAATGCGACTGTGAGCGTTGACAATGTTGAAGAAAAAGTCACAGCACATCTTCCTCCCAAACAAGAACATAATGAAGATTGAAGAAAAGCCTTTCTGATACCCTCAGAGGAAACAGACAAAGAGCAGTCGGCAATTTCAAGTGAGCATCTAAATGAATGCTGAACAGATGCGAACAAACTGCAACGCTAAACCCAAATTGCATTCCCATCAGCGGAGCTCGGGCAATATAAAATAATGAACTTTCGGGTTTAGAAAGCTCCTATTCACATGATACTGTTCATTTCATTCGAAGTTTCCTGCCAAATTTAAAGAAGACTAAGTTTCTTCGGTTGTACGGTTTTTAGGCAATGGATGTCGGAGGGGGAATACCAAAGAGACACAAAGAGATTCGCAAAATGGACACTGCAATTAATCGCACACAACAAACTCAATTTGCCATCAGGGTAATAGAAGCAATCGCCACTGAGGCGAATCCTCGATCTTAGAAGACAGATCCCCAATCATGAACCGAGTTAACCCAACCCTAGAAAATTCAGGAGACAGGGAAGGAAAGAAATCGAAATCAAATCCCAGAAATTCGGTACCTTTGATGAAATAATCCGAGGAAGGCCATCCGCGGACGGAGGTAACGGAGCGAGATTCCTCGTCGGTCAAGGGATTCGCAAGCTTCTCGACGAGCTGGGCAATCCCCAAGCAGCCGGCGTCAGATCTATGTGGAGGGACCCAGTAGGAAGTCCCCGGAAGGAAAGGGAGCCAATCGGGTGCGGCGCGGCGGACGATGATGCGGTGGATGGCGTCCTCGAGCTTTCGGAGGAGAGGATCGGTGGATTCATCGGCGACCGCGGGCTCGGCGTTGTTGTTGGGGAGGTTGGAGTTGGAGCGGAGGGCGAGGCAGCGGAAGGAGGCGGATGAAGGAGACGAAGCTGCGGAGGAAGAAGATCTGGAAGTTGCAGCTGCAGCAGCAGCGAGGTAAGTGCGGGAAGAGGATAAGGAGCGAGCCATTGGCGTCGATGGATTGGATGGGGTTTGGTTTTTTTTTCCTCTGAAGTGTGGAGAAAGGAACTGGGGAGAAGGAGGAGGAAATTGGACGCGAGGTGATTTTGGGGATTAAATAGGAAGAGGAGTGGGTTGGATAAAGAAGAAAGTGGTGGGACTGTTTTAGGATTGGCCGAGGAACGCAAATATTGGCGGTGTTGCTGTGGCGCGGTTTTTGGCGCTTGCACTGCTGGTGCTACGTGTGTAACGTGTGTGCTTGCACATGCAAAGTAAAGAACTAAAGATAGGTGAGCTTCGTAACTAGCTTTGAACCCAACTCGTTAGTCGAAAGATAAGATTATGCTTTCGTCGTTGTCGTCATAATTCACTTTCTATGCAGGCAATCAATCTACATGAAGTCAAACTCACATACAAACCGAACGGCTTTTCTTACATATTTGTGTCTGATTGGCCGGTCGGTTTCTATAATAGTTTTCACAAACATGTGTAACTGATGATGATCTTCCGATCCATCACACAAAAAATGTCGTTTCTCGTGTGTCCGCGGCTGGTTGTCTAAGAGAGTTCTATTCAATCGTTCAAATTAATCAATTTATTTTGTATGGTTTTTAAAATAATTTTGATCTCACAACACGATTATTTTGTGGAATTCATGTCATGGTTTGTTATTTGTGATTGGTGCACAAAAAATCAGTCAACAAACGACATTTTAAATCTACATGTTTCCCAATCTAATAATCATTTTGGCATGTGCTAATTCTGGCAATTCACTTATTTTAACAACATATTTAAATGAGTTGGACATTTTAATATTTCATTCAATACACAATGCTATTAAAAAAAAGAACAATATATTTAAATGAACACAACCTTTTCAACTTCTAAGAGCATCTTCAATGGTGCAAATGGCGGGAGTTGCGAACTGATGTGACAGCTACGTGCAATTGAAGATACTTGGAGCAGCATAGTATTGGTATTCAATGTTCTCATTATAATTACAATTGAACTGATACAAGATTAGCTCTAGTGGCAATTTCAAAGCGGCAATAAGCAGGGTAATCGTAGTCTAAAGGCGATTCACAGGATAAGAAAATTAACATGTAACCCTTTCCCTTTTGGGTTGGACACATGACCCGTTTCTGACAAAACAAACAAATGCTCAACAGCCTATCTCCTGATCCTGAATTCTGCTTGCAAAATTATGTACAACAAAAAATGAAAAAAGAAAAGGATGTCCAAATTATAATAGGAAAAAAAGCTTCAATTTCACAACTATCGTATCATATATCTTATGGATGAGTAAGTTCCTTGCAATCAAAACACAACTATGCCATCTCTCATCGGTTCTTTGGCAAACAAAAAACATATCCATCCAGCTCTACTGTACTTCTCTCCCATTGTTGGCTGGAACTTACGAGTCATGGACGCAAAAACAAAGGATGCGGAGTTCGTATAAACAAAACCACTCGCCTCGGTTGTATACTGTACATGTTTTGATTGAGATGCGTGTGCCGACATGAATGTTTCGTATTGTTTCATTTCATATGCAGTAGGCAACAACAGGACCTGACCTGGATCCTGTTTGTTGTGCATTGTCCATATGCAGGACGAGCAGGAGAGGAAGGCATCGGAGGGAGGATGGTGGACTTTAAAAGCTATATCACCAGATCCGCACTAGCCTCATGAGGAACCTGGAAATTTGGCAATGGTCGAAGTAATTAATAAGGAGCAGGCTAGAAAGAGGAAGAATGTGAGCCAAAAAGATCTCTTTGCTTCTGACTTTTAACAGTTCAGGAAGCAGAAAGGCTTCAGGGAATGAGGCATCAACTGTCAGCGTGAGATGACACAAAGCACTTACCTAGAGGAGAGGAGCCTCCAAATTAGAACTAGAAGAGGCCTAACATCCTTAGTTCTGTAATGTGGCTGGGATCAAGTTCAGGCACATTCTTACTAGCCTCTCGGTCTTCCACCACATACTCCTGACATTGCAAAAAGTACCACATTAGAATAGCTAGAGTCAACTTAAGTTGAGAAGAACAAAACTGCTCTATCATACCAAGAAAACATGATAACGATAGATAAAAATGGGAAGGCTGAATCTCTTTTAAGCTACAACCAGCGAACAAACTGAATGCCGATCACATGGTAACCTCCCCATATAGACAAAGATCCATTTCAAGCCCCAGTTTGGCTGAATGCAAAATCATTACGAAAAAATAATAGTATTATGTTTTTATGCTTGTCTGAAGCCTAGTGCATTCATGGTACTATACGTAGCTCCCTTTATTCCCACACTATAATCTACTCCAATGTCAAGAAAGCCAGAAAATGAACCCTTCTGTTGTTGTGCCTGTGTTGATGAATGATGACAAACCAGACATAGTCTTTTAAACCTGAACATTAAGGAGCTTTCCCAGACCTCAGAGGAGGCAGGACTAGCTTGCCTGTTGGGCAGACACCTATAACAGAAAAGAGATTCCAAACCTGCCAACAACTATGTTCACCTTTCAGTTAAAACTGCTCGACATATTTTTCAGTTCACTATTTACTCCCAGTGTAGCTGTAGTATGCTGACGATTTTTCATTTAACCGTCAAAACAATCATTGGTTATTGAGGTTTGCAGAGGCAAGCATGCATCAAGAGGCAAAAGAGAAATATGGTCACAACAACATATTGAGCATGACGAAAGGGCACTACAAGTTAATTGGCATACCTTTGTCAGCTCCTGTTTGGCAAGAACATGGTAATGGCGCTCATTGATCCTTTGACCACATATTATGGCAATGAAGAAACCATAGAGCAAGCCCACCAGGACAATAGCCAAAACTGTAATTAGGTGACAAAAATAATAAGATTTAGTGAGCATGGGCAATTAACATCTAACACAGACATATTTGATGATCAGTCAATCTAGATAAAAAATATGATAATCCAGGATTGACATTCCCACTCTTACAATCTTCCATTGAAAAATTCACATGTACAGAAGATATTGCTTTACGGTACATACCGGCCATCGTATAAAATCCATAAGGATGCTCTTCGTAGCCAAACATTTCTCTGAGTTCCTCCCCATAAAACTTGTACACTAGTACCCCCAAAAAAGCAACAATCTGCAGAACCCAATACTTATATTAACTCCTTGAACCCATGAAAACTTTAGCTACAATATGGTAGGAATTCATATCAAGTAATGTACTCTCGAAAAGACAGACAGTCCAAATAGTTGAAATTATAGTCCATCTGGCAAGGTTGGATCACACATAGACTCACATCCAACAATGTCAACAGGTATCATTATGGTATTGCCACAGGTTCATCCCACTAAAGAATTTTGAGATAAAAGATAATCAATTTATAAGGTTGAAATTTCAAGCATAACACTTGCAAATAACATGGAAACTTTCTTCATTAAACAATACGAGTTCTATGTGCATTTAACATAAAAGCATAAGAGCCATACAAAATACAAACTATCACTGTTGTCACATCATTGTCAGCTGAAATAAAGTTAGATTAACTTAAATTCCATAAAAGAGCAGCATATAACATCAGTTCAGCAAATCGCAACCCAAATCTGATGATCAGCATTTCAGGAATTCACAATTTGATCAATAAGGCAAAGAAACCATTCATAGCATCCTCTTTGCGGATCAGCAAACAAAGTCCAACTAATGTACTTGAAACCATATTTCAAGTCTGATAAAGAAAGATGAAAAAACTCATCAACATACCAGCTGAACAACAATAAAAATGAACGCGTGGTCCCGAGCAACAAGGAACTGAAATTTCAATCTCAACCACCAGCGGTCAGGAGGAACATTCGCACGCAATATAAATAACGCCCGACACTCAGAACAGTGTGCGAAAGCAAAGCCCTCCTGAAACAAACATGGAACAGAAATTAATCAAAAGCTTCAGTTGCTCATAACCAGACGCTGAAGCCTACAGTTCTTGCATATTCAACATTCTGAAAGAACTAGAATCTTCTAATATTTAACTGCAATGATAACCAACAAAAACAAGGACTGAAAGAATCGAACCAAACATCAGAGTAAAACCATGAAGGAACATAAGTTAAGAACAACAATTCACCTTAGTGGACCTCCAGTTATCAAGACAAGATCTATGAACATACTTTTGAGTGCCTTTGCAATGACATGGTGCTATTAAGTCGTCACCTGAAATTGGGAGCAATTGTTTCAGCATTGATGAACAAAAATCATATTCACAAACAGAACACCAAGTCCAAAAGCCACCATTTCTACTGGGTATAGAAATATTCTAAAACAAAAAGGAACACGGCATAATAGGTATACCTTCATAATCAAGGCATATACGGCATTGTGGCTGGTCCGGGTTGACCAGACGGCAAGTTTCATCTATGATCACACTTTGTAACTCATCACCACTAATATCACAGTCTCGTTCTAATGGAGTGATCTCACGTGAAGATGATGATCCATCGACCTGTGGTGAAATATCAGACTTGGGCAAGATGGGTTCAGTTTCTGAAATGTCTTCATGTGATACTAATGGCATCGCTGACAATGTTGAATCGGTACTAAATCGCATGCATTATTGCAAACCCTATACCTCCAACTGAACATCTCAGTAGTGACTCCAGAATCTGAAAAAAATAGGAAAGGAACATTAAACAAAATGCATACTAGGGGTATAAATACAATAACCATAGTAGCAAGCACACTAGACAACTATTGACTGTTCATTCAAATATTTCTCTCATATACTCTTGTAATGGATATCAGAGCCAGAGGGAGACTTCCACACCAGTGGCACGCTTGGGGATCAATTTAATTATTATTAGGAAATTACAAGCCTAAGCATATCACCGGATTCACTTATGCGTGACGAAACACAGTAAACAAAGTCACAAGCAATGAGGTTATAGGGGATCAGAAACATAGTTTGTGATTAACAAGATTAACGGAGGCACTGTATTTCAAAGATGCAGGATACAGTAATTGCTACAGCTATCCTATTTTGCATTTGTTTAGTAATGGGGTAAGCATGGATGACCAATTCCTTTATCATTGAAGTGCTAATATGCACAAAAAGATAGGGTGCATTAGTGTACTACTGAGGGTTGGTTCATAGCAAACGATGCAAGCAATAAAAAGACCACTCCTGAAATTCACTTTGAGCAATGAAGTTAAGCATTCAGAGACACCTGCGGTTGCGTGTATCTAATCCGGACTGAGAAGTCCGAGAACAGTTCATAGCAAACGATGCTTCCTATCACAACTAACATCTGCTAAACCCAAAACCATACTTGGGAAATTGGCCAAACAATACAATGGTTGTGATTGCGAAAAAGGGCAAAAGATTTCATTTCTACGAAAATCTCAACTAGTGGAACTGGACTAAGCTATGATATCTCCATTTCCATTCAAAAGAAAACAAACCAAGCTAACCCATCAGGCATGCCTTAAGGGAACAAAAGACACGAGTACATGGAACTGGACAAACAACAGGAACGACAAGTCTAACATCCAATTTGGTAAAGAAAGCAAGCAAATGGAATTCCAGAGGAGCCAGAAAACCTTGAATCAAATCTCCAACTTGGACAACAAGCAAGCATCGTTCTCCCTGAAATGTTGCCTCGCCTCAATGAAGGGAGGGACAGAAAGCATAACCGAGAGATTGCCGCGGGGAGAGAGAGATGTCTGACCTGAAGGGAATTGAGAAGAAGTCAAAGTGGATCCAGATGAGATTCAAATGGCATTCAGCATTCGCCATCAAATCTCTTCTCTCTCTCTTTCTTTCCTTTATCCAAATCTGCCCAGCAATCGGATTCGAATTCTGAAACGATGATTCTTGCTCTTCCTCGTGCTTTCTGCGAACCTTCTTCTAGGGTTCTCCGCTGACGCTTGGCTACACGTCAAATGACGGAGAAGGGAAGGGACGGGAAGGGGAAGACGAAAGGGAAGGAACGAAGGAAGGGGCAAAGGGCAAGGGTGGAAGGCAAGACTCAGGAAAACCGACGCCTAGGACCGACTGCCGACCAATTCCCAAATTCATTTTGCATGTCTTTTCTTGTTTTCCTAATTAAAAATAGGGGTTCTACCAAAAAAAAAAAATAGGGTTAATATTTTTGCTTATCCCTAATTTTTACTGATCAGTCTTTTCAATAACACTAAATTTTATTTGATTGATCGAACTTAGAGAGTTTCTTTTTATCCAAGATTAGCCCGAGAGTTTATTGCAAGGATTAAAAAACAGTAGTGTACTCGCGCTTCGACTACAAATTTTTTCTATCGGAAACAAAATCGATAGGCAATATTTAGCGGTATTATATGGTTGAACCATGGTTAAACCATAGTTAAACCACAGTTTTAGCATAAAAACCATATCACTAACTTTCTGGGACGACCTCCAATACAGTATTTCAATCTTTGATTTATTGTTATGTTAAACGTTGAAACAGTTGACTAACGATCAAGTAATTTGTTTTTCAGTATCCACAGTTGCATCTGAGTCTGCTTTCAGTACCGGGGGGCGCGTTTTAGATGCATTTCGGAGTTCTTTGACTCCCTTGGTTGTTGAAAGTTTAATTTGTGGTCAAAATTGGCTTCGCTCGAGTACTCTTCCAATCGACATGGAAGAGAATTTTGAAGAAATCGAAGAACTTGAACAAGGTATGAAAAGTAATTTGTTTTTAACATTCACTATTTTATTTAGATCATTATTAATTTATTTGATGTGTTGTTAATTTTGCAGAGTTGAAAGAGTCTTGCTTGGATGATTGTACTATCATGAGTGATTTAGTTGACGATGATTGAAGAATGGTGTACTTGATTATTATCGAACAATGATGTCTTGTGTGATCATGAGTATGATGTACTTGATTATTATCGAACAATGATGTATTGTGTGATCATGAGTATGATATACTTGATTATTATCGAACAATGATGTCATTGATGATTATTTAATAATTGATGTCATTTCATCCTTTCATCAAGCACATATATTATGGGAGTTTGGTAAATAATTTGGTAAATAAATAATTTTCTGAAATTATTTTGGCAATTGATTAATTTTCTGGAATTAATTGGGTAAATAAATAATTTTCTGGAATTATTTTGACAATTGATTAATATTTTGGAAATATGTTGGTGATTGATTAAATTTTTGGAATATTTTGGTGATTAATTAATTTTTTCGAATTAATTTGATGAATAGATAATTTTATGAACAGAGATTCGTAAATAAAATGATTTTTTGAAATTAATTTCGTAATTGATTAATTTTCTGAAATAATTTCATAAATAAATTATTTAACTAATTAATTAATTAATTTTCTGGAATTAATTTGATAAATAAATGATATTCTAGAATAAATTGGGTAAATAAATAATTTTCTGGAATTATTTTGACAATTGATTAATATTTTGGAATTATGTTGGTGATTAATTAAATTTTTGGAATTATTTTGGTGATTAATTAATTTTTTGGAATTAATTTGATGAATAAATAATTATCTGAACTGAAATTCGTAAAAAATTATTTTTTGAAATTAATTTCGTAATTGATTAATTTTCTGAAATAATTTCATAAATAAATTATTATATGAATTAATTAATTAATTTTCTGTTTTTTTTATAATTTGGTATTTAATTTTGTGTCGGAGAGGGTCGACCCGCTGACCCGTCCCGTCCCGACCCGTCCCGACCCTAAAGGGTCAGACAGGGTCAAGAAGAGAACAGGGACGGGACGGGTCGATTATGCAAGCTGTCCCTTTAGGGACAGGACAGACAGGGTCAGGGACGGGACAGGAACGGGACAGGCAAATTTTCAGCCCTACGATCAACCCATCACGTTACCCATCGCGTTACCGTCCGGTCAATATATTTTAACTTGAAATATTCATACTTTTCATAACATACCAATTTTACTATTTAGTTTGACTAAAACAAAAATTAAATAAAATTGGTGTATCGGGTCCCTTAACCACTGTCCACTTACCTCTGATTATATCTCCTAATTTGAATTTATATTTTCTCAATTTTTTATTTTTTCATTGATGCCTTTTCTTCATCCATAAAAATTGTATTAGTAATTTTTTCCTCGCCAAATTGAGTTTTTGTAAAATAGTGAAAATATCACGACACTCAATCTCATTTAAAAACCACGTCCAAATTCATGTATTTTTATTTTTATAGATGGAGTTCTAAATGTTCATTTAATCTTGAAAAATATTATTTAGTTGACAATTCACATGAATACATAGTGTGACACAAAAAAGAACACAAAATCTCAACAAAAATAATTGGGTGAATATTTTGATGCCCAAACCCCAAAAACAGTGAGAATGGTAGCACATTATTTGATAAACAAAAAAAAAAGGAATGGTAGCACATTATGTGAAATTGGTACCCAAAATTTGGGGATATCACAATTTGATGCCCGAAAGGGTCTCAAATTACAAGTATCTCTTCCCGTCAAGCACCTTCTTCAACAGCCCTTCCCGTCCAGGAAATCGACCTTTAATCCCAGCCGTTCGATCCTCACCCTTTCCACCAAACTGACGGTCGTTGACGGATCTACCCTCCGTCTTCCCCAAAACCCCCAATCTGTCCTCCTCTATTGGCGCCGGCGCCGCTTTCCGTCGCCTCATTCTCTCCCGTCTCTCCCTCCTCCTATCCTCGCCCTCCAACTTCCCATCCCCGCCGCCGCTACGGCCGCGGCCACCAACAACACCGCCGCCAGCATCCCTGTTTCCCTCCTTCTCTTCCTTCCCAAACCCTAATCTCGGGATCCTGCCGCCCTTGCTCGTACCCAGCAGCTCGAAATTCACACGGCTCCACCCGACCTTGTCGTCGTTATCCCAGCCGAACCGCTGGCTGATCTCCAGCAGCTGGGCGACGGCGCCGTTTCCGGCCGAGGCAGATGACGGAACGCTGCTGCCGTCGTTGGCGTCCAAGACCCGGCTGGCGAATTCCCACTCGAGCCGGTCATGGTAAACAGGGTCCTGCAGCACCTGGTCGGCGAGATGGGCCCAGTGGTGGGTGTCGCCGGAGCGGAGGTTTCCGGAGACCCATTTGAGGTAGGAGGACGGGAGGGCGCCCAGCATCTTGCCTTTGTACTTGCCGAAATCTATCACTCTGTCTCTCGCCGCCGGGAGCGATGCTGCCTTCAATGTCGGAGGTTTGGATGGCGGCTTCCACCGGCCAACGGAGCAACTGAAGGTAGGGACTGCGGGGGAGTGAGCGACATTGAAAATCATGGCAGGCGATTGGGATTTGGGGCTGAGTTGAAACTCCTGGTAGTCAGAGCCAGAGGAGAGCAACCTCACTGCACACAAGGACTGGATAAAGACCTTGTTATTCTTCTTTCAAGTAACTTGAGTTCTTAACTCCACAAGTACCCACCAGATTAATTCAAATTAGCTCGACATTGGAACATAATTGAACAATATCAAGTATAACGTAGACTCATTTCTGGTTACATGAACAGAGAAACATAACCGAGTGGCTATCTATATCGAATCAAATCGGATCAAATATCCTTTCGATCGGATACTAAGTTTCTTTTACCTTCTAACAGGACTGTCATGATACTGTTTGGACTGCACGGTGGCACTCCCGTCCAGCCACCATGTTAATCACGACAAAACAAAAACCCAGCGCGGTTGTCTATTACTAGTTTGGCATGGGAATCTAAAGCTCAAATTACAACAACTTCCTAGTACTTAGTGTGGTATTGCCTTCATGAACTTCCAGGCAGAAACAAACAGCAACGGCACATCCTTCCACCCAATCATCAAGCTCTTGTAATCCAACGCCATCAAGCACGAAGCCGCGTACGGCGACCGGCGAATCACCAAATTCGCATGCTGCAAAGCTAATCCTCTCACCGGAATCTCCAGCATCCCGAACCGGGCAAAGTACTTCCTCCAAACCCTAATCTTCACATCCCGAATGACCCTCTCCTCCCCTTCCGCCACCAAAACGTTTCGAATCCGGTCGTTCAAATACCACGACTCCACCGCCGCTCTCGCCTCCTCGTTCCCTTCCATACACGTCGCCAGGCTGTCGAAGTACCCGCCGACGGTGAACAGCGCCTCCACGAACCGGTGGCCGAAATCGGGAGCGTTGTGGTTCGCCTCCGTCTCGATCACCACCATCACGCGCGGGCGTACGGCCCGGATCAGCTTCATCATCGCCTCCAGCAGCATGGGCCTTCCGATCATTGGGCCGAGCGCGAACTCGGAGAGCACCACCGCGGCCTCGTTGGGCTCGAGGTCCAGCTGGTCCTTGTGGGCCCCCGAGGGGAACGTGCAGAACCGGACCACGTTGAAGGAAAAAGGCAGGCCCATCCCGCGGGCGAAATCCGCCAGCCGACGGCCCGACCCTTCCATGAACTGCTCCTCCGCCGCGTCGTGGGCCAGGGCGGTGATCCGGAGCAGCTCGATCGGGTCGGGTCGGACCGACAGGGCCTGCATGAGGGCGATCGCCGGCAGGCCGCATCCCGTCCGGAGCTCGATCAAGTGGATCCGCTTCTCCACGGCGACGTTCTCCACCATGATCTGGACGGCGGCGAGCTGGGACGCGTTGTAGAAGGGCACCCTGTTTCGGAACTCCGTCGCGTTCTTGTCCGGCAGCGTCACCGCGGTGTCGGAATCGAACGGCTTCTTATAACCCCCACCACCTGTTATTCCTCTTCCGCCGCCGGTCTGTTCGATTTCGATCCTCTGGCGAAGGGCGTTGCAGAAGTAGTACCCGACCCGTTGAACCGGGTTGCCGGTTTGGGAAGCGAGACGGTCGCAGATGCTGAGAAGGCCGATTGCGCGGTCGAAGCTTCCTTTCCCGACTTTCTCGGCGCAGGCCAGGAGGCACTCCATGAGCTCCACGTTCTTGGCTTCTTCCGGAGTAAGGGCGGCGCCGCCGCCGTCGTCGGAAGCAGGGGGGAGGATGTGAAACGGGTTGTTGAGCATGGAAGGGACATCAATCCCCTGCATTGACGATCTCGATTGTATGATTCTCGCCCCTGCCAGCTTTATGATTTCGTTGGTCCACAACTGCCTGCTGCCGTCTTCCGCCGCCGCCGAATCGCGATTTCTCTTGGCAGTTTTGGAGGAGAGGCGGTGCTTGAGAATGTCGAACCATGCTCTGGGATGAAAGGGTCGCTGCTGTTGCTGGTGATCATTAATGTCGTAGCTCAATTGTTTTAATTCCTCTTCCTCTAGCTCTTCTTCTTCTTCCTTCTCCGCTTGAGCGCCGCAGAGGAATTCAAGCTCCGCCATGTCCATGATCCCAAAATCCGGGAAGGAGTCCTCATCGAAAAGCTGCAGATCTGGTGGTAAGTCTGTGAAATCTGCCGCCGGGAACTGGTGGTTGATATTCTCCATTAATTAATTTCTGGGTATGTCAGAGAAGGGATTGATGAAATTGGTTTACTGTTTCGATTCACCTAGGTACTGTTTATATATATACTTGGCGTGTTAAAGGGGATGCAATCGGTTTAGTACTGTTTCGATTCATTGACGCACTAATTATATATAGTTGGCTCGTCGTGTAGGCCGGACGATTCGTATTAAGCTGCCTGCCAGAGTGATTGTCGGCCGGACGAATCCTTTCGTTACCGATAACGACAAATCATGTGGTACAAGTTACAGCAGATGGCGTGGGCGCAGCATCCTCTCGACGGCTTGTTTAATCAATGCAGACCCCATCCAGCCCCCAATAATAAGATGAGAGAAATTCTAGTTTCGTGTCGCCTTGCAGTGTTGTTGATGATGCGAATGCAGTTTGTTTGTTTGTTTCTTCGTTCCCTCGGGTTGAGCTTTGACTGGGTTTCGTCGCTGGCTAGAAGGTGCCACACTGCTGCTGCCCTGCCTTGTTTTGCTATAGACGATCGATTTGAGGTGTTGAGGAATGGAAAGTACTGCAAGACAAAGAAAGAACATGAGGAGGGATTATATATCAATTAGTGATGGTTCAACATAGGAGAGTCACTGTAAGCTTTTTTGGTGTTGAGCTGTCATATAATTAATCCGGAAATATGCAAGTAACAGCAACCCAACCTTCGTACCGTTACCAAACTCTATACTAAGATTTACTATTCCATGTTTCAGAGGAATATGAAATAAGAATAAAGGGCTAGTATAGTTCCTTCTGATGCCTCCTTGGTATACAGAGTAGAGGGATTTAACAGCAAAGGGGAACATAAAAGGAAAGAAAGGCTAATGTTTTCTAGCGAGAAAAAACTTGTTTGAACTCAATGAATGCTCATTGACTTCTTGAACAACGATTAATAACACGATTTACTCCTCTCCGAACAATGTTTGAACGAGGGTGTTTGATGTTTTTTATGGTTTTTTTTGGAACAAGCTAAGTTACGTTACTCTACTCCTATGGAGGTTTAGTGAGAGCTCCGAAAAACTAAAAAGGTAAGTTGCAGAGAAAAGATAAATTTTGACATTGTGCGTCAAATATTTGGTTGTGGCACCCTTGCTTCGTCTCTTTTTTTTCTTTTTTTCTGAGTGATATCAATGGAAGAAAATAGTTAAACTTACAATTCTACCCAGGACCCCTAACAGAATCTAAAGAAGCCACCCCAAAAAATCAAAAGATTCTAACTCTACACGAGACAAAAACAGTGCTTTACGCGCCACTCTATGGGCAGCACTGATGGCGGATCTAGGTACCGCCCTAAACTCTATACAAACAGACAAAGAGCTAAGGATCTGAAGACACTCTCGTAGCACCGGACCTCCAATCGAGTCTTCAATGACACCTTGACGGATTTGGATGACCACCACTTCGGAATCACCTTCGACTATCACGTGGATCAAGGATCTTGAGGTTACGATGGAGATAGCGTCTCTAAAAGCTAGAAGCTCTGCCAGATAAGGATTGACTATTCCTTGATGCTGCAGTCCGAGCACCAACACCACATGCCCGTCTGACCCACGAAAACGAACAACCGGTGGCACAAACAGCTGTGTCGACGTTGATCTTCAAAAAGTCTTCTGGTGGAGGGACCCAAGTGGTGGCAGGATGATTTGGGATAAGAGAACTGCGGGGCGGAGGAGGAAGGAGAAGATTGGAAAATTCGAGGACCTGGTTGTAGAACTGTCTGGCTAGGGAACGGACATGAGGTTGGATAAATTCGAAGGTCACTTTAAACTTCCAGATTCTCCAAAGTAAACAGACGCATTGGGGAATGTGGAATGGGGAGGTCTCGGAGACCATGACATGTCGCCACCATAGACTAAAGATAACAGTCTGGGCGGTCTCAATAAAGTTGCTCAATCCCACTAAATCCACAATCTGGTGGCTAGGGGGCATCTGAAGAATAAATGTTCAATGCTTTCTCGATGTCTCCAGCAGACAGGGCATCAGTTGAGACAGTTGACTCCACGAGTTTGAAGGGCAACTATTGTGGGAAGTATGACTTTGAGGCGTTGTCATAAGCAAAAACCTTGAAAGGCTCTCTTTATTAGAGTTTTAAAACACTCTAACTCGTCATTAAGGAGACGATTTAAAAGCACAATTAAGGCTTTTCCGGCGCTAGCCGTTTCTGGCCATAAAGCCTTGTAACCGACTTGAGAAAAAGTGGTTACCAAATCCAATAATTAGAGTTTTAAAACACTCTAACTCGTCATTAAGGAGACGATTTAAAAGCACAATTAAGGCTTTTCCGGCTCTCTTTATTAGAGTTTTAAAACACTCTAACTCGTCATTAAGGAGACGATTTAAAAGCACAATTAAGGCTTTTACGGCGCTAGCCGTTTCTGGTCATAAAACCTTGTAACCGACTTGAGAAAAAGTGGTTACCAATCCAATAATTATTATATTAAATGAGCATAAAGCTTTGTAACCGATTTGAGAAAAAAATGGTTACTAAACACAATAATTATTATATTAAAAGAGCATAAAGCTTTGCCACCGCCTCCGCTTCCACGGGAATGAGCCTCATTGACGGTGATGATGCGGCCGTCAGAGATTCTGGCCGTTCATCCCGGCGATCGCGTCCTTCGTCGACTGCTCGTCGACTTCCCATAGCTAGTTAACTACCCCAATTTAATCAAGAACGTTCTGAATTAAGAAACAAGGACGCCGCAATAAATTTGAGCAAGTCTTACCAAAAGGGGAGAAAGAAAAGGGTCGTAGAAGAAGCGGGGAAACAAGGGAGACTCTCTATGTTTAGGTGATTATCAAATCGAACTATGGAGTTTGGAAATGCAGCAATTCGGCCTAGAAACTATCAAAGAAACCCATGAGCAGAATAGGGCGCGACCACTTTTTCCAGATTGCTTAACAGAAAAGCAACAAGAACATAGATTGGTACAGGGCAACGAACTCCCTAACAGAAAGGAAAAGCCATGGCAAACACAAAATTCGTAGTCCGCAAGCTAAGAACAAGATTCAGATATCACGAAACCCACAGCGGAGAAACGAAATTAACCATCCAATAACCCAGAATTGTCCAATTCCAACGGAACCCATTAACGATGTAACAAAGAAGAAGAAGAAAAAGCAGAGGAAAGGGAAAGACTAGTCTGTTGCTCACCCATCACGTTCTTGAACATATGATCAGAGATGAATCGAGAAGCTTCAGGGCCGCCATGGCCGTCGTAGACGCCAACGAAGACGGCATCCCGGCCCAGATGAGGCTGCCTGCCATGACTTAATTCCTCAATTATTCAAAGTAATTATTTATAGCCATCGCCTATAACCTCTACGTAACTACCTCTTGTAACCGCTGCCTCCCATGCTTGGTGCTTGATGTAGCTTGCGTTGATGTCTTAACCACCTTGCTTGCCTGCTGACCACTTGGTATCTTGATGGATTGATGACTTCACTTGGTAGGTAACCGCCTTGTGTCATGGTGTATCTTGCTTGGCTTCATCTTGATTTTTGATGCATTAGTGATACTCGTGCTTGACCCCCCTTGCATGACATCATGCTTGACTCCCCTTGTGGTTGGCTCTCATGGTACCTAGTGCTTGACCCCCTGGGATGATGTCATGCTTGACCCTCCTTGTACTGTAGTACATGGTAGGTGGTCGAGAGAAAACTCCATACTTAATCGAATCTCTTCCCCACTGTGACTGTAGGCTAGGTGAGTGGTGAGATGTCACTACCACGTCTAGGGGTACTCGTGATAGCTCTCCTTGCACGACATCATGCTTGACACCATAGCACAAGGTAGGTAGATGACATAGTGCTTGACCTCACTTGCATGACATCATGCTTGACCCCCCTGGGATGATGTCATGCTTGACCCCTTTGTGGTTGAGGCTCAACACTTAGCCAATTTTTGCCTTTGGTCTAGGGATACTCTCGATGCCCCTCTTGCACGACATCATGCTTGATACCAAAGTGCAAGGGTAGGTAGCCGACCATGGTACTCGGTGCTTGACCCCCCTTGGACGATGTCATGCATGACCCCGGGTCTCCATACTTAGCCAAATTTTGCCCCCACCATGTCGACTTGGGTGGTTGATGTTGAAGAGTGTCAACGCTTGAGTCTTGACACTTGACCCCTCTTGCGCGATAGGTGTGTGTTTGGTGGGTCAAGTGGTGTGTGTTGAGGTACCTGATATGAAGCCCAAAATACCATTATTTAGGCCTAGTTTAAACCAATTTAATTAATATTGTTGGGTCCATAGTTGAGCAGTATTGGGCCTGTGGCCCATGAAGAGTAAACCACTTAAGGCTCGAAAGAAGGGCTCGAGGCCCAGAGAAAGGGGCATAGGGAATGGAGAACGGCAGGCAGCCACGCTACGATGGGACATGAGGTAGGCCGCCCGACACAGAGTACCGTTGGTGGCAGGAAAAGTAGATCTTCCTAGGATACTCGCCTCGAATACCGCAGGACTGAGCATTATTTGCCCACGGCGGGCGGTCCGGATAAAGCAAGGCACACCTGGGGCGCCCGACTCAGCATTTAATGCCTCATACTTGACCTAACTGACTATAAATACATTGATACCTGCATTGATGGTAGCTCAACTACTCTCTCTCTCTCTCTCTAAACACAAACCACAACTCTTATTCTATCTCTAACTTTAGCATCTGAGGGTGTCTGGGGCGACCGCCCAAGGACCCTTGTTTTGCAGGAGTTTGGAGTACACCCATCATCTGTCTCCGCCGTGAATGTTCTAATCCTGTGTCACCGGGGATGCTCGGCAGTTCGTCGGTGCCTGGTCGCGATGGCGTGCTGATAGAAGAGAGGGAGGGGAGAGTGTAGAATTTGATAATGCGGAATTGAAACAAACACAAAACAAGGGGTTTTACGTGGTATCCTCGATCGATTGATTGATCGAGACTAATCCACGGTGAGCTCATAAGAGCTCACGACTGATCTCTTATTAGGATTACATCTTGACGGCTTGCTTACGACAATCTCGTAGCTAAGCTTATATAGATAAACTTAGGGTTAAAACCCTAATCCAAAGAATCAGGCGAGGCCCAACAAGGCCCAGTACTAATACGGTTTAAGTAACCGCAACACTCCCCCTCAAGCGAAGACATGAATGACAAGAATGTCGAGCTTGAAGAAGTAAATGTGAAGAACAAGCATGATGACTTGAACCACAAAACTCGAGATGAATAACATCTCGGACAAGGTTGATTGGAGACGACTGGCTCTCTCTGAACAACCTGATGATGGAGACGATTGACTGCGTCTCTTGAACTCGAACACACTTGGTACATCGCGATCGACCTGATGACTGAGTTAGTCGACCGACGTATGTTGACCTCCTATTCTCCCCCTCAAGCTGGAGCATGAACATAGTGAATGCCCGGCTTGAAAAACGATGAATGGTTGATATGTGCCCAATAATGAACCGGAAGAGGGGATGACCATTTCTTGGGTCGTGAATGCCAACTGGACGATGAAGGGACGATAACTTCTCTGATCGTACTACCTTTTGAACGTCAGGGGACGACCACTTTATGAATCATGAATGCCTCAATCGATACTTGATTATATTTGATGAAAGCCTGCATCTAATTAAAGAGCCCATAAAAACTCTTACCGAAAACATATGCTGAGGCCCACAAAGGTGAGTTCGGCCACACGGCCCACACTTGGAATTTGAAGAGAGATGTGAGGCGGCCATGACTGGACGGCAACCATGTGATTTTTCCTTTGGTAATTACTGACAAAATGCAGCTTCAAAGGAGACACGATGGCCAGGCCTTAAAAGATGACTACCAAAACCTTTGGAGCATCTGTTGACCAAAAAAACAATTAACTCGAGTTGTTGGTCCCAATAACTCGAGTTGTTGGGAGAAGGTTATGCTGGATCTTATACAGGCCCGTGTATGGTGCTTAACCACTTCCTTACACGCCCCCTCAAACGAAAGCCGACTCATGGGCTTGAAGTTTGCACAGGCCCGCCATACCATGTGCTTGAAAGACAACGGTTAATATTGGGGGTCGTGAGGACTTGAACACGTGACCTCACAGACAAACCAGCTCTGATACCATGTAGAATTTGATAATGCGGAATTGAAACAAACACAAAACAAGGGGTTTTACGTGGTATCCTCGATCGATTGATTGATCGAGACTAATCCACGGTGAGCTCATAAGAGCTCACGACTGATCTCTTATTAGGATTACATCTTGACGGCTTGCTTACGACAATCTCGTAGCTAAGCTTATATAGATAAACTTAGGGTTAAAACCCTAATCCAAAGAATCAGGCGAGGCCCAACAAGGCCCAGTACTAATACGGTTTAAGTAACCGCAACAGAGAGGGAGAGCAGCGATGATGGGAAAGAGAAAAAGTTGAGAGAGAAGAGAAAGGTAGGGAGAGCGTGAAGATAAAGAGGGGAGTCTGGAGTGTGTAGAGGAAACCTCGATTTTGCAACCAATCCCTCCCAACAAGTTGGCAGGGAGGACGGATTAGGTGGAGTGAGTGGACAAACACAAAGCAGCGACGTGGCCATGTGACCACCAAGGAAACTCATAAATAAAAAGTATCTTACGGGTGCACCACAGAGAGAGCACAGAGGGGAAATAAAGGTTATTGACATCCATTTGAAGCCGACGTGATGTCATGGCAGGCCACTATAGGCTGTCCATTGTCCAATGAATCCAATGGGTGGAAGCCACGGAAGCAAAGAAAAGGAAGGCAAGCGAACAAAAGGAAATATTGGGGTCCATTGCAAGCCATTAGTCAATCAGAATCCAATGAACAATCTAATGTGTCTAAATGAACAGTTATTATGTCATGGTGTACAGGGATAGAAGATTAGTGCGATTAACTACTTTAATGGGTAAAAATGTCGCTGCCCGCAGCCTCATTCTCTCCCTCTTCCTATCCTCGCCCTCAACTCCCCATTCCCGCCACCACGAACACCGCCGCGACCAATATCACTATTTCCCTCCTTTTCTTCCTTCCCAAACCTTAATCTCGGGACTCTTGCAGTACCACTGTACCATGGCCTTCAAGGTCAATCTGTAACCCAGACTTGTACACCAGTTACTCGAATCGCAGTACATAACTATAGATCAATAGATCTAAGCATACCGGCGAATGCCTCTTACGGTCTTAATACCATCATTTGTCTACAATCAATGAATTCATCAATCTAATTTGAATTGGATTAAATGGATTGAATATTTTAATAGATGAATTCGATTTGATACAAAATTGTCTCCTCTCATAATGACATTTCGATTCACACCAGATTTATTCGAATTAGCTCGACATTGAAACATAACCGAACAAGATCAAATATAAAAGTAGACTTGTTTCTGATTACATGAACGTTCCGAATAATAAAGAGAACATAACCAAATGGTTATCTTTATCGGATCCAATCGGGTCAAATATCCTTTCAATCCGATACTTAAGTTTCCTCTACCTTCGGACGAGACTGTCATGATTTTGTTTTGGCTCGACCGTTGCACTACCCTACTAGCCACCGTGTTAATCACGACAAAAAAAACAAAAAACCCAGCGCGGTTGTATATTACTAGTTTGGCATGGGAATCTAAAGCTAAAATTACAACAACTTCATAGTGCTTAGTGCGGTATTGCCTTCATGAATTTCCAGGCAGAAACAAACAGCAACGGCACATCCTTCCACCCAATCATCAAGCTCTTGTAATCCAACGCCACCAAGCACGAGCCCGCGTACGGCGACCGGCGAATCACCAAATTCGCATGCTGCAAAGCCATCCCTCTTACTGGAATCTCCAGCATCCCAAACCTTGCAAAGTATTTCCTCCAAACCCTAATCTTCACATCCCGAATAATCCTCTCCTCCCCTTCCGCCACCAAAACGTTTTGAATCCGGTCGTTCAAATACCACGACTCCACCGCCGCCCTCGCCTCCTCGTTCCTTTCCATACACGTCGCCAGGCAGTCAAAATACCCGCCGACGGTGAACAACGTCTCGACGAACCGGTGGCCGAAATCGGGGGCGTTGTGATTCGCCTCCGTCTCGATCACCACCATCACGCGCGGGCGGATGGTCCGGATCACCTTCATCATCGCCTCCAGCCTCTTGGGCCTCCCGATCATTGGGCCGAGCGCGAACTCGGAGAGCACCACCGCGGCCTCGTTGGGCTCGAGGTCCAGCTGGTCCTTGTGGGCCCCCGAGGGGAACGTGCAGAACCGGACCACGTTGAAAGAAAAAGGTAGGCCCATCCCCCGGGCGAAATCCGCCAGCCGCCGCCCCGTCGACGCTTCCATGAACTGCTCCTCCGCCGCGTCGTTCGCCAGGGCGGTGATCCGGAGCAGCTCGATCGGGTCGGGCCGGCCCGACAGGGCCTGCATCAGGGCGATCGCGGGGAGGCCCGATCCCATCCGGAGCTCGATCAAGTGGATCCGCTTCTCCCCGGCGACGTTCTCCACCATGATCTGGACGGCGGCGAGCTGGGACGCGTTGTAGAAGGGCACCCTGTTTCGGAACTCCAGAGCGTTCTTGTCCGGCAGCGTCACCGCCGTGTCGGAAGCGAATGGCTTCCCATATTTTCCGCCGGCGTTAATTTCTCGACCTTCAATCCTCTGGCGGAGGGCGTTGCAGAAGTAGTACCCGACCCGCTGAACCGGGTTGCCGGTTTTTGAAGCCAGACGATCGCAGATGCTGAGAAGGCCGGCGGCGCGGTCGAAGCTCTGTTTCCCGACTTTCTCGGCGCAGGCGAGCAGGTACTCCATTAACTCCACGTTCTTGGCTTCTTCCGGCGTAAGGCCGCCGTCGTCGGAAGCAGGGGGGAAAATGTGAAACGGGTTGTTGAGCATTGAAGGGACATCAATCCCCTGCATTGACGATCTCGATTGTATGATCCTCGCCCCTGCCAGCTTTATGATTTCGTTGGTCCACAATTGCCTGCCGCCGTCTGCCGCCGCGGTAGCCGAGTCGCGGTTTCTTTTGGCGGTGGTGGAGGAGGAGAGGCGGTGCTTGAGAATGTCGAACCATGCTCTTGGATTAAAGGGCTGCTGCTGCTGCTGATCATTGTCGTAGCTCAATCTTTTCAATTCTCCTTCTTCCTCCTCCTCTCGCTCTTCGTCTTCTTCTTCCTCCGCTTGAGAGCCGCAGAGGAATTCAAGCTCCGCCATATCCATGATCCCGAAATCCGGGAAGGAGTCCTCATCGAAAAGCTGCAGGTCTGGTGGAAAGCCTGTGAAATCTGCCGCCGGGAACTGGTGGTTGATATTCTCCATTAATTAATTTCTGGGTATGGCAGAGAAGGGATCGATGAAATTGGTTTACTGTTTCGATTCACCTAGGTACTGTTTATATATATATAGTTGGCTGAGCTCTCGTCGTATTGCCCGGATGATTCGTATTTGAGAGTGAGAATAAGTTGAGAAGAAACCAATTAACCACTTCTGCCTGCCAGAGTGACGTCGGCCGGCCGAATCCTCTGCTTACCGATAACGACAATCCATGTGGTACAGGTTACAGGCAGAAGGCGTGGCGCATCCTCGACGGCGACGTGCGCGGCTTGTTTAATGGAAACCCCATCCAGCCAAGAACAATGATGAGAGATCAAACTCTAGCTTGGCGTCGCGTTGCAGTGTGATTGATGATTCGAACGCAGTTTATTTATTGTTCTTTCTGCTTTGGTTGAATGGGTTTGGTCGCTGCCTAATTACCTTGTTTGATATAAGACGAAGACGATCCATTTGATGGGCGAAGGAATAGAAATTTAGGACCCTAATGCCTTGTTTGAAAAAATAACATATGATTGAAACAAATCATTTTTTTTTACAAAAAATAATCATGTATTGATTCAAAAAATAGGCAGTCACATCCTGGAGATCAGCCATGCCTTAAAATCAAAGAAACGAGACTCATAATCGGGTACAAAGAGAGGACTTTTCTAGCCACCAAGTGGGCTACCCTATTACTACTCCGACCTATAAATCGCACACTAAATAAAAAAAAAATACACATGTAGCTAGTGAAACAAATCTCAAAAAAAGGCTAATTTACTATAAATAATTTTAAAATATTAATGGAAAATAATTTGGAAGTATTGTTTCGTAATATTTATAATACTTGAAGAGTCAATGTTGAGTATAAAACAGGGATTAAGATTGAAGAGTAGTAAAAAAAATTAGTCATTTATAAATAACTTGGTTAGTCGATCATTATATAAATAACTCTTTTTTTTTAATAAATAATTTCATATCAAATAACTCAATTAAGTTGTTTAGTACCAAAGGACTCATGCAAACCACTCATTAGTTCTTTAGCCTAGCTATAAGAGCAGTGCTCTTATAACTAGTCTTGTATTACATACTTACACTAATTAATAATTTTATGCCCCTCGATTGTTGTTGTTTTCCTGGGGACAACATCTTTCGTTTCTGCTTTCTAACCCTTAGCAGCAAGCAATGACCTTTTTGTCGATTGGTTATAACGAAAAAACAACCCAGCACTTTTTCTTATAATTCTCTCTAATGACACCATCAAACCAAGCTGAAAACAAAAGGGAATTCGTTATCAGACAATTAAACAAACGCTTAAGGGTTGGTTTGGTAATAAATCAGCTGATATTATCTCATGCCCACTCGATTCGAATTGCTATTAATACGATACACAATTGAACATTATGATATAACTTGAGTTATTGAGATCAACTGATTCTTGTCATGATATTAGTAGCTTTGATGATTGACAAATCTTGTTTTTAATCTTAATTTACCCATTTGTAAAACATGTGGTACGTGATCAAACCATTAACAATGTATATCACATTATCTTATATTTTTTTAGTTCTTTTACAAAACATACTTGCCATCATTTGTCTTGTCCTTTGTAGGCCCGCTTGGTTTCCTCGGACCGCTGATTGTGTTTGTAAATTGTGATTAACTCTCCTTCTGTGCTGTTTCTCGTCGGGTTTCGTTTGTGTTTGGGATTGGCGGCTTTGACTGATGTTGTTTAATTTGCATTTCCGGCTTGGGCTGCTTTTGGTTGGCATTTTCCTTGTCTTCCGTTCCTTGCTAGTATTCCTAGTTTCCACAACGTTTCCTAGTTCACACTCAATTCGTTAGAAAATTTTCCCCCCTCTTTTCTTTTCTTTTTTGGTAAAAAAATCTTTTATTTTGCAAAGGACATATACTATATTACAGTGGCAATTACTTAAATAATCATCAAACTAAGTTAAAACGTAACGAAACTGTCACTAAACGTCACAGAGAAAAAAAAAATGGTCACTAATATTTGTGGATCCGTAACAAAATAGTCACTACTCCTAGTTTTGTAGTATATTCTTTTCCAAAGGAAGTTGGGGAAGTATATACAGCTAATAATGTTACTCATCGTTCACTAAACTAACGATTAGGCTCTATGGTGACTTTGTTAAAACTTCAAGTTAGGGGGAATTGAAGTTTGGCGAATAAATATAGTTGATCGGTTTTTGGATCGGGTCGATTGATCGATAGTAAATATATTTTATATATATATACTTTGTGTAGTTTATATTTATAACTGTCGATCAAACTCTTTCATAGATCGACCTAATCAGAGTATAAATATCAATAAAAATTTATAGCTACATAATATGGCATATAGTGTTCAATCAAGGCGTCAAGCAGTCAGTAATTTATTTGAACATGTCAACCGATTTCAAGGCACGATGCATACACCAATTTTTTTTATCGTAATGATCCATCTCCGGGAGAATGGAGGTGCAGATCATTACAAGGAAATGTATGCAAGTTTCTGATGAATCTCGAACATAGTTGCCAAGCCAAAAGCTCCTCTTCTTGTATTTACTGAAGATGAGGGTGGAAGGCTCCGAACACTTCCTTGTAGACAGGCTTCTTGAAATCTACTGCCTGCATTTTTTTGACACGAACATCAGCAGCAGCCAGGGAAGTTGTGAATCATAAAACAAGAGAACCACCGAATCAAAATCCTGGTTTCGATTCCACAACTCGCGAACTACGTATCACTCACACGATCGATTACTTCTTCAGCTGACATCCATGACCATTCCCCGAACTCTGGTTTCTCACTGCCGTCACCCAGCAGATTGATCTCCTCCTCTTCCTTCCCAGTGAACTTGAGCAGAAACCTGCGTGTATTTTCGAGTGAGCAGTTAAGACGTTGTGGAACGAGGTTGTTGTCGAGACTCACAATTATCAAGCAATGCAAGCTGTTTTATTAACCCTGCGCTTACCATTTTTGTGCTTGACCTTTCCAGTCAGTTCCCCATTGTTGATTAAGCTTTTCCCTAACTTGTGGTGGGAAGTCATATGTCAACCAATGTGGTGCCTGCAACAATAACGCGATCATGATACCTTGTTGTTAAACCTTGCATAGACACCATCTGATTATACAACGAATTCAAAGTATAAAGATCGCAATCTTGGCATGATCGTCAAATCTCAATCTTCTCATTTATCAGGGGGGAAAAAGAAAGAAAACAAGGCCTGAGCAACTGGGAAACCAAATAGACTGTAACTATTCTACTTCTCTTATTAGATTCTGCCAAATCTAATTGGTAGAAATCACCTGTGCATCTTAGCTGGCTGAAACTGATTTGATCGTTATATATTTGGATCAAGTGCAACCTTTGTATTGGAATCAGGCTTTCTAACCAGGGGCATACAGTAGTGAAAGCAAAATTATGTCTAAATGAAAAACCTCAGCAAGAATCTCTGCGGAGCTGACTCCAGTCTCTTCTTTGAGTTCTCTGAGAGCAGCAGCTTTTGGATCTTCATTCTCGTCAATGCCACCCTGCACAAGTAGTTGTTAAGAATAATTCGAACAGATCAATGGAGCAATGAGAGCTACGCAAGAGCAGTATATACAGTCAACAGTTCTGCCACAAGTTAGCTGCACATGAGATAAAAGGGCAATGCAGGGACCATGGTCACTGGGAATAAATGACATGCTGGCATATGTATACTGTATACGCCTCAAGTAAATGTTCCTTCATAAAATAACCATCAAGTAAAAATCTAACATTTCCCCTCCGCATTTGCGCTGCATTATCCCCTGGCTATTAAAATTTCACCAGCAAAATAGCAATAGATGCAGCCTGTCTGATTCCCAATCATCTAACTCCAAACCTTCAACACCAATTTTCTAACAAGTGATTGCCTTTCTAGCAGCTATATGATCGTTAATCTAACAACAAACAAAAGTTAACATTTCACTAAACCATACTATAGAATAGGCATTAGTTCAGTGCCACTTCCAAAAATTGCACAACTTACAGAAAGAATCACTACCTCAGTCTCAACTTCAATGAGATAGCAGCTTCTTCATTAGACCTAAACGGCTGGTTGCTTATCCTCCTTGGGAGTGTGAAGTTTTTACTTTGTTTGGATTGGGTAAACCAGTAATTGCTAAAGATGAAGTAAACCGACAATACAATCCTTGTTCTAAGATTTCCCGGTGAAACACATCAAAATACGTGACTGCTTGATACTGGTCTCTCCTCTCTGAAGTTACCCTCAAAGATCTCAAATTGACACACCCTTTTGGATGAATTTGTATGATGTCTTCTCTAGTTATCTAATGGAGTAACTAATGCCTAGTCCCAACCACTTCAATTCATGGCGACTTACAATCATCTCTAATTCAGAAGGCTATACCTATACAACACTCAATGTTGAACAAAAAATTTAACACCCTAAGGAAAACCCCTAAACCACCGAAGATGACAAGTAAGGGGGGATCAGGAACTCACCTGCGGCATCTGCCAAGAATCCGGTACGTCCAGTCTTGAAGCAGCAAATATCTACAGAATTTTATGCAAATTTCAGAATTGGCAAAAGAAGATTCCAATGCGGTCTCTAGTTCTCGATGGGAAACTAAAGAGCAGAAACGCCGTACCTTCTTAGATGGGTTGATGAGACAGATACCCACGTTTCTTCTGTAACCTTCAGGGGGAGACTCCATGGATGATGATGACGACGACGACGAAGATGCTGATAAAGTTCTGAGCTCTAATGGTCCGGTTAAGCGCTTCAAAGAGGTATAGAGAGGTGGCAATTTGGTGAATTCGTGCAACTTAGGAGGGTAGTTTGAGAATGACAAAGTGGGTACTATGGTGGAGAGCATCTGATGCCGAGGAGGGCGATGGAGCTGGGAATAACTGAGCAGGGTCCGGCAAATGGCCATTTCCCCATCACTTCAAAAGTTTCTCACTTTCAATACGGCCAAGCTGAGTACCAGGCTACCAACCAATTGGAAGAGAGAAGGAGCCCAAAATTCCAGGCCAAGACTCGTAAAATAGCCTCTTTGACTCTTTGGCTCTTTGCCCTTAACCTAGCCGGTACTGTAACGATGTAATCCCAAAAAGGCCCTCGGTGGGTTGATGGGTTGATTGATTTTCGGTTGTACCTAGGAGTTTCAACTCATCTCTTCCCTTCGCCCATGGAAGCAACCTCCGGCAGCCGGCACGACCTAATTCATTTGACATTCTCCGGCTAAGTCGCCAAGAAAAGGCAAATGAACAGAGCGATGCTGGAGAGACACAGTCAGGCTTTGTTTGTAGTCCCAAAGATGGTGAAAGTCCCCCCTTCCTGGGCTCTTTCAGTCTTCAACTCCTCTGTTCTTCAGGGTGTCCATCACAGTAGCCATTCCGTTTCCTTAGTCCTCCAACATCTCCTTCACTCCAACATGGTATCGGATGCGCAGTCGCTTCTTCAGCGGGTACTTTCTAATCGAATCTCTTCACCTTTCTTCTCTGTTTCATCTCTCCTCCAGTATTTAACACAACCCAGCTTGAATTCAACCTCATCAGTTAGTGCCCTTGTATATGAGTCCATTGTCAATGCCCATGTTCATTCCCAGTTAACAGATGATGCTCTGTTCTACTTCAATCAAATGCTTGAGAGAGGCCTTGCTCCTGGAGCCGTGACATTCAATAACCTGTTGGGTTGTCTTGTTAAGGCAGGCTGTTATGAAAGGTCCTGGAATTTTTTCCAAGGAGTGAAAGGGAGGGTTGAAACTGATGTGTACAGTTTTGGGATAATGGTGAAAGGTTGTTGCGAGTCTGGTGATTTAGATAGAGCTTTTAAGGTTATGGCCCAGTTGGAGGAGATGGGTCTATCTCCAAATGTTGTTATATACACTACTTTAATTGACGGCTGTGGTAAGAAGGGTGATATTGAAAGGGCAAAATTGCTGTTCAATAAAATGTGGGAGTTGGGTTTGGCTGCTAATGAGTATACTTACACTGCTTTGATTAATGGACTCTTTAAGAAAGGACTCAGAAGAGATGGGTTTAAGTTGTACGAGAAGATGCAGCTGAGTGGAGTGCTTCCTAATCTCTATACCTATAATTGCTTGATTAATGAGTACTGCAATGAAGGGAAAATGGACAGAGCTTCTGCTATGTTTGAAGAAATGTGTGAAGGTGGCATTGTGGCTAACGTGGTTTCATACAATATTCTTATTGGTGGGATGTGTAAAGATATGAGAATCTGGGAAGCAGAGAAGCTTGTCAGTCGAATGAAAGGTGCAGGTGTTGTTCCAAACTTGATCACATATAACAATATCATAGGTGGATTTTGTAGCACGAGAATGTTTGACAAGGCTTTGAGTTGGTTAGATGAAATGCAGTTGAATGGGCTATCGCCATCGTTGGTTACCTACAATGTTCTCATTCAGGGGTATTCTAGTGCTGGTAATTTAGGGAGAGTGACTGCTTTGGTCCGGGAGATGGAAGACAGAGGTTTCACTCCTTCTGCGGTGACATATACAATCTTAATTAATACTTATGTGAAGTCTGGGGATATGGAGAAAGCATTTCAACTTTTGTCCTCTTTGAAGAATGCTGGTTTGGTTCCTGATGCCTACACTTACGGAGTGTTAATAAATGGATTCTGCAAAAGTGGGAACATGAAAGATGCTGCAAAAGTATTTAGATCCATGAGAGAAATACCGTTGGAGCCTAGTGATGTAATATACAACACAATGATTAATGGATACTGCAATGAAGGTAGCTCCTACAGGGCCTTGAGGTTGCTTGAGGAAATGGAGGGTAAAGGATTAGTTCCAAATGTGGCTAGTTATAACTCTACCATTGCAGTCTTGTGTAAGGATGGGAAATGCCAACATGCAGAAGTGTTATTGAACAGTATGATTGGTAAAGGATTAAAGCCTAACGTTTCCATCTATAATAAGATCCATGAAGCCAGATGTGCCTTAGATTTGAAGATTTGAAGGACGGAAGGAAACAGGGGAAGTGGAGAACCAATGTCATGTGGCTTCTGGAGTGAAAAAAACTGATCTGTTACTGTGATGTGCAAGCCTAGATTTGCTCTTGGACAGTTAAGTAATGCTTAAGCACCAAATCTTTTCTTTCTGTGGTTGCTTGATGTATAGAACAACCACCTTCCCCTAAATTTAATCGACACGTGTTTATATAAACATTAGGTAGAAATACAGATGTCGGTTGTACATTACTGATATTGCTGGTTTCAGAGTTTCTTCTTCAGAAAAATTGCTTGTACCCTTCTCAGTACTACTTAGTATAGATGAGTGTTCCTCGATCTTGCCGAAGACTAAATTCTCAACTTCTAAGTAAAGGAAATGCAAAGAAGCTGTTGAAAAGGTAGCCGAGAGATACTGTTTTAATTGCTGTCATGTGAGTCATGTCCATAGATGACAGATTTGGAGGTTGAAGTGTTTAAGCATAGCTGGAAAGGAAATGGCCGGGATGAACAATGAGGTAGCCCTGCTTAGTACTGACCACTAGCTGTTCATTTACTTGGGAGTAGTTATGCAGTCTGCATATTGAAAATACAACTTCCCTTTGTTTTCTGCTCATCTTTATACTATTTCTGCCTGCCTGTTGCTGTGAGGGATGCAGGGCGTTCTACATGGATTATGATTCTTTTTGTATGTTTCAGGCGGCAAGCTGCTGCTAAGTGCTAAGGAAGGACAGATGAGCAGGTTCCACTCAGATATGTTAAAGGACAACTCGGACCGGGTCATAAAACTCAAACATGGCGCTGGGAGTTCTGATTTGTCTAACTGTTGGGGTAAGCTGAAAGTTAAGAAGGGATGCAGGCCAAATGCATTAAGCAGTAACACGTCGGAATGGGATTGCTAATTCAAACTTGAGGAGGATGTGCACAAATGCTTAGTAGGTGATTTCACGGTTTCAGGTTCCAACTGAACAACCAGTGGGCTTTTGCTTATAAACGTCGTGGGTGCGAGGAATGAGAGTAGGAAATGGACAGTTCGAAGGCTGAATCAGTCACAGAGTCCCAGTGACAGACTCCCATCACGAGGTAAACTGCAGGTGCACCAGCTTTGACAATCTCTGGTATGAACATAGAACAAGTTTGACAGATCAGTAAGTCTGAGCATCGCAACTGTAGCTCAACAAATGGTCGGTTTTGATGGTAATGGCGATGTAGAACAAGTATAAAATTGGTTTTACAATTTCTTAGATGTAGATCACCTAATATATTTGCTGTTGTATTCCTGTTTTCTCTTCCTTTTTCCTCACTTATAATAAACCACCTTCTTTCATCCAATTCGACCAGACTACTGTAAGTAGAAATCATTGCATTATAATAAAAACTATCTATGAATTTGTGTAGCTTTTCTCAGATTAGCACATTGTCTTTGTTAGAAAAGCTACCTGGTGGTGGTGACTCAGAGGTCCACTGCAAACCAGACTTTGGCAATGGAAAAGAGTGGTCAAGAAGAAAGGGAAACTATATATATTCAGACATGAGACATCCCCACAGAATCTCTTTTCTTCTTTTTTTTTTGAATAAAAAAAAAAAAAAAAAAAAAAAAAAGAATCTCTTTTCTTCTTACAGACAACTTTTTTCCCCCCTAAGAGTTAACTTTCCAATCACGTAAGGGGTTACTTTTGACGTAACCCATAATACCTGAAGTAGTGAAAACTTGAACATTCAGAAGCTTAATGGATGTCGAGTTTTGATAGTTGTTGCTCCTCTAAGACGATCGATGTGGCCGTGGGATTGTCAAATGCGTAGATTTGGATTCAGAAAGTTTTTGAGTTTGTGATTTGATAGTCGTCACTTCTATTTTACTTTTATGACGCCTACTAGCCGGCATGGTTATTGTACCTTGTCTAATTCGTCTTATGAACTTGTTGGATGCGCGTAGCAAATTTTTTTTTTTTAAATGGCTTTGGAGCCTAATTAATTAGCTAATTACGTACTTGATGATCATCAGCATGCACTCACTATTCACGTGGGATTCAATAGTGAAATTAAAAGCATATTTTAATTGCAAGTGCTGCTCGACCTAACCGTCCATTAACTCGATTTAACAAACCAATTAAGCCCCCTAATCAGTGTGTTTATATATGTGAACAACTCAATTTTTTTACTTGTGGGCAGCCTTTATGTTATTATAATCTCAAACCCTGATATGGATCTTTTTGTGAGATTAACTCTCCCAATACAATGAACATCCTCAATTGTTATCAATTATAGTTAGATAAACTGTTGAGAAGAACCATAAACTGTCTTTGAGTCTCTATGAATCGGGAATAACCAAGTATAAGAAACTATTATATGACCTATAATTAATTTTTTACACCACTACTTCCAAGTTCCAACAACTTAACATGATGCCAGACTGTCATTTGTTAAGCACATGATATCCAGACTCGTACGAACTCTGATTAAGTTCATATGAATTGACTTCTGTTTAAAAATATGTATCCGTAGATAATATAAGATTCATAATGAAATTTCACTCAAATGCGAATACGACACGCACCCGTGGCGGCCACAATCCATTGTGGAAAAGGCACATTGATCCTGTGCCAAATGTGAATTGGGCAAACCAAGTACACTAATAAATTGGAGCTAGCTATATAAAACACTAAAAAAAAGGTTTCCATGTGGGTGGTGCTGGTGCATGCGTTAGCTAGCTAATTAACTGCAGTTTCGGTCCCCTTAGCTTTCTTTCTCCACAGGCATTGGCACCCTCTCCACCCAACTCAAACATTCTTAATTATTCCATTTCTCAACTTTTTAATAAATCTATAATAAACAACCCTCACATTCTTCCTTCTTGTCTATCTTGGAGTTCGGTCGGTTCGGTTATAATAAAAAATCAAAAAGTTGGTTATCGGTTAAACCGAATAACCTCCAAAACCTATCGACCGAAAAAAAGGCGCCTTAAGACTTCGATAATTTCGTTTTTCGGTTAATCGAGCTGTCTCCAAGACCAAAAGCATCTCGCCCATCCTTCCAAATACCGATCGGTTTTCGATTAGTGAATAACCGACCGGTTTTGATTGTAACTGGTCGATTAACCGCTAACCTCTATCTATGTCGTATATAAATACATCAAGCCTTTTAATATATTCATCCACCGCCAAGCAAACCATTCATTCACCATCTCTCTCTCTCTCTCTCTTGATTTCTTTCTTTCCAGATATGGAAGTAAAAGGGCTAGAGCCCATTTTCCATACCCACTTGGATTCCGCTAGTGCATGCAGATGGTGGTCGAAGGAGACGGTGGCGGTGGTCACCGGCGGGAACAAGGGGATCGGGTTCGCGGTGGCGAAACAGCTGGCGGAGCAAGGGCTGACCGTCATCCTAACGGCGAGAGACGTCGGGAGAGGGGAGCAAGCCGTGGGGACGCTGAGATCTCGCTTCGGTCTCCGTCACGTCAACTTCCGTCATCTCGACGTTTCGGATCCCTGTTCCATCACATCCTTCGCTTCTCAGTTCCGTCGCGACTTCGGTCTGTTAGATATTCTCGTAAGTAGCATCATGCAGAGTTTTTCTTTTTCCTTTATTTGAAAGAAACACTAGCTTAATTAGTTAATTTGACTTCTAAAAATGAGAAAATGACATAGAAAGTCGGCTTGGAGTAGTGTATAAATGACTCGGTCTGCCTTTTTTGGTTAATATTTTAAATTAATATCGGTCCATATGATATCACACATGCTTGCTAAAGAATACTAATAAACCACAAAAGCTTTACTAATATATATAAAATTAAATAAAATATCTGTAATAAATTTAGAAAAAGTGTAGTTGGTAAGATTTGAGTCTTCCTCTCTAATTATTATGATTAAAATGAAGAGTCATTTCTAGGTTGAGATTTCAAGTGGAGTATTTAATCGATACATGTAATTAAATAATTTTTTTTGTGTTAAAATTTGAGATAAAATATATGTATTAGCATTCTTATGCCCACACCTACAATAATTCAAAATGAATGATTATCAATTGCTACCATAACATAACATTGTTAACAATGTAACCCAATATTTCTTTATAACAAAAACAAAATCTAAACTTCAGAACAAGGTATTTTGAAGAATTCCAACCTCCAAATTAAACTGACTCCTAAATTTCGTTCATTCAAATTTTTGAATTCCGCCCACTGCAATCACACCAATGCGGTAAATAAATTATAATGATGATGAATTGATGATGATTCAGGTGAACAATGCAGCAGTTTCGTTCAACGAGATCAATGAGAACTCAGTGGCGCAGGCAGAGAAGGTAATGCGAACAAATTTCTACGGTCCCAAATTGCTCATCGAGGCCCTCCTCCCTTTCTTCCGCCGCTCTCCTTCTCGCGGCCGCATCCTCAATCTCAGCTCCAGGCTCGGCTCTCTCACCGTACGTGTAACTACAATTAGCTTGTCAATTAGCATCACTAATCAACATTAATTAAAAAAATACTTTATTAATTAATTCATGCAGAGAGTGGGGGACCCCAGGCTGAAGGCGATGCTGGAGAGCGACGCGCTGAGGGAGGAGCAGATCGAGGAGGAAGTGGCGAGGAAGTTTCTGATTGCGGTGAAGGAAGGCACGTGGGAAGGAGAAGGCTGGCCGGCGCATTGGACCGACTACGCCGTCTCCAAGCTCGCGCTCAACGCCTACTCCGGGGTTCTGGCGCGGCGGCTCCGCGCGGCGGAAGGGAAGTTGACGATCAGCGTCAACTGTTTCTGCCCCGGGTTCACTCAGACCTCCATGACACGTGGCAGAGGGACCCACTCCGCCGACGACGCCGCCAGGTGCGGGGTCGCCCTCGCGCTGCTGCCTCCCGATTTGCTCGCCACCGGCAACTTCTACGTCGCGGTTACCGGCCCCGGCGGCGTTAGTTCCAAGCTGTAGGTTTTATTTTCCGGCTTGATTAGGTAGGGTAGTGGGCTTTTAATAGATTTGGGCCGAATAGGTGATCTGCCTGCGTGGGCTAAGGACAGGCCCGACGCTGGCTGTTTCTTTTTTAGTTTGTGTGTGGGCTGAGGAACTCGGCCCAAACGAATTGGGTTTGTATTAGGATTTGGTCTGCTCCATCTGCTTGTTCTTTGTTTTATGCAATTCAAGGTTGGTCACTATATTTCCTAATTTCTCGTCTCAACTACACTAAACGACTTATAAATTACCGTGTACAAAACGAATGTGCTTATAAAGAAAAAGAACGGTCACGGCCAAATATGGAGATCATGAAATATATAGTACGAGAATTGGTGTGAAACTAATACCTCGGCATTATTTATTTATTTTCGTTGAATGCCTCGGCATTATTTAGCATCAAAGAAAATTCATTCTCTTTCTACAAGTATAGTCATAGCATCATCTTATTTATGATGTTGGATTCCACCATACTCGCTCTATCGTGTTCGACCCTCGAATGCCAAATGCCAATTTCTGCCCTCTCAATTCCATTTGTTTGCTACAATCTTCACACTTTTCGGATTTGGTCCCAACCTCTTAGCTCATATAAACAAATTAGCTCATGTGTTTCACTTTAATTTTGTTTTTGTTTAGTTGACATAAACCATCCACAACATGAGAAGTGTAAATCACACTTTTGAATTCAGACGTCCTAATGTCCCCATTAAAACATTCCTATCACAAATTATTATATGTCTGACCCTAACCCAACTAAGGCCAAAAAAATGGGAGTAAAATATCCCTCGGGCGAGACGTGGCTACACAAAGTGACGCAGAAGAGGACTAATCACAAAAGAGACGGTTCCAGCAAAAATGGAGAGAGCGTCGGTAGACTTGGCCCAATGGGCATCCAATGACCGATAGTTTTTAATTCACAGATTTGTGAAATATTTGAAGTTATCCGCCACGTAAGCAAAAGGCTAGCGAAAGAGAATCACACCCGCCTCTTCCTGTACACCGGCATGCACCCGATCCTGCCTTCCTTGCTCTCATCTCGCGATCCCGTGCCGAGTCTCCACGGCAGCACTTCTACTAATAATTGCTCTCTCTTTCGCTCCTCTGTTCTCTTCCTTTCTTAATCTCACCGGGACACAGGACACTCACCACCACAACCTCTCCCACTTCGTCATTTACCCCGTCCTTTGCTACTAATAACCTGCGGACTGCGGTGAGTTCTTCTTTTGATTTGATCGGAACATTAGGTTTTGCTTTCGCTCGATCGGGATCGGAGCCTTCTTCGTCTTCTCGGGTTTCTCTTACGGTTTTCTTTCTGTTGCAGAAGATGCCGTCAGTATACGGAGCAAGATTGACGACCTTCGAGGACTCCGAGAAGGAGAGTGAGTACGGATACGTCCGGAAGGTACTGTTTCGCTCATTTCTCCTGCTTTGATCTCGTCGGCATTGGATTTGAAGTGAATTGGTCCAGATCGATTTGATTTCGTTGCTGCATCGACGTGATTGTTTTATTGCAATTGAGATCGAGTTTGTCAAATGCTTCGTGGCTTGTTTGAGTGGATGGACATTTGGATCTTATTTGTGGACGGAATTGTGTGATCGCACGGATCAAGTTGTGAACCTTTCCGATCCGTTGATTGTGTTATCTGTAACTGTTAGTATCTGGTCCACTCGTGCTCTGTGGAGTCGGTCGCGAAGGAGATCGAAAATGGATTCAGCAGAAGCTCTTGACGAGGCAAATTTTGGTTGTTTCTGTTAGGCATACTTGTTTCTGTTTGTTGTGACGTATAGAAGCTTGGCGTTGGGGATAGGTGCTGCAGTTTGGACTGACTGGTTCACTTTCATGGCCAATCAACCTCTGGAAGGAAAAAAAGGAAGTTATGATGCAAAATTAAGTTAAAAGTCCCTCTCGTCTTTCCCCTTTTGTGACCCTCTCACCAAAAGTGAAAAGCTATACTCTAAAGAAGCATATAAGAAGGTATAAACAAAGAAAACTTTGGCTAGTCCTTTGCTGGGCATTACATTGCCATTCTTGAATGGTAGCTTATAAGGTGTCTTTTTCTTTGCTGTTTGAGTACTTTTAGTTGGTGTTTGAGTACAACTTTTCCTCTGTAGTGTGGGAGACAAATGGGACTACGATGATGATGTTACTTCTGTTGCCACTGTTGCTATGACAGTCAAATTTCTGTATCTTTTTGTTTTGTTACTGATTTATGTTGCTGGGCTCGGCACTCTCCTATCACCTTTTGAGCAGATGTTCTATCTCGATTTTGTTTTTTGTATCAGTTACTAGCTGGTTGAATTGCCTTGTTTCAATTTTTTCCTTCCTTTTAACATGATACTTGTTCTCCTAGGTATCCGGGCCTGTCGTCATTGCAGATGGGATGGCTGGTGCTGCTATGTATGAACTGGTTCGTGTTGGTCATGACAATCTGATTGGGGAAATCATTCGGTTGGAAGGGAATTCAGCCACAATTCAAGGTTCGGAATTTATTTCTATCTCCCTGTTGGCTTTCAGTTTTTTACCATTACGTTTTAGTCCTGTTTGCATCATATGCACCTTGTCAAATTATGCTTCCTTCTTTTCTTTCGCAAGAGTGGTGTCGCGAGAAAACTTCTATGGCCATTATTTCTCGAGTTTTGTTGGTCCACTGAAAATCTTCGGAGTGCCTTGGAGCACTTGGCACTAAACGTTTGCTCTTTGGTTTCAGTGTACGAGGAAACAGCTGGTTTGATGGTCAATGACCCTGTTCTTAGGACTCGCAAGGTAATGTTTCAGTTATAGCTTGACCTCACCAATGTTGTTGTAGTTTGGATTGTAATGGTAATGTTTATTTTCCAGCCTCTATCTGTGGAGCTAGGACCAGGAATATTGGGGAATATATTCGACGGAATTCAGGTTTGATCCCTGATACCCTCGTCTTTGTCAAGATTCAAGTTTCTGATCTTTCAGATATAGGCTTTTCGCATATTTTCTCATAACAATATGTAAACTTTGGTGGAAATCGTGTGATTTATCTGTTCTATGGAAACAGAGGCCTCTGAAAACTATTGCAAAGAGATCCGGGGATGTGTATATTCCTCGTGGTGTTTCTGTCCCCGCTCTTGACAAAGACACGCTTTGGGAATTCCAGCCTAAAAAATTAGGTAATTTCTGGACCTGGAAACTTGCTTACTGTTAAGACATTGTGCATTTAATTCTTAAGAGTGCTCTCTTCCTCTATCTCATTTTGGCAGGCGAGGGAGATCTTTTGACTGGTGGGGACTTATATGCTGTGAGTTTTACCACTAGCCTTCTGCTCTGTAGATTCAATCTGCAGGGGGACTCTAGCTGCTCATTTTAGTTTGTGCTTTTTAATTGCTGGTTCTCATTATGTAACTGTGTTCTTTTTGTAATTCAGACTGTTTTCGAGAACAGCCTTATGCAGCATCACGTGGCCCTCCCTCCAGATGCCATGGGAAAGATTTCCTACATTGCACCTCCTGGTCAATATTCACTGAAGGTAGTTTCTACTGATATATGGGCAACCGTGATTATTACCTGTATATGCAATAAACCCCTCTTTCTTATTAACGTTGAAATAACTGGGAAATGTCCATAGTTAAGTTTCTTCAGTCCACACTTAGGGTTGCCATTTCTGTTTTTCATTACTGAATGTTTATGTTTCCTAATGGACCTTGGTCTATTTGCTCTCTTGGTTGCAGGATACTGTGTTGGAGCTTGAGTTTCAGGGTGAAAAGAAGAAGTTCACCATGCTTCAGGTTTCTCATTTGTGATGCAAGTTAGTTTTAGTTTGCAGCTCTTGTGAAATGAATCTTATGTGTTATGCTGTATGTTTTTATCTATAGACCTGGCCGGTTCGTACACCAAGACCTGTTGCATCAAAGCTTGCTGCTGATACCCCTCTCCTCACTGGGCAGGTAGTAACCAACCGTGCATTTTGTTTTCTCTTCATCTTTAAACTTGCACAATGTGAACCCTCATGATTCTGTTGAATATGTTGCACCAGCGTGTCCTTGATGCTCTTTTCCCTTCTGTGCTTGGTGGAACTTGTGCCATTCCCGGGGCATTCGGATGTGGCAAAACTGTCATTAGTCAAGCACTTTCCAAGGTTAAAATCATGTGACTGATTATATGTGATTTGCTTTAGTTAATAGTTTATATCATAACTCAGACGATAACAAAATGCATTTACTGTGCAGTACTCGAATTCTGATACTGTTGTGTACGTTGGATGTGGGGAGAGAGGAAATGAAATGGCTGAGGTATGTGTCATATATCTAAATATCTGTATCTGTATGTTTACATGCACCAGTATTCTAAGAATGGCTATAAACTCAGGTGCTTATGGATTTCCCACAATTGACTATGACATTGCCTGATGGCCGTGAGGAATCTGTGATGAAGCGTACAACACTTGTTGCCAATACCTCAAACATGCCTGTCGCTGCTCGTGAGGCTTCAATTTATACAGGTACAGTTCTGATTGATTCTTTACGGAGGGAGAGGAATAGCTAATGGATTAATGAAGTCTTTTTCCCCTCTTCATTGTATTGTCATGGAACCCTAAGAAATTTGCCGGTCTACAATCTTTAAATAAGAAACACAAATGTCATCTGTGTTCTGTAAAAAAGTGAAACTATTTCCACTTGAATGTGCTTCATTGGTACCTTCCCAGCAATTTAGCTAAATGATCAATATTTTATTTGGACAGGAATTACTATTGCTGAATACTTCAGAGATATGGGGTACAATGTGAGTATGATGGCAGATTCTACTTCACGATGGGCAGAAGCACTGCGTGAAATTTCTGGACGATTGGTTAGTCCCCTTTTAGCTGTCTTTGGTTCTTTAGATATCATGAATCTCTTTAGAGTGAGATCATCATTATAACAATTGGATTGGGATCATCATTATACTTGTCCTGTGTGGGCACCGAGCTCATGTTCACTTTCTATCTACTGTTTTCGAGAGTGTACGTCTTTCATGTTGAACTTGTCGTTTGCCTAAACTAAACCACTTATTCTTTATTTCTTTTATAGGCTGAAATGCCTGCGGATAGTGGATATCCTGCTTATTTGGCGGCACGTCTTGCTTCATTTTATGAACGTGCTGGTAAGGTAAAATGCCTTGGTGGGCCGGAGCGTACTGGCAGTGTCACAATTGTTGGTGCTGTTTCACCGCCTGGAGGAGATTTTTCTGATCCTGTCACATCTGCTACGCTCAGTATCGTCCAGGTGAATATGAATACTTATGTTGCTCATTTAAAGTGTGATTGAAATATTTGTAAAAATGAAGGGTTTTCGGCACTGTTGGCCATATAATGGTTTGAGAATCGGTGCGATCAGTGCTTGAAGTTTCAACCTAGTTTACGGCTTACATTAGAAGTTCATTCATAACTTCAGTATAGGGTGGTCAGGTGAAATTTAATTTCAACCATAACCATTATAATCTGTGATATGCTGTGAAAAATATTGCAGACCATCATTTGTATCAATATTTTTGGCTTTTGTGGCTTAGGATCTTCTTGCAGTGCATGAGCTTTTGAAAAGGATGATAGATCAGTTCTTCCTAGTTTGACAAAGCTTATGTTCTATACAATGAAATAAAATCCTAAGTACCTGTCAGTTGAATTGGATGGTTTGGAGGGAAATTTCTTGTCAATAATTGGCTCAATTGATTGTTTTACCCAAAACTTTATCCAAACATAAACCTCATGGGATGGATGGCTACCAAGAAACTTAGAGTGGTTCCTTTTTTGTTTTAAGATACAAGCCAGTGAAAATTAACAATGAGCTCTCCTATCCTGCTTGTCAGTTGATGCCCTCCTCTCCCACTCTACTTTTGTTGTTTTTGACGCCTAGTGAAGATCTAATTAAATGTTACTTGCAGGTTTTCTGGGGTCTGGACAAGAAACTTGCACAGAGGAAACATTTCCCTTCTGTAAACTGGCTTATTTCCTATTCTAAGTACTCTACGGTATGTTTTTATCTTCTGGATGTTATTCTGTATGAATCGGTGCTCTATTTATGGTTTCGTGTATCTTTCTCTACAATCTTTATGCATGTTAATTCAAAATTTCTTCATTGTTTAGGCGCTGGAACCTTTCTACGAGCAGTTTGATTCCGATTTTATCAACATTAGAACCAAGGCCAGAGAAGTGCTGCAAAGAGAAGATGACTTGAATGAAATTGTGCAGGTATGTTTGAGGGCCACATGTTTTGCATAGTCGTGCAAAGAGTTGTCCTGCATTAGTTACTGAGACGAAAGTATTCTAGTGTACCAAATCAGATAGGTAGAAGCAAAGATTCCTCCACATCAGCAAGAAATATGTTCTGTAACTTAAACCTCGTTTCTTCCCGAACTTTTGCCTGTGTTTAGGATTATAAGCTTCCGTTCTTAGTAGAAAATCCTCTTGTTATACTTATAAAAAATACCTCTTGTTATAGCTGACGGGGGCTTGGGGATCAACTCTTTGCTACTGCTTTCAGTCCCGTTTTGCTTCCTTTAAATTATACATTATGTTCATTGAGAATGAGTTCTTTGTATCCTGTTTGTTGCAGCTTGTTGGTAAGGATGCTTTGGCTGAAGGAGATAAGATTACGTTAGAGACTGCTAAGCTGCTGAGGGAAGATTATCTTGCTCAGAATGCATTCACCCCGTAAGTTCACTTGTACTATCCCTAAGGTTGATCAGTCCAACAGTCTGGTCAGCTCTTTTGTGATCCTTTTCTCATTTCCCCCTAATAATTGAGTTTTTTCTTTGTGCGTGTGCTAGGTATGACAAGTTCTGTCCTTTCTACAAATCTGTTTGGATGATGCGCAACATCATTCACTTCTACAACTTGGCCAATCAGGTAAACTATTCCATTGAATTTCCCTCTCAGTTATATACGAAGAATAATTTCTTGATTCCTTACTTCCTGGAGTGCTGTGGGCTTGTGAATGTAGCACTGTTTTGTTCCCCAAATCAATCTTTTTTTTTTTCTGTGGGGAATTTCTGCCTGCAGTCTGTGGAGAAAGGAGCTGGTATGGATGGTCAGAAGATCTCATACACTCTTATCAAGCATCGGTTGGGCGATCTTTTCTACCGCTTAGTGTAAGTTTCTTTAATGCTGTAGTCGATTACCTACGGAACAAACCGTGGACAACTTTCTGCTGTGCTGTTTAGTGTTGCACCAGTTAGTGTTGTAATAAGTTATACACTCGATACATATGCAGGTCTCAGAAGTTTGAGGATCCGGCCGAGGGAGAACCTGCATTGGTGGCCAAATTCCAGAAGTTGCACGATGATCTCACTGCTGGTTTCCGTGCTCTGGAAGATGAGACCCGGTGATTCAGTTGCATCTTTGGGAGGTTTTGGCTTCTTATCTGCCTGGAGCCTCCAAGTGGTAGCGCTATGCTCTGCAGACTTGGTTTCTATTTATTTCAGCGTCTAGAGAAAGCGGTCAGAACTCGGTAGCTTCGTCCGCAGCACTTTGGGAGAGGGCCAGGGGGAGGGATTATTTTGTTGTGCCTATGAAGTTTATAGCTGTGAGGGTAAGGATGGATGAGGTATGGTAGCCTAGTATTCTGTATTGTTATTAAGGTTGATTTTTTGAGAGTTCCTTTTGAGCAGCAACAAAGAGACCAGAGAAGTGCCACTGCTCCGCTCCACCTTTCGTGTATTTACCACAATAAGGGCTTCTGTGTTTTTGGTGCCTAGTTGTATCGGGACTGGTTATTTCACATATTAAAGGGAAAACAGATGATCCTTGGCGCATGTAGTAGAACGTCGTGCCTTTATCCCGACGTTGTCAACTTTGTTTTCTGATTTCTCGAACCTTATATTGGTATTCAAACGGGACTACTGGAGGCAGTCTTTCTTCTAGGTACGTGAAAACTGTTCAGTGTACACAAGATCTGCTCTAGTTTGAGACTAATAAGTCCAATTTTCTAGCAACCAAGTGGTGTATAACGAAATATGCTTATTCGGACTCTTGATACGTAATTCATGCTTAGATTCGACTATGTAAAGCGTGGAATCCATCCACTGAGCCGAATCTTGCAACTCAACCGTATCATCAGTTTATATTACAGTCAGATTAACCCTCCTAGATCAGTCTTTCTTTGTGCTCCAGAGATTCATTATGGTCAACCTGGGCAGAAGGCATCTGGATTGGGGAAAGGGCTTCATTATCTATTTCACGATCCACTATTTTCATCAATCGACCTGCCAAAATAACTAGTTGGAGCCTTGGAGGCTCATCAAACAAACGTTTTAGTCTTGCAGTGAAAGATAGCACGAGGTAAATCCATCCACCAACCATTTCGCCTTGAAGAACAAGACAACTAACTTGGAGAAAGGACGAGTAGTTTCCAGATAAGTGGGGGTTCTAAGCTAAAAGAGTTCCAGTATATTGATCCATGCATTTAGAAGAAACAAATCACATAATAATACATTTCTACAGACACTGATGAGTGTAGAAAATATAACACCGGTTGTTTTACACAACCACCAGATGACCTTGGCACCACGGTGAGAACATTGACCGAAAACACCAGTGAACATTGATTGACCCAGAACAAGTGTGGTTCCTTTCAGCCAGGCCCGACTTTAGGAATGTCGTAGTGCTCGCTCATATTAGCCAGATACTGATTGAAACCTTGGATCCTGTCCCTATGTGATTTGTTGGCTTCTTTCGCCATCTTGTGTCGGTCCAGCCTCTCTCTCTGCTCTATATATCGTTTCTCTGCAGCAGTTAAATGGTCCTTGTAAGACTCAGACTTGTCTTCGTTGTTCAATTTGCTGGTGTCTTCTGCGACTTCTTCATTGACATCACTTGATTCTTCAACAGCTTTACCTGTCAAGTGATCTCAAAATGTTTAGCATCAAGAATCCAATCACTGAATCGCAACTGTAAATCCCCAAACTCGGTTTGGACCCATGTTCAGGGACAACAAAGTTGAAGTAAGCAGTTTAAAGCCATTGGAAAGACCTTTTGGATGCACGCAAAGCTATTTTCAGAATCTGCCGATGTTTCAAGAGCCACATTCAATAGCAGGTGATCACGTATATAAACAAGATAGCACGAAGCATTTCTGCCCATCAGGATAAGAGCAGTAGAACATGATGCGGAATCTGCAGCCCAACAATGTATTGATGCCCATCTATTTGGCCTAATCCCTTTACCACTCATATGAAAGTTACTCGCGCAGCATAAATAGATCTATTGTTTCTTCCACATATAAACACCCATGCACTACATGGTAAAAATAAGAGACCAGCTGCATACTAGGCATTTACAGCATTATACATTCATCACTCCCTTCTCCCATCCATAAGAGAGAATTGCTGAAGCAAAATCGTAGATCACAATACAGAAACAGAATCGAGAAACGAAATTAATGCTCACGCTGACAAGCGGAGATATTTCTAACCTGATGCTGCTGAGAGCTCACTTTCAATGACCTGAGAAACCTCGTCCCGCACTTTCTTATGCTTCTTCTTCTTCTTTGTTCCACCAGCCTTCACATCCAGAGCCTTGCCCTTCAGCTTCAGCTTCCCACCAACCACATTCTCGAAAGCCGACATCTTCAGCATCGACACACCACAAGTCATATAGCAGAAGAATTCAGGGCAAGGTCGAAATCACATAAAAACAAAATCTCGACAGCTTATGAAAGGATTCAACCATGATTTCCCCAGACTAGCATGAAGCGAAACTGGGTTTCCATGAGCAGTATATATTTTAGGAATGAATTAGGAATCCTTTATACAAGGAGATCTCGTCCCCGTAATCACGTAGATACGGCAAACACCCTAAAAAATTGCTGGAACCCTAACGGCGAACACAATGCGGAGATCAGATGAAGGAAACTAATTACAAATGCTCTGAGGTGAAACCCACCCATGTTCGCCTTACCTGAAATTTCAGCAAAACGGTTCTGGATTTGCTATTTCTTGCATGAAAATCGAAGACGTTCCCTCTGTAGTTCCAGGGTTTGAATTCTGAAAGAGGTGACTATGTCGTCCTCCTCCCTCCTCCTGAAGGCCGAAGTCTTTCGATTTCGACACGGGTACACGGATTACCGAGTTTGGTTAGGTCAACTCACCGAACCGGAATATTCATCTTGGCCGCTTTGGTTTGGTTCCTTTATTTGGTTAAATAAATAGTATCGGGTGCCATATAAATTTTAGTTTCGTTGCAGATTTAGTACCTAACTTTAGAGGTTGTATATAAAAGCATCCCTAACCGACGTCAACTTCCTGGTTCATCTGTACTGTTACATACAGATCCCTGATGGATTTCAATCTTCTAGTGGCATCCGCCATGTTCATCCGTTCTCCAGGGGATTCAGCTGAGCAGGCCATCCCAACTTCAAGCACAGACATTAAACACCTCTTGCCTTCTTCGTCCTCGTCCTCCATGGAGAAAAGAAACGAATTTCCCACCAAGGTGATGACATTGTTGTCTCCGGTAGCAGTCGCGGCCTTAACATAATCATGGAGATTCGTCCCGTCTCTGAACATTTCATCGGTCGGTCTTTTTCCTGTGAACATTTCCAGTACAAGGATCCCGTAACTGTACACATCGCCTTGCTTCGACACTGCAGAACCCATCCCATATTCTGCAGTTTACCCAACAGATTTTAGTTTCGTCAACAGACTATCATGAACAACAGTTTTGGACTTTTAGCGACGAAACTAGGAAATTACCTGGAGCAGCATAACCAACGGTTCCCTTCACCCCTGTTGTTGTGCTCGTGTTGCTTTGAGATAATCCGTCCCACGACGAAACGAGTCTTGCCTGACCGAAATCGCTAACACGTCCCACCATGTCAGCATCCAGCAGAACATTGCTAGGCTTCAAATCGCAATGAACGATTGGGGTCTCGCAGTGATCGTGGAGGTAGTGCATTGCTGATCCCACATCTACTGCAATGTTCAACCTTCGAACCAGATTCAACTTGTTGTTCGATCGATGGACACCATCGACTTGTGGCATCTCGTGCAGCCAATTCTCTAGACTTCCATTCTCCATGTACTCGAACACTAAGGCCTTGAATTCGTTGCCACTGTGGTCCGTACTGGAGCAGAAAGACACAACCTTTACAAGGTTTCGGTGACGAATGCTCCTCAATGCATTGCATTCCGCGGCTAAGCTCGTGTAAGCTCGATCGTGTTGCAGGTTGAGTACCTTAATCGCGACCGGTGTTTCCACTTGATCAAGCTTCCCTTTATAGACTGTACCAAACCCGCCAGAACCTGCTACATTGTTGGGAGAGAATCCATTGGTCGCTTTGTGCAGGTCGTTGTAAGAAACCCTCACAAATTGCTCCAATTTTGGTTCCTCAACGGATTCCTGCTCCTTCCATCTTTTGTTCCTGTAAAGCAAAAGAAAGACTAGCAACAGCAGAAGGGATAGAGATACAGAAACCACTATGACCGCGAGCTTAACCCTGCGATTTACTGAACTACGACTAGAAGAAGATGCTGGTCGCGTTGTGCATTTGGGAAGATGGAGGTCCATGACACCGCCACAAAGCAGAGGATTTCCCATTATAGAAATGGCAGTAGCATTTGCAAATATCCCTCCACTTGGCACTTCACCGTGGAGGTTGTTGAAAGAAAGGTTCAGATGCTGGAAGACCTTTACATCCTGCAACTGCTGTGGGATTTCTCCAGTCAAACTGTTGTGGGAGAGGTCAAGTTCCCTGAGGCCTTTCATGGAAGCCAACGACGAAGGAACGCCCTTGTCGAAGGAATTCCACTGCATGAACAGATGCTCCATGCTCTCGCAATTCCCGATCGTGCTAGGAATCTCACCGGACAGGTTATTGTGAGAGATATCCATTGTATTCAGACTAGCCAGCTTCCCTATCTCGGGAGGTAGCTTACCGCTAAGCGAATTGTGGGACAAGTTGAGCAATTTGGCTAATGAGGAAGATATGTTCATCAACTTTGCAGGTATTTCTCCATTGAGATTATTGTAGGAAATGTCGATGGAAGTTAGACTCAAGCAATTTCCAAGACCAGCTGGAATGAGACCTTCCAGCCTGTTCCACGACAGGTCGAGGTCGAACAGTCGTTGTAGATTCCCTATGGAGTCAGGAATGCGGCCAGAGAATTCATTCCCTTGCAAGCTGAGTCGCTGTAAATTCCAGAGCTTGCCCAAAAATGAAGGAAGTGGCCCTTTAAGAAGGTTTGACTGCAGCTCCAACTCTGTCAATCCAACTAGATTCTTTAGCTCTTCCGGCATAACACCACTGATCTGGTTGGAAGCAATGTTCAACCTCTCAAACTGGGTTGATGAAAGATTTCCAACAGATCGAGGAAGTTCGCCTCCTAGGTTGTTCATGTCCAGACCTATGCTATCCAGCTGACTGCTGTTCGCCAACGATGTCAGGAAATCGAAATCGCCTGTCGAATTGTAACCGAGATTGTTACCAGCAACCTCTAGCGCCAGAAGTCCTCCCCAACTCCCAAGGCAGTTCGGAATCCTGCCCTCGAAATGATTCATGTTCATGTTGATGTCTACTAGCTTTGAAGCATTGCAGAACGATTCGGGGATCGTCCCGACTAGATTGTTCCTGGAAACGTGAAAGTAGCCTATGTTCCTCAAAGTGAGGCCTAGGTTCTCAGGCAACCTGCCTTCCAGCTTGTTGAAAGTAAATGTCATGATGTAGATGGATGACACATTGTACAGAGACAGAGGAATTGTACCAGAAAGTTGATTAACGCCAACTGCAATCAAGTTCAGCCTCGAAAGTCGACCGAGGGTTTCAGGAATTCGTCCCACCAGATCGTTATACGCTGCTCCGAAGTTGACAAGCTGCGACAGGTTTCCCAGGGAAGCCGGGAGCGATCCGGTGAGAGAGTTCTGCCCAATCCTGAGTATCTCCAGCTTTGATAAAGAGCCGAGCTCTGCAGGGATATTTCCTTGTAGCTTGTTGGAGGCCAGCGTCAGGATCCGGAGCTCGGAGCAACGGCTTAAGTTGGCTGGAATCGGGCCAGTGAATGAGTTCCTGGTGGCGTTGAAGTGCTGGAGTTGAAGCAGGTTGCCGATTTGTGGCGGGATTTGGCCATGGAAGGTGTTGTTCTCGATGTTGATGAACCTGAGGAAGCTGAGGTTGCCGATGTGTGGAGGCAGAGTGCCTGCCAGGTTAAGCTCTGACAGCAACAAGGATGTGACTCTGTCATCATCACTTCTGCATTGGACACCAGGCCAGCTGCAGAAATGGAGGGAATCGTTCCACGAGCTGAAAACTCCATCTGGGTCGTTGGTTATTCCGTTCTTGATTTCCAGCAGTGCGATTCGATCGGTGTCGTTGTTGCCCGAAGCCCGTGTGAAGAACAAGTTGAGTGAGAGGAGCAAGGTGAAGTTGATTAAAGGGTTGATTTGAGTCGCCATGGGATTTGAAAAGAAAGTGTTTTTGTGTGTGAAACTGCAATGTCCATATCGTTTCGTTGCTGGTCTAAGACAGGAGGCTGCTGCTTCTTCATCTTTTCTTAGGCGCGTTTTTTCAACGAAGATCAATCATGATAAAGATAATGTCCATGCGGAAGTCAAAGGAAACTTTGACACTCATCACAGCACCTACCAAATTCTTTTAGGGTGCGTTTGGATACAAGGATTTGGATTTGGTATTTGTGATTTGGATTTTCAAATACCAAATCATGTGTTTGGATATTAATTACATTTGGTATTTGGATTTGTGTCAAATTCATGGGGTGATTTCCAAATACATGTCTAGTGTATTTTTTGTCAACTTCAAATACATTTCAACAACTAGTGATTTGAAATACCTCCTAACAAAAAAATGGACCTATTTGTAAATTATGAAAAGTTTAGGTACTATAGTGTGAGGCAAAACATAAAAAGGTACCAAAATGTAATTTTACCATCAAAATTTCAGGACCTTTTTGTAAAATTTTAAAAGTTTAGGTACTAAATTGTAAGAAAAAATAATTTCGGGTACCAAACTGTAATTTACCAAAATTTGTAGTAAGTGGCCAGCAAATTAAAAATTAAAAGTGAAAATCATAAATACAAAAATACAAACAAATTACAAATGAGTATCCAAACAATGAATTTGAATTACATGTATTTCAAATGCTAATACTTCAAATACATCCATTTCAAATGCTAGTATTTCAAATATCTTACATTTAAAATACACTTATCCAAAACGCACCCTTAGGGTGCGTTTGGATACAATGATTTGGATTTGGTATTTGTGATTTGGATTTCCAAATACCAAATTATGTGTTTGGATATTAATTACATTTGGTATTTGGATTTGTGTCAAATTCATGGGGTGATTTCCAAATACATATCTAGTGTATTTTTTGTCAACTTCAAATACATTTCAACAACTAGTGATTTGAAATACCTCCTAACAAAAGAATGGACCTATTTGTAAAATATGAAAAGTTTAGGTACTATAGTGTGAGGCAAAACATATAAAGGTACCAAAATGTAATTTTACCATCAAAATTTCAGGACCATTTTGTAAAATTTTAAAAGTTTAGGTACTAAATTGTAAGAAAAAATAATTTTGGGTACCAAACTGTAATTTACCAAAATTTGTAGTAAGTGACCAGAAAATTAAAAATTGAAATTGAAAATCATAAAATACAAAATACAAACAAATTACAAATGAGTATCCAAACAATGAATTTGAATTACATGTATTTCAAATGCTAATATTTCGAATACATTCATTTCAAATGCTAATATTTCAAATACCTTACATTTAAAATCCACTTATCCAAACACACCCTTATTTTATTTTTAAATGAAAACACCAGCTACCAAGTTTCTTCACCCAAGATTTTGATGCTCTCTCTCTTCCTAGCAATCGTGAATCGCGACATTAACTCTGCAAAAAAAGAAAAAAGAAAATCTGAAATCTTTAGTCACTGGATTCTTGTTCACATTGTACTTATTGACAATGGCGATATTTATTGTAAACATTTGGTGAATAAGGATACCGGATATGACACAAATCATGCAAATCAAGAGCAATTTGAATATGGAAATGTAAGTATTTATTAATTCTTTTATCAAATTTTATTTTTTTGAATTTATGTGTGTAGCGACAAGATAACATTGTGTAAGTTTACATAATCAATAGTATTTTTATGTAATGAATAATAAAGTGCTTATTGATTCTACTGCACAAAATCTCCAAATTGGAGACTTCATCTATGTGAGAATTTTAAAAATTTGATTTATATAGTGGTTGGTGAAGAAACTAAACAATGATTTCTCTTGATTTTTTTTTTTTACAAAAGATAATCATATATTGATCAAAGAATAGACAAAGTTACATCCTGGAGACCAGCCAGGTCTGGAAATTAAAAGAGCGACACATAGACGGGTACAAAGAAAGGGCCTTTCTAGCCACAACATGAGCTACCCTATTGTTCCTCCGTCCAACGAACCGCAAACTAAACCCCGGCTGATTTCCCATACACTACAAGATTTCATCCAAAAGCATCCCTATCCTGCTATCCCGAGCATTCGCTTGATTGATCTTATCCACGATGATCTTGGAATCTCCTTCAAAGCAAACTTCCTGTACTCCATTGGCCACACACCAGAAGAGGGCATCCCGCAGGACCAGCGCCTCCGTCACTAAAGGATCATCAATAACCTGATATTGGACCCCTTGCGCCCAGAGGACCATCCTATGATGGTCAAGGAGCACCATCCCGCCCGCAGAGTGAGACCCAGCTCGAGTAGCCCCATCCCACATACACACCAGCGAAGTACCCCCCGACACCCCTGGTTGGTGGACAATAGGACTTTGGCTCATCTCTGTCTTATCAGATTTAGTTCGGTCCCGTTCCTCACACTGCTGATGGAATTGCCGCATCAGGGTCGGAAACCCAAACTGCTTCCCCTCAAATACCACCCAATTACGGGACTTCCAAATCCTCCAAAGAACTGCTACCACAGCCATGACCATGCGCGGTTGATGGATTAAGGCAAACAGCTGTTTGAGAAACAAAGAAAAAGTATGGCGAGGCAATGCTTGGCCCAGATGTTCAAGCCCTGAATAATCCCATAAAGCCCGAGCCACCGGACACTCCAAGAAAAGATGTTCCAAAGTTTCCGAGGCCTCCCAGCAAACCGGGCAACGAGGTAGGACAGGAACACTTCTATCAATAAGCCCCTCAGTGGTAGGAAGGATGCGATGAAAAATTTGCCAAACAAAGACTTTTAATTTCGGGGGGAATATCAGCATCCCACAGCCTAATCCAACTGGTTCTATCCATCCAACTAACCGTATCCCTCCAACCACCGTTCCTTCATGCTAGATCCACGGCCAAATGATACGCAGATTTGACAGAGAACACACCATCAGGCGTGCCATGCCAGATCCGTTTATCCACCATATTTTGCCGCGGAAGAGGAATAGATTGAATCATACGGCAGGTGGGAGGGTCAAACCATTGACTGAGCTTATTGGCACACCACCCCCCATTCCCGTCCTGGGCCATAACATCCGCCACCACCGGGTCACCTCCGGCAGGCAACACCTGAGGATTAAATGCTGGTTTCTCAGGATGTATCTGCGGAATCCAATTTGAGAATAGCAACGATGCAGACTCCCCATTACCAATCTGCCAACGTAGGCCCTGTTCAAGCAACTGCCGCCCAAAAAGAATGCTTTGCCAACCCCAAGAAGGCCGCGAACGTGCCTGAGCTTGGAGAAAATTTCCCATCGGGAAGTATTTGCCTTTATAAACTTGGGCTAGTAAGGAATTTGGGTCCTGAAGGATTCGCCACCCAATTTTTGCTAGCAGGGCCTGGTTAAAATGCTCGAAACGGCGGAACCCCATGCCCCCGTCATGCTTACTTGGTTAGCATGTTGTATAATACGTGTCTATTCATTTGTCTTTGCAAAAGTATTTTCCTCACCCATTAATTTAATTTATGTTGACTAAAATATCAATTTAAGATTTTGATCTTTTTAGTTCTTAAATTCCAAATGCATCTATTTAACTCCCTTATATGAAAATTAATGTCTTCTAATATATCATATTGGACTTGCAATTTTAGTCCATAAACATCCAGTGAGTCAATTTAACTCCTAATATATGAAAATCTCTATTTTGTAAGATACTTTTAGATTGGATTGTTCAATGTCTATAAAAAAAATATAGAACCAATCAAATAAAATTTTCCCCATTTTACAACAGTTTTATAAGCTCAAAATGTTACATGCAAAACATTGCATATCTCGACAAATCTTCACCCATAGGCGGAAGTCGGAACCAACCCAACCCATATTGGCTCAGGACAAAAGTAAGTTTTAGTAAAAAAATATTAATAAACCACTATGTATGCTTGTACACATAATTGAACTCACTACTTTGAGGTCGCGCATAAGCAAATTTTACCACCCGTAATAAAACCCAATTCCCTTCATTCAATTACAATAAAATTAATTCATCACTATAAACGAAATTCCAAACACGAACAAGTTATATTCCAAAAAAAAAAAAAAATTGATATAATTTCAACTTCCGACTCCGCTTTCTTCACCACCGTGCCACTCCAAAGTCCAAACCCTAGTCCAACTTACTCGACTCCGCCTCCACTTCCCCTTCCTCAGCCTTCGCAATCGGAAGCTTCCCGCAATCAAAATTGACACCCCTAGCAAGCACAACAAACAAGTAACTGTAGAACACAACCCTCAGCAGCTGCCTCCACCAATTCCTCCCGCTCTGCTGCACCCAGCCGGACACATACGAAGCCGTCACCAGCCCCGCCGCCCGCCACTTCCGCTCCTTCACGTACGCACCCAACGCTCGAGCCACCTCCTCCGCCACCACTGACTTCCCATTCGCCAAGAAGGAGTTCCCGATGTGCCTCCCCAAAACCACCGCATCCTCGAGTGCACAACACCCGCCCTGCCCCAGATCAGGTGTCATCGGGTGCATCGCATCTCCGACCACCGTGACGTTCCCTCTGCTCACGTTCCCAACTACGATGTTCCACGGATTCCTCAGCATCAGCGGCGCCCACGAGAGGGAACAAAGGTCGGAGTGGCGGACCACGTCGAGGTAGATTGACGGGAAGTTTGGGGCATGGTGCTCGAGTACCTCCTTTTGGATTGTGCTTGGGTCGTATGTCCTGTGGTCTCCTGAAGATGGATGGGTGAGGGAGGTGTCTCTTAGTGTTCAAACGAAAGTCAATTCACATTAGATTGAAGTTTGTCATATATTTAACACAGATGATCGTCGTCGAATTCGAACAGAAGATATCTCGGTTATAGAAGGCTTTGATATCATGTCATGTCAAGAACCAATTTGATCCCATTAACTCAAATTGTTGATAGAGATTCAATGATAAACCAGCTTCAATACCACTCCAGAGAGAAGTCTCATAGTGTAAAAAACTATCATTTCTCTTTTTTTATACCTTGGCAAGTGATGAACCAATACACTTCATTATCATTCAAGGGAACAACGCCGGCCCTTTTGCCTACATCCAGAAACTGCTGAACAGAGCTTCCAAGTCCATGGCCTTGTGGGAAAACCGATAACCCACGAGCCGCGGATCGGCCTGAGTGGATAGGAGCTGAGAGTCCTAGCCATTCTGCAACCACTGAATGCAATCCATCGCACCCTATTAGAACCTGAAATTAAAACAGAAATTAAGAAGGTCATCAGTTGGCTGGCTGCGAGTGCGAGGAATTGGAGAAACAGAGGACGTGGTAGACAGGGGAGGCTAGCTAAGAAAACAGAGCAGAGCAGAGAGAGAGAAATGAAACCTTAGACTTGATGGTGGTTCCGTCCTTCAAATGCACAACTGCGAGAGAAGCAGTGTCTTTTGCTGAATGCAATTGTTCGGTTTCTATGGAAGCGAGTTGAGAGGAGAATCGAATCGAATCAGGCGGGAGCTCCTCAGCCAGAGCCTCCAGCAGCTTTTTGCGGTGAACTGGTCTGGGTCCTTCCCTCTTTCCCCTACGCATTCCAAAATTTGTTAACTCATCATGATTGTTCAACTTCATTTGAAAAACAAGTTTGGGGGACAAAAAAAAAGTCTCTTACGAGAAAGGTCCGGTGAGAGAAATTTGCCGAACGGCGCCGGTGGAAACATCGGTGATGGAGCCGGTGGTCAGAGGAGGGTACAGGGGAGTGAGCTTGTGGGAGACTCCCAAGGCGTCGAGAGCAATCCAGGCATTGGGGAAGAGATTGAGTGCGGATCCGGTGGTTCTGAGACACTCTGCCTTCTCAAGAACCAGAGCTCGGATCCCAACTCGCTTCAGCGCCAGAGCCGTCGCCAGGCCTGCTATTCCGGCGCCGACGATCACCACTTCTTCCATTATACTTTCCATCTGCCTCTCTCTCTCTCTGTCGATAAAGTTTTCTTTCTTTAACAAGAATTACAGAGTTGGAGGATTCATGTTGGCTGGTATTTATATAGAGCAGAGTTACAGAACAGGGGGCAGAGTACAATCAGTCTAGTCCAGGGCCAGAGGTCGAGAAATTTTCGTTTTGGCCGATGCAAAGTTTATTGAGAGCTACGCCTACTGGTAACCCAGACGAGGATAGTACAAACAATGAAGGATGATTGCAAATTTGGCTCCTGATTCCCTCCCGGCTTTGCTCAGACGAAGCTTCGTTGGCGGTTTCTGGGTCTTCCACGTAACCTAGGTTAAACTACGGCTAGTGCGCATCATCCAAGGGACTCGAGTTAAATTATGAGGATCATGGTCGACCTTTTGATAATAGTGGAAGCCGGAAAGGAGATTCTCTGGTTGATTAAGATACCATTTACTTGGTAATGTGGAGACGAATTTCTTGTTTATAGGATTTCGATGGGTTAAGAATTTTGAGTTTATTTTATTGTGAGAGTTGTTTTCAAATTATACGAGGTAGTTGTGTCTTTTTACGATTTTGGTATGAGCTATGGAATAAACAACGAGTTGAACGCATACAAATAAGTTAGTCCACTAACACATTCTCAAACTCAATACTATTGATTAAGACTGTGATAAACGACTTCATCATAGTTGTTATATGCATGATCATTCATATGTATATGAACGCATACAAATAATTTCGTATGCGCCTTAAGAGGAGTGAAGATGATGAGCTCTTCGAAGACTGTTTATCAATAACTTGGACGAAGAAATCGTCCCGCTAGCTCCAAGAACACACCCAACCCCGATCAGGGCCCAATTCAAAACTAGCACAGTCCGTCCCAGTTCCCCACGAGAGATCTTCAAGTAGAATGCGCATGGAAACACCACACAGATGCTAGTGCTCACAAGGGACCCCGTGAGGCCGAGCACATGCTCGAAGTAGGGCACCGAAAGGGCAAGAGTGAGGATCACGAGCAGCAACACTGAGCCCACCGTGCCACGGACGATCGTTTTGGTCTGTGGTGCCATCCAGCTCGGCAAGATGCGCTCGAGCTGGATGGCAAAGGGCGCAAACTCGAGAGCGTACTTGGTCATGGGGGTGATCACGGTGGCCCATAAGGCCACTCTCGTGAAGATGAGGTGTGGCGGGAGGCTAAGGGTGATTTGCGAGCTCACTCCTGGCCCGAACATCTTGGCTCCCAAGAAGGCCATGGACGTATAAAGTCCGGTGACAGCTGCAAAACTAACTATTGATACCTTGGTGAACTTGGAAGGATCTTTCATGGACTTGTACAAGTCAGGGAAGACAATGTGACCACCGTAACTGAAGACGTACAACCCTGAAATTGAAGGAATACTCCTTGCCCTAATCATCGGTATGTTGTTATCAGGTGTCACGCCTCCGAACGCCGCCGTGAAGACAACACAGCTAAAGATGACACCAGACATCAGTATTCCGCCAGAGGATAAGAACGAGATGGAAGACAAGTTTCTTATCCACAAGCTGGGTAGAGCTACCAGGACAGCAACCAGGGTGAGAAGTTGTGAGGTAGACATGACACCGGTGGCCGGGATGTAGGTCCCAGTAAAGACGGTGGCGAGGTTGTCGTGGAGGGAGATGGTGTAGGAGACGAGCGCCATGAAAATCTCGAGGTAGATGAAGGTGGAGACTAGGAGTTTGCCCTTGGATCCGAAGGCGTGGTGGCCGATGTCGACATAGCTCAGGGACTTGGGGGACATGTGGAGGCATTTGCCGAGGAGGTGGGAGGTGTAAGTACAGATGAGTCCGAGGACTAGGAGGAGGAATATCGACGCCCAACCGCCATTTTCCAGGGCGTATGGAGTTGATAGTTGTCCTAGTCCTGCATGTATGTATGTGTTAATAAGACGTGAAACGTGTAAAGTAGCGGTTAACCAGTGCAGTCAAAATTTGACTACACATGTAAAAACGTAAGCTTCTAAACTTTGAAGCATAGATTTTGACTACACATGTAAGTGAAAAGTGTGATTCTACGTAGAAGCATTTCGGTGACTTAGAACTGTAAAAGCGTAAGTTGTTAAGTTTTGAAAAACTATTTTGACTATATTGCAATTAACATACATGCATATATCTATTCTAACAATTCGTGTTATTGGTACTAGTTGGTTTATGATATGATATCTGAGCTGATTTGTCTTTGAGTCGCGTGTACAAGTCCTCATGACTGATGTCATTAACCATTGTTTTAAATCACGTAAAATGGTGATCGGCATGTGCAAACTTCAAACTCATGAGTTGCCTTTCATTCGAGAGGGCTTAATTATGTAAAAAAGTGATTAGAATGAACCTTTTTCAAACCGAGCAGTTAGTTTAGAAAAGAGGATAAAAAAATGGATCAAAGATGACAAAGGAATGGATACCTATGAGCATTCCAATCATATTGATGACAGCATGAGCAAAAGAGCCATTAGGCTGCTCATGAAGACGGTGTTGGCCATCGTCGCCACTTCGATGATCACACTGGCACACATCATCGTTCTCCACACACACATCGCACCCACCACCTTGTTCCACACTACTTTTGGTGCTCACCATCTTACGGCCGTGGGGATTGGCTGCCTCCGCGTCTCTTGTGATCATCCGTCGTCGAGAGAAGCAACACCACCAGCTGCCGCCTCGATCATGATCAGCAGCTGTCGTCGAGCCCGCTACTACAACGTTCTCCATTGTGAACGTACGTTGCCCTCTCAAATTACCAAATAGCTAACGGATTTGATTTGTGGGTTGATTAGCTCCCGTTCATGGTGTTGGGATATTTATAGTGCGGACGAAATATATACGGTGACAGCATGAAGGATCGTATAAAGCTCGATATAACGTCAGAGTGAATGAAGTATTGATATTCGAAAAACTGATGACGACGATGTATAGGATTCGCTGTTGGCCGGCGGAGAATCTGGGGAGCATGCATGTTGAGAAACAGGGGAAATTAAGGGAACTGATTCCGGCCAGTAGTGGGATTTATTGTGATGGAAGATGGGCGGATAGCATATATGATTCTCTCGATCGCTCCAAAGAAGTTGGGCAACTTTAAAATGGTACTAGATGCAGAATGGCAGGTCCGGGGCGGGTATCTCGATATCCATATCCGTTCCATGGCAGGTCGGGTCCAAGTCGGGTAATTTATCACGGGGGCGGGACGGGGCAGGTCGAGCCAATGTGTATGTAATTTAAGTGAAAAACATTAGAAATATTCGTTATTTTCATTAAAAAAACTAAGAAAGAAATCATAATATGATAAACTGTAGTTAAATGATTGAAGAAATTGAAGTTTTCACTTATTTACAACTTTATTATAACTAACATATAATGTAATAACTAATAAAAGGAAAATCCTAAGTAATTTGACTAAGATTATATGTAATTTAGGCAAGAACGGGTCAAGATTGGGGCGGTTCAGGGCAGGTCGGGTCGATGAGAGATATCCATGCTCGCCCCGCCCCGCCTCGGGTCTGACCCGCCCCAAAACAGGCCAAACAGGTCAGGTAAATCGGGTCAAGTCGAAATTGTCATCCCTACATATGGTTATCTATCTGTCACTAAATAGTGTTTAGATATGCGTAGTTAAGAGAGGAGAAAGTAAGGGAGCTAAGAGTTGACATACGGTAGCGGTAATATGTTAGTACTAGATAATTGGTCCGTGCTTCGCTACAGTTTATCTAAAAATGTATATGTCAATTAGAATTGAAAATACTTTAATTTAAATGAAGGTTGGTGATATTAGAACACAGAATAAGCTTTACAATAACCGTTAACCTTTGTTATACGAATATAGTTTTTTATAAAATAATTTTTTCTAATTTTTTTACACAAATTACAAAATCTATAACGAAATCAAGTAATGATGGTCATCCAATCTAGATTGAACCAAATCTAATGATACTTAACAAATAGTTTTTTTTTTTGAAAAGATACTTAGCATACAGTTAGGTAGTAAGTCATTGTGTGTGTAAATTTCTATATGTAATGACCTTTAAACTTGGACAACGAACATACCATAATTGATTTGGCCAGAACAAAGCCTACTAATGAAGTATAACATGAAGTTCTTGCGTGAGGTCGTGTGAATAGTGGTCGGGCTAATTTAGCTACTTTAATTCATTTGTAGTGTTTTTTTTATTTGGATAGTGGTTGGTTAGGGGTAATTGGGGATCGGTTAGCATGCTAACCCTTCTAAGGGGTTGGAAAAATGACACCCCTATTAATTATAGTTATTTTTGTATTAAATTCGTATTGTATTTAATAATCATTGGAAATTAAAACTTCATCTTAATTACATTCCTTTTTTTTTTTAACTACCATTGCACTTATACAACTACCATTGCACATGTATGCTGAACTCATATTAATTACGTTCCTTTTTTGGAACTATCATTGCACTGATACATCTACCATTGCACATGTACACTAATACCATTGCACTGATACAACTACCATTGCACTGAAAAAGAAAAGTAATTAATATGTGTTTTTAATTCATATGAGTTTTTAAAATCGTATAGTATAAAACATGTTTTCATTCTCGACTTTCAATTCGACATCAAATTCTTACTATTTTCAATCTTGTTTTCACAATGTACCTAAAGATGTGATTTTTTGTGTCAAAGTAGAGCCATTTATTTAATTGTAAAAGATAAATAATTCGTTTTTACTATTATGAACAGAGCAAAATCCAAAAAATAAAAATAGAATTAGAAGATTGTTGCAATATTCCTTTTCGCGGAGATGGACGGTATTACTGCAGATCTACGTACAAAATTAAAGGATAAGGGAAAATGTACTATGCTGGACTCTATTTTAAGGAGCCAGACATCACCATCTCAATGTGAAATACCGATGTTTCAAATGATTGATCACTCCTTAAGAAGTCCTTCCATAATTGTATTTATAAGGACGAACAAAATATAGCCACTATAAATATGATTTAATATATATAAAATATAAGAATTGAATATGATTTAAATGAGCTATAATCCTCTTATGCTTGTATATTAACTTCGTCTTCTCAATATTGCAATTAGTTTAAGGATAGAGATTTTTTTGTTGTAGCTAAAATGGATAGATGATAATGAAAACATGCAAAGAGGGAAAGTTATCAACAATTTGGGAAACAATGGATAGATGATAATGACACACCTATTAATTATAATTATTTTTTGTATTACGTGTTGTATTTAATAATCTTTAAAAATTAAAAACTCATCTTAATTATATTCCTTTTTTTAACTATCATTGCACTTATACAACTACCATTGCACCTGTATACTGAACTCATATTAATTACGTTCCTTTTTTTAAACTACCATTGCACTGATACATCTACTATTGCACATGTACACTAATATCATTGCACTGATACAACTACCAGTACACTAAAAAAAGGAAAGTAATTAATATATATTTTTAATTCATACAGATTATTAAAATAATTACCTTAAAAACCTATAATTAACCGCTGGTGTCATTTTTTCAATCCTTTTAAGGGTAGACATGCTATCTCATCCGAACGTAATAGGATAATGGAGATAATGGAATACTTTCATAAAAGGAAAAATTATCAACAATAATTATCATTTTCCCATATCCGAAAATCCTCTTTTGACTAGGGCTGTCCATTTGGTTTTGATTTTTTGGTTTTAACCAAAACCAAACCAATTGGAAAGCTAATGGTTTCAGTTTTTTGGTTTTAAACCAATAAGCAACTTAATGGTTTTGGTTTGGTTAAAACCGAAAAACCAATAGAAACCATTAAGAAACCAATAAGAATAAAATTATTTATCAACAATTTTTTGTTTTTTTGTTTCTTCTGATACGCATGCCAACCAATAATTTGCAATGGCCATTTACCATTATTATGACGTTTATTCAATAAAAAGGAGGGAAATAAGAATAAATATGAGTGTATGAGTACATGTTGGTTTTTTGGTTATTCAAACCAAAACCATTAAGCCCCTTATTGGTTTTTGGTTGCCAAAAACCAATAAGAACCTTAATGGTTTTTATTTTGGTTTTTGGAATTTGATTTTTGGTTTTTGGTTTTTCATACTTAATGGTTTGGTTAACCAAACCAAACCAAATTGACAGGCCTACTTTTGACAAATCCCATTTTGCCCTTCTTCATTTGACTATAAATACCACACCCCTCTCCCTCATTTCATTCACTTCTCACTCTTCACAGCAAAAGATCATAGAGTGGGATAGAGGTAATTACTTTACTAGTAATTAAAATGTTCAATCTTCTTTTGTCACAAATAATATATTATTAATTAATTCATTAATCAAACAAATTAATTAATCTGAATCATCTGCAGTCTTCCCATGGCGGCGGGAAACAACAAGCTTCTTCTCTTGGCTCTGCTCTTCTCGGCGGCGGCCATACTGGGTCAACACCGTCGCGCTAGTGCCGCCAGAGACGTCATTCTGCAGCTCGAAACGACGGCGGCGGCGGCGGCTCCGCCTCCTTCCCATCACAGCCACCGTCATCACCAGCAATTTCAGCCTTTGGTTTGCGAGTGGTGTTGCAACCAGGTGACAGACTTGTGCTGCGAAGACGATCATCTTTGCTATACCGCGACCGCCGGGGCCGATCTGCATTATGAGGAACCGCCGCCACCAAAAGCACTTGAATCAGCCAGCGCCGGTCTAAATTACGAGGAGCCACCGCCACCAAAACCCCTTGAGATAGAGATAGCAGGCGTCGGTCTAAATTACGAGGAGCCACCGCCACCAAAACCCCTTGAATAATAATTAAGCTGACGCTAGCTCGTAGCAAATGATTTTGCTGATAATAATTAATATACATGCAGGTGTAACGATGAATAAAGGCTTGGTTCTATGGTTAATTTGGAATTTGGTCTGGCGCAGGAGTTATACACTACATAAATTAAATTGATAAAATCTTGATTAACAAACGGGTTAATTGCGTGGTTGGTCACTGAGATTACAAAAAAACATTCACGTTTGGTCACTGGAAATATTTAAATCCAATCTTGGTCACTCAAATTATTTAAATGGTTCAAGTTTGGTCACTCTCCATCCATTTCTGTTAACTCTAGCTTACGTGGCAGTCAACTTTCATAATTGACCGTTAAATATGTGACGTGGCAATTAAAAAATTATTAAAAATAAAAAAAATAATCTTTTACATTTTCCACCTCATTATTACATTAATTAAAAAACAAAAAATATATATATTTTGTCCACTGATAGAAAGAAGAAGAAAAAATATATATTTTGTCCACAACGCCGCCTCCACCATCTGCACGTTCTGCAGCGGCGGCACGACGATGATAACGTCACGCCCACAGCAAATTCCGGCCCATCTCCGCGGCGATTTCGCCGGAGCATCCGTCGTCGGCAGGGACGAGATCGGCGGCTGGTGGCTGATGAGCAATTCGACCGACGAGATCTTCTGCTGCTTCAATCCCCTGCTCGAGCCGCCCAATGAAATAAAAAATTTATCTTCAAATAGCAATCTAACGGACAATAGTTATACTGAAATGAGTTTTGTTAGCTGAAAACTCAAAACAAATATTCACATAACCGTTAAATAATTAAAACAAAATTTTTAAAAAGTGAGAGAGGTTCAAGCTTGTCAAACATGTTTAAGTCATTGAGCCGGTCAAACAAAGGGGTTTGAAATTTATTGGCCTGCTGGGGGTGTGACCCATATAAACCGTTTTATACTCTTTTTTTGTGTGTGGTAGTTTTATACTTTTTTCTAAATATATATATATATATATATACAAATAAGATAGCAATTAAAAAATTTAATGACTGAAATATAATTTACATACATGTATCTATTTTAAACTTATTTTCCCCAAAATAAAACATATTTATACAACCCTCTCATGATCCATCCAACATCTCCCTCCTCCTTTCCCTCTCTTGTCTTCTTAGTGATGGCAATTTCAACCCGCCCCACGGGTATTACCCGACCTGACCCGCGATGGGGCGGGTATTACCCGACCCGCAGTAGCGTGGGGCGGGGCATGGGTATCTACTTCCGACCCGCCTTGCCCCGCCCCGCCCCGTTCTAGACTCATTTTATCTCAATTTTTTACAATATCTATACATATTTCTCCTATTTTGACTTTTCTTCAACTAGTTAGAGTCGACCTTTCAACTTGTTAGGCTCAATTATCCATTCTATTATCAATATTTTTCATTCTTAAAGTGTTTTTCCTACGTTTTATTGTAAAAAGTAAAATTTACTTGTATTTTTTTTGAACAACATGTAAGAGTGGGTCGACCCGCCCCGACCCGTAGTAGCGTGGGGCGGGGCATGGGAATTGAGGTACCCGCCCCGCTCCGCCCCATTGCCATCACTATGTCTTCTACCTCTTTAGGAGTCAGAACAGAGGCTTTCTGAAAGCTGTTTTGAAGCCCGACTTTGGTCGGACTGAGTTCAATTAATCAAAGGCCGATAGGAGTTTAACAACTTTGGGTCGGTCCATCCATGTGCCCTTTGTTTTGTCCCACGCCCAAATCATACTCAATTTAGCCTCCTAAAACTCTTTTTAGCTCCTTTAGCACTTGGTTGAAGAGAACTTTAGAGGACTATAAACGAATAGCGATTTGGTTTAGTTTTTGCATAGTGGACAACCTTCCGAATTTAGTTGTTAGGTTATTTGGATGACCAAAATTATATGAATTCGTTTGAGTTAAAGTTGAATTATTTAATGATTTCTATGGATGCAAACGGCAAAGAATGATTGATTTCTACTAAAAAATTTGCAAATATCAAGAGTGTTCTCGCCTTGGCACCATGTTGTGCTATATACTTCATACACACTTATTTAATAAAAAATTATTTCATATCGTTAATGGTTAACAAATTTAAAATTGTACTTCAATTTCTAGATATATCGAACTCAAATTAAGATAAAGCCCCTCTTATGAGATAATTGAGTCATACATGTTTTATTTTTTAAATCTCGTTGCAAAGCGCGAGCCATTTATATAGTTGAACGTTATGGTATAACTTCAAATTGTATATTAAAACACCAATGCTTTATAGCATAGTAGAAGTGTTTGAAGCATGATTGATATTGAAGATACAAAATTATTTGCACGAAAGGTACAAAATTAAAAAAAATATGGAACGAAGTATTATGCATAGACATGATTGATCACCATTTTTTAGTCTCCTTCGATAATTAATATCTATCAAAATATTAAAACTCAAAATATAAAAACTCAATATATTTATTGTAGAAAGAACTCAATAAAAATTAAATTAGTTATAATGCACTTATGCTTATATATTAACTTCGTCCTCATTAATATTGTAATTTTTTTTGTTATAATTTGTTTACGGATAGAGATATTTTTGTGTGAAAATGGATAGAGAATGCAAAGAGGGCAAGTTACCAACAATTTGGGAAAGTAATAAAAAAAATTGTAATCAACAATTTTGGAAACAAATCGAACAGAAATGGCAACGTCCATCTGGAGATAATGGAATATTTCATACAAGGAAAAATTATCAAAATAAATTTTTATTTTTTCATAATGTTCCCAAAATTCCCTTTTGAGAATTCCCATTTGGCCTCTTTACCATTTGGCTATAATTATAAATACCACACCCCTCTCTCTCATTATATTCACTTCTCATACTTTACAGCAAAAGACAGAGTGAGGTAATTACTGGTGATTTGTTCAATCTTCTATATATCGTCACAAATAATATATTATTGATTAATCAAAGAAATTAATCTTAATCATCATTTTGCAGTCTTTTCTACGCTCCCTGATGGCGGAAGGAAACAACACGCTTCTTCTGCTGGCTCTGCTCTTCTCGGCGACCATACTGGATCAACAACGTTTCGCTACTGCCGCCAGAGATGTCGCTCTGCAGCTCGAAAAGGCGGCGACCGCCGCCGCCGGTCTCCATTACGAGGAACCACCACCGCCGAAGGCCCTTGAATTAGCCGGAGCCGGTCTAAATTACGAGGAACCGCCGCCGCCGAAACCCCTTGAATTAGCCGGAGCCGGTCTGCATTACGAGGAACCACCGCCGCCGAAGGCACTTGAATTAGCCGGCGCCGGTCTGCATTACGAGGAACCGCCGCCGCCGAAGGCCCTTGAATTAGCCGGCGCCGGTCTGCATTACGAGGAACCGCCGCCGCCGAAGGCCCTTGAATTAGCCGGCGCCGGTCTGCATTACGAGGAACCGCCGCCGCCGAAGGCCCTTGACTTAGCCGGCGTCGGTCTGCATTATGAGGAACCACCGCCGCCGAAGGCCCTTTAATAAGCTTGTCAGTCGTAGCAAAAGATTGCTGATAATATAGATACATGAATGCGTAACCATGAATAAAGAGCTGAATCTAATGAATTCAAGAGGTTATTTATGATGAATCGGGCCTGTCGTGATTTTAGTCATGCGTGTATATGCAGTGGCGGAGCTAGAAAATTAATTAAAGGGGTGTCTTTTCATAAGAAAATATAAACTACATAATAAAAAGTCAACTCTGCACGAAATAAAAAGTCATCAACTCAATACTCAAGAATCGTATAATATTATTACAAAATAATAGTTTGGCGCGCACCGCTTACAACGAACCACGACGAGATTTGATATATGTCACCAATGCATTGTTCAACTACTCATCGGTAATCAATTTTGAAAAATCGTTCTTGTGGAACAACGAAAAACATTTTAGTTATAAGTTTACGACAAATCGCTATTTAAAGTTATAGAGAATATGTATTTTGATCACCAAACCTATTTGATGGAGATGGTACGGAAGGCTATACATTATTGACAAGTGAATGATTCAAATCTTCCTATTTACTTTTCTTGTTGGGATTTTTTCCATGCACCCCCAAGTTTGTGTGTGGCTCCGTCATTGGGTATATGTGAATGCATGCAATATTTCTTCATAATAAAACTCGTCAATTGGATTAAGAATCAATAGCACAATCTCTAATATTTTTTCTAAAAAATTTCACTTCGTCATCCTCGACTCTCTTCTTTCTTTTTATATATGATCATCCCATGCTCGTAATATGTCCTTGTAATTATGATGTTAAAAATGTTTGATAAGTGCCAATGTACCGCTTATAAAACAAAAAGACATGTTTACCATAATAGTTTATTTCCATATAATTGGGTAGGATATATAATATAACCCAACTTAATGGATAGGCACAAGAGAACGCATGTTTAAACTCAATTAGAGCCTCGTTTAAACAAAATGGTGATGACGGGAACCTAGGAAAGATTACTCCACTTTTTCATTTGGATTTAATAGGTTTTAAACCCATGATTATGGATATTCAACCAGAGGTAGAAAACAAGGAGACAGGGAGAAAAGATTTCGAATTGGACAAATATAACCTCTAGAAATTTGGCTATGTTTTTGTTCTCAAATTGACGATAGCAAATCCAATTATGCAAAAATGAAACGTTTGGATGAAGAAGATTTTGTCACAATTCCGTGCTGAATTTCGGAAGTGGTAAAAAATGAATTGGGCCTGCTTCCACAATCCCACAGCCCAAATTAGTTGGGCCTCATCTGCCTTGCACATTCTATTCAGCCCACTTAAAAAAAGAAGGTTAAAATCGCGAAGGCGTCAAACAAAGTAGCAGGTCCTGCGGAGTCATGAAAACTCGCTTCTTTCACTAACGTTCTTCCCAGACAGAAAAACCCTAAAAATCGAAAACCCTCCTCGCTTCTTTCACTAACGGGCACCAGAGGGAGAGAGAGAGAGAAGCATTGCTTGTCTGTTGAGTGTATAAGCAGCGATGCTTCGTCGCAACGTTCGGTTGAGGAGGGAGTATCTGTACCGGAAGAGCTTAGAGGGGAAAGAGCGGCTCCGTTATGAGAACAAGCGCAAGATTGCAGAAGCTCTTCAAGGTTACTACCATTTGCCTTTCTTTCTTTCTTTCTTCTCTATACCGATTTTTCGTGTTCTGTGGTGTCAACTGTTTTCCAATTTGTGTTTGCTGTTTCTGTAGAGGGAAAACCGATTCCTACCGAGCTCAGAAATGTGGAAGCGGAGCTCCGCGCTGAAATCGATCTCGAAGACGATAAAACCGCCGGTAAGCTTCCTATTTAATAGTTCCGGTATTTGCTTGCTGGTTTGGAGTTGGTTGAAGAAAACAGGCTGGTGATATTAGCCGGGCTAGTAGCTAAATAGTTTTTCGGTTGGTCCTGCGAGTGTAATGCTTAGAAATGATGCAGAATTCTTGCGAGTCGTGTGTTCTTCCTGAATCCTGATTAGGGTTTATTTAGTTTGAACGTAAAGAGACGGTCTAATGCATCTTTTTCTGAAATTTAGTCCCAAGGAGTTATATTGATGATGAGTACGCGACTGCAACTGAGAAAGATCCTAAAATTCTGCTGACTACTTCCCGTGATCCAAGTGCACCTCTTGTACAGTTTGTGAAGGTTAGTGGTGCAACTCCTTGACTCATCATACTCTTTACCCCTTGTGTGCCTCGGTTTTCATTGCTGGCAGTGGTTCTTTTCCTGCAGGAATTGAAGATCGTTTTCCCAAATGCGGAGCGGATAAATCGTGGTGGCCAGGTCTGTTGTGACTATTCTAACCACCTTTGTTGGCAAATTCCTTTGTGGGGAGAAACTGTAGGAAATTAGGCAGAATCTCTTTTTAGGAATAAAAAATTCTCTTTTTAGGAATAAGAAATTTGTTTGAACCTAGAATAGTCCCATTTTAGTGGTGTGGACTCAATTTGGAGCCTACATATTATCTGAATGCTATAGGAATCAGTATTGTCCCGAACAAGCAACTGTTGCAGGGAACAAATCTTGTCTATTAATTCGTTTCTCATTTTTGGCTAATCACTTATCTTATATAAGTGATAACTTTTCATTTGTGCAGGTTATTTCTGAAATTATCGAGAGTTGCCGTTCTCATGATTTTACAGATGTCATTTTAGTTCATGAGCATCGTGGTGTACCCGATGGCATGATAATAAGCCATCTACCTTTTGGGCCAACTGCTTATTTTGGTTTGCTCAATGTGGTAAGTGTTTTGTACTTATTCTGATGATAATACCTTGTCATGGGTCTTATTGGGTGCTTCTAATACTTGTTAAGAGTCCAATCCCAGGTTACAAGACATGATATTAAGGATAAGAAAGCAATTGGAACGATGTCTGAGGCTTATCCACACTTGATTCTAGACAATTTCAATACGAAGGTACTGTATATTCCTTCTCTGTTACTTGTCAGGCTGGTTTGATTGGTTGCGTTTCCTCTATCTGGCTATACATGGATTACGGATTGGTCATTTAACTTTCAAGTTGCCAGTGTGACGATGTTCCTTTCATGGGAAGGAAACTAAGGGACATTTTCTTGTGCATGAATAGAAGCCCATGTATTGTTGAGCTTTCTTCTGACTGAAAACTTGATGATGAAGCTTGACTGTATCCTAGACAATTTCAAGATCCACCCTCTTCCTGAAACAATGGGATTCACAATTTTGGTTTTATGCTTATTGCATCATCTTGTTAATAATGACATGTGATTAGAGCATTGCAATTGGAGGACTTATGCTATTATAGCCACCCCATGTTCAATCAATTACCAACTGTGGCCAGTGTGTTGATGGGCTTCTTTTTTTTTTTTTTTGGTCATTGACAGCTTGGTGAAAGGACAGCAAATATATTGAAGCATCTCTTCCCAGTGCCAAAGCCAGATACCAAGCGGATACTCACTTTTGCAAATCAATCAGACTATATATCATTCAGGTGAGTTAACTATCAGAATTATTGGTCCCTTTACTTCTTAAAAATGCTTATAATAGCACATCATTAAAAAATGCTAATATTATCCTTCACTGCTGTTTTGTTTTTTCATTATGTCGCCTTGAGAATGATTTGCTGCTCACTTGACTGTATATCATCATTTCATGTTGTAATGTTTGATTCATGTTAGATGTACTGGGAACACTCATATTTGCGTTTCTGTTATTAGGTCTGTCACTTCATGCATGAGTTTTTCATTTTCTCCTAACATTTGCTCCTGATGATTGATATATGTACAGACATCATGTTTATGAAAAACGTGGCGGTCCAAAGTCCGTCGAGCTTAGGGAGATTGGTCCTCGTTTTGAAATGCGGCTTTATCAGGTAACTCTTGCTTACAGAATCAACTTGGGTCTTGTGGTTCCTGCCTGATGCGTTGGAATGGGCCAAAGCATCAGTAAGTGTGATAGATACAAACGGATTGGTTCCTACTTATCATCATTAATTCAATTATTATGAGCTAGGAATACACATTGTGAACTGGCCTATCCCCCTTAGAGAAGTTGTCTGTCCTTAGACGAGCTGATAGACTTTTACCTCATCTCCCCTCCATGTTTGGCCGGAGAATGATACTCCTGTTCAAAGCTCTTTTAGGAGTGAATGTTCGTCGGTATTTGACATGTAACCATAACTGCAATATAATATGGCGCTTTGGTGGCCGACAGATAAAGCTAGGGACGATGGAGCAGACCGAAGCACAGACGGAGTGGGTGATTCGACCATACATGAACACAACAAAGAAGCGCAAGTTCATCGGGGACTGATTGCACCAAAGAGCCTGGCGTCATTGCGGCTTTTTAAGATGATGCTCTTTTTACCTCCCCATGTGTATCTCTTGCAGCTAGCCTAGGGTAATTAATTGGATTCCCTTTGTGGCTCCTAGCTGCAACCAAATTTTGTTCAAGTTCAAAAACTATTTGTATCCTCTCTTCCCACCTCTCTGTACTGTATACAACCACAATGAGAATCGTGTAGTTTCTTCGTACTTATAGTTGTGCTACCTTGTATTTTGGGAATGAGGATATGTGGAAAACCTGTTTAAGTATTAGCCTTTAGATAGGAAAGACACTGCAAGGATTAGAATTACATAGAGGTATTCAAGTCTGATCATACTGTTATTCAGAGTAAACCTCGATGTTGACATTGCCCACTCTTATTACTATCCGTTGTTCGACGACCTTGTTGCCCATCTTTGCAAGAAAACCTTTGATCTAGCTAGTGACATGTATCACGCGAAACTTGTAATTATTTATCTTCTCGAGTTGTAAGGAAATACTAGGAGTAAATACAATTTCTTTGGTCGTACGCAACGTTGAGAAGTAGTTCTCTAGACATATTTTAGCCAAAAGGAGTAACTTGTAAGCCACGCAAGGCAACTCAAGCGTGGGAAGGCCTGCTGGCAGATATAATAGTGGGCAACTAAAAACTGCCATTTCAATTTTCTACTATAGTCTAAAATACTACTGAAGCCTAAATGGAGCAAATGCAGATACAGAGAGCACCGAAAAACGATAAATTCCTTTACACTTTGAGCTGATCATTAGAGCTTTACATTTAAAGGATATACATTTACTGTTAATATCTACTCTTTTCCACGATTATGCACTCGTAAAAGCCATTCCGTCAATCAAGACAGTGGATTCATTTACTGATCCTGACTACTGCTGCTGCTGGGGCCGCGATTTCTCAACTTTCTCAACGGCTTAACGAAGTATTCAGAGGCTGGAGTTTCAGGAACAGGGATTAGCTTTCCAACTGCAGCAAGAGGCCAACTGCAGAAGCAAATATGATGGAAAAAAGAGACAATTAGTTTCTTAAGAATCTGAATCCGGGAAAGGGAAAGAGCATTTGATGGTTGTGTTCCGGTAGTTATTGCTTAAGACACTAACCTGACGAAGCCAATGGCCATTGACACGAGCCATAGCTTCCAATTTAGCCTCACCGTCTTTGTGAACTTCCCAGAGACCTCGATCAGGATTATCTATACAGTGTTATAGCCAATTCAATTTAGGGGAAGAAGACAATATGAATTTAGTTAACAGAACAAGGAACTCTCTAATTACCTGGAGAACGAAAGTAAATCCAACTATGCCCATAAACAATTTGTTCTTGGTTACCCCATCAAAGACATTGATTTCATCAGGTTTTCGTGCGTTGAATTCATTGAATATCTGTCACGTAACAAAGAAAAGGGTTAGGCTATCAGGCTTCTTAATAGCTGCAACCCTGATTTGTCAAAGTTTAACTTACCTGGCACAGCACGAAAGCATTGAAAATCATGGTATTCTTCACAACTGTAGCATGTTCCTCGGTATCATGTTCCAGCCCGAGAATGGAGATCCCAGAGAAGTTGAGCACAAGAAGCACCACAACTTGGTATGACGCCTAAAAGATCATGAATAAAGTCAGTAGGAATCCAGATGCTAATGCTCATCTACTTATATTTCATCTTCGCAGGAGAACTTGGAGCACAACAAAACAACTGAGGCATCACAATTTTTTTGCTCACCTGTATCAGTAAGTTTCTCCACATGATGTTTGTAATCAGGGGTTCCCTACAAATTCAAAGATCATTACAGTCAGGTGTCATCTTCATTATCGATTGACAACAAATATATCCTAGGTTCTGAAAGCTATTAACTTAATAAAAGGGTTTAAAAACGATATAAAAAAATTCACAGCAAAGGTGTACTAACATATAAGATGAACCCATAAAAAGATAGATACCAACCTTCGTCCAACCGGTGTTCTGTGCATAAGATGGTCCGTTGGTGGTTCGGTTGCCAATGCCAGTGCTCCAAGCGTATCCATTATAAGATTAACCCATAAAAGCTGAAGCACGTAATCAAAGCAAGAATTTAGAAACTGCTCATTATTACAGGTCAACTATCCAATTCATGCAAACTGGCCACCCTCCCCAATACTATTGAGTTGCAGATATACAACTATACATAATAGAGACATGGATGAAATACCTGCACTGCATTTAGGGGTACATCACCAGAAGAGATGGCAGCCACAACATTAATCACTAAAGCTGCGACATTAACAGTGAGTTGGAATTGGATGAACTTCTGGATATTCGCATAGACAGAACGGCCCCAACGTACAACCTACATGATATCCAGACAAGATAGAATGTGGGAAACAATGGAACAAATGGATGCAAGATAGAGGTAGGCACCCAAATTAGGAAGGCATTAATCCAACTTCATTACTTAATATGAATAGCATTTCCAACCAACCTTTACAACTGAAGCAAAATTGTCATCGAGTATTATGATGTCTGAGCTTTCTTTAGCTACTTCTGTCCCTTGAATGCCCATTGACAAGCCTATATCTGCCTGAAATTGGACAAAATAAAAGTACAAGTAAGTAATTAGCCAAAGCAAGAAAGCAACTCTAACTGAGAATAGGGAAGGAAGAAACGGAAAAACTAGCAGAAAGAAAAAATCAAAAACTAACAAAACAAAAGCTGAAGGAAGAAGCAATACACGCATCTCCAGAGGAATTATGTATTTTTGTCTAATTATCTCAAGCATAGCAGATACCCTCAATGTGACAATACCAAGAATGGATTTGCATAGTATGTAGAGAACTCGCAGAGTTGTAATAACTTTTTACAGAATTGTATTTGGATCTTAATGCCTATAGCCAGCTTAAACAGAACAGACATCGAACCTCGTGGAGTGCAGGAGCATCGTTCGTGCCATCACCAGTCACAGCCACAACCTCCCCTCTCTTGCGCAAGGCTTGAACAAGCAAAAGCTTGTCATTAGGAGATGATCTTCCCATCACCTAAAGTACCACGAAAATGCACATGAGGAATTATTACTGGATCTTACCATTAACTGAAACTTGCAACAGAGAAACTATCAAATCCATGCTTAATCTTCCATAAAGATCCACCTCGTAAGCTACATACCGTTATTTTGTGAGCAATCTGCTCTCTTTCTTTCTCCGAGTATGCACGAAACACCTTGCCTTCTATGACATTTGGCTCGCTAGCCTCAGCGGTGGAGCCTAAAATGCCACACTCTAAAGCTATTGCTCTAGCTGTTTGAATATTGTCCCCGGTGACCATCCGAACCTACAGATGAATAGGCATATTACCAATGGGGACCAGTGTTTGTTCATTTAGAAGAAAAAGAAAAGAGTGGACAGCATAATTATCCAATAAGAAGTTAGGTACTTAAATATTCACTGGCTGAGTTATATGCAATTATGATTTCAAACAATAGCAAAAACAAGCTAACCTTTACACCAGCACTAGTACATATTCGGACTGCATCTTTAACACCTGGCCGGCAAGGATCCTGCACAGGGAACTCACATCAGTTGGGTACCAGTACAAACAACATTTTAGGGAAATAACTTCCAAGTGTGTGTGATTGTGTCGGTTGGTGAGGAAGAGGGTCTACACCCACTTTTCATGGTGCAAGATGGTCACTATGACAATGGAAGAGAACGGAAATAGCAGACAAAATATTGATAGAGCTGTTTCAAGATAAGAAACCTTGATGCCAACAATTGCAAGCAACACTAGGCTATCTTCAGGAAGAACCCATTTTGCCAACGCCTCATCATCAGTGGGAACTTTTTCCAATTCATATGACCGGTAAGCAATGGCAACACAACGCAAGCTGTGTGCTGCCATGTCATCAATGGCCGACCTGAAATATTCCTGCGTTGGAGTAGTCAAATAATCATATCAGTGTAATTTCCCAAGGTCACAACATGTTTGCCATGACAAAATCCATAGAGATTGAAAATTACATTTGCAGCATATTTCAACTTCACCAACATAGCCAGTAAACTAAGAGAAAACAGATAACAGAATGATTGAAGATCTACAGTTAATTTTGTTTGTGAATCAAACAAGTAATGATGGCAGCTAGACCACTGGTAAAATGGCCGCAGAAACAAAAAGAAAAAAGAAAAAGAATTGGCAAGGGAGAGACTGCAGTTAGTACTTAGTAATTCAGCACATCAACTCCCTTTTAGCATCTGTATGCAAGAATGCCTTTAGAACAGGTGAGAAAACAATGTTGATGGAACCACAGCACACTTCACAAATCTCAAGTGTTTAACATCAATATTCTGAAGTGATTTCGAGTATCATCTCATCTTCCAGTGGTCAAGGTTACTTGCCTCTTAGACAAAAGTTCATGTAGTGTGCCACTGATTTGAAGGCGCATTAATAAGAATGATCAAGCACTCAGATGCAAATGCCAATAAGTTGAGACTTGAGTTCGTTAGTTTATTTATCTGGGAACATATTGACTGACAAGTCATTTCCAAGGAAGTACCTTATCATTATCAATGGACTGCACGCAACCATTCAAGTCTAGATATCCACTGCATGAAGCAAGAACTATTTCAGCTGCTCCCTTCCAATGTATGTGGATGCTGTTATCAGTCTGCCATGAGTCAAGGTAAGCAAGTAAATCAACAGCATAATGTAGTTCGACATACACAAATAAGATATTCATGTTAGCAGAGAAATTAACATGTTTCCATGTGCTGCAAATATGGAACGTCATTAGTACTTGTGTTAATGATGAAGTTAACTTCTGCATATTCTTACTCATTATTAAACATTCAAATCATTTGTCCGAACATTTAGCAGTTGAATAAATAATTAAACACGTCCATGTAGATATATGATAATCAGTTGGGGTAGTGAAACATTTCCAAACGAAGTCATAGTAGAAGTCGGAACGGAGAAATTACCGTCTTCACGGCAACACCACCTCGCTTTTTCTCAGAGTTAAAAGGGAAAACATGGAGAACCTTAGACTCCGATCTGATTGCATCAAACTTCATTCCTAACTGGAGGGATCAAATCCAACGCGAGCATAAGCATAAGCGGGATACAAAAATGATGAAATATAATCAAAGAACTTGATGTATTAAGACTACCTTGACTGCCCATGAAAGGATAGCCTTTTCAGTGGGTGATCCAGTAACTTCTACATCCTCACCAGTCTGTCAAAGTATATTAATACGGTTAAATCTTTACTGAAATATTCATGGCAAAGTCCAGACTAATTAGCTGTATATCATAGAGCATCAGCAAGCAGAACTAGAGAAATGTATGGCAAAAAAAAAAAAAAAAAAAAAACTAAAAATGTAATAGTTCTACCAAAAAAATTGTACTAGTAATGCCACGGAAGGTTTTGGGTATAGGTATCAAAAAGGCAACTACGATTTCAAAGAAGAAGCATACAAAAAAGGGACCATGTTATTTATTTACGTCATACATTAAACGAAAGTACTTACCAAGCAGTAATTACAAAAGAACACCAATGAGAGGAAATATTCACTAAGAATAAGAAAGTGCAGCTGCCTCTTAAAGTACTTTCGGTGAGGTTAAACGTGCAGGGAAGTGGAGATATGGGGACCTAATTCAGAAAGATAAACTCACCTTAGGAACAAAAACATTGCCTGTGGTATTGTGAGCAACACCCTCGCACAACAAAGACCTAGCTTCTGGATGTAATTCTGAAGGGTCAATTGTTCTACCTTTCCCAACACAAGCATCAACTACAGTCATCTGCAATTGTTGAATTGGCCATGCATAATTAGAAGACAAAAGCCTTTTTTGGATCGAGTATCTTAATTTTAATTAATTAATAATAGACAGCAAAGCCCAGGGGTCACAGCTTGGAGTTCGATCTCAGTTTGTCAATATTATGCCCCGAGTATTTTAATAGATGTCTCCTCTTCAATAACGTTTTTTTTTTTTTTTTTGCATTTTCTTGTAATTTGGTAAGTCTTGTTTCTCAAACAAATGTATACCAACTTCAAGATGGTACAAACCTCATTCAAGGTCAACGTTCCAGTCTTGTCACTGCAGATTGTTGTTGCTGAACCCATAGTTTCACATGCCGAGAGCCTACGAACCTGTAGACCATATAATTAGAAGTTGCACAGAAATACAGTTTTTGGAAACAAAAGCAAATTACATGTGGACACTGATACTTGCCAAGGCTTTATCTGCCATCATCTTTCGCATAGAATATGCCAGGCTGAAAGCAACAGAACACCGGAAAAGTGAAACAAAGATAAGAGCAAATGAGTAAGAGGGATAAAGAGCATCAGCAATAGGTAATCACTAATGCAGCACTTAGCAGACATCGACTTACGTCAAGGTAACAGCCAAGGGAAGTCCCTCAGGTACAGCAACCACTACAATAGTGACCTGGATTTTACTGGGGTTAGTCAAAAACTGTATTCCAAAGAGAACAAATATAGAAAAAAATGAAGGATTTGAACATACTGCTATGGTGATAATTTTGACCACCCCATCTAAAGCTGTACTGAATTTGGTGTGGCCTGCAACAAACTGGACTGATCCATCCGCATCTTTTGTATGTCCAGTGAAGTATCTGAGGATTTTGATTCAGAATACTACATCAGCAGGATCAACACAAGACAGAATTGAAGACAGTACTACATGATAGCTTAACTTACCGAGCCAGAAGAACAACAAGCACTAAGACAGCTACTGCAAGACCAACAATTCCTATAAAAGTTGCAACTCCATTCAATCGCACCTATCGTCATTAGATCAATATTAATCCAAAGGTTCCAAAATCTTGTACTGCTGGTTCATTAAAGCAAGAACAACTGATAGAAAACCTGCAATGGAGTCTCTTCACCCGTATCCTCTGAGATACTTGCCATCAGAAGTCCCCACTCCGTATTGATTCCAACTCCAGTGACCTATAAATTGTTAGTACGAGATGAGTCTCAAGCTGGCATAGATAGTTGGATATCCAAATGGAGAGCAAAGATTCAGACACATAATCAGGATAACAAGTGTCAAAAAGCGAAAGAAGATCATGCTGGGAAGATATGCAGGAAAATAGAAACCAGACATATCGCTCATTCTTTAAAAGATGCTATTAGTTCAGGCCTAAGTATACACTGGGAGTAATTAGCTGGAACCGCAAGGAAAAGCTGCACACCCTGCTAGCAACTTCAAGTGCACACAAGAGTAAACATGAAAATTTAAGATTGTAGAATCAATGCAATCATAGGGGAAAATTTTCGCATCTCCAACAAAGACCAATGAGCAATAAGTTTACTATCTGGGTTCAACCACAAAAAATTTCAGAGAGTTCTTCTTAGCTTCTTTTGTCCTTATCAGTAGTGTTAAAGTGACTATATGTTCTCGTGATTCTGAATCCATAGTTGACTTGAGAACTCATGCTCATGATTTTTCCATAAGGATACTGACCAAGTAAGCAGACATCGAATAAAGACAAAGATGCAGAGCAAACAAAATGAAAGAAGCACAATGTTCCCTACCAGCATGGTACCAACTCCATCAGCAACTTTACAACCAGACATCAAGAAGGGTGCCTTTTGGTCCTTGTGAACCTGTAACAGGATAAAGCATAAGAACGAACTCCATCGACAACTTTACAACCAAATAGATAATATCACTAGTGCAGACAACTCACAATTTTGCTTTCACCAGTCATGCTAGATTCATCCAAGGCAAGAGAATGGCCGCTGATTAAGACTCCATCAGCTGGCACCTATGTGAAACAAGTCGCTATTGATTCAATTGGGCGAATGAAAATTTATAAGCATAGGTAAAAGATGACTCTTTAGCAAAAAAAAACTTACCTGATCACCTATTCGAAGAGGTACAATATCGCCAACAACAATATCAAAAATTGAAGTTTTAACTGCTCTCCCACCTCTCATGACCTGTGCAAGGTTAAACTCGTAAACAAAAATACAACAGTGGAAAGGTCTAAGCAGCTTCACATTTTACTAACTACTAGAAGTACATACCTCTAGCTGTATATTTCTCTTTTCATCGTTCAAATTTTGGAACTGAAGAGACTGGCGGTAATCGCTAACAGCTATAAAACAAAAAAGAGACAAAATCAACCAAGGATCAATCACTGTGAAGGAACTGAGCAAAAACCGATCTTATCCCTTTATGCAATAATATTTTAGAAAACCAAAAATTCGCCCAGAAAACTTAAAACAAAAGCAGAAGAAAAAACGGAGAACTCATCAAAGAAGTAACTATGGAATCTTATCAGAAACAGTTAGGCAGTATATCAAACTCAGCTTTCAAGCCTAAGAGATTAGGCCTAGACAACAAGAGCAGAATGGAGGACTACGCTTGAAAAGGGAACACAGTGGAAAATACAATAGACAAATATGAAAACCATAATTTCAACCAAGGTACCTGTAACAACTATAACGAGGATAACCGCAATATATATGCTCGCACCATCATACCATCCTTCTTTGATACCCTACAAATGACAGGCAAAAGTCAGAACGGCAAAGTGTAACTGAAAGGGAAAGCGCAATGAGCAGTGGCAGAATGCAGGTAATCAAGTAAGCCAAAACATTACCCTACAAGCAAAGGAGAAAGTGCCTGGAAATACCGAAGCAGCATGGTACACAGATTAACTTCATTAGGGCAAATAAAAGGCATCAACATACTGTGAACTTTGATTAGAACAGGATAGCTTGATTCTTGTACCTTCAGCACTTTGATTTATTTCATAAACAGTTTTATGTAAGAACTTACAGCGTGACATGCAAAAGGGAGCACGAGATGCAAAATGAATACGTTAAGCAAGATTATTGCACAGTGATTAACATGTACCTCTGTCTTTATTCCCAATGCCAAAGACAATATGGCAGCTACCATCAAGATGATAAGAGTTAGATCTTGCCAAGCTTCCCATAGGAATCTCTGCAAAACAAGGCAATTGTTATTTCTGTTGCCAGTACCTCACTAGGCTGAGAACAGAATTTAGCGCAAAATATTCACCAAGAAGCTTCTTCCTTTTCTCCGAGGGTACGTATTTGCTCCAAACACATTCTTCCGATTCGATACGTCAGCCTCATCTGGACTAACTCCCGTCTCCAAGTTTGTTTTCAACATACGTTCTAAACCTCTTACCTGATTGATAAGCAATCACGAATCAAACAGCCAAGCTTTGAAAACTAATCATATATGAAATAAATGCAGCATTCTGGCGAACTTACTCCCCCATATTGATGTAGAGCTTCAACATTATGATCCCTGTTCATTGTTGATAGCTGTTCAACCGCAATATCGAAATCACCGATAGGGGTTGGAGGTGCAACTGAGGAACCTGACACTTGACAATAGAAACTAATTCAACAAAGAAACCAACAAAATGGGAAACCGACTACAGAAGTATGCAAATAGGCTGCTGCGGACACTGCCATCAGACTAAGGCCCCCAAACTCTTAATGCTCATATCAAGCATTTCTTTAGTTCGCAACTAAGAGGGAAAAAACCTGTTATGCAAAATAGGGAATCAGGTATCATCTTTAGTACGAATGGAGACCTTATTCAACATTTTTGCTGCTTTCCTTTAGCTCATATAGAGGACAACTTTTGTCAATTATGTACTGCAGGATTAAAGATGGCAAAGCTCGACAAACTATTAAGTCTAAGGGATTTTGATACGAGTGAGAAAGAATACATCAACATAAAAGAGAGGGAAGGTGCTCCAAACTTGGCACAGTAGAATATTCCCAGATATCAACTAAGAGAATCAACTAACAACATGAAGATACATCCAGAAAAGTATCCAGAGAGTGAAATACCTATTTGTCTTTCTCCAGCCAACTTGAAAAGCAACGCTGCCTGGCAAAATGAGGAAAAGACAAGAGCAACAGCAGAAAAGACAATCTCAGAGCCACGAATATTACCCTTGAGAGGATTATTCACTAAAACACATATGTATGTAGTGAAATCAAGTCTCAGGTAAGCTGTTCATTACTCTTATAACTTGTGCATGAGCTCTAATCGTCCGCCTTCTTTGTTCTTTCTCCTGTTCCTTCTTCAAGTCCAAAGTGTACCGAAACCGGCGAGAAGCATTCAAAACCAGTGCTGCTTGCTGCCAAGAAAAGACCAGTAAGACCAAACATCTTCAGTCCAATCGATAAGGAAACAACTCGATTCACAGATTAACTTTGCATGCACTCGTATATCGATCCCTAAGAACTGGAGGAATTCATCTCCCAAACTAATTGACTATACGTACCGATCTCATGCAAATGCACAGTGATCATCTAGATTTCATTTAACATCATATATATATCACAAACGAAACTGCATTCGTTGGAAACTGAGATTTTATGAGCAAATTAGGCGCGATTGAGCATGAAATATAATTAACTAATCGATCGTAGCACTGAGTGCTTAAGCGTAATTAATTAACTAATTCAGTATAATTAATTGCGTACCCTCCATCTTCTGAGAGTGTTGTGAGAAGCATTCTTGGTCTGCGCGATATCAAAAGGATCCGATTCATCCTCCACACCGTCTTCCTCCTCATCCACCACTTTCTTCTTCTCCTCATCGTCGAATCCATTCCCGGCCGCGGCGGCGTCGGAAGCGATGCCGGACTCCAGGTCGCGCTCCGACATTGTCGGAGTCGTCGCCGTCGTCGACGATAATAATCCTTTCGAAGAGGTGATACTCATAATTGCTATCTCCCACAGAAACCAAACGAAGGAAGACAACAACAAAATTCAGAGAATCTTCTTCAGTACTGTCCTCCCGACGAAATTCCGAACCACTGGTGAATTCTTGAATTGACACTTCGCCTCTCTCTCGTCGCTCGATTATAGTAAGACGACACCTCGCTCCTCGATGAAGATACTGCCAATTGCTACGATAATTTTTTTCTGCAAGCTAATATAAAATGAGAAATGGCGACTAACGCAACCGGCCGGAACGAGAAAGCTACTTTTGAAACGGAAAACAGCGGAAGCTGATACAGCTCAGCGGACTTACGAGAGAGAGAGAGAGAGATAGCTGATCAATGGCGGAGGAATGCTAGCTTCGTTCACGGAAGCTAGAAATAGAAATCTGTTTTTCTATTATATCGGGGTCCGGCCGTGGCTTTCCGTGTTTCGGCCGCGTATTGGAACAGCAGCTCGCTTTAAAGCTCTCGCGGGAGCTGGCGGTATATAAACGGGCCAGCTGGCGGTGGTTTCGCACGGCGGAGAAGGTAAAGATCGATCTGATCGGAGTGAAGAAGAAAACGCGAATGGAGTCGATCGATTTTCTCGGGGGTTTTTTTTTTAATTTTATCAATTGTTTATTGTTGGGCTACGAATTTTGGTTATGGAGGAGGATAATGCGGAAGGAAGGTGGGAAGGAAGTTTCGATGAAGCTTCCCCCGCCAACATGCTTTTCACTTACCAGTCTCCACTTTCTGATAATTAAGGGTCTGTTTGGGGAATCGATTTGCCTTTTCCCGGGATGGAAAAGGAATTAAAAAGGAAAAAAGAAAACAGAAAGGGACGGTTGCCGGTTCATTGTCGCGTTGCGTGACCGGTCGTTCTGCTGCGTGTGCAGTAAGTAACCAATAGAAAGGAGCGTTGGTGGGCCCCAAAGCCCACCATAAAGTTTGTTCTCGTGACTGTTCACGCGTTTTTTTAATAGGCCCAAAATAGTATTATAATAATTTGAAAAATAATAATAGGGGTTTTCCGTTAGAAGGAAACAGGCCAACGGGCAACGGCCAGGGAGATCCGTTCGGGAAAATATATCATTTATCTGACAAAGGTTGTCGACAGCTCCTTCATCTAAAAAATACTTTAGTAAGTCCAATCCAACTAATTACTAATCCCACGATCTCACGTCGACAACAACCCTTCTTTTCATTACTTTTGCACGTCGACGGTCGACCTAAACTCATGGTTGTAAAGTCGGTAGATTGTAGGTTGGTTGAACCTGTTATAACCTCTGTTTTCAGAACGGACCGGACGATGAACCGAAAAAGTTAGTAGTTTAGAGTTCAGCGGTTAATCGTTACGAAATCGTTGGTGAATCGTTGATAGAAACATTCATGATATATAACATATAAGACTTGTATATAATAACTAATTTAAGAATGAAATTATCATTGACTAGAAACAAGTTCAAATTCATATAATCATCAAAATATCTAATAAATCATTCCAACCATTTCACCCAAAAAAAACATATTTTTTAAATTCAAATTAAAAATTACAATTCTTGTCGATAGTAGACAACGTAAAGTCGACCAGTGGACCTGTTAAAGCATTTTTTTGTTAAAATAGTGAACCAATGAACCAGTTAAACCGTGTTGGTTCATCTGATTTTATGTTGAACCGTGAAAAACCGTTTGATCCATCAATAACCGTTCATACAATGAACCGGACCGCTATCGTAACTGGTTTGATGGTTCCACTGGCCCGACCGCTGATCTTATAACGGGTTTCGCTAATGAAATTGATTGGAATATCACAAGTATTACCAGCATGTTAATATAACGTTGTTTTAATAAATTTAATTGACAAAATTTTGATTTGTGATTATTTCACGAATTTAAAAGTTAATGTTTATATTATTTGTTTGATTCATTGTTTGGAATATTGTATTTTATTTAAATATGAATGTAGATTGTAAGTAGATTGTCTTTAAATATGTTTATTTATATATACTTAAATTTATTTGATAATAGATTTTTATATTTCTACGAATTTCATTAAATCGGTTGTACCTTATCAAATCACATCATTTGCTAAACTGGAATAGTACTATAAATCGGTTTGACAACCTTGTCTAAACCCAATTACATGTACAAGTCCTATCTTACATTATGCTGTTTCATTTTTAAAATGGGATACGGGGGAGTGGCTAAGTAATAAGTTATTATTCATTCACGCTTTTTTCTCTAAATAATGTGTGATTGGTTGTACTTTTTGAAGTTGTGATTTTTTTAAAGATTAAAAAAAATGATGTTTGGTAAAAGTTAAAAAAATAAAGTTAGATAGAAAATTAGTATTTTTTATTAACAAAAATCTAGCTGATAATACGATGAATGTTGTGTTCAGTAGAAAATATGTTTTATTAACAAAAACCTAGGCATTAACAACATTAACCAAACCACTTTTGGTTTAGTGTTAGTATGTATCTAATTTTCTGTTCAGATGCGGTTCGATACTCTACTATATCATGGATTTGTCGCTGATCTTCTATCTCAACCTCTTCAATAGTTCAAGAGCATTGTGAGCCATTGTTTTTATGAACTTGTGAGCTGTTTTTTTTGTTGTTATGTGTTAAGTAAATTATTAATCTTTGAGTTGAAAAGGGGAAATTGCTACTTCATTTATCATGTGGTACAAATTGTTATTTTTCTTTTCATCATCTAGGTAGGTTTAGACGATACCTAGACAAGCTAGGCTAAGACAAGGTTCTAACACTCGTATTATGTCCAAACGCTTTTTTTCAACCTTCATAATAGAGTAGTTACGAATTTATAACAAACAAATAGTAATTTAAACTCAAGTGTGAACACAGAATGGCAGTTGGATTGGTGCCATGGAGGACAAAATGTTGTGTATTCATTCCCCTCAGCAAATTTGAACGAAGAGTTGTTACATTTTCGGTTGTTTCTTGCTTGTTTGTGCAAAGAGACATATTTTCATTATTTTGGGAGGTGTAACAACATTAGAGAAGTAGACCAATAGATGAACAGAAAGACTACTCTGCGGCTGGCCAAAGTTACCCATAGCGAAAGGAGCATAAAATTGGAAGGATCTGGCCAGCGGAAAATGGAAGCGGTAGAGGAGTTGACAAATGTACAGTGCAGGGAGGAGAAAGGGAATGAAGAAAACATCCCACTTATGTAAACTAGGTAGTTCATTGTCGTTTTAGTTAACTAGGATGGAATTACGATTATGCATGCAAGGATCCAAACATTCACTCCCTTCTGCAGCAAGGCTTCCTGCAACACTTCTTTGTTCCAGCTGAGAAATGGACAACTTGGTCCTTCACGTGCTTCTGAGATGAACAACCTTTCGCTACTCTCGACGACCATGAGCCGTACAGTGCTTCCACATCTTGCATCGACAGCCCGTTCCTGCTCAAATCCAACAGCTGCAATGCCTTGGCTGCAGCAATGGCTTCCGAGAGCTGCTTGACCATGATGCCATATCCATTTGATGATGACAGGAGGTTGTTGTTGTTGCTCTCATTCTCATTCGCCATCTTCCTGCAGGAGCTTGTGCAAGTGTCGTTGAGCTCCAAACGAGATGCGGCAGCTCTTGCTGTAGCTTCGACTCTGGTTGAGTCCTCACTGTCGGCAACTACAAGGCCGTCATCACATTCCACGTTTACTTGGTGATCAAGTAACCTTTCGTCTGTCGATGATTTATTTGAGGCTGAGATTTCATTTTTCTGCAGATCGTCATTCTCAGCAACATGGAGCTCCTCCAGTTGATCATTCTCTGTAGGAAAGGTCACGAGTCATGGTCGTGTACATGCTAAATGAAACTAAAGAAAGTATGGGGGAGTTCACAGCATGGACTCTGGAAAAACCTGCAAGGGTTTGGATCAACTGAAGAACAAGGGGAAATCCCAGCTGACATTTGTTAAGGACCAGAAGTCTGAGGCAACACCCAGGCTGCTTCAGAAGTGATAGTAATGCATTTCCTCCCTGTGTAAAGATTTCAAGTTGAGTTCACTGGCTCAAAAAAACAAAAAAATGGTAAACACAGGACTTGATAGATAGGGTGATAAAGGGACAAACCGCAGGCATAATAGAATTTCCTTGGAGATTCAGCTCCATAATACAGCAAGCAAGGCTGAAATTCAAGGCAAGGTTGTGAACATATGTGGATGTCAGTGTGCAGTACGATAGGTCCAGTTTCAAAGATTCTCGAGATCCGGAGGGGAATGAATCAGTCAACTGCAGAGCCCCTTCCTGCAGTTATCATAAGAGTTTGCATCATGACAAGCAGGAAAAGCTGGCCTAAATGAAACAAAACAAAAATGCCAATGACAACAACAAAGTTAGGATCTTAAGGAGACCCACATTTCCCATGCCGGTGCTCCCAACACTTAAACTCGTCAAACAAGAATGCTTTGCAAGTTCACACAGGTTGTCGATGACTTCCTTGTTTAGTTTCAGACCACTCATATCCAGCTCTGCAAAGCTACAAAGGTTTTTTTTAAAGAAAAGGTTAATCTTTTAGAAGTCAAAGCTACATGTCTTGTAATTCTGAATGACTTGGTAGCATGTACGTAGATATATATCAAATAGCAACATTGCAAACCTATTTAAGGTGAAAAGTCTTCTTAATAGATTGGTGATGGAAGCTCCTGATAAGGGATTATGTCCTGCTTGTGTGATCAGTCATTAGATATATGACACGAGAGAGAAAGAGAGCAGAATTCTAAGATAAGTTATCATTGATTTCACAGAAATGCACCTATAGAAAGTTCTGCCAAGACTGAATCAGAATGTATTGCGTCAACAACTTTTTGAATCGTTCTAGATGTGATGGAGCAGCGTTCTATATTCAAACTGTAAAGAGCTGCAAGACAACACTTTTGGTCAGTGGAACAAAGAAGCAGTGTCTTGAAAAACTTTCCAGTGCTAAAATCTTAAATGCAAGGCATAAGACTAGAAAGTACTTCCAATGAAACAAGAAAAACTTAACAAACCCCCTTCATCAGCATTAAGCATCTACAGGCTGGCATCTACATTATTCCATTGCTTGCTCTAATAGAGTGGATTATCATTATAAGACTGTAAGCAGATATTTCTCTTTACCTTTGCATTTTCCCAATATAGTTGACAGGTATGATCCACATGCATCTGTGAGTCGATTGCCAGAGATATTAAGCACCTCAAGCCGAGAAAAGAGGACAGGACATTCACAGATCTGAAAATGAGAAATTGGAAGGTCCTGTTAGAATCAATCTCTTGGAAAATCAAACAGAAGACTTCGAAATGAAAGTTCAATATATTGTGCTAAGTGCTAATAACCTGAAACAATGCAGTAGGTCCAAATCGGTTGCAGTGCAGGTCTAAAGTTAGATCACCATACATCTGGCTTGATGTGAAAAATTGTTGAAGTTTCTCCATCGTTCCATTTCCTGAAAGAAAAATACACATCACACCCTCACATAAGATATTGCAAAATAGATTGATATAGAAAAGCTTCTAGGATGCCAATGACCTTTCCCTCATTGATATTATTTCATCAAGCCACAAATGGGAGACACAATCAGAAATGGAGAAGTTATATACCTAGTAAGTTATGAGAAAGATCCAGCATGACTACTGTCTTGTGCGTGTGCAGGGCTTTTAATAACGGAGCTATAGATATATCTTGCAACCCACACTCCGAAGCACTAACTTCATCCTCCACCTGTAACAGTATAATATGAAACAATTTGAGCATAGGCACCATTCAACTATAGTGAGATAAGGAGTCAATCATTGTCAAAATTCAGAATGAATGAGATAAGATACTCATGGCCAATCAGCACCTACAGGACCAACACATACCTCTGATATGTACAGCTTCTTAAGCAAATTTATATTGGGTGACTCGGATAATTCATTACAGCAGTCAATGTACAGTTTCATCAGCCGCTTCTGAACCCATCCTGGTTCGAAAGGGGGGAAATTCATTAGGGATTAACCAGGAACAACCAGAACACAAGCCATTTCCAAGACATCACTAATACAGGCCACATTGAGAGATGGCTGACTACCATATGTTCAGTAGGTCCAATTAGTCATAAGACAAACTGAAATAGAACCCAAAGGACTTAAGAGAGTGTTCTAGAATATTGTCTTCAAAATCTGCAGTATGCCAGTACCTTAAAGCCTCTGCAGACTTTGTAGGTCATTATCCAAAACGCTACTAAATAGTTTTTACCCTAAACTATCCACTGTGTTCTTTGAGAACCCACCTAACATATACAACAAGATAGTATTTCAGCTGCGGGCTATATTCACAATTAATATGTTCCCTTATGCTTGGATATGGAAGAGTTCAATATCGTCCAATCACTTGTACAATAATGTGATATAATCATCTGAGGAAGAACAGCTGAGATTAGCTATCCCTATATTGTTGAATTTCCATATATTTGAAACTGTGTATTGAATATTCACGACAAAAATAGACTGGAAACAGTGAACTGAGTACTGACCCCGAAAAATATTATATTAAGCACAAAAGAATTACAAATCATACTCAAACTGCAAAATTTGACAATAAATATCCACCATACCCTCAACAGAAACTTCAATGAAGATGTTTCCTGCATCGTCGCTGAGAGATTCAAGTTCATCCAATGATTCCAGAATGTGTCCACTATGGTTAAAGTGTTGAATGATGGGCAACAAGCCTAATGAGACAGTCTGTGAATTAGTTACAACTCATAAATACGTTACATGAAACATAATGATATAAAAGAGAAGAGTTCAAAAGGAAAACAGACCAAAAAAAACACATTCACATATCCAGTATGCAAATATGTACATCTTATGTACTGCACTGACTTTATGATTCTGTGTGGAGCAGGACACCATGACTTGAAAGATATGCAGGTCTACGCACCACATTCAAGCAAAGATAAACATCATGTTCGGCCATTTTTTTAATGATATTAGGGTCAGTTGAGGATTAAGGGAAGCACTATAGCACTGTCTCTCTGCAAAATTAGGCTCTGTGTTGCAACAAATTGCATCCTGAGGGAAGAAGCATGGGGGAGTGACTGATCCAAGTCATGGAGTGGGTGCAGAGCATAGAAAACAGAATTTGAAAGAAGATGGACAAAAACCCTTTTTTTTTAATCTACACTGGGTGAAAAAATCAACTATTAGTAGTTGGGTCATAATCTTGCATAGCTTCACGACGACAAGGATTTACAGAAGCAAAATGTTTATGCTTACAACTTTCATAACCACAACCAATGAAAGGCAGAAGTTGGACAAACCTTTGCATCTCTTCTCTGAAGGAAGTTGTAAATAGTATAAGCACGCCACTTCGGTACTCACAGATTCGATTCTTAATTCACTAAGAGCAAAGCTTGAGCCAGCCTCAAAATTTATCAGGTCATTGGCAATTTGGAATGTTATGGTTCGCTGCAGACAGTAGACAGATGGTTATTGAATTTCATGATGCACTGCAAATGGAGAAGTTTTAAGCAGCTGAACTCAAGAAATTTGAGTTTCAAAGCATCCAATTGAGCAGAACTTTCTGAAGAATACACTTGCAACCATTACCAGACATCAACAACTAACCATAAAAGCTACGTAAAAAGCATGCATTTTGGTGAATTACTAGCATTGACAATCTAACATTCTGGAACATCAAATTAAGTTCTCGGTCTCAATAAAAGAGAATGGTGAGCAGTAGCATATTGATCAGTTTTAATGATACCACCAACAATATATGCAACAACCTTCACAATCACAAGACTAATGCAGAAGCATAAACAAAATATTTCGTTGCCGCTAGATTCAAAGCACTAATTGCATAACTCACTTTATTGTTACTGCCAGAATCATGCATGTTGAAATAGGCAGCATCTTCTTCACGCGGGAGCGTGTCAGAAGCACCAAGTCCGCATATAGAACCACTAGTTGCAGAATCAGATCCAAGAATTATTTCACCCCCACTAACAGATCTCAAAACTTGATTAGCACGAGTTATCACTTTAGGATTTGGAGATCTGTAAGGAAAAGCAATGTCTTCAACTTTAACTTGGTTGGATGAATCGGTGGCATATTTGGAAGCATCTATTGACAAATCCTGCCAAAGGCCAAAGTAGAAGGCAGTTAAGCTTCAAAGCACAGGTAGTGCACGGATGTGAACATTGATTCAGATTCTCACTCGAGTTTTAAATGAAGAACAAGCTGCAACGCCTTTTCTCCCGCCTACAATAATAAGTATAGAGGTTAGCACCAATGAAGAGAGACCCAGAGCTCAAATAACATAACCTTCCAAACCCACTTTCATCAGATGTAGCAACATCTTCAACTGGAGCTGTTTGAAACTTTCTTCCCAAGCAATCCCCCTTCTCGTTTATTACATCTTCATCGTCAGAAAGGACCACCCGAACACGCTTGCGACCAACTGTCTGTTGACTGCTAGCTGTTTTAGCAAAACTTCTTGGAGAAACTTCGATAAGGTCATTAGTACCATGAAGCCTTTTCTCATTCGTATGTTTTTTCCGAGACAGTTGCTTAGTGGACTTAAGTAGTGTAATCAGAGGTACGTCATCCTTCAACTCGTCAACAGAGGCTGAAGATAGGGGTCTTCCAGCAAAGGATTCACCAGCATTCGGAGAGCATGGCTTAGAGGATAAACTGCCTGATGAACAATCGCCTTCTCCTGTGTCAGTCTCAGAGCAGCGATCGCTATGTTTCTTCTCAGCATCCCTATCTTTCAACTGCTTCAGGTGGTCAATTTCAAGTTGCAACCTCCTATTCAAGAGATATATTTAGGTACAAGCAATATTGTGGTAAGTTTAAAATTATAAAGAAAGGTTTTTCCTCAACAGCTATTCATAAATTAAGTTCAGTTAATGTTTCAATTTTGATATTGAGATTCCAAGTTCTCTCAAGGTAACTGGTCGCACACTACCCGTAGCAATCAAGTATCACTTAGGATCCAAATTTACCTTGCCTCTTCAGCATTCTCAAATCTCATCATTTGCATATAGTGCATATTCTCAAGGGCATCAAGCTGAACAGATGGGAGATTAGCTTCCACGGCTATCCTGTCAACACGAACATAATGAGATAGACTACAAATAACTATCAAAGAAACCAACATGTCAAGCAGATTCACTTTCAAACAAAATCCACCATATAAAATGGTGATCAGGAACTATAGCTCATATTGAAAAAAACCAGGAGCTTCGATGCTCAGGTTAGTAAAGGACCACTTCTAGAACGACATCAAATATTTCTAATGCCAACATTTATTTTAATAGTCAAACACTACTATACTTTTGACCATAGTATGATGACCACTAAATGATCAAAACATAGTGACCACTAAATGATCATAACATGGTGGCCATTAAAGGCTACACTTTGACAGATTCAAGCAGAAGAAGAAACTTGTGAATTAAACCGGATGGATCCAAGCATTAATTATCAAACTAGAAGAAACACTTTGGAAAGCATGGAAAAGAAATGAGTATCGCACGTCTTGAACTCTTGATTAACAAGGTTCACATAGGAGGGTGAGGAAAAACAAGCAAGACAAATACAATTGATATAGAAATACTGTTGCTTTTTATAGGTCAAAATCACTCTCTGAACAGACAATAATGATCATTATCTCTGCAAATTATCCCTACTTGGCTGCATATGACTGAAAAAGCATCATACCAGTGCAATTGCAATAAATGAGTCGAAGAGCAGCATGGTAGGAATTATAAACTGATAATAAATATAACAAAAAGGGTACCTGTAGCCTTCTTCAAATGCAGCCAGTGCACCTGACCAATCACCACGACAGTCGTGAACACCACCAATATCTATTTTAGCCAATGCTTGGCCCTGAAATGAATAGAAATCAGGAATAAGTTTTTGCATCACAGAAGAGAATATAAATTTGATGCAGTAGAGGTACTCTGCTAAAAATCATCATTACTCCTCCAATGTCAAGATATGTGATATAACTGCCAATAAATGTAGCTTTACGTGATATGGGAAAAGAGTAATGATTCCTAAAGTAGACTGTCAAACCAGTAAACAAACCTCCAAATTGCCAATCAATTTATACCCCTCCAAACTCTTTGAGTACCATTTATTCGCCTTGTTGAAGTCTCTAATCTTCTGGTATGACTCTCCTAAAACCAGAAAAGCATCACTAAGCTTTTCTTTGTCACAGAGTTGAGTTGCCACTTGCTTCTTCTGTTTCGCAAATTCACGATGCTGGATACAACAAAATCGCGTAAAAGCGAGGAAATTGGATTAGTTTGACAGAGACTGCACTATTCCCAGAGACGAACATTGCTCCTAGACATAGCTGCATGACACACATAGCCATTCAGAGGACACCAGCTATGGGTCAATCTAATAGGAACAGGAGTAGGTTCCCATTAAAAAAGCGCATAAATGCATAATGCAATTTGAAAAACAACCTTACTGTGCAGATAACATGAATTGAAGCCCATTCCTATTCCCTATGAAAGAAACAGCAAAATAAACTTTTCAATGAAGCAAGCCACTCATTTACAATGCATATTTGTATCAATTGTACAGATACAAAAAGGATTGATGAAACCTGAAGCCAAGGAACTAAAGGTGTATATGCCTATCAGAAAGCCTCAGATCCTTGTTCCCACCTAATGCAATTAATAACATCACAAATAACAACAACAGTTATGTAAGCGTTGCTATTTTTAAATGTCTATTTAGAAAGGGAATTCGAGTTTGAGGCTTAATATCTTATTAACGAGACCAGTGTTCGTGCAATAACAAATTTGCAGCATTGCAGTCTAATGAGTCCATCCAAACACCGCAAGACCTAATTGCTAGAAACCACTGCTAACGAAATGGTTTTCTAGCATATTAAAAGACAGACCAGGCATATGGTGACAGAAAATTACCTTCGTCCATGCAAAGATCATTCTGGACTTCTCAATAAGATGATCCAGTAATGAACTAAGCTTCAGCAAAGACTTCCTCTCATGCGCTGTGCCTCTAACAGAGATCATATCCCTGGTTAACTTCTTAAGATTCTGCTCTTCTGTCTTCAGCTCATCCATTACCTTCATTGCTTCTCTCACAATTGTGATGTTCTGTTCAATTTGTTTCACCAACGCATCTTCGTCTTCCATGGATTTTGCTAGTTCAAGAGCCTTCTGGTAGCAAAGAATTGCATCATCATACTTTTGGACCCTATAGTGCAGTTCACCGAGATTGATGAAGCCCTTTGCCTCCCCTTGGGCCTGACCAAGTGCTTGACATATTAGAATATCTTTCTCAATATGGTCTCGGGCTTTATCCCACCTTCTTAGCTCCGTATAAACAATTCCAAGATTATGATGGAGCCGAGTTCGAGCATCATCCTTTTCATTCACCTCCTCTTCATCGCAGATCTTTAGTCCCTTGTCAAGGATATCTTTTGCCGCTTCCAAGTTTTCGAGATCAATTTCAAGCATTCCGATGTTGTTATGTGCATCTATGTACTCCTTGATGAAAGAAGAATTATTAGTCGGTGGATTTCCCTTGAGAGTCTCAGCTAGCTTCATCGCTAGTTTGAAGTACTTTTTAGCATTCCGAACTGCATAGTAGTCATTCTCGGACCTTAAGAACATTTCATGGTATGAGCGACCAAGTTGGGTGCTTGCTCTTTGCTGCTCGGCAAGGTCTTTTGCGCCAGTTGCAAGCTCAAAGTGCCTTTTCTGCAGGAATAGAAGGTAGATCCATGATAAATACAGCCACCTATGCTGACATGGCTTCACAATCTTTCAACAAGAAGATACTCATTAACTTAATATAGTCCAGTGCGGAGCCTCGGCATTGTTCAATTCAAATTCACATATTCAATGCCTACTTTTCTAACAATTGCCTATGCAAGTGGAAGCGGTGGTGCATACATGTACCCATTCCTACATTCATTGTGTGAGATTTTGAGTTCACTCAAATATATACCTAGGGTTCAGCAAACTTCGCAAACTAATTGCAGATTCCCTGTCGATGAACCATAGATGAAGAATTACCTACCAATACCAGCAACAATTCCTTAACTACAAACACCCACCCATTTCCTTACTTTTGCAGAACGCCAAAAGCAGAAATGCAGACAAATTGCCATAACCCCAATCCACCAGGCATTCAAAACCTAATCAGAGTTAATGTCCTCAATTCTATAAGCAATTTCGAAAAGACAGCCGAACCTGGTAAACCAACGCATCAGAGAAGTTCTCGAGGCGGAGGTATAGCTCCCCGATGGACTGGCAAGTAGCCAGCAGATCCTTCTCCGGCAAGTATCTAACAGAGATGTCGTAATCCTTCCGTAACCATCTGAGCGCCTCAACGTACTCTCCTCTGTTCTTCAGTATGTCACCTATCACGTTCGCCCATCGCGCTTCCTCTTGTCGATTCCCCTCCGCTTGCGCGGTCTTGTATGCTCTCTTCGCGACGCTTAATTTCCCATCGTCTTTCGCCATCAATACTCCCAATGGATTTCACTCAGATTATCAGTACCTCGCCGTCAGATTGTTGTATCCCGGCAACTAAACCCTCGCAAGAATCGCGCTTACCGCTTCTAGGTTTCCCGGCGCGAAGGCGATTTAGGTTTGCGGTAATATCGACGATGAACTGCTTGCGGAGTTGGCGAAGAGACGGCCAGAACAACAGAAGTCGGCTAATATGTAGACGGATGGAAGAAGAGGTAGACCGCGATTAGAAGTGGGAAATTCGCGGGAAACCAAATTTGGCAATTTTCATTTCCCGGGGAAAATCCGGCTTTTTGAGTTTTGAGTTTCTACGATTGGGCCGAAACATGATATGCCGATTGGACTGGCACGCCGACAAACTTTTAAGCCCATATTGAATTAGGCCGAAACATTTTATTGAAAGGCGCAAGACATATGCTTGAACCAACATGTTGCTCATCTTGTGGCAAGGAAAGTCCTTTCATTGAGGTCATTTTTGTTGGTGGGTTTCGATTTCGTTGCGTGGCTTCGGTCACTTTGATTTGTTGGACTTTGTATCTTCCATTTATGGTCCACACGATCACACCCGCCCGATTATACAAATACACATGTATTTTGTCTAGAAATAATAATTATTTTTCTCTAATATATTTTATGTTTAGCATATAAATACATTATTTTTCATGAAATTATGTTGTTTTAATTATTTTTTCATTATTGACGTACTTTTCCTCTTTTGTAATGTGAGAATACGTGTGAATATTATCATATTGGTTGGAGTTATAAAGAGAAATCATTACCCATGAATAACCGTGAATGCGCGAAACCGAACGAGTATGAACATGATTTTGATTTTCTATTCGTTTCTTATGTGGGTATGAGTATGAGTAAAATCGAACTATTTTCGATTGGATAACGGATATGCACTATCCGCCCCGACCCAACCCGTTGCCATCTACTAAGATGTGACATAAATTTCATGTCATTATTGTCGTTTGCTTTAGTTTACTAATTAATTCTCGTTGCAAATCGTCCCCACTTGGATTCTTGGCGGCCACATATTAGGGCAACAATCATGGAAGCCGGTTCCCTGATTAACAATCGTGATTCATGGGGAACATAAACACAAATGTCAAGATCTCCGATTTGGACATCATCCTACATTAGGGATGGTAATGGGTCGGGTTGGGGCGGGTTTTGTCAAACCCAAACCCAAACCCATGGGTTTATCCGCCGAAAAAACCCGGGGTAAAACCCGTTGGATTTGAAAAACTCAAACCCAACCCAACCCGCTGGGTATCCGCGGGTTCATGGGTACCCGTGGGTTTTTGTGGTAAAAAATTTACAATAACAAGTTTCTTTCAAAATAAAAGTTTAACATCAATTTTCTCATACAAATTAATCATACAAAAAAACACCAATTTAGAGCATACAAGCAAACCGCAAATGATCAATACAAATTGTTCAAAATTAAAGATAAACATCTATAAACAAAAGATTAATTGAAAGCTTCTTCCTCGTTAACTAAGTTTCTTCACTCTCCACTTCATAATATCAACTTCATTATAAACAATTAGAAAGAACAAATTATACATGTCTCCACAAACATAAAAATATTAATTGTTTAAGGAAGATATATTATTTAGAATATTAAATATACCGGGAAAGTAATTATATGTGTGTGGGCGGGTACCCATGGGTCGGGTTTACCTAAACCCAAACCCAACCCGACCCGGTGAATAGTGTAGCGGGTTTAAACCCGAACCCGGCCCAAAACCCGTCAACACGGGTTTTACCCGCGTTGACCGGGTTGGGTCGGGTGGGTACCCGTGGGTTCGGGTTTTGTTGCCATCCCTATCCTACATTATATAATCCCCCATTTTCTGGGACTGCCTTGTATATATTTTGACTTTGAATTCCAACCAGGCATAATATAACGGCGGTCATCCTTTAGGGTTGTTCTTTTGTCTTTGTTCCAACTAGCATGGAGGCCCTACAGGCTTACAGAAATGGATCTTTCACTATTGTTTAACTTTCATCTTAAAGGTTCCAAAATGCCAAGTCTTGCTGAGTTCTGTGAGTTCACAACTTCACATAGCCACCAAACAAAAAGTTCACCTTTCTCTTGGTTGCTGGTACGCTCGCTGAATTTAGGAAAATATGTCATACCTGTAACACTATCTAAACAATAAATTAATCAGAATTCATGTCATTTCCTGAAATCCACTGGGGTTACCATAGAAAAGAAGCATCATATTAACTGAATTCTTACACTTCTGCAAAACCATCATCCAACACGGAAAAGGAAGCAAATTGAGATAGGTAGGAAATACCACTGATCTCATCATGAACTATGATCCTTAAGTTTTACAACAGAGACATCAAACAAGTTCTTCAAAATATCTATACCTACCTCACAAAAAGATAGCTATTTGAATCCTATTCAAAACAAGACCACTCTGTTCTGAAGTAACAAAACCAACTCAAAAGCCCAAAAAAAAAAAAAACAAGAGAAAAACAGAAACACTTATGTTTCATGGGAAGAACTTTGATTTCCCAGTTTCTTATATTGTACATAATGAAAGCTTCTCAACCTTCTGCAATATAATGAATATAAGAGTATTATTTGGGAGACTTCTGCAACCCCCCATTTCGCCTTTCTGCCTTCTCACTTCGAAATACTAGCAAAAACATGTATATGCCATGTGGTTCCTCTTTGAGATGTATGGAGAGAAATGACTGGTGATTGGCGATGATGTACCGGGAATCTCAGCTGGTACTAGTATTTGAGTTTTACCGGTGGCTATTCTCTTACCGGCTACATTCGCGTAGAACAGGCCGGAGATGGCTGGTACAAAGACATCACTTCTGGAACACAAGTAGAAGTCAATCACCTTCTCAAACTCCGAGTCTTCTGATCCCAAGAACTTGGTCTTCTTCTCCGCGGGAATTATGCTTTCCTGCAAATTTGCGTGCTGTTAGAATGCTAGGAAGTGACATTCTGGTATTGGATAGCAATATGAAAAGGTGTTTAATGGGTTCTTTTGTGGCTAATGAGCTGATCTGTAAGCAGAAGACACAGATAATGATGACTCACCTTTGTGTAAGTTTTAGGGAAGATGTCCTTCAATACGTCGAGACTTTCATCCCACCTTGACTGAGTTAGATAGATCACTGTGTCACTGCCAAATCCAACCTTCCTCAAGAATAGCGCAATTTCATGTGCATTGTAGCAGCTCTTTGTTGCACTGGCATGACAGCCCTTCTTTTCCAACATGTCAACTCTCAAGTCTACTGCTATAAACCGACCATCAGAATGCCGGCTCAAAGTTTTCAACCTTGTGACCATATCATCAACCACCTCGTTAACCTCGGGCTTCAACTCCAAAGTGTCAAACATGGCCAAACATGAGAGTGAATCACTGCCGCTCTTCTGTGCGGTCTTCCTCATATTTAGAGTGGGAAAGTAACTTGCCACTCTAATGTTACCCTTCCTTCTAAAGACTGGTTCAATTTTCTCTGCAATGTATTCCTCTGTAACTCGATTGGGTACCCTGATAACTTCGAAATCTCGAAGGGATACAGAAACTGGAAGCTCTCTGGCCACTTTCACTACCCCATCCAAACCATTGATGAATTTCCCAACATCATAGATTTCTTCAAACTTCCTGAAAAGTTCAGTCATATCCATCATATTATGCACAAAGATAAAAACTACGTGTAGAACGAAGCCATAAAATATGACTCCTCATCTGGACCAGCATTTCATGAAGAATGGTTCCATGAAAAACAGGGGACAAAGGGACCTGATTGATTGCAATAGGTGTATGACACAGTGTCCAGAAGCGCGCAATGATCACAGACTGTTCTAGTTAGTAAAAATTGCTTCCTCATTGTGAATCGATTAAGGATCAAAGAAAATCTGTTGGTAGGTATCAAAATTACTAGACCTTCCTTGTACTGCTTCTTTGTTCCTTAAGTACAGACCGGCAGGTCACCAAGGTACTAAAATTGCGCAACTAAACAACAATGTGCTAAATTCCAACAGACCTGGTTTAGTTTCCAGTTCCCACTTTGCAGTATGTGATAATAAGAAAGTCCAGAGATGTTTAACAATCTAGTTGATCCTCAAATAAATTAATAAATAACCATCCGAGTAGGGGAAAATCGGCCAACGAACCTCTCATCACCTGGCCGGTCTCCTCTAATGTCAGGAAGTACAAGAGTTGCCTGTAGAGATCTAGCTATCACCACTGCATCACTAATCTGCATAAACCATTCCCCACTATCTTCAGAAAGCAAAGAAGGAATAGCATGTATCCTTATCCAATACAATTCATGCTTATCTCAGGAGGATTTGAAGGTGTGCAACAAGATGCAACTCTAAATGCTGCAGAGCATTTCACGACGCAGCATAGAGTTACTAACATTACGCATCAGCCATCAACCATATTGCAGAGGTTGGTTATCAGAATGTTACAACAAAAGTAGGAGAGAAACTAGAGCAAGTATTCATTCACATAACAGACCAACTCTAAAAAGTCCAAGGCATGAAAGAAACCCAAAACGAATGCTTTCAAAATGCACAGAGCAAAGGGTAAAAGCTGAAATTGTAAACAAACCAAGCAATTTACAACTGACAATCATCACCATCGAGACGTTATAACTACATTACCCAATAAATCATGCCACTTTATGATACCTGTGAGACGTGATACTCCGGTCCATTGGTTAACGAGAACGTGACAAAACCTTTGTAGTCCTCAACCAAATCTGTGAAACAGAACCCCAATCAGAACCATAATGGGAAAACCTGTGTTTTGTTTTGATGAACCCAAGTTTGACATACCGAAATCAGACTTCTTCTTCCAACAAGGTGTAAGCTCTTCGCTCTCTTCCATCCACGGACCGTTCGTCTTCATCGCAAACTTCTCCATAACCTTCCCGCTATCAAATTCAACATCTCTGGCTTCGCCGGGAAACCTTTCCTGCTCGGATGTGTACGTCGACGGCATCAGTAAATCAGCAGGTAAATAAAGGATAGATGGAACAGTAAATGAAATTTACCGCGAGGATTAAGCACACAGAAAGCGAAAATTGAAAAAACAGAGATTCGAATTAGACGGTCAATTCAGAGACCCATCATTTTCTGAAAAAACAAAGAGATAAAGTCCCACAAAGAAGACAAATCCTGTAGATCTAACGCTCCTTTCACAATATGCAGGAAAGACGAGCACTTTCCGAAGAACAAACGAGAACCCATATGAAACAAATCATCCAAACGTCTCAAAGTCTCTCAATAAGAGAGAGACGAACAACGAAATCGAAGAATGGGTCTCAAATGCAAAGGGGGTGAAATCAAGGATCCGAAATATCAAACAGAAAGAACGCAGCTAGGGGGGAAAACAGAGGAAAAGAAAACAGGACAAGAGGGGGGGAAAAGCGTCGACATACCTCCGAGTTGCCAATGTAATCCCTCTTGAGCATATCCCCAAGCATGACGAACATGGTGATGGTGAGTATCCCAGCAACAACCTGCCTCAAATCCACTCCCATTTTCCCGTTCCCCCTTCCTGTCCCCTCTATTTACGCTTCTCGTTTGGGGATGAAAACAGAGGAAATGAGTGAATGTTTTGGAGAAAAGGCTTCGAGGGAATAGTTGAGCAGTAGTAGGTGTTTTTGTGAGCAGTCGGGGGGAGGAGAGGTGCAGAAATAAATGGATAGAGACAAGCAGCTGAAGTCGAAAGCTCAACAGCAATTCACACAGAGAGAGATGGAGAGGGAGAGAGCCCACTGTTGTCTGTGAAGAGAGCCACCGACACTTTTGCCTCTCACCTTCTTTCTCGCATTTATTTTGTAATGGAGTGAGTGATGAGTGAGCGAGTAGAGGGTTAATGACATAAATATTGTTTTTTTTTTTTAATTTACCACCAATATGGCGGATTAAAAATAAATGACACAGATATTGTGTTTTTGGAAAAGGCTTTAGCGGCCACACCGGAGACTCAGGCGCCGCCGCCGAACCTAAAGTTCCGGGCGCTGGCGCCCAAGTCCCGAGCGCCGCCGCCTCAAACTAATTTTTTTTAAAATTTCCCTTGGGCTCGGGCCCCCCCCCCCTCCCCTCCACCCTTATCTCTTTTCCCAGCCACACAACTCTCCTCCCCTCCTTCTTCCCGAGACCACACAACCCCCCCCCCCCCCAAAACCCTCCTCTTCTTCTTCTTTCTTTGCCCGAACAGAGATCCCCGCCGCAACTGAGCGCCGGCGCCTGCGAGTGGAGCGCCGCCGCCTGCAAGTGAAGCGCCGCTGCCGTCGAAGGGAGCGCCGCCGCTGGGGAGTCGAGCGCCCTCGCCGCAGCTGGGAGCGCCGCCGCTGGGGATTGAGCGCCGCCGCCGCAGAGAGGGGAGCCGCCGCTGCAGTCTGAAGCGCCGCCGCTGATGTCTTCCGACGAAGAAGCCGCCGGCAGAGGCAGGGGGAGAGGCCGGCGAGGTCGTGGCAGCCGTTTGCGCGGTGAGACTCTCGTCGGCGGCTTGAATTTTTTTTTTAATGGTTTGTGTTTTTTTATTGATGTTTTGTTGTTTGTTTTTGCAGTTCCTAGGCTTATGGATCCTTATTCGATGAGATTACCGCCGGCGACAATTGATCCAAGTCCGGTCGATGCGACACTTCTTTGGGGACATGGCCAACATCGTATTGACTCTGTTTGGACAAACGAGGTAAGTATTTAATAATTGTTCATGTAAAGTTAATTAGCTAATTAGATTATTTTAGTTGGTGAACTGAACTGTACTGTTAGAGAATAGGATTACGTATTAGATTTTTTGAAATTAGTATAATTTGATATTAGATTAGATAGATTAGAATTAATTAGGTGAAATTAGAATTATTACGAATGAAGATAAATTAATATAAGTTTTGTGCACTATATAGGCTGGTGATCGATCTTTCCATGTTCGAGGTACGACCATTTTAGTACCTTACCGTGAGCTTTATCGGCCATATCTCGAAGCGGCAGGCTTGTTAAGTGTCGTGCCCCTAGTCCCTATGAACCCCGATGCGAGTTTGATTACTGCACTCGTAGAGCGGTGGCGACCCGAGACGTCGACCTTCCATCTACCGTGTGGTGAGGTCACGATCACGTTAGAGGACGTTGTTACACTGTCCGGTTTGGCGATCGACGGTGATGCCGTCGTAGTTGATATACCGGATGAGGAGTGGTCGGCGATCTGTTTGCGACTGTTAGGACGGGTTCCTTATGATCTTGTAGGCGGGGTCGCTGTTGTTAGGATTACATGGCTGAGGGTTGAATTCAGCCATCTGCCGGATGATGCATCACAGGAGGTTATAGAGCAGTTTGCACGAGCTTATGCTCTATCTCTGATTGGAGGTGTACTTTTCCCGGATCGGTCTGGATCTACGGTGCACCTACAGTACCTACTTCTGATTGAGGATTGGGAGAGGGCTGGAGGGTTCGCATGGGGAGCTGCTGTTTTATCCTACCTGTACCGTGAGATGGGTAGGTCGACTTTGCACATTTCGCATACCGGCACTTCTCTAGCCGGTGACCTTGGTGGATGGGTCGCCCTACTGCAGTTCTGGGCGTGGGAGCGATTCCCACATCTAGCTCCTCGAGATTCAGAGACGAGGGCACAGGCCACCGAGGATGCACATCCACGTGGTCTTCGATGGCTTTCGGCCAGCAGTCGTCAGTATGGTGACCAGCTATTCCAGTACAAGCTGTGGTTAGACGCGATGGACACCGTGGTGGTTAGTATATAACATTCCATTTTATAGAATAGTTTTCATTTGTTTTATTTTTTTAGAATTAGGGATAATAACGTTAAATTTTTGCTATGTAGTGGCAACCTTACCGTGAGAGAGCACTTCATCTCAGAGGTAGTGTGATACAGTCTGAGACATTTCGAGCAGTAGTGCCACTTATCTGCTTTTCATCGGTGATGTGGCATCATCCAGACCGCGTGCTCCGGCAGTTTGGCATGAGGCAGCATGAGCCTCATCAGCCACATCCTGAGGCTGAGGTTAGGTTTTTTCTTCGCCAGGCTACTCGTGGGCCATCGCGTGGACAGCAGTTGGTACACGCCTCCAGAGAGTCGCTTGATTTCTGGAACCGTCGACACGAGTTTGTAGCGACATCTTCATACACTGATGAGGAGTTAGTCTACCACTCGGAGCATATGGAGTGGTATAGAGATGTCACCAGACGTTCCGGCACACGGAGAGGAGCTGTAGCGGAGGCATTGGTTAGTTTTTTGATTTGTTTGATTGATTTGTTTGCTTACTTTGTTGTTAACTGTGTGAACTGTGTGAAATATCTGACATTTTGTTGGTGTTTTTTAGTACGACACTATCGAGCATGCTGAGGTGAGTTTGCGTGACGGTGGGAGGGCTGGAGGACTGACCCCTGACCAGTGTGAGGACTTGGCCGACTTTATGGCATCCGGGGTTGCTACTCTAGGGTTTGAGCAGCGTAGATACCCTGATCTCACAGTACCTGTACAGCCCCATTATACGGAGTGTGTTTGTTGGTGTTTTTTAGTACGACACTATCGAGCATCCTTGAAATTTACCACAGGTGCAAAATCCCTCCCGGTTTTGGTCGTCAAAGTGCACTGTGAGTGTGTTTGACCCCGTCATGTTGAAATTGTTGGGGGGAGTCTTAACTACATAGATGCCTTGACTCCGATCAAGAGCTGTCACAGAATGTCCAACTGCCTTTTGTGACCTGTACTTCATCAGCTCTTCGCACTTGGTGGAGTACTGTGAAGGACCACTTCTAATTTCTGCTCCTGTCTCCAACCTGTACTTATCGAATTTCTCCACCAATCGCCAATAGGTATGTTGCACAAGAGAAGCTATAGGAAGTGCACGAATACCTTTGAAAACACCATTGATGCTTTCTGCCATGTTGGATGTCAGCATAGACCAACGACGCCCACCGTTGTAGTTATCATGTGCTAAACTCCAACGAATCTGATGTTGATCCACCCAGTTATCACATGAAATATTTCTATCACTGGCCACCTTCTTAAATTGCTCAACTTGACGATCGAACTTCTCCAACCGTTTTTCTCCAGCTAACAAAATAAACAATGACACGGGTTAGATAAATTCATGACAAAATTACATGAAAATAAATAACATAATTAAATGAAGAATGCTTACCGACTCGAAATAGTTGCTTATACATAATTCTGCTTTTAGTCTTCCTTTGCAAATTGCTTGCATAGTGTCGCATGCACCACCTCCACTCCCAACCTCTTCCGATGTTATTCATGGCTTCATAGAGTCCTGCATGTCTATCTGAGATGATGCATACATCATTTCGATCAGTCAAACCCTGAACGTTCCTTATGAACCATGGCCAACTCTCAGTATTCTCGCTCTCCACTATGGCAAATGCAATTGGAAAAATTTTCTTCCGACCATCAAATGAGCTCGCCATGAGTAGCACTCCTTTATACTTCCCAGTAAGAAATGTTCCATCAACAACCATGACGCCCGGACAATTCTTGAATCCATCTATACAAGGTCCATAAGCCCAGAATACTCGCTGAAATATCAAATGACCTGGTTGAGTCGAAGGAACTCTTACCCAATCAATCACCGATGTTGGCATTTTTCTCTTGACTACCCGCAAGAATGTCTGCAAAAAATCGTAGGATTCTTCCCAATTTCCATGCAACTTCTCCAATGCTCTTTGTTTCCCATACCAAGCCTTCTTGTAAGTAACTTGCATATTAAACTTATCTTTCAACTCAGCTTGCACAGTTAGAACACTCAGATTTGGTTGGGCACGTACCAAATGTTTGACGGCCTCAGATATCATGTCGACATCAAGATGGCGATGATCCGTCGGTTGAGTCGTACTGCTACAAGAATGCACCAACTCAGCCTTTCTCACAGTCCATTCGCCTCCAGCATCTCGACATCCAAACCGCACCATCCAAGGACAATTGTCATCCTTGTGCCTCAAGCATCTGACCTTCCAGATTGAAGGTGACGACTCCACCACGCCATATTGAAAGTTGCGTTGTAGTGCGTGGTGTTTAATCGCCATCTGTGCAGCTTGTTTCGAGTGAAATATCTGCCCCTTGTAGAATTCTCCTTCAAAACTATCAACAATATGCATTGGAATTACGCCATATGAATCAACAAGTGAGTATTCTTCGTCCTCTTCATTACCCTGCAAGTAAAAATATGGAGGATAATTAGGCACTTCTTCCCCCTCTTCCTCCTCCTCCTCCTCCTCATCTTCCTCCTCTCCGTCATCACCGTCACCATAGGCATGATCGGATGGCACGCTCCATGTATCATCTTCTACCTCTCCACCCTGATCCTCACTGAGCTCAACATGTATCTCAGCACCCAAACAATAAGGATTTTGTGCCATAAAATTCCAAAGCACATTCAAGCTATCATCATCCACAATAGGCATTGCATAATGAAATAAAACACCATTCTGCCATTCTGGAAGACGGTAAATGAAACTTGTGATCACATCACTATCTTGTACTGCTTCGTCTCTACGCCGTATTCTCGGAATTAGATTCTCACAAAGATAATGATATGTGACCCTGGATGGAATCGTCATCTGAAAACTACTACCACCAACGAATTTGACGCCCAAATTATCTTCTACTTTCTCCGATTTCCATCGAACGACTAGTTCAAATCTTCTAAAATCACTACAAAAAAACAGACTCACTAATTAAAACTAAACACAATCATAATAACATTTGAATAATATAATTACAAAAATAAATGCGTCTCTTACCTATTAGCCATTTTTGCAGCAGCAACCAGAGCTCCAAAGCTCCTTTGTTTTTTGAACGATTTTTTTGTGGTGTGAAACTGAAATGAATTGGCTGGGTTTATATAGGGGGGAGGCTACCTAACTCGCTGATGACTCAGGCGCCGCCACTCTAGTCTCGGGCGCCGCCACCTGGGACAGTTTCTTACCTAACTCGCTGGACTCACCGGCGCTGCCGCCTGACTCTTCGGCGCCGCCGCTGTCTCTTAATCCAAAATATCATCCAGAGCGGCGGCGCCTAAGTCCCAGGTGTTGTCGCCATTTTGTGTGTCCAAAACACAATATCTCTGTAAATACTTCTTAATCCGCCATATTGGTGGTAAATTAAAAAAAAAAAAACAATATTTGTGTCATTTATCCGCGAGTAGAAGTCCTTTTGGTTTTTGTTTTTGTTTTTTTACTTTTATTTAGATTCTTACCTTTTTCTTTCTATACTTCGAAATTTATAGTTAGTTAGTTACCTTCTTGATGGCATGTAATTAAGGTGGCACGTGAAGATCTTTGGCAAATAATTAAATACATGGAGGCTCGGACATGAAATTAAAATAAGGTAACAAAATCCATTTGAACCCTTCACCATTTTTAGTTTTGGTTACTCCATCATATAAACTTTATATTGTTTCAAATCAGTACATGAAAGTTTATGTTTGGTCATCTCAGTGTATCAACTTCTCATGGTCCAAACTGGAGTTGGTCGACTCTGAATAACGGGATTTTGATTTTGGCAATGTCATATGCCACGCCGTGTTTATAAACTTTAGATAACTAATCGTTAGCCTCCAGCTGGTGATTAATGACACAGATAAATGATGTTGACGTGGTAGTCACTTTAGTAACACGTGGTCTGAATTTTTTTCTCTTTCTCAAGTATAAAAGTTCAATTATGAGATCATGTTATACTGATCCTAATGATTAAAATGTTTGAACAAAATTGCCAATTTAGTACTTCGAACTAGTGTTGTATCAAACGTCAAAATTTATGGCATATAAAGGTATATAAAATATTTTGGTATAGTATCCAATTTAGAAGGTCCTAGTTCCAATTCCTACCTAATCTTTTTTCCCCCCTAGAAAGATGCTCCACCTATGGCTCACTTTTCATCAACGAGATTAATCTAAGTATTATGTCTCCTTTCCTAAATAAATAGATCATCCTATTATATACCTTTATTATAAGTCAAGATGATAATAAAACTAGAAAAGGACGAAAAGAAACAAAAAGAAAGGAAGAGATAAGGGGGTCGTTTGGATTAGGTTTTTTTATGAGGGATTTTAATCACAATCTCTCATTGTGCAGGATTTTAAACATTTCTGCGTTTGGTAAACATGAAGGATTTTGCAATTAGGAATTTTAAAAACCTTCAAACGTGGGTTTTTGAAATAGCTGATCACCATCAGCTATTTACAAATCCCTCATTTTTATTTCATTTTTTTCCAAACCTTACCCCTTTGCCTGCTTCCATCTCCCCTGTACGAGACCAGCAACCTTCCTTTTCCTTTTCTTCTTCCGTCTCTCTCCCAATTGATCCCAACGTCGCCGACGTCTTCTTTCCGGCAAATCGAGGGGCTCCTCGTTCAACTTCAACCCTGCGACCCGTCTTCCTTTCTTATCTGTCCTCTATCTTAGCTTCTTCCTTCTTCCCTCTGCCGATGACAACGAGCAATAACAAGGACGATCTCGGAGAAGTCCAGTCGCCGTCGAAATTTGACCTTCCCCAGTCCCTACATCATCCCTTCCAAATCGCTAAGCCTCCCTTGTCTCGTTATCATACGCCTTCGACCTGCCCAGTTGCCTTTGACCTTCCCAGTTGACATGCAAGCCTCCTGCCGGCGATGACGAGTTCAATGAGTGTCGGGGATTTCACAATTTTTGGTTCAAGAAGACAGAAATTGGAATAAGAGGAAAGGGGGAAGAAGAACAGACCCATCGTAGAAGATAGGTTAGGAATTTGGGTAAAATTGTAATTGTAATTTTTTTATTAAAATCTCTCCTCTATTGCCAAACACGTTATTTTACCAAAATCCTACACTTAAATTACCAGGGTTTTTAATGAGAGATTTGAGCCTCAAATTACTCGTTTTAAAATCCTTGATCCAAACGACCCCAAGGTGATTAGCGTGATCAAGGGAAAAATGGTAGTAGAGCGCGATCCAAGGGGAGAAGAGAAGAGAATTGTAGGAGAGGTGTCGGTCAAACTAGGGTGACCAGTCCTCACCTGGATTGTCCAATCACATTTCAACATGGAAATTAGTTTTAGTTGGATTAGCAGTTTGAGGTTCAGTTTACCCAAACCTTATTAGAATAATTTCATTTTTCTAGTAGGTGTCAATTTTAGCAGGTATGTCGAGCTGGGAAAATAGGTATGATCTGGTTTACCGTTTGTATTGTGAAATGTTTTGGTTTATTGATCTGGTATGGACCAAATAAAGTTTATGAAATCATACTTTTCAATGTGTGTTGTCATCCCTTTTGATCACCCTCGCTCACTCAAGTGCACTCGACCGAGAACCCAAGTGCCCTCGGCCCAGAGAAGTGCACTCGGTCGAGAACCCAAGTGCACTAGAGATGGCGTGTGTACAAACAAACTGTTTTTTTTAATTGATGCGGTCTATATTGTCTGGACCGGACTAGAGCGCACAGATGTGGGTCTGGACCATAACTTATTTTTTTGGTCCATTATATGTGCTCCAATTCCTCCTTTTGGATCATAGACCGTATGTAGAATAACCCCACCATTACTTAGTTGTATGTCCAACTAGGTAAATATGAAAATTTTAAAAGTAACCAAAGGATTGGCCTAGCTACAAAAATAACTTAGAGGTCGTTTGATGGATGCGTATCTAAATAATGTATTTAATGAATGCAAGTATTGCAGAGAATGCACCGTTTTTTGTTGCAAAATTAAACACAATACATGTATTTGATTATTATTAAAAAAACATGTATTTGATTGTTGATGTGACATTTGAAATCATTCAAAACGAATGATTTAGAATCTCAACTATTTGGTGAGATTGTGTTTTGACTTTTCTCCTTTTTATGCCCTTATCAACTTTTATATGTGATTGACTTTTGTATCTAAAAGGAATGGTTTTCGTATTATATTTTTAAAAATACAATCACAACTACAAAAAATTGTAATCTTAAAATACAACCATTTAACCAAGACAGTAATTTATAATGTATGCATTTATCCAATATATCAATTCTAACAATCGCAAGTACCAAACGAGACATTAATAGTAGGTTTTCCATTTGACCAATCTACCACCTTGGTAGTCCATTCGGGGGACATTGGAGAAAAAAATGTCTCACCTACTAAGCTTCAATGTCTATATTTTTTCTTTGAAATTATGAAATATGAAAAGTATGTTGTACTTAGATGTCTAATGGCACTGCCTTAAAAAGAAAAGTTTGAACCAAAACCTTATTTATGAATCATGAGTTCTATTATTACATGTCGGCCGGAATTTGATATATTATACCCACAATGCTACTTTAATTTAAAAAAAATGTTAATATATTTGTGAAAGTGGATAATTCGAATTTACAATATTGTTGATGACAAATTGACAATCAAGAGATCTTCAACATAATGATAGATTTTGGAAATTAAACTAAAAAAAACGCTATGATATTGATAACACACTTCTTATCACTTGTGTCGTACCGTGACAACTTCTCGATGACTTTTGACTAGGCTTATGGTAACCAAAGTTCATGGGAAATGGAATTTGTAAAGGGACTTTGTTTGGTTGTATATTCTCTTATGTTCCATCCATCCCTCACAAAATTTTGTTTTTGCTTGGTTGTATATTCTCTTATGTTCCATCCATCCCTCACAAAATTTTGTTTTTGCATTTCACGTAGTTTTCCTTTTAAATTATAACCTCAATCCATGTACGATAGAACAATCAACCCTAGAGCAGGTTGATGACATTGTGAAGGTACCCCCTCTAGTTTGGGTTGGTTCCGAGAACAATCGGGCATCAACATTGAACAAAACGACTTACATGTCGTCTTCCAGAAGATGGTGATGAAACTCACCTCTTCGAGTTATTTGGATTGTTTTGGATTATGACATTTTATGTTACTCGTTGTCAACTGCCCCATCCAACTACTATCATTGATTAGATCTGAAATCTTCTCACATAAGGAAGGAGAATTCAATCCATGAATTTTGTGGTTGAAGAAAAAGGGTTTGTGCTCAAAAGATTCCAAGGAGTGGAACAAGGAGTGTGTCAGTGGGTGTATCCAGGGCAATTATGGAGCAGCCTCGTGGAAAATAGCTTTCTTTTGCAGGCCTAATGGAACTGAGGCGTACAAGTTAGGAAAACAAAGAAAGGGACGATCATGGATTCTTTTGGAAAGCTTGGGAATGTGGCAATATCTACTTATATGCCTCTTTCTTAACAACAAATAAACAAAAACAAAAAACCAAAAGAAAATCCTTCCTAGTTATGGCAATGGCCGAAATAGACAGCTTTAGGAATACTGTCCTTTCTGCCAGGAGTGCATCGAAGCCAAGCTTAGAGAAATCAAAAGCTCTAGCTGCAGCATTGCATAAAACTGGAAAAAAGTGGATCCATTGGACAGAGCTTACCTCCTTTGGACGCTGCAGTGAGGCCTTCCCCAGCTCAGAAATGCACATTTGAGGCGATTGTGCAGACCATGTCGATCCTGCAGAAGCTGTGCTGAAAAGTTCATGGTTCAAATCAGGAGCTACAGAAGTCTTTGGTCTCAGCAGATCCAAGTTCTGATCTTTATGCTTATCTTTCCTAACCGAAGCAGCTGGAGGAAGCGCTGGATTTTCTAGCCAACAACTGCGGGCTAGCAATTCAATGGCTTCTGGAATTTCATACAAACAAAAATAAAAAAAATTCAATGGCTGCTGGACATGTTACAGTCCCTGGAGCACAATTCGATTTCCAATGAGCCTTACACTTTCGAATGTCGGGAAGTCTTTGAGTATCCTTCGGGAAGCCTTAGCAATCTCAGAGGCACAAAGTTTGGAGATTTGATGGGAGATTCCCGGTTCACGGCTCATGAACAGTACAAGGAACATTTCATGTCTCTTTACTTGAGAGAAAGCTGGGGGAAGGTGGTTGCCACTCTTCGCCCAGACGGCGGCCAAGTTTATTCTTCCTCTGCAAAGGTATCCAACTGTGATTCTATTAAAAGAGGGTTCAAAAAAGTCAATGAGGCGTTTGATTACCTGTACCAGAAGCAGTCTGCTTGGGTTGTCGCTGATCAAAACTTGAAGCTGAGAATCTGCAACCTCTTGATTCAATCTCTGGTACCTGTCTACAGAAGCTATTTATAGAGCTATAAACTTCTGGTGGAGGAAAATTCTAGCTCCAAAAAGCATGTGAGATACACAGCACAGGGTCTGGAAACGATTCTGAGCTCTTTGTTCCAGAAGAAGGTATAGACACAGCACACACATATTGGATTGGCAAGATCAAAGATGTGATGACAGATAATTTCAGACTGACGTTGATGGCTACCTGACACATTCGATTTAACATTCTCTGACAATTTCATTTGTATATCCAACAACCAAAATGCATATAACTGCATTTTATGTAACGTTAAGCCACATACTCTGAAAAAGAAAAATACCAGTCAATCTTGGAAGTTGAAGAATGCTGAAGTTCTGTAATGCGTAAGTTAAGGAGTCCAGTACATACATCTAACGGTACCTTAGGGAAGGAACAAAAGTTATACAACCTCATTTTTCATATTGACAATACAAGATTCTGAACAAAGAAGCCCGCAGCGAAGCACCAAACAATGAAATCTGGTAGATAGCTCAGTAAAAAAAGCAGTTTTACATATGCCTCATCTCTACATGGAATGCTAAAAGGACCACGGTAAATTAATTTCTTACGATCTTCTCGAAGTAATCTGCTTCAAATGCTTCACCTTGTCAAAAGCTGGAGCTTGATAATTTTTCTCCACTTCCCAAGCCAGTTGGGACATGCCATTGAAGGATGACTTTGCTCCTTTCTCATCTGTCACTTCTCTTGGGAAAGGGATTCGGACATTAAAAGCATCCTTCTCGGTAGAGGTCAGTTGCACATCAAAACCCAGCCTATCAACCCATATCATCTTCGCTTCAGACACCTGAAACAGGAAGTGAGAATTCATGAGGACAACTGGCAGAAACGAGGGAAATAGAGCGAACACTACAGCCAGTTAAGTAGACTTTTTCTGCCAGGATTGACTAAATAAATAAGAACCTTCACTTCTTGCACAACCATGCCCACAGTCTATGGTAATATGGCTGTCCGTTCTTTATACATATCAGGTCATTCTTTCTAACTCGTCGCAGAGCAATTAGCACACAGATATGATATGCTAAAAAATTATGTATAAAACGAACCAGGGTAAACCAAGTTTCTATTCCTTGCTCGCCATATATGTTCAAAGCAGAAGCCAGTTACCCACGAGAAGATAGAGGATTTCCAGGTTACAATAGTTCACCAAACAGTAAGAGAAATTATCTCATATTCAAAAAACTTAAAACCAATCAAAATATCATATTGTAAACTAGGTGAAAAAGTTGTATCTCCCTGCACAGTAGGTCGCACTTGTAACCCTCCATACCTGGTATACTACACATGGCATTAAAACAAACACATAGATAAAGACGAAGGAGAATGAAGCTAGAAGTTAGTTGGAAACCTGGAAATCATGATCAACATATACATTGCAAAATCTGTAGACATCTTCCATGTTTTTGGCATTTATCTCTTTCACGAATTCTTCGGCCGAGTTCCGGAGAGGATCAGGAAGGGCATTTTTGTAGTCTGATGAGGAGACCCATAGGCCATCCTGAAATAGTTCCAGACATAAAATCTAAAGTACAGTAACAACAGATTACTTGCCGCTGCTTCCCAAATCGGAGAAGTGCACACTCGATCGAGATAATGGATATGCTTATTGAGCCATGTAAGAAATTTAAACAAGTGCACAATGGCAACTCCGACATCAGATGGAGCAAGCATACCTCCATGAAGTCTTCCATCTGAAGTACTCTTTCAACATCAACAATGTATACACTGTCTTCCTTAACTTCTTCTCCAAATCTTTTCTTCCATGTGGATAGGAGCCTCTAAAAGATTTAAAACCAAATGGAAATCATCACTGTAGGGATAACATCCATCAGCATATTATATAGTAGGCATTCGATCGAGTCTGCCATGCGGGGGGAAAAAAACTATCGGCAACTAGAAAAGTGCAAATGGAAGTGTATTTGATACCTAAGTTATGGTAAAAGGGAAAAATGCAACAAATAGGAAGTTGGAAGTGGCGAGGAACGATCACTGAACCATAACAAGGCTTTTAGCACATTCTTCTTAGCTAAGTATTGAGGCAATGAGACTGAAGCTAAAAGTCTCACTCAAGACAATGCCATACTGAGAAATCCACCTTGAATCTAGAAGTGTAAGTCATCAGAAGCACAATTCTAATTCTCCTTCGCAAATACAGAGGCAATTCTAAATTACATAGCCTCTTAATGGAACTAACCACAATAGAATCTCAAATGTTTTTACCTTTAACCGCTTTGCATCCTCGGGCTTCTCTAGACTACCCTGAATTGTGCACTGAGAAGTCCGCATTCCGCTCTGCTCCAGCTGATCCAAACCAAAACAACAAAACCCTTCAGTCACCTAAGATGGTTTCCAAAATACAAACTGGAAACTGAGGAAGAAATTTTCGAAACCCAAGTACCCGAATGTTGAGGCTAGACCTCTTGTCATGAGAGACGATTCTGTGGGAATCGGCCAGGCAGATAACCGGAGTCCCATCTTCATCATCCACAGCGAAACGAACGCTGAAGCTCAGAGGGCAACCTTGTTGGGTGAGGGTCGAGAGTGTGGCGACGGAGGACAACTCCACGATGGTTCTGGAGACCTCGGCGGGGAAGGGCTTGTGCTGCGGAGGACCCAGGACGACGGTGGCAGGCTCTGAAGAGACGGCGGCTTTAGCGGAAATGGAGCAATTAAAGGAGCGGTGGCGAAGTGGGTGGCGCTGGTTGGGGAAGAGGAATTGGGAACGGGTAGTGGGCCGCTGGGAAACGAGCGAGAACATCGGAGAGTGAGAGCTCACTCCAGCTTGGCTCTGGAGAATCATCTCGTCTGGGTCGGAGATAGACGGAGAGAGACACAAGCGACAGGGTGAAGACGCTCGCTAGTCGCTACTGCTGGCGTTGAAACTTGAATGTCGATAATAGGATCAGATTGAAACCTTTTCTTTTGTTGGGTAAAATCGGATTGAAACTTCGTAACATTTCCAACTTATTCTTAATAAAATAATATTCGTTTTGGTTTGGGTAAATACAATATATTAGCCACAACTATGAAAATTCAAATTATTAGCCAAACGTTAACTATTTGTTAACAATTTCGTTAGTAATACTGACTTTAACTTTATGTTTTAAAGTTATAAATTAAAAGCATTCCACCATGGCCGCTGCCGTGGCCGATGACATGGCCTTCTCCGTCAAAAATTCAATAACAGTAACAGACAGTTAGCCATATCTTGACCCGCAACAATAGTTATGGCTAATAATTTGAATTTTCATAGTTGTAGCTATAATTCTCCGCTTCATAATAGTTGTGGCTAATATATTGTATTTACCCTTTTGGTTTAGATGAAAGATTGTCAAAGTTTACAACGAAATATTTTGGATAATGTTTATTTATTATCTAAATGTTTATTTATTATTATTTTATTTTAGTCAAATCTATTAAAATATTAAGAATTAGTCAAACATTTTGTCACACGTCAAAGTATTAGCCATTTTTACGTTATTATTAATAATTTTGTAACTCTTTTCTTAATTAAAATATTAAAATTTTGGAATGTTAACCTCCATGTGTCTCTTTCAAATCAATATCATGTTGTCAAGTCAATATTACTAACAAAATAGCTAATTGGATGTTAATATTTGACTAATTATTAGTAATTCAACAGGTTTGGCTAAGGAAAAAAAATCTGAAAAGGGTTTGACTAATAAATAGTCATTAGCCAAATATTCTTCGTTTTGGGTTTATACTTTAGACCTTACAATTTTTTCAAGATGATTTCTCATGACATAACTCATTTTCGCCGTGATTCACAGTGAGCACGTTTTTTTTCACTTTTCCACCCGTTGGTGTCAGACTCGTTGGTTGAATGTCATATTTGAATATGACGTATTTATGATATACATCATAAAGTTTTCAAAATATTTGAAATTTGTATTTTACATCATAAAGCTTTCCAAATATTTGAACTTTGTATTTTACCTAGCAATTAAATTAATTATTAAAATCAAATTAAATAATAAAAAAATATGAAAATTGAAATATCAAACACCAGAGAAATACTTACAAAAAAGTTAATGGGTTAGTTAACTGTAATGAAAAATTCATACATTTTTAGGATTTTAGATTTTTGTATGCTTTTATAATTATATATCAAATTCATGTAGTGTATCGGTTATGATTTATGTCCTTGTTTTTTTATTATCGAAGTCGGTTAGAGATGCTACTTGAGGGGTGAGGGAAGCAGAAAGAAGCGGGAGGCCCTGAGATTCGAAATAAATTTGAAACCCAATAATAGTATCACTAGATCAAGAACTTATTCACTAAGATGTTGTATACTTTGATTAGAATGAATTTGGAAGCTTACCATGAATCTGGGTAATCAATACATTAAGGTATCTGTTTGAGCCCGATCGACTGGGGGTCGCTCGGGTCCAAGGGGTTTGGGGTGTCAGGCATGACCTCGAGGAGGTAGGCGCCCCACCTTAGTAGATGTGGGAAAAGAGAAGCAAGAAGACGTGTATAGAGAGATAAAGTAGAGAGAAGTTAGAGTAAAGAGTAGATAGATTGTCATCTATGAGAAAAGAACTCCTATTTATACACATCTGAAGGCTAGGTAGTGGTTCGGGCGCCTGCCAAGTCATAAATGTTGTGGTCGGGTGCCTCAGACCTTCTGACACTGTACATTGTACTTTTTGGCAGAGGGTGTCCCCTCATACTTTGTCTTTGCTGATGTCAGGTGCCTGGCTTTGTCCCTTGGTCTTGTCTCTTAACCTTGTCTTCTTCTTCTGATGATGTAAGTCTTCTAGGGTTTTGCCCCTATGTCTTGGCTTCTCGTGGACTCTTCTTGTAGACCTTCTCCAAATATTATATTTTACCTTCATACCCTATCAGTATCGATTGTTTGTTAGATTTAGGTGATGGATTTGACACCCAAATCTCAAGTATCATGAAATTGACACAGATTCATTGTTTGTGACACAAATATTTGGAGCTGACGGACTTGGAACCTTTTTTTAGATCCAAATTTGTGGACCCCACGAATTTGCAAATCCCATATTTCATTTAGGATTTGATAATGGAAGGCAAAAATGTGCGACAAATCAATCATAAATTCATGATAAAAAAATTAATTAAACAAACAACGTACTCTTTCAAATCCATAATGCAACAAATTCATCATAACTCCAAAAGTTCTTAAAACTCAAAACTCTCATTTTCACGTCCAACCAAATCCATAAAATACCTTTTGTAATTCGTAGGAATCCGTAGCTACATCCAAAGAAAGCTCAAAAGCAACTTAGAGGTCACTTCCTTTAATTATGCTATAGTACGTGATGTCAAGTGCAGCCATTGATAAAGTTGCAGAACATCATGATTGTAGTTTAAACCGTTTAATTGAATCCCTCCTTTTTTTCCACAATAAACAAGTAGGATTAAAGGGAACGATAGCTGTATGGTCTGGCTGGACCTCCATTTGCTTTCTTTACAATGTTTTCAAGAGAAAGCATCAACCAAAGTCCAAAACACCACTTGTATCTCTTCCTTCTGGGTGGAGAGCAGAGAGAGTTCGTTGTAGTGCACAGAAAGCAAAAGCTAGTTTGGAGAGACGCAGCAGAACCATATCGAGATTTGAAGCAACGGCAAGAACAACAACAACAACAACAACAACAACAAAAAAACATACCACACCACCTTTGAGGCAAATGCTGAGTTGGGTTTTCTCCTTCTGGCGCAAAAAACTCTGGCTTGGCTTTCAAGCTCCAGTCATCAATATAAAGAAACAGAGAGAGATCGATGTTAAAGAAAGCGAACGCACCAGGATGATCAACAACAGCAGCATTGGTAGCAGCAGCAGCGAGAGAACAATGTCAGTGGAACAAGAGAATGGCGAGATCAGCAATCATCAGCATCATAAAGACGAGGGGCTAGACGATGAGGCCTCGAGGGTGGCGATGCTGGCTGCGCTCCAGGCCAAGGAAGAAGAGATCGAGAGGAGGAAAATGGCTGTAAAGGGGAGGGTGGAGCTCGAGCTAGGACGCGTCGAAGAGGAGACCAAAAAGCTTGTCCATATCTGGGAGGTAAGTGCAACCAGTAATAATGGAACCGTATAAAAACTGCAGCTTCATTGTGCTGCAGTTTTATTCTAACAATTCATGGTGAGCAAGCAGGAGATCCAAGTGATGGAAGACCCAATGAAGAAAGAGGTGGCAATGCTGCGCAAGAAGGTCGATTTGGCGAATAGAGAGGTCAAGGGCTTAGCTCAGAGCTCCCAGAAGAAGGTCCAAGTTCAAATCCCCATTGCCATTGTCACATTCTTTTGGAATTGGTCTAGCAGGTATTGAAAATGTTTGTTTGTTTATTTGGGTCACAGGAGAAGGAATACAAAGAAGTACTGGAAGCTTTCAATGAGAAGAGCAAAGAGAAGTCTGCTTTGGTTGCGACATTAAAGGATGTATGTATACATATTGCGTTCAGTTCTGCTTTCATTACCTTGTTGTCTGTTCCTGATGATCTTTCCAATTCCAGCTGCTAGCGAGAAGTGAAAGCTTGAGGATGAAGAAACTGGAGGAACTGAGCAAGTTCGTCGAATCCACTGACTGAAAACTGTGATTCTATAGATGCATCTCGATTGGAATAAGCAACAGCACTATTTCCCCATTTGTAACCCTGTTTCAGTTTCATTTTCTTCCTTTCTCATACTGTAAGTGGTTGACAGGTTTTCGTTTCCTACTTCTTTTGCCCTGTTCCTGCATTCATACTACCATTCTCATCAGCACAAATTTTACTCTCTTACCTTTGACTAGTAACATGTTTCGAAGAGGCAGCCATATCTGTAGCACAATCTCGATGTGATTGACTACAACCAATCGTGCAAATATGGCAAGACAAAAACGATAGTTCTAACGATACAATTCACAGGCCAGCTTTTCCAATTAATTTGTTGAGGCTTGTTTTCTCCTACCAACATTATAGTCATAGAATATAATTGCCCCATATGATTAGGCTGTCCCCTTTGAATATTAAACGGAGGTGGATGAACATAAGTAAACAACTGAATTTGAAACCTATACTCCCACTATGTGTTTCAGTTAGACAACTTCTAAACTGGACACCAATCAAGAGCCAAATCCTTCAGATCCGGCAACGCTCTCATAGATTCTTGTTTTGTTACTTCACAAGAGATCATTCTTACCGGATTCTCTAGGCCGGCCAGCCTGGCGAATACCCTTGTTCACATGGCTCAAAAACTTCTTCATCTTTGATCTACAAGCCAACTCATGGGACGCAGTGGCAGAAACATTAAGGTTGAGAGTTGAGACTGAAGATGTTGTTCCTCACCGGGACTATGCAGCAGAATAGTCTTTCACCATCAGAATCTCACCACACAGCTTCCGGGGCACTTGTTGCAACTCCTTCCCTTCCTGCCATGCTTGGCCGACGGACACTCCTGGTCCTATGTGACGAACATACACCATAACCTGGTCGTTGAATGGATAGGGATGCTTCCCTGCAAGTTTGAACAAAAATCCATCCATCCTAGGTCGATCAGGGAACCCCCCATATACATCACAATGGCGGTTTAGAGGATACCTGAAGACTCTTCTTACCTGGTTTTGGGAAGCCAACTGGACAGTTGTCGAGATTCAAATGACCATCACCAAATTCATACGCTAAATCACAAGGCTGCTCTGTTGCCATCACTTCTCTATCTTCAGTTGTCAAAAAGTAGAGTGGACTGATGGAGTTTGCAATTTGACCCACAACTCCTCCAGCTGTGTTACCAATTTTGGTTAGCTGGTGGTACCGACGTACTCAATCTTAAATAAATGTATCGGAGTACAGGCAAGGATTAAGTAGATATAGGTGAAAACATGGGATGTCAGGAGCATTCTGTATTAGTAGATGGAGATATCCACATAGGCACACTTCGGTATACCCCACAGCAACAATAACATCTTGTTGGAAATTAAGGGGGAGAACAACTCAGCTAGACGTACCAATAAATCGCCCATAAACCTTCCCACTATTGCTGCGAAATATAGCCTGCATATGAATCAAGCAAAACCAGAAATGATCAGCATAAATGGCAATCAGGGGGTTTTAATATCTTAAAGCAAAAAGGGTTCTTAAACGAACCTTCTTGAAGAATTTCATCCAACCAATCGGCGAAGGACCTAGTAACAGTGACTTAGATCAGCATATGGAGGAAACGAAACTAGCTGATAGCTTTGGCTCTCCTTAAGATATAAAAGATAATACGAACAACCAACTGACAGTAAGAGAGTTTAATGGATGAGGCCACTTTCGCAAGATCCTTACTTTTATCTGAAAATTTGATTAAACAAGTATAACTGCCTCAGTTATCTCCATGCTATTTTACCAATCAACATCACAAAGCTCAAAGAATAAATGTGTGATCTTGCAAGCTGTCTTCTCCGGCAGTGGCGAATAACAAATTAAGACAAATTTCCTTGATTCCCTAATATGTCCTAAAATTAAGAACTGCAGCAGTACACACAGCTAACTATTATAGGCAATGTACAGGCTGGAATACCTCCACCACTTCGGCAATGATAGAACTCAAGTGATCTCTCTCCATCTTTACAGGTTAATAAGTTGGATGCCATCAACTTAGTTAGCTTAGAATCCTCGTAACGCGTCCCTGCTATTTCCCAAGCTCTTGATATGAGTCTGTTTCATAAGAATGATCAAATGTCAAAGCTGCTGAGTTTCTACCACATGAAACGACAAGCTCTCCATAAATCACAAGAATCATATCACACGAAAGCTCCAACAGGTAACAGCATATACTCATGACAGAAACTCTTTCAGGTTTTCAGCACGTAATATCTCAGAGAGACATCAACCCTGGACCATAGAACACGAAAAATGAGATAAAGAGAAAAATACCCAGGATCCAACAGGTGGATCAATCGATGGCGCCTCTCTTCAGGTACATCATCGATTTTCTTCCTGGAGAAAGTGAACATTCGAAGTAAGCGGAGATAAAAGCTTCATAACCATGCTGTTCAGTTTACCAGGCAGGCAGACTACAAAAGTCACAAACAAGCCAGTGAAACAAATGCTTCTCAAATCAGCCCTAGAATCAAGTAACCGCACCTCAACAGTTAGTAGTCTAGCATCGCTGTAAACCTCAATTACATAACATCCCAGATATTCTAAAACTTGAACTCCAAATGGGTACTTCAATAGTCAATCTGCTTCAGCAGGAAATGAATTTTTTTTTACAATTACAAGAGAGAAATGCAATTGTGTGGTGGAAACAGAAAATCACCAGAGGTAGGCAGCTGGGTTGTAAGAAGCCGGGTCAAGAGGGATCAACTCCATGGGAGGGTCGAGAAACGCCACCACGTCTTGCTCGTCTAAGTAAGCCCTCTTCCCAGTGGGAAGAATCTCGTACGGCTTATCATCCCACGGCGACACATCAGGCCTTCGCCATCCGCCTGCGGCTCTAACGGCGGCCCGGCAAGAAAGACCTTCTACCGCCTTCCTTCTGCCATCCAACTTCTTCACGTCTTCAATCAAAGATTATAATATGAGAGTTGAGCGCCGGTATTAACGTTGGAAGAAATGAGAAGAAGGGGGAAGAAGGAAAGAATCAAGTTGAGGGAAAGTGAAGCGAACCTTTGGCCGTTGGTAAGTAGAAAGACGACGAGGGATGCGGCGGCTGAGAGAAGAGGAGAGTGTTCGACTTCGACAATGGCTGTGGAAGTAACGGGTGGCTTTGAAGCTGATAGTTGGTGAGACTGAGAGTGGCAGCCGCCATCATAATTGACGATGAAGAAGGGGCGAGCAAAAGAGCAGAATACCGAGCAAAAGGCTGGGACACAGGATTCTAACAGGGGTTGCCTTCTCAAATTTTCATTTTGGTACCTTTATGATATAGGTTTATAAATTATAAAACAATTGCTTTGCTTGCCAAAATTTGTCGTTTTTGGCAGCTTCTTATTTTCTGTTTCATTTTCTCACCCACTACGCCTCGATGTCCCCGATGATGCTTCACCATTAAAGACTGCAGCTTTTTACCCACTTCTGCAGAACAAGGAAAGACATTCGATAAAAGCGCGAAGCTGATTAAATTGATTGATTGAGGAAAAGTTCAACTAGTAAAGATGGCAACTTTATCTTCAGCTCAATGGCGTTCCTATTCCACTAATTCCTTCCCGCCGTCCTCGTCGAACGGCCGACAAAATAATCATCGGCTTCTCAGCTTGTCTTCTCCAGTTCTCAGGAAGTCTCCTCCAGCTGTGTTCTGCCTGCAGCAGTCTCAGGGCAATTCTCGGCCTAATGTCGTCTTAATGGAAGATGGTACATTCCTTGAATGCTTTTCAATTAATTGTTCTTAAGTTCTTACCAGGGGATGGGTTGTTGTGTGAATTGGTCCAAGCCTGGTCAAAGTTTCAATCTTTGATTCATATTCTCATTGCCCGAATATTTTTGCTTTTTGGGATATTGATTTGGGTCTTAGAGGGTTTCAAAGTATTATTTGGAATTTGGATGGAGTTGATCTCTCCCAATAAACTAGCATGTTATGGAGACGAACTGGTTCTCCTTCCAATTGTTATGTTGTTCCTGAAGTTATAATTACTTGACTAGAGGTAATTAGACCCAATGACATTTCAGTTGTTCTGTTTTTAACGCTAATTGCAATTTGCCATATATGTTTGCTGGGTGATTGGTTCCAAGCATGGTTGAAGTTCTATCTTTGATCCCTATTCTCATTGCCCAAATGTTTGGTTGTTTGGGACATTGTTTTGGGTCTGATTAAGGGATCTAATTACCATAATGTTTTGAATTTGATTCGATCATAGGTGCTGTGGTAACTCCTGTAAACCCAGCACAAAAAAAGGAAGCAGCTATCCAGAAATTGGAAGATGGGTTGCTTTCTTCTTCGAGCATCTCTACTGAGGAATTGAAAGAGGCAGCTGGTTTTGATGTTAATGAGAATGAGTCTTCTGTTAGTATTACTGTGGTTGGAGCCTCTGGGGATCTAGCTAAAAAGAAGATCTTTCCTGCACTTTTCGCCCTTTACTATGAGGGTTGCCTTCCAAAGGTTCAACATACTTTCTGCAATTCCCCTCTATAGCAGATTGGGCGGTCCGTCCATTGGCTAATAATCAAGTTTGTGCATTTTTGTGTTTTTTATTGCAGCATTTTACGGTGTTTGGTTATGCTCGTAGCAAGATGACCGATGCTGAGCTTAGGAACATGGTTAGCAAAACCCTCACTTGCAGAATTGACCAGAGGTGACTCCAGTTTTTTTGGTGTTTCTTTCGGATTGAGAGTGATGTAAATTGCTCTCTCCTAGAGTCTAGACCTTTCCATTTTGTGACTTTCCAGGGAGAATTGTGGAGAAAAGATGGATCAATTTCTTAAGAGGTGCTTCTATCATTCAGGTCAATACGATTCCCAAGAACATTTTGAAGCCCTAGACAAAAAGCTCAAAGAACATGAGGTAATGAAGTGTGTATTGAAAAGGTGTCAGCAATGAACTCGAAGACCTAATGCTGCAACAAGTGCTTTACTTTGGTTGACCTAAGGTGATCTATATTTGCAGGGTGGTCGAGAGTCAAACCGCCTGTTTTATCTGTCGATTCCCCCGAACATATTCATTGATGCAGTAAAATGTGCTAGCTCCTCAGCTTCTGCAGCCAGTGGGTGGACTAGGGTCATTGTAGAGAAGCCCTTTGGTCGAGACTCGGAATCATCAGCTGCTTTGACCAAAGCCCTCAAGCAATACCTAACCGAGGATCAAATATTCAGGATAGACCACTATCTGGGGAAGGAACTTGTGGAAAACCTATCGGTTCTCCGGTTCTCTAATCTCATATTTGAACCATTGTGGTCAAGACAGTATATAAGAAATGTTCAGTTGATATTCTCAGAAGATTTTGGCACCGAAGGGCGCGGAGGGTAAAGTTTTAACATCGATGTTTACATTAGAGTTCATCTGGCTGCATATATATGGCTAATGGTCTTCGGTTGTTTTGTTTCTATGTTAGGTACTTCGACAATTATGGGATAATAAGAGACATAATGCAGAACCATTTGCTTCAGATACTCGCGCTCTTTGCCATGGAGACTCCTGTTAGCTTGGATGCCGAGGACATCAGAAATGAGAAGGTATTTTTTTGAAGAATGAAGTATGTTGGATAGTAATTGCGAATAATGGTCACGGTCCCATAGAACCCCAATTGTGAGCGAATTGGTTATTGAACTTTGATTTTTAACAAACTTGTTATATGAAGTTTTGAATAATAACTAACATTATAGCCACTTCATCCATCTCTGTCAATCTTTTTTGGCCATCTTCTACTGTTGAAGGAATGCTAAATCGTCGATGTTGTACTCAGGTCAAAGTTCTGAGATCGATGAGGACTTTGAGGCTCGAAGATGTGGTGATTGGGCAATACAAGAGTCATACGAGAGGAGGAGTTACTCATCCTGGATATACCGATGACAAGACGGTGCCAAAAGACAGTGTGACTCCAACGTTTGCTGCAGCTGCCCTTTTCATTGATAATGCAAGATGGGATGGAGTTCCTTTTCTGATGAAAGCTGGAAAGGCATTACATAATAGGAGGTAGGATATAAAGTACATGGTTTTCTTATTCGTTTTGGTTATAAAAGAGGCACAGAGTTGCTCAATGTTTGCAATGCTTGTTCTTCGTACTCAGTGCTGAAATTAGGGTACAGTTCAGACATGTGCCTGGCAACTTGTACAACCGAAATATTGGAACGGATCTTGATCAAGCCACGAACGAGCTTGTGATTAGAGTGCAACCAGATGAAGCGATCTATCTGAAGATCAATAACAAGGTACCTGGACTTGGGATGAGACTGGACCGTAGCAATCTGAATCTTCTCTATTCGACAAGGTAAAAGAGTTTAGAACTTTAATTCCATTTATGCTTGAAGTGGAGTCTGCATTTCATTGTTAGAGAGGCACACTTGAACATCTAGATTCAAGACTGAGCTTGTTGTTGTGCTCGTTTTAGGTACTCGAAGGAGATTCCAGATGCATACGAGAGGCTTCTTCTGGACGCCATCGAAGGGGAAAGACGACTGTTTATTAGAAGCGATGAACTTGATGCTGCTTGGTCGCTTTTCACGCCAGTTCTGAAGGAACTGGAAGAGAAGAGGACCATCCCGGAGTACTATCCATATGGAAGCCGGGGCCCTGTTGGGGCTCACTACCTGGCAGCAAGATACAAAGTGAGGTGGGGTGATCTTGGCATGGAGGAGTAGGCAAAAATGTTCCAGGAGTTGGGATAGTTTGACTCCTAGTTTGATGAAGCTTTTTGTGATACCCTAATGTATTGTGTACTGGTTATGAAGAATATTGGTGATAGACTGTTAGATTGAGAAACCTAGTTTTTGTTTATGTATGTAAAAAATATTTAGTATTGGAATACATCAAGAGGGAATATTGTTTTCTCATTGTTAGTAAAATCCTGATTTTGCAATTTTCTTATGTAGTTTTTGCAGAACAACAAATAAACAGTGACAGTATATTTGCTTCCTTGCTGCTGAAGTGTAAGAAACTAGCCTGATTTATAGATCCATCTTATCACATCATTTTGAGAAAAATGTCTGCAACTGCAAGTTAGCAGGCCCTCTCTTTGTGAAAGAAAAAGAAACATCCTATGACCCATCGAATCATAGTTTCAAAATTGTTCCATATCAACATCAGACAAAGATGTTTTGATTCCCCATTTTCTTTCTCAACTAGATGTTTCTGTTAGGCTCATTAAAACCTAAACCCAAACAAACAAGAAAATGCAGATGCATGCATTACAAACAGTTCCCTTCTGATCCAAGCAAACCACACTAATATATCTCCTCCTTGTTGCCCCCTTCCTCCATCTCTCTTTTCCTAACTAAGAAAGCCTGAAAAGCAGCAGTCATCTGGAATAAGGGACAAGAATTGAACACTCTCCTACTGCTACTAAATGCTTTGCTTGTAACTCTGAGAAAGCATTCCTTCTGCAACTCCTATATAATGAAGTCCACAGCTTCACCCCAAACCCATCTCAAAATTTTCTTCAACAAGATGAAGAAGGGCAGTGGTGGAAGAGGAAACTTCATGGCAGTGGTGGAGAACATTCTGCTGGTTTTCCTGGTTTTCATGGCTGCCAATGCAATCACAGGCGAGGCAGTGTTTGGAATCGACATGAATCCATGCACGATCTCTCCTTGTGTAGCAGCCTGCAAGGCTGTTCTGAGGGAGAAGTATGCCAGTGCCTCTTGCTTCCACAAGGTCATATGCATGTGCTTTGGTTGATGGTTTCCAGGGAGATTCCGAGTCAATATATATGTTATTATATATGTATATATAAAGTTTGGTGTGTTTGTGAACGATGAAACTTGTACTGAGAAGAATCTTCTTCTCAGAGTTTCACCAGGTATGCATATGAATATGCTTTCATGGTGGATGTAAGAGGTAAAAGCAGGATGTATTCTGTACAGACTTTGACCTGCAGTATATAAATAAACTGATAAATAAGCACTTACTCAGAACTCTCCTGCTTCAGCAGTTGAGGGGGAAGAGTGCAGTGGGGCTTCGTGTCACACTTGTTCTATGTAGAAAATGTAACTTATGTGTCAAATAAGTTGGGAAATATTTATACAATAACTTTCGATAAGATGGACAATAATAATTTATTTTTTGGGATCATTCTAACTAGTGATATGATAATTCAATTTGCTTTCACGTGCTGATTTTTACGAATTTTGATTTGAGTGTTGAGGGATAGCCTATTGGAAACTTCGAGTTGCAAATTTAATAACCATTCAACGAAATTTATATCGGTAATAATTTTTTCGTTATATCAGTAATGTTGAAAATAGGAACGACAATATTTATCGCTAAACCTAGAATCTATATTAGCAAATAATATGTCTGAAAATATATGGATTATGGCACGAAACTCCAGGAATGCAAAACCTACAAAATTCGTGTCTTGTCCATTGATATGAATTATATCCCCCTCTATGGTCATATCAGAAATGATAAAACACAAAATTTTGTAGATTTTACCGTTCTGAGTTTTGTATCTATTTTTTCAGTTTAAAAACATACTCAAAACATAAATCAAACTACATACTTTAATGAAATTTGTGAGCCGAAAATGAAGGAAAGCAATGGCGACAATATGCTAAAGAAAGCTTATAGGTCCTTTGCTTCGTGGATTTTAAGAATGAATATTTTACTAAGACTTAAGTTTTGTAAAATCATGAATATATGAAGGTTTTGGGTTTATTATGTACTTGAAAAATAACATTGTTTGTTTCATAAATTTAATGATGAATTTGGTTAATTAGATTTGTGTGTATAAAGTAAAAATGACATATATTGTCCTTACTGGTATGAGAAGAGAAAGGAAATAAAAAAGTCAAATTAATCGTAAAGTGAAAGTCCATGATAAGTTCTCACATAAAATATTGCACGGATTTGTTACCTCTAAATACTTAAAAAAACAATGAAATTTGGACAAATTTCATAATGGATACTTATCCATCACCAAACCCATTATTTTTTGGACAGTCCAAGTCCAAAGCTGGGCTGAAAGCCCAATAGCGAGGTCCACCAAAAAAGGTCAATCCGAAAAGAAAATAAATGAGGAAAATGACTTACCGTTTACTTGGCCACAACCCTTGCGTTGCGCTGGCATAGACTGAAAATAGCCAAATACAGAAAGCCGAAGAACAAGGCGGAGAGAAGACAGAGGAAACGAAGACATCCCCCGAAACTTGCGAAATCACCATCAATGGCGTCGACTGCAGCAGTACCCTTCTGGAGGTCTGCAGGGATGACGTACATCTCATACTCAAACATCTGCGCTAACATAGTCAGGAACTGCCTCAAGGAGCCTCACAAGAGCGATGCCCTAGCTCGGGAGAAGGTCCATTTCACCGTTACCAAGTGGTCCGAAGGAAAGCCCGAGAAGCCCAGTAAGATTCCTGCTCTGAACCCACATATGATCGGTTTTTACGTATTTCACGTTATGTATTCCATTGCTCATTCGCCTAGATCTGGTGGGTGTTTCTTGCGTCGGTGAGGGTCTTTCTTGGCCTTGTCGATCTCTGTTTTAGTGGGTTCTCCGTGTTTGGTTGAGATGGATTTAGCGGCTGCGCTATGAATTTAGGTTTTGTTTGCTCCCAGTCATCTGGGTTTGTGAATTTATGCGTGTAGTGTGGCACAAGTGGAATAATTCTGGAAAATTGGAATTCATAATAGATTCATGTTTTGGTTTTAGCGATTGATGCTGTCATTTTAGCGATTGATGAAACTGTAGCTCTTCTGTATAGTTGATGTTTGAAACTGCAACCAATTTAGACTTAACTTGTTCTAAATGTGTTGTATTTCAGTCTGATTGTCTGAGTGCTGTGTTCCTTCCGAGCAAGCTTTCATGATATTTGATTTTGTGACGTTGTGTATGATAGTGCCTTCTCGGTTGATGATCACTTCAGGATGCTTTGAAAGGCGCTATGAAGTTACTTTTCATGGTGCAGGCCTGAATTATACAAATTAGTAACATGTAAATGGCCTTTTAATGCATGTTTGAGTGTCAGTGATTTGAGTGCAAAGCAGGATATGAGTTGTTTGGCTGAGTTGCTCTGGCATCGGCAGGAGGGTATTATCGTTTTCTACTTGATTTTGGAGGTTTATAGCACATGTTTCCTTTACTATCCAGATAATTGAATGTGAGAATGAACTTACCCCTGGCTCTTCTTGCCAATATGCATATCTGTTGTAAATACTGCACTGTCAAGAGGTCCTCTATGCTGTAGCTTGGAACCTTATCAATAATTCTTTTTGATTGTGATGTTTCAGTTCCATTTCAGGCTTTGCTTTCTGGTTTGATGATTTGAGGTTGCTAACAATCTGCTATTGCTGCACTTTTTGAACCTTATGTATTACCGAAAGTATAGTCGGATGTTAGGCAGTAATTTTTTTTTGGTTGAAGTTTAGGCAGTAATTTATCAATATGCCTTTCGAGAAGGCAACTTGATTTTTTTCATTGGGTTATTGGTACGAGAAGAGAAGTTAGGTACTTGTACTTCCCTCTGATACGAAGTCTGCATTTGTGTGAAGATGCGCATAGTAGTAGAGTGCTAATATTTGTTAAGTTGACTGATCTCCTACGCTGGCGGTGCCTTTCTGCTGTCATTGTGCTACGGTTTACTTCCAATTGAGAACTTTGTTCTATCGGACTTGTGCTTCGACTCAGTGTTACGACTAATCTGATTCTCATATTTCCTGATGTTGGCCTTACAAAATTGTTTGTTGGTTTGGTCGCAGCAACCCGGTCCGACGACCCAGATGTTTGAGCTATGGCGAAGCGTTGTGCGTGCAAGGAGGAATATCTTAGATATCAGAGATTTCTATTTTCTGTTTTCTGTTTTTTCAGTATGGCCTGTCTTGGCTGTGAGACAAAATTTTCAGGGGTTTGAGAAAGGTGGTAATAAATGTCAAGGGGATTGATTGTACTCTACTCCTGGATTGTTGTCGAATGCTGCAGGAATTGTCAGCGCTGTTTTCTGTTGCGGTAACATTTACGAAGTTGTTAACAAATGTCGACGTGCCTAATTGCTCAAGCTGGCAAGGATGCTAGAAAACTATGAATGGAGGTTTTTTTTTTTTTTTTGACAAATTGTTTGATATTTACCAGCAGGGATTCCTTTTTGGTTTTGGCTCTTCGTGATGCGGTTAATTGGTGTTTAATGCATGGTTTTTTAATTGTAAATTTCTGCGATGATTGTGAAACTCTGATTCGACTGTCCAAGTGTTCATTTAATGACTCGAAAGACTTTTTTTGTTAACTGTCGCGTTGGGTTAATGGATGTTCACCATAGCGGAATTGGATGTTCACTAGCTACGATAGACGTGGAGGAGAAGCGAAAAGACGTGGAAGAGAAGCGAAATTAACCCAAAGGCCAAAACAAGTAAAATGTTCCCAAGAATTCAGAACTCTAGCAATAAAATCAGCTTTTTATACGTTCCCGTCAAATACAGTCAAACGAAATAGAAAGGCAAGTACCCGCAATTTCACAGCGGCGGATTCTATTCTACCAAACAGGAAAAAAAATAAAAAGAAAAACGCCGAAGCAATCGGTTGGGGGAGAGAGGTCTGCGCTGTTTTTCCCTTCACAAACAGAATTTTCTCCCTTCGTCTATCTGGCTTCTACCAACCACCAACTCCTTTCATTTTTTCTCCTTTCTTCATTCATCTCCTCATTCCGCTTTGCTTCCGAAGTTATCCATGGCGCTGTGCCGCAATTTTGTCGCCTAATAATTGGATCTACTTCCTTTTCCTCTCGCATCGCCATCCTTCTACCGCTGGTTGCGTCGATCTGATCTCTGAGCTGCAGTGGTAGGAAAAATGTCTTCGGTTAAGACCGCTCGGTCCAGGGCGGCTCCGGTGAAGGAGAACGGAGCCGTCAAGACGGAGGAAGGACTCAGCGCCTTCAAGTCCGATAAGTTCGATGCAGATGCTTATGTTCAGTCCAAATGCTCTCTCAACGAGAAGGTTAGTCTCCGCTTCGCTCGCTTATTCGTGTGGTTCGTCGCTCGAACTTGTAGTTTTTGTTAAGCTGGATATTGCGGCAGTTGGACACGACTGACTGCGCGGTCCTAATTGGCACTCTCGTGGACAAGCTGGAGGTTCTCTTCAGGCTTGGCCTCGTGATCGCTTGTGTAATAGTTGTGACAGTTGAATTGAATCGAACTTGATTTGCTTTGATTCCTGGATTTGTACTTGGCGCAGCAGTGCTTGAATGGCAATTTATTATGTCTTGCTTGCTCGACGGGCATGTCTGAATCCTATGCCTGACCTCCGGTTTTCCTCTTTGTTTCGTTTTGACTAAGCTAGCTGCTACTTTGAACAGCTAGACCTGTAATTTAGATGCCTTGCTGCATAAGAATGTATTGTTTTAATGTGAGTAGATTAATCCCTACAGGATACAGCTTCACGGCTAGTTCTTGGTTAGTGACTTTTCTATTGGGTTGGTGGTACATAAATTTGAGAATGTTCTATCATTCTTTGGTGTTTTCTTCTTGAGCAATCATAAACTGATAATGTATTTTGACTTTCAAGACACAGCACTATTGTGACTTCATTATGAACATGTGCTCTTGTTCCCCAGGAAATAAGGCAATTGTGCTCGTATCTTTTGGATTTGAAGAAAGCTTCGGCTGAAGAAATGCGGAAAAGTGTTTATGCAAATTATACCTCTTTTATACGGTGAGTCCTTTCAAAAAAGGCGCCTAGAAGTGGTCAGTTTTGAACTCATGCTATCACAACAGAATCCGTGAAGGGATATATCATGTTCTATGTCGGATTATAGAACACTTTATTTTTACTTATTTTCATTGTATTGATTTCTTCGACAATCATGTTCTGTATTTTCTCCATAATGGTGGGCATTTCAAAGAGTTGTTTCTATAATGTTGTGGTTTGAAGCAAACTCTGTCATTTCCCGTTTGCAGTACATCGAAAGAGATATCAGATTTGGAGGGAGAGCTTTCATCTATCAGAAGCCTGCTTTCCACCCAGGCTACTTTAATTCATAGTTTAGCAGAGGGAGTTCATATTGATCAACTGTCTGATAAGATTTCAGAAGAATCCTCTGTAAATAGTTTATTGTACAGTGAAGACAGAGAACCTTCTGATTTGGAGAAATGGTCCATTGAGTTCCCTGATCTCCTTGATGTCTTATTAGCTGAAAGGAGAGTGGATGAAGCTCTTGCGGCCTTTGAAGATGGTGAGCACCTAGTTTCTGAAGCAAAAGAGGCAGAAACATTGAGTCCTGAAGTTCTCAGGTCGTTGGAGACTGCAATTATGAAACGGAAGCAAAAGTTAGCTGATCAGCTTGCTGAAGCAGCGTGCCAACCTTCAACCCGAGGCACTGAACTCCGTGCAGCGGTAGGAGCTCTTAAAAGCCTTGGGGATGGGCCTCGTGCTCATAGTTTGTTACTCGGTGCACATTTTCAGAGGTACCAGTATAACATGCAAAGCCTCCGGCCATCAAGCACGTCTTATGGAGGAGCATATACTGCTGCACTCTCCCAAATAGTTTTCTCAGCTATTGCTCAAGCTGCTACTGATTCTTTGGCCATTTTCGGTAAAGAGCCAGCATACACTTCTGAGCTTGTGATGTGGGCTACAAAGCAAACAGAGTCATTTGCTGTTCTTATTAAGAGACATGCTTTAGCATCATCGGCAGCTGCAGGTGGTTTACGAGCTGCTGCAGAGTGTGTACAGATAGCTTTGGGCCATTGCTCTTTATTAGAAGCGCGTGGCCTGGCAATTTGTCCAGTGCTCTTGAAACTCTTTAGGCCTAGTGTTGAACAAGCAGTGGATGCTAATCTGAAACGAATTGAAGAGAGCACTGCTGCTATGGCTGCTGCTGATGATTGGGTACTTACTCACTCGCCAACAGGAACTCGCCAGTCTGGAAGGTCTTCTGTTACATCTCTTGGTAATTCAGTCGTTTCCCAACATAAACTGACCAGCAGTGCCCATCGGTTCAACTTAATGGTCCAGGTAATCAATCTTCTACGGATAGGGTTCCAAATAGCTCTCTCTGCTGCACGCTTATCAGCTTATGACTGCTTTATGCATGTGCAACTCTGTTTCCCTGTTTCTTAATCATTGAACTTGGTTTTGTATTCATAGCTTTCTATATCATGTCACCAAAAGTAAGGTTAGATACTTCACTATTTGTTTTCTGATCATATCAAATGTTAATTTTCCTCTTATATCTCAAACTAGCATTAGGACTGAGATACATATTTGGTCTTTTTTTAAACTAAAATGGGCCCTCGTAAATCATCAGTCTCATTTTCATTATTGACTTTGTTTGGGGTGTTGTCTTTCAGTTCTTTTCCATTTTCTTTTTCTTTTTTGTTTCCCTTTAAGTCTTGTTATTTGATTCAATTCCTACAATCAAAGTTTGTAAAAATGTTTGTATTTTCATTCCTGATATGTTGCCTTCTGTTTCTCTATCAGGACTTCTTTGAGGATGTTGCTCCCCTTCTTAGTATGTTGGGAGGTCAAACGCTGGATTGTGTTTTCCAAGTATTCAACTCATATATTAACATGCTTATAAAGGCATTGCCGGGCTCTATGGAAGAAGAAGCAAATTTTGAAGGTTCTATTAATAAAATTGTCCGATTGGCTGAGACTGAAGACCAGCAGATGGCATTGCTAGCAAATGCATCATTGTTGGCAGAAGAACTGCTGCCTCGGGCAGCAATGAAACTTTATCCTCTCAGTCATCCTAGTTATAAGGATGAAAGAAGAAGGAGACCAGCTGATAAACCAAATCGTCACCCTGAGCAAAGAGAATGGAGGAAGCGCCTTGTTGCTGCTGTTGATAGGTTGAAAGATACTTTCTGCCGGCAGCATGCACTTGATCTAATTTTCACGGAGGAGGGTGATAGTTATCTAACAGCTGATATGTACATCAATATGGACAATAACGTGGAGGAGTTAGCATCGCTTCCCTCCCCAATATTCCAGGTATGTAAATTATGGAATCAAAAGCATTATTACTGTGCATATAACACCTTCAGAGTGTTCTCGACAATCTAAATAATTAAGTCTGATATAAAAGCTTCAGAGTATTCTCTAAGTATATATGGCCATTCCCATTAGGATAGGACTCCCCATTATAATTGCGAGGTGAATGAATTCCTCGTGATAAGGAAAACATACATATGATTACGTGAGTGTAGAGGTTGCCCTGTCCGAAGTGTGAATGGAAAGACAAGTTAGACTTGATTGCAAGTTGACTCCCCCTTCTTGTTAATCTGAATTTCTATGCTTTCGACATTATATGTTGTGGTTAATTGGCTGGATGCAATTGTCATGTGGTTTGCACAAAACAGAACATGACGTTCTGTTTGTGGCATTAACTCTGTTCACTTGGGTAAAAATTTCAGGAACTTTTTGTAAAGCTGAACAGGATGGCTAGTTTAACAGCAGACATGTTTGCGGGCAGAGAAAGATTCGCAACTTTACTGTTGATGAGACTGACTGAAACTGTCATATTATGGCTATCAGAAGATCAAAGCTTTTGGGATGATATTGAGGAAGGCCCGAGACCGCTTGGTCCTATGGGCTTACAGCAGGTATGGAACCAACAACCTTATAGTCGAAAAAGTGTTGTCTGGATTCTGTTCCAAGTTCTAACATGCTGCTGTATTTCATGATGATGATTTATCTGCCCAGTTCTATCTTGATATGAAGTTCGTCTCGTGCTTCGCCGCCCAAGGCCGTTACCTGTCACGAAACTTGAACCGGGTTCTCAACGAGATCATTAACAAGGCTGTGGCAGCATTTTCCAGTACTGGGATGGATCCTGACAGGTAAAATTAGCTCTACACTCTCCCAGAGTATTCATCACGAACGTGGCCAAATTGACGCTTTCTTTTGATTCAACAATAGTAAACTCAACCCTTGTCCAGATAATCAGATTCATTCTTCTTGTTGCAATCTTTTGGCCTTGTCAAAGACTGAACTTTTTCTCCGGTCGCAAAATTTTGTTTCCAGGGTACTACCGGAAGACGAATGGTTCACCGAGGTATGTCATGAAGCCATGGAAAGATTAAGTGGGAAACCGAAAGCCATAGATGGAGATCGAGACCTCAACAGCCCGACGGCCTCTGTGTCTGCACAATCGATTTCGTCTGTGAGATCCCATGGGAGTACCTAATCTCCCTTCAAAGTCTTTGCAGATTCCCCCTCCTGTAAATTTCATAATCGCGGGTAGAATCCTATATTCCTCCCCCACCCTGGTTAGACCGATTCTTTCTTTCTTTTCATTGCTGGGGTGTCTTTTTCCTGTTTGTTCTAGTGTGCTCTGTAAATTTGTTTTGGGTTGATTTGTCTGATAAGTCTCTGTTGTGCCAATATCTGAATTTGCGGTCTTAGCAGCCGTCACTTAGGTCTGTAACAATTAGGTGACGGATTGAAGTTGAGGGTTAAAATGTCAGCTTCGAAACAAAAAAAGGTTAGTGGGTAAAAGAGTGAGATTTCTTGTCACATCATATCAACAAAAGAAAAGTCACATTATTCTATGCATGTTCTGAAGAATGTTTATATTTTTTGATTTATTGATTGCTCATATGTGCTATTGGTTAGGATTATTAGCGATTAATGATGTGATGAAAGAAGACATTGTTGCTATTTTTACCAAGGCGGTTACCAATCACAACGTTCAATATTGTTTGGATTCGGTGAATGTTTTAGGAGCTTTTGGATGCAAGGGAGAATTTTGGTACATTCGACAATTTAGTGAGTGTATATATCTAGCAATTTCGATAGGAACTTTTGTTGATTTAGATTGCAACTAATTACATTTTGGCAATGTCAATTATGTCTAGTGCGTTGATAATGTGAGAATTAAATCAAGTTGAAATTTGTTAGAATCTCAGTATGGACTATATTCATCTGTTTGGCTTTGTTTGTTTAGGGTTAGAACTTAGAAGAAGGATTCCATAGTGCCCTTTTTAGCAACTTAGTAAGTAGCTAGGTTTTCGTCAAAAAAAAAAAAAAAAAAGGTAGCTAGGTTTCCTGATTAGTTTTGATGTAGATTTGTAATCTATGCTCTTAGCTCAAATAAGTAAAATCTGTTTTATCCTTATGAACATAATTGGTATATTGTGTTAGTGAACTGCATAATTTTACGTTTATTTTTTCGCTTTGTTGATTTATACGTGTAACTTATAAAAATAGGCATTTCACTTATCTATAGAATATCTGTCAACTAGGAAACATAGCTGCAACTTGTGATACAGAACACCAAAACTTATGCAACAGAAGCAAAAACTAGGATTCGGGACCAGCCGATTACATTTCCATTTGAAGTAAAGCTGTAGACAGAAAGCGAATGATGGAAGAAAGGTAGGAATGGAACATCGGCCAATCTCGTTTATTCCCGCGCCATTATGTAGTTATTACGGAATACTGAGAATTCAAACACACGAAAACGAAAGGGCGAAGAAGAAAGAAGATGAACAGAATAACATCCCAGCTATTGTTTCTAACTTTGATACCCATTGCTGCGGTGGTCCTTCCCGTGATGCAATCCACCGCCGCCGTCGGAGGGATTTCTGGAGAGCGACACGTGGACGCCTGGATCGTTGTGGCTGCAGGAGGAATTGAACATGATCGAGTTGTTGATCCCCTGGACGTTACTGTTCATGACTGCGCTCATCGGCTTCGCTCCTTTCCCTGTTCCCGATCCGCCTCTCCTCTCGGCCTTGTTCTTCTTCCCCTCTCCGTCTTCCCCGCTGCTGCTGCCGGAGCTGGTTCCGGGGCTCCTGTGGAGGTAACGAGGGTTCCCCGGAAACAACGGATTCCCCGATTTCCGGGGAGAACGGAACAGTTCCATCAGGGCTCCCCTGTTTTCTCCGGCGATGGTGATGATCTTGGTCCCCTTGTCTTCGAAATCGGACGGATTCTTCTTCGCCTTGTGATTCTCCTCCTTTGGTCGAAGACCCATCAGAGGATTCCCGGCGCCGCCCTCAGATCCGCTCCAGCCGGACCAGAACTTCTTCGTGGCGGATTGGCTCTCCGCCGTCTTCTGGAGCACCACGGTCTTCTGCTCTGCCTCAGGGGAAAAGTGAGGTTCAGGTGCCGATTTCAACTGAGACGGCGGCAGGGTCAGAGGCGATGGAGGTGGGGCAGTGGGGTTTCTCTTGGGTGATTGAGGTGGGGTTTCGGCTGCCGGATTGACGGATCTTGGAGGCGGCTCCGGGACAGATTTGGTCGCCGGTGGAGCTGCCGGTGGTCCTAGTTTGGGAGAATTCGGAACCGAAGATACGGTTGGAACAGGGTTTCTCACCGGAGAATTAGTGACTGAAAAGATCTTTCGGGCCTGAACTGGAGAGCCAGGGACAGAGGAGGAAACAGCTGCCGGTTTACGGACAGGGGAAGATGGAAGAGAAGAAGTAGGAGCGGGCGTAATTGCAGGTTTGGGAGAGGACGGGAGGGAAGAAGCAGCAATGCTATCCGTGCGAACAGCAGGGGAAGCCTGAACAGAATCGCCGCCGTTGGTTGGTCTTGCAGATTGCGCCGCAGCCGCAGTTGGCTGCAATGCAGGCGGACCAGTCGGGCGGGTTACCGGAGGTGGGTTCGCAGCGGGAGGAGCCACCGTAGAGAGAGTCCGGAACGGACGTGGTTGCGGTGGAGCGGTGACCTCGGCCGCCGGAGCCGTGGGCTGAGGTGGTGGCTGGGCAGGTCGAGCGAGAGAAGCGGCCCGAAACCAGGGGCGAGCAGGTTGCTGGTTCGCCATTGATGAAACTGAGGTGATTTGGGAAAGTAAAATGGAGTAAGGAACCCAATTCAGAAGATAATTGGCTGGCGAATATGGTAGAGAAGGGAGTTGTTTACTTATACTTATGGTTGGCAGAGGTTTATGGAAGATTGGAAAACCCCACCATGAAAGCAAAAGTGAAGAGAAAGAAGAGTGGGGGAAAGATTAAAGAGAAACAGGGGACTGGAGGAGGAATCAGGGGAAGGCATCAGATTCAGGGAGCACTCTTCACACAAAAGTAAAGATTGGACATTCGTTTTCCCATTAGCATGCATGCGAAAGATGTTAATTAGGTGAAAACAGTTCTGCCTCCAACATGGGTTTCTGCAGGAAGTGAAAAAAAAGAACGGATGCTCTGCAGTGGGATTATGGTTCGTTCCAATAGGATTCAGTGTGGTATGATCAGATTATCAACATGGTTTTAGCAGCATCTGCAGCTCAATGCAAAGCCTACTACTGGTTAGTTAGTCACTGGCTATCAGGTAATTGTTTATTCTCATGGGAAGAGGATTCGTCTGAAACCCTACCAAAGGATTTGATACCATTTGCCGTTTACTGTTGTGTAAGTGTTTGCATAATAAATCTTTCCATAATGTACTTTGCTTGCTGACAGCCGTGGAAATCTGATTCTTGCTTGCTCTTTTCTCTTTTGTTTCTGGTCTCAGTACCTTTGCAATGCTTCGAGGCCCCTCCTTCCTTCCTTCCTTTTCTCGTCGAATGAACCGCTAATATTGATGGGTTGACTCTTCACTCCAATTGTGCAAAGATGCCAGCCGCCAAATTCAAGCAATACAAAAAGAAAGCCGGAACCTGCTGAAACGAGGTTCCTCGGAGCATCTTCTGTTGATTTTTACCTCTGCATAGAGCAAACAACAGAATCAAACAAAGCAGACTCTGTAGCAGGAAAAAGAAGAACGAAATAAAGAAATGGAGTTGTCTCCTCATAATCGATGAACAAACTCAGCTTCATTGGGGCCCTTTCCCAGCATTTGCAGCCGGCCCTCTGTACCAGAGCTACCATTTGTAGTTCTTCAATCCCGATTTCCAGAAATATCAATTTCTGTGTCAAAGAGGAATGAGCGACAAACCTGACCCTGAACAGAGAGATTTCCTGCAGGCAGTAGTATCAAAATGGAATGCAGTTCCAACTTTTGTCAACAATTTAATATTTTCAGCAAACCAATGCTCTGCTCATTGTCAAAACTGTTGGTTGAATTGTGTAATTGCTGATCCTGACCATGATATTTTCATGGTTAATAACAGATTATGATTGATTTATGCTGCTGAATGGGCTTCGATAAAATGTGTCATGTTATGTGATTTGCAGAATCTCCTTGAATTTAGGATGATTACTCCAGAATGTAAATAAAAAAAAATTCCTTTTTAAAAACTCGCAAAAATTTGAAGGCTGCTGCACCATTCTACGCCCTCGTTAACCCTAATTCTCTTCTCTCTCGACCTCGCGGCGATTCAATAATGCAGTTTTACGAGGGCCACGAGGATTTGGTATCATCAGTGGCGTGGCCAGAAGAGAATGCAGTTTTACTGGTTTTTGTGATGATCTGTTGCCAAATCTACAAGGATAAGCTTCTCTGCTTTCAAGCATGGTTAGTTTATGATTTTGATCCCATCATGATATTGCCTATGTCGTTCAGATATCAAAGAGTTGTTCACATCGTGACAACGTTTGTTGATTAATGCGCTTTAATTTTTATATTTGGCCGATTTCGGTCTTGCATAATAGACTTTAACAACATTAATCAAGAAAATTACACTCTAAACCCAACTTCAACCAAAACAGATGAACAACAACAAAGAAGAACCCCTAAAACTCGAAGCCAACGCCCAAATCTAACCCATCGTCAACCATTTATTTTCTCTTTCCCTCTCACCACCCAAAACAAAACCAAAAAAGACAGAAAATCAAACACAAACCCGAACTGCTCAAATCACAACATCTCCAAAACCAAGACCCTAGCTACTACAACTTGAGGAAAACGAACTCCTCCACAGCAGAAACCTTCCCAATCTTAGACAGAGTCAGCTCCTGCGGCTCCTCGTCCACTCCAATCGCCATGATCGCCTGCTTCTTCCTCGCCATCCTCCCCACACTCATGAAATTCACATTCACATTATCCTCCCCGAGTATATTCCCAACCTCCCCAATCATCCCGGGCCGATCCACCTGCCTGCACAGAATCAAATTCCCTTCCAAGCTCACGTCCACCTCGAACCCTCCGACCTTCGTCAGATGCGGCACCCCGTATTTCACCCTCCCTTCCACCACCACATCCCCTCCCTCCCCCGCCACCGCGCTCCCGAATTTCGAGTCCACGTTCGACATCAGCACCTCGATCGAGTGCACGGGCATCTCCGGCGACGCGTCGACCACGATCCTCTCCTCGCTGATCCTCAGACCCTTCTGCTTCGCGATGAAGTCTGCGTTGACCAGGTTGACGTACGAGCCGTCGGAGATGGGCTCGATGATCCCTTTCGTGATCATGGCGCGGAGGAGCCTCGTGTCGAGGTCGTCGGGGTCTCGGGAGGAGCGGTAGACTACTTTGACGGATTTTATCCCTTCACCTCCCGACGCGAGCTGGACGGCGAGCCGGCCGAGCTTCTCGGCCAGGGTCACGAAGGGGGCGAGGGCGGAGAGGACCTCCGGAGGGACCATGGGAGCGTTGACGGCGGTGGCGGAGAGCTCGCCGTTCAGTGCTCCGACTACTGCCTCCGCGATCTCGATGGCTACACCTTCTTGCGCCTCCTTCGTGCTGGCTCCCAGATGCGGGGTGGCGATGACCTGTTTGATAAATCAGAATTACGATGTGAACTGTTTGTATCATATTGAAGATTCAAGAAAGGGCTAGTTAGAGATTGAGAAATTGAGATCCTGTGTAACGTCTAACATTTTAATCAAAATAATGATACATTTTAGAAATTACAATGTTAAGGGGTGCCTACTGCCTAGGTGATTTCTAGCATCTCACTTTAATCGATCACGTTGTAGGTCGATCAATTACGCCTCACGTCGATCAATCGTGTCTAGCTTTGTTTAGAGGCCACCTAAACGTACATTATGAACACTTAATTATCTGTATAGGGACATAGACGAGATGTCTTGTCACCAAGAGTGACAATTAATATCCAAATTTATTCATCCAGTCTAATTCAATTCATCTATTTAAATATTCTACTAATCAAATTCATTTGATCATCTAAATTCAATTAGATTGGTGGATCATCATTGACAAATTACAATGTAGTGCCTATAATTTTTATATTTTACATTTCAATACCTAAAGTTTATTTTTTTAGGCAAAAAATATCATTGAAATTTCATTTTGGTGCCTACAATTTTTTATTAGAACATTTTTGTATCTAGATTTTTCAAAATTTACATAATGATACAAGACAATAATGTCATTTGATGAATCGTCAATCCACCGATTCATTTAATCCAATCCACTAAACTCATGAATCCCACTAATTTAATCATCAATCCACGAATCCAATCTATCTACCATCCCTACTTGCCACGATCTAGGTTTAAGCCTACCCGAAATTGTGTGTGTTTTTTTTTTATCACCGATGAAACTACGAACGATTTTCATAGAATAGTGAATGAGGAAAAAACGTACCCGCTCGTGCTGGACAAGCTTGCTGTCCTTGGGCGGCGGCTCCTGGGAGAAGACGTCGAGGGCGGCCTGGGCGACCTTGCCGGAGTCGAGGGCCCGGACGAGGGCGTCCTCGTCGATGACGCCGCCGCGGGCGACGTTGACGATGCGGACGCCGGGCTTCATCTTGGCGAAGGTGTCGTCGTTGAGGATCTTCCTGGTGGTCGGGGTGAGGGGCATGTGGAGGGAGATGAAGTCGGCGGTGGAGATTGCCTGCTCGAAGGAGACGAGCTCCACGCCCATGGCACGCGCCCGGTCGGCGGGGGCGTAGGGGTCGTGGGAGATGACGTGCATTCCCAGGCCTTTCGCCCGCCGGGCAACTTCCGACCCGACTTTCCCGAATCCCATCACGGCCAGCGTCTTGCCCACCATGGACACGCCCACGTACTTGCTCCGCTCCCATTTTCCTGCACCGAATAATTAGAATGGCAAAAAAAAAAAATTACTAGTCAAAATTTATTTTTTAACAAAATAATAATAACTTAAATCTTTGTCAATGATTATTAAGCGCACTGATTTTTAATAAGAAGGACGGCAATTATTTCTTTAACGTGGCATTAATCTCTTTTAACTACTGTGATAAAATCCGCCGTTCCAATTAGTTCGGCGGCTGGGACCCTTGGTGGAGACGGAACAAATAATTGATCCACCACCGTTCACCAACCCAACCCACCAACTCACTTTCCAGAGTGTGCTAATGATAATTAAGTGGAAATAATTGACCCAACTCCTACTTTTTTTTTTTTACGAGAACCTGAATTCATATTAATAGAAAACGGTTACATTTGGTCCAAAGAAACCCGGCCCAAATCGGCCTCCAAAACGCAAAGCAGAGACCGTGGTGGGTTATCCACCCAAACGAACTGACGGTCCCAAATTCCCAGAGAGTGAGCCAACCAGTGGGCAACACCATTGTTTCGTCGAGGCGTAAACTTCCAGTCAACCTGAATCCCAGACAAACTCGCATTTACTTCAGCCAGTCTCCAAATCTCACCACACCAGCTACCCACCTCAGTTCGATCCTCCTCCTTCTTCCTCAGCTTACGAATTAGCATCTGGCAATCTGATTCCACAATAAGAGGGCTCAACCCTTTCCTATTAGCTTCCCGGAGACGCAAAACAATGGCTCTCGCCTCAGCTTCGATAGGTCTGCAGACTCCCTTTTCCTTCACTTCAGTCGCCCCCTTGAAGGCCCCCCTCCAGTCCCGAAATATACAGCCCAAGCCGATTCCCGCTTGTACTTAGTGCATAATTTGAGTGAAAATTTCCCACAGCTTTGGACGGTATATGTCAGCAACTGACTTATTAGTTTGTTAGATACACTTCATTATATATTATATATTGACATATTAAAATCATTGGTTTACATTAATCATAGGATATGAGTTTTGAGAATCATAATATAATATTTATACATTAGAAATTAATGATATTGTATTTAAAATTTATTTTAGTTCGTTTGTAGAAATATATTTTACTAGCAGTATTTAGTATCGTACGCTGAAAAGTATCAAGTATGATGTGGTACATCTATTTCGGAGAATGAGAGTTACAATGCAAGTTCAATTGATGTGCGACATGTGTGGTGTGTAATTGGCCCCATTTCACTAATCACTAATGGGGACAGTGGAGTCGGTAAAGGCAATATCAAGTCACATGCACTGCACCTTTGAAATATGCTTAATACAACGACACAAGATTCCATATCGTCTGGGCTCATTATCAAATCTTAGGACCCGCTGAATAGTTGAATAAATAAAAAAAAAGTTTGAAATTTTGGATCCAAAACCAAATCACAGTCAAGTGGGGAAAAAACAAAATTGACACAATCGGGGTTTTATTATTGACACCGATTGATACCCTATTATTCGGCGTTTATGTGGTTAAATATTCTACACTGATACATTTTATTTGTAAATACTAAATACTGGCATACTCGTGAGTATATTCTACAATTTTCAAGTAATTTGTCTGCTGAATGTATTTTTTTTACTTTGAATTTAAAAAATCCAAACCTAACAATAGATATTAGTATAGAGTCATATTCTAAGTTTGATTTATGGTCTATACAAACATATCACACTATGAGTACTTGAAACATTGGTATATTTCAAGAGTATAATAGTTTGACATAGACTAAAAAAAAGTAAATATTTTCCACGTACATAGAAGTCAGGCAGTTAATTAATACGGTAGAAATATTTTTCACCTGGTCATTAAATTTCAATTTTGACTTGTCTCGATACATTTTCCTAATTAAACACAGAGAGTAGGGGGGGAAGAAAACGTTTCGAAAGTACCAGATTTGACGGAGGCGTCCGCCTGGGCGACGTTCCGCGCCATGGCGGCGAGAAGCGCGATCCCGTGCTCCGCGGCAGCGACGGTGTTGGCGGTGGGGGCATTCACCACCAAGCAGCCGAATTCGGTGGCGGCCTGGAGATCCACGTTGTCAATTCCGACGCCGGCCCTCCCCACAACCTTCAGCCTCCCCTTCGCCGCCTCGAACACCTCCCGCGTCACCTTGGTCCCGCTCCGCACGATCAGGGCGTCGCAGGACGAGATCTTGCGGCAGAGATCCTCCGGCAAGAGGTCGTACGAGCAGTCCACGTTTCCGAACCCGCGGAGGAGATCCAATCCGGCGCTCCCAAGTTTCTCGGAGACGAGGATTGTGGGCCTGGAGGCGTCGTGGGAGGCGCCGGGGGTCTCGGTCGGCGCCGCTGTGGAGGAGGGGGAGGAAGTGGTCTTAACGGCGTTGGTGACGGGGCGAGAGCGGCGGCTGTGGCAGGAGCGGCGGTCGGAGAGTTTGATTGAGACGGCGGTGGATGAGGAGGAAGAGTTGGGGAGGAAGGAGAGGAGCGACGGCGGGCGGGGGGAGTCGGTGGAGGTGGAATTGGCGAGGCCGGAGAGGAAAGAGGGAGAGAGAATGGAGTTGGTGGTGGAGGAAGACGCCATGTTTACGAGCTGTTTGTTGAATTGCGCAGCAGAGTGTTTGGGGGAATATTTATTGGCGATGGGAAGAGAAAGGACGGAGAAGCGGAGACTGTGGGTTTGTTTGTTGTTTAGCTTTGTGGAGCTTAAATATAGATCAATGGTTCATTTTGGTCTTTTTTTTTCCTTTTCATTTTTTTCTTAAATTTGAAAATGGATTTACCATGAATGAAACAAATTTATGGCAAGTCAAAAAGAGGAGAGAAGTGGAGTCGAGTCGAGTAAATTGAATGTGTTTACTTTCAAATATAAGATTATGCATTTTTTTATTGTTAAAATTAAATTTTCGATAAACATCTTAGGCAAATCAATGACGAATAAACTCAATTAACAATCCTTTGACATTCTTATGTTTTGGTTCAAAATTCTTATCTATGGCTAAGCAATAAACACTACATGATTAACATTGCCACTTAGTTGCAGTTCTGAAGACAATATCTCCATGCACTAATTTGTGCCTCTCTGTATTAACATAATTGATTTTGTGAGACGAAACTAACTTATCAGTTCTAATTAGCAACAAGATCATGACCTCGTCTCACTAAAGCATATCTCTTTAAAGGCGAAATTGAGGACAGATGATACTGGATTCTAGACATTTTTCTACAATCAAATTCATGTTGAAAAATTAAGCGAAAGGATGGTCTATGTTCTTTCTGCCGCCGATATATAAGACTTAACAATTATCAATCTCACGCAAGCTAGTATCTTAGCTCAAGTTATCAACTTGTTTATCTCATCAAATCACATGAATAAGTTGCACTTACGGATTATCACTCCAAATAATGAGGTAAATAATTGACATCTCATCTAGAGAAATTGAGGTTTTCACTAATCTACAACTTTATTATAGTTAAATTATGATGTAATAAAAGAAAAATCCTAAGTAATTTGACTAAGATTACATGTAATTTAGGCAAGAACGGGTCGAAAATGAAGCGGGTCAGGACAGGACAGGTCGGGTCGATGAGAGTACTCATGCCTGCCCCGCCTCTAAACAGACCAAACAAGTCGGGTAAAACAGGTAAGGTCGAAATTGCCATCCTTACCTGCTGGTGGTTGGTGGACCTATGGGGCCACATTAGCACTTAACAGTAGCACTTAACTCATCATTATACAAATGGGTGGTTTATACTCTTCACACACTTGGAAAAAAGGTTGGACAACAAAGAGCAAAAAGCTTTAAGAAAGTGTAGGCACACATCTTTCATATAAATGTAGCCTTATTTTATGTGATCTAAATGTACCTTTTTTTTAAATAAAAGAAACAGAGAACCAGAGCATAATTATTGGAAAGAATAACGTTAAACAAGAACTGGAATAATTCATCCATGTGAGAAATGAATGAGGACTAGAACTAGGTACAGGATCGAACAAGCCAGGCAGGGCAGCCACCAAATCCCTCCCATCACATTAAACCAATCTTGTCGGTAGGTATCCAAATCCTACCACCGTCGCTATCTTTTGTCCTATATGATTAGTTATGCATCTACTCCCATTCCCATTCTCCACCCCATTTACTCAGAGGGTATCTCACCGAGTAGTAAAAAAAACAGGGATGAAAATCAGTTAGATGACTGATATGCAAACTTACTGCAGACTGTGGTAAAAAGTTGTGGTTCAACATAGTTGCTGTAATCAAACTCATCATATACAGAAACAACTAGCCATGTAGTTTGCTGGGAAGTCAAACTCAATCAAACAAGCTTCTTACCAAGAAAAGAAGAAACCCTAATGGCAGTTCCAACGAGAGATGGACCATCATCATCATCCCAAGTACAACTTCATCAGTCATATTCCTCTACCAATCTCTCCATTTTGCAGTGAACGACACATGAGTTGCTTCATTGCTTGTATACCACCAATAGTTTCGTTCTACAGGCATGCTAGAACTTTATACAATTCTCAATATCCTAAGTAAAAACAGAACACCTTCAGAAGAAGGAAGTACCTGCTAGCTGCTGTATCTCTTCTTCCAGGTCAGTTACACTACAGGTCACCAGAGTCAGACTTCACCTCAGATGGTACTTCTCGCTCTTTGATTAACTTGAGGCCGACATATCTGCCAAAAAAAAAATCGTTAGCAGAAAAGCCTGCAGTTTGTTTCTCAAATGAGATGGGAACTGATTGAATCTGTAGCGAAGCTATAGCTCACCTGCCAAGCATCATAAGAGTGGCCTGTGGATTGGTACCTGGCGAGATTGTCAAGGTTGAGCCATCAACGATCCTCAGTGACCGGATGCCGTAGACACGGTAGTCAGCATCCACCACTTTCCCCACCACGCACCCGCCGTGGTAATGCCATATGGTGCTCACAGTTCGTCGACAGAAATCCGCCATCTGCTCGAAATCAGACTGATCAACGGGCAGTGCGGGCCCGACAAACCTGAAATTCCTAACACCGTACCAGTCACGAAACCTGAAGTCCGCCATGGCACGGGTTCTCAGCACATCCCCAATCTTGCGGGTCCCGTTCACACACCTCTCCATGTCAATAGGGCTTGAAAAGTAGTTGAAACGCACAAGTGGGTTCATCCTTACATCTGTCGACGACAGCCTCAGATACCCAACAGATTGTGGCCCGACGATTTTCTCCATGAGAGTGGCCACCGTCAGGTACAGCGGCGCAGAGGGTGCCCTGATGAAGACAGAACGCGCAGGGGATACAAATGGGATAACGTTGGAGGCTGCCTCAACATATGCTCCAAGCTCGGTGATGCCAACCACTTGTATCAGCGAGTGTTCCAGTGGCACCGGGGGCACAAATGAGATCCCATTCCGAGGATTGTCATAGAGATACTGCCCTACATATGGAAGATGGTAGGCCACAGGAATCCCCCAGTAAGAAAGGTAAGGCCTTGGGCCAATCCCACTCAACAACAGCAGCTGAGGAGTCCCAATGGCACCAGCTGAGAGAATCACTTCCCCATTCTCACGCACCATGGCGTGATGATACTGCCCCACCCGATCTCGATACACCACACCGATGGCTGAAATTGCAGACCTCGAGCTTCCACGCGGGCCGCTGTATGCTAGCAGCACCCTCTCCACGCTTGCATAAACGGCCACATTTATGTTGCTGGCATTGGCATAGTTGAGAAGGTCAGCAGCGCTATGCCTCCTCCCTCTGCCATCGAAGGTAGAGCCTCCAATCTTAGTCCCCACCTCATGATCCAAACTGAAACCATTGTAAGGATCGACCCCAGCCTCCAACAGCCCATCTCTAACTGCTGATTGCCAGTTTCTAAGCTCCGGTCTAAAGACTATAGCCCTCTCAACCCATTCGTAGGACTCATTCACCACTCTTAGGTCCCAATTGGCTCCGGAATACTTGTAGAAATCTGGGTCTGCTCTGCTGTAGAAGCCGGCGTTTATCGTGCTGCTTCCCCCAAGAACTCGCCCTCTTGCGTTAGGGACACCTTCTTCCGAGATGAAGGATTGGGAAGCAGAGTCAAACGCGTCAACGTTTGTGAGTGTGGTCAAGAAGCCTTCCTGCGTCATCAAACTTGGTCTGCCGTAGGGAACTCCGCCGCGTTCGAGGAGAAGAACCTTGTAGGATTGCGATAACGTAGCCGCCAAAGGACAACCAGCAGTACCTCCCCCAACGATAACGTAGTCATAGTTTTCTTCTGATGGGAAGGCAGTGGCATTTGCTACGAACTTGAGATAACTAGGTTCTGCACAAACATTAATCGACGACCCAAATCAGAACCAATTAATTAGTTGTAACTTAATTGTACTGCTCCTGATCATGCAATTTAGTTGAAGTGCGAATTCTCTCTTTCAGGCATTTTCACAGTAACTGAGCAGGCAAATATAGAGCGATCATGAAGATCAAAATATCACACCCTATAATCAAGAGCATTAAACATGGACCAGTCCTGTTAGCTTCCAGAGAAAATAGAAGCAGTGGAAAAACGATTTGGCGAAGCTTGATTCAAGTAGAACATCAAAGGAATTGCCGTTCTGTTTGGCTTCCAGGAAAGCGATCGAAGAGAAAAACGAAGAAAGAAACAAAACGAGTTCTTCAAACCTAGAAGCAGATTTCCTAATCCAGCAACAAGCAAAATGAATCGATGAAGCCACGAACCAGAGGAACTGAATCGATTTCGAGATAAGGGAGGATCGGAGCAAGAAACTAAGCTGACCTCGTCCACGGCGGGGCCTCGCCTGAGAAACAGACGCAACAAGTAAGGAGAGCAGCAGCGCAGTCCAAAACCGCAGAAAAAATTGGATCCGTCGTTGCTTCATGATCCGCGCATTAACTGAGTCCTTCCCCTCTTTCGATTTTCTTGGGGGAGAGAGAATTTTCCCGGAGGGAAATGGAGAGATTTTCCAACTTGAACTCTCTGTTCTTCTTTCTGGGGAAAGGGTGGAGCATTGCAGAGAGAGGTTTTGGTTTTGTATTTTTGGTGGGAAATTCAGTTAGCAGCAGCCCGGGCCCACGGCTAATCGCCTCCGTTGGGCCGCTATCCAGTGCGCTAAGGTGTACGGTGCCCGTGCTTTGTTTTAGTCTGCCACGTGTAGGCTGTAGCTATTGCAATCCACTGTTTGGGTAGATTAAACAAACCACCCGCACAATCCAACCCGACCCACCTGACCAAAGAAAGGGTTTATGGGCGGATAAGGTTTATTTTGATTTTGAATCAATGACCCAGGGTTTCTCTTATCCCGACACCGACCTCGACCTCGACCTGTTGCAATCAGTGACGGTCCAACCACCAGCTCCGACGATCTCCCTCCTCAACAGCTGGCTGCCGCCGGTGGCTTCGTTTCGGAGGGAAACTTCTGATCGTCCTACGGTGGCCGCTGCAGGCCGATCCTTCTTTTCTTCTCCTGCTTGAGACCAGACAGAGTCCTGTCATGGGCATCGAATGCTTAGTTCTTGGTACGTTTACTTCGTCTGCTTTCTGCTCTCCAGTTTCCTACCTTAATGATTTTCTCATGCCGGCCGGTTGCAGGGGCCGGGCAGGAAATTGGGAAGAGCTGCGTGGTAGTAACAATCAATGGGAAGCGGATCATGTTTGATTGTGGGATGCACTTGGGTCACAGTGATGACGAGCGTTATCCTGATTTTTCTCTCATTGATGGCTCCCTAGATTGTGTCGTTATCACTCACTTGTAAGTGTGGCTCTAAGTTTCTGCTTGCCCTTTTCCTACTTGTTTTGCTACAATGATTCTTTTGATTTCCTGTGTGATGCTGGACTCTTATTGCAGTCATCTGGATCATATTGGCGCGCTTCCTTACTTCACTGAAGTTATTGGTTATAATGGCCCCATTTACATGACGGTAATTTTCTCATCAGAAAGTTAAATTACAGTGTTGATTATTTTCCTTGGTGGGAAGAGAAGGATAGTTTTGACAATAATTTCAGATTCTTCTTTGGTTCAAATTCTTGTGCTTAGCAGTATGTTTTTACCTCTGTAGTACCCGACAAAGGCGTTGGCTCCTTTGATGTTGGAGGATTTTCTGAGGATATCGGTTGGTAGGGGTGTCGAAGAGAAGTTTACTGCCGACGATATTTCTGCCTGCATGAAGAAAGGTATGGGTCCTTGGCCATTTTTAGCTTTGCATGGTTCTGTTCTATAGACCTCTGGTTTCTGTCAGTAAATGCATGTCTACTGGATAGTTGACAGTGAGTTCTGAACCGTCAATCAGTTCTGACATAGTTTGGTTGGCAAAGGGAAATGGTGATGACATTGTTAATTGTCTTAATGAATAGGATTCTATAAGGTGTTTTTTGCTTCTTTGTGCGTGTGACGCACCGTCATGCTCCTAGCAAACTAGAGGATTTGAAAAGTTTAGCTGCTGAACTAGTCTGCATGTCTGTGGACCTATGTGTGTTTGGATGTTCCAGAACCGATATGAATGTCCAACCATTCTTGGAATTCTGCTATGATTTCCATGACAGTCCACTGCTTCTGCAAGAAACAGTTATTAGCAAATGGGTTGGGGAGCATCAATCAAGTACTGTGTTGTGCTATAGATAAATTTATTTCTCGTTTGAGATGTCTTACTGCAACTAGCAACTCATTGCCAAAACTTGTAAAGGCAAATTTTTCCTTAATTTGTGAATTCATTTTAACTTACTACAATATGAAGTTTGACAGTTATTGCCTGAGTTTTCATGAATATATCATACGAGCTGTACTCTCCGGAGTTTCAATTTGTGTCAGACTGCCAAATGTATTTAATGTTTCCTAATTTCCCTTATGCAGTCACCCCAATTGATCTGAAACAGAATATACAAGTTGGCAAGGATCTTCAAATTCGTGCGTACTATGCAGGACACGTAAGATTAAAATTTACCCTTAGGTAGATGTGTTACATTCAGTTTGTAAACTTTTGTGTTATGTTAATACCTCTTATTCCCTCAAGGTTCTTGGAGCTGCAATGGTTTATGCAAAGGTAGGAGATGCATCTATGGTCTACACAGGTGACTACAATATGACTCCAGATAGACATCTTGGGGCTGCACAAATTGATCCACTCGAACTAGACCTTGTTATAACAGAGTAAGTGGTCTTTATGCAATGTAGTGTCTCTGTTTAAATGCTGGGCAACTTATTCATTTCTAGCGGTGGACTATTGTACTTTTATTATAATAAAGGAAACCAGCTCTTCCAGATCTCAATTGAAATCGCTCCTTTTGATCAGATTTGATATGTGCTTAACAGGTCTACCTATGCAACGACTGTACGTGATTCAAAACATGCTAGTGAGAGGAAGTTTCTGAAAGCTGTATGTATAAGTAACAACTCTATCATATTTCTTATAATCCACGACTTCTTCCATTTCACTGATCAAGATGTTGTATCCTTCATTGACATACTTGCCAAGCTAGAATGGTTAATTGGTACTACTACACTATCACCATTAGCAAAAAAAATTGGTACTATCTACACTTGCTCTTTATTATGATTGAAAACACCATGACGTTAGACAGATAAATTTCTAGGAATAGTGGATACACATATAAATTGTGGAAATTTGGAGCTTGGGAAAACTCTGGCTCTGGAATGTTGTGCTTCATTGTACTATAACGGTTCGAATTGCTCTACATAGAGACGGGAATTGGTTGATTGATCACTACAGGGTTATTCATGGATTAAGAAGAGATCAGTGCAGTCCATGTTTCATAGCATAGAGGTTCTGCGCGGACTATAATTGTTTTTGATAGAGAGCAAACGCTTATCAATCCCTTAAGAAATAGGCTTATTGATCCACAACTGTTTTGTTGAACTAAAGGAAAACCCTTCCAACTACTGGCTTTTATAGAACTTGAGATATTACTGAAATCTTTTTCCGTGTCTAGAAGCAATGCATCATTGCCAGGAAAGAAAGCCATCAATGTCCCGTGACGCCAAAATTTTGTGCATCTTGCATAATTAAATCTAGTATGTGTTCTGCCTTTTATATGTAACTAACGCTTTACTGCATGTTTATAACTCTTGAAGAGTTCCAGTGTCCAAATTAATCCAAATTTGCCTCCCTTGAAAAAGTACCAACTGAAATTGCTCATGTAGGTTCATGACTGTGTTGTTGCTGGAGGAAAGGTCCTGATTCCTACATTTGCACTTGGAAGAGCTCAGGTACAAGGCCATGAGAAATTGAGAATGCATTGACTAAGCTTGGCTGATTATTTCCATAACCATCAGATACCTTCGATGTTGTATCTAGCATTGATCTGAATTTATGGTTCTCTCTAACAGATACGGTTATAAAGTGGTTTTTTTATTCTATGTTTCCATGCAATTCAATTCCTTATTGTACTCTCATTCGTTGGATACAATATCTTTAATTAGGAGCTGTTCATTTTGCTGGAAGACTACTGGGAACGTATGAATCTGAAGGTTCCTATATATTTCTCATCAGGTAGATATTGTGCTCTTCGTTTCCTGAAAAGCATTCATGTTTCGTAATTTCTTCTTTTTATCTTTTTATTTTTCCAAGCTTGAAACACATCTCGCTTTCAATAGCCTGCTGTTCTTTTAACACTCAACCCATTCTTCCTACCCGATTCTGAGTTTTCGACATACCCTTAAATAGCCTATCATCCGTATGGCAAAAGCTATTCATAATGCTATTTCTTTTGCCCTGCAGTTTTACATTGTTCTGATTGAACTATATACTTCTTTCAGGTTTGACCAGGCAAGCTAATATATACTACAAGACCCTTATGAGCTGGACCAATCAGAAGATCAAAGATACAATTGCACTGCAGAATGCATTTAATTTCAAACATGGTACTACCTGCAGTTTGCATTTTTCGGTTGATAACTTCTGTTGGTGTAGGAATGTTAATTGTGGTATTCTCTGGATCAAATGTGATGTACTCAAACTATACAAGTTTGTGGATAATATGATCTGGTTCTGGTTCATTTACAAATACTTGTGTCATTATTTGGATCCAAAATCAATAAGACTATGCTGCTAATTGTTTGAACATCTATAACTTCTTTACTTCTCTGATTTCTACATTGTTCTGGCTTTAGTTGTCAGTTTTGATCGGTCACAGATAAATGCTCCTGGGTCTTGTGTTCTCTTTGCCTCGCCTGGAATGCTCTCTGGTGGCCTTTCACTGGAGGTCTTCAAGCAGTGGGCTCCTTCCAAGGTGAATCTTGTGATGCTGCCTGGGTAACAATCTAACATCATGTATTATTTATATTGATTGGACATGTGAGAAAAGACTATTCTCTTGAGTTGAATTTTAAAAATAAATTCATCATTCTTTCGTCCACACAGTGTTAGCTTCTCTTGCAACAGGTGGATGAGGCAATTGTGTGCATGTTTTGCTCTTGAAATGTTATCTGATGATTGTTCCAATATCTGAAGCCTCCCTATGACATGAATGTGTAAAGCCGTAGACTTAAGATGAACCTTGAAGAATTGTTGTTTATTTATAGTAGCTATCTTTTAATGAGGCAATAATTGTCCATATTTTTCAGGCACTGTGTAGCTGGAACGATAGGACACAAGCTTGCATCCGGTAAACTAACTAAACTCTATGTGGATAATAATAGCCAAATAGAAATCCGTTGTAAGGTATGATGGTTCCTGGTATCTATTCAATTTTCTTTTCCGAGAAGCTATTTGCCTATATTGCAGTACTCTTGCCAATGTTCTGAATATACAGTATTCCTCGATTTGTGTTTGTGTTCCCAGAACGTCAATTTGTCTTTCAGTGCACATACTGATTCCAAAGGAATTATGGATCTCCTGAAGTTTCTGTCTCCCAAGCACGTGATGCTAGTGCATGGTGAGAAGCCCCGTATGTCCATTCTGAAAAATAAGATAGAGTCTGGAATGGGAATCAAGTGCTATGATCCACCAAATGGTGGGGTGGTGAAGATTCCTTCGGTCACCGTCCATGTGAAAGCTCAAACCACAGATTCATTTGCCAAGAGTTGCCAGAGTCCCAATTTCAGCTTGTCAAGATGTTCCACATCGGGTGCAGTTTTTTCAACAGACCTCACCTCGCCGCTGATCGTAAGCGAAGATAGAATTAGTGAAGCTATCTTATTTATGGATAGAAGCAAGGCGAGAGGCGTACACAAGGAGGAGCTGGAGCTGATTGGGTCGGGAGAAGGAAAGCCCCAGGTGGTTCTGTATGGCCATTGCTTTCCAATCAGAAGCGATAACTTAACGAAGGCAACAGGTAGGCTCGGGCTTTCTGGTAACCGCTCTTGGCTCAAGGTGCTAGCCTTGGAACTGTCACATTTGTTTCCCCAAACCAATGTCCAGAATATGGGAGATTTTCTCCAAGTGGGTTCGTTTCAACTGTCTGTGTGCCTGAATCAGAGCTGCACTCGTCGATCATCTGATGTTCCGGGGGTTCACGCAACGACGTGCACATATCTTTGCTGCAGTTGGTGCATGGAAGACGAGAAGTTGGCTTTGGCGATCATTTCATCAGTCAGAAACAGTCTTTAAGAATTCAAGGTGGTGATGCTGTTCATTCGTAGGGTTTGCAGTGTTTGTTGGAATTCTTCTGCATACATTATTTACATCCATACTTAGTCTCTGTAACCTGTACGCGATTTGGTCTCTGACTGACTCAACTATTGACTCAGCCCTATGGCGTCTCTTTTCTTCTTCAGCTTTACTATTTGCTTGCATGACCATAGTTGTGTCCTTAATTCTGACCGACTCAACTCTCCAGATTTCATATGCAGTTAGATGAATTTTAGGGGTCGTTTGGATGTGGAAATCTAAAGAACAGGAGGATAGATGGGGCGATTCAGGTGAGATCCAACGTAGATCCAACTTTCTATTCACGTAGGAATTGGCTTTAATTTCCACATCATAGAAAACCTTGGAATTGACTAATGGAAATTTACCAAAATTCCATGTTTGGATAGAGTTATGAGATGTGGGAATTACTGGTATGAGAATCTTCCAAAGTACCAAAATACCCTTCAACCCTTTCTACACAACTCATTCTCAATCCTCAAACCTGAGGCCGATCAGCTTGATGGGTAGCCTGAACAAACTCATCAGCAAAATTTTGGCTCGGAGGCTTAGTCAAGTTCTCCCGAAGTTGGTCTCTTCCTACCAGCAGGCTTCTATCCGTGGCAGGCAGATTTCGGAGGCTGCGCTGATTGCCTTTGAACTTTTGGACAGCAGAAAGAGAAGTCGCAGACCCGGGTTAATTTTTAAACTAGATATCGAGAGGGCCTTTGATTGTGTGAGTTGGGGCTGCCTTTTCAAGACCCTTGCTGCTATGGGTTTCCCCAGGAAATGGTGCGATTGGATGAGAGGGACCATGTGCTCTCCGGTCATTTCGACCATTATTAACGGGGAGGCTAAAGGATTTTTTAACACAGGGAAGGGTCTTCGTCAGGGGGATCCTCTCTCCCCTGGGCTGTTTACTCTAATCATGGAGCTGTTATCCACTATATTATCTAAACTCAGAGAAGTTGGCAAAATCAGAGGGTTCTTCATGAACGATATTGGTAGGGAAGGGGAAGTCACTCACCTGCTGTTTGCGGATGACACGCTGATTTTTTGTGAAGCCTCCGTGGACCAAGTTCTTTATATCCTTTCTGCTCTGGTCTGTTTCCAAGCAGTTTCGGGGCTGAAGATCAACCTCGAAAAATCGATGATGATTGCGGTTGGTGATGTCCCTAATCCGGATTATCTTGCTGCTGTGTTTGGATGTAATTGGACCAGGGACGCTGTGAAATACTTGGGGTTTCCGCTTGGGGCAAAAGTTAACTCTGCTGCAATTTGGGATCCGATTATTGAGAAGATGGAAAGTCGTCTGGCGGGTTGGAAAGGGCGTCTCCTCTCGCTTGGGGGTAGGCTGGTTCTTAACAGTGCGGTTCTGAATAGTCAACCAGTGTACTTCTTCTCGTTATTTAATGCTCCTAGAGGTGCTATCCAGAAAATGGAGAAGATTCAGAGAAGATTCATCTGGGGCGGCACTGATGTGGATCGGATGATTCCGCTTGTCAAATGGGACCTGTGCAAAGCATCAAAGGACAATGGTGGGTTAGGCATAAAGGACCTCCATTGTTTGAATCAAGCACTCTTAATCAAGTGGTTGTGGAAATATGCCACCGATCGGGGCAGCTGGTGGAGAGAGTTAATCTCAATTAAATACCCTGCTGATTCGGAGTGGCAGAGCAAAAGATGCAGAAGTGGCTTTGGGGATTCCGTGTGGGCTAACATAACAAAAGAATATGAATCGTTCTGGAAAGTGTGTCATATTGATCCTGGCGGTGGGGATTGGGTCTCTTTTTGGAAGGACTGCTGGATCCCAAATCATGTCTTGGCGGATTCTTTCCCGAGAGTCGCTGCCGTTGCTGCCGATCCTGATGCCTGGGTGTCTGACCTCGCCAACAATACAGGTACGCATCTCGAGTGGAACATTACTCTGAACTCGACTTTGAGAGGGGGGGCAGAGAGGGAGAGGGTGGACTTTTTTAATCTTATTAATTCGAATGCGGTTAACCTTGTTCCTTGTGGTCCTAGTAGGATTGTTTGGTCCCACAATTCGGATTGTGGGCTGTCTGTTAATCGATTGTACAGGGAGCTAAGTGGTAGCAGATTCCCAGGTGTGAGAACTTTTCCGAATGAGTCGGTGTGGAGGAGGTTTGTTCCGCACAAAATCAGGGCGTTCATGTGGCTGGTCGCGCACAAGAAGATCCTCACGCTGGATAACCTGCAGAGGAGAGGTTGGATGCTGGCCAATCGATGTTACATGTGTCTCAGTGCGGAGGAGAGCATCAACCACTTGCTTATTGAGTGTGAATTCGCCAAGGAAGTTTGGAGTGTGTTTGGCAGAGTGTGTTTCAATTTAGCCCCGCCGACAGGTGATATCTTAAGGGCCCTTAATGGTTGGAGCAGCGATCCTCCTGATAGCCTCGCTGGTTGGATTGGCTTTTGTGCTCTTCATGTGATTAGCTGGCAGCTGTGGCTTGAAAGAAACAGCCGGGTTTTTAAGGATAGGTGCCTCGGTGCTGCTGATGTACTTAAGAAAGTCATTCTGCTTATTGTCGATTGCCTGATTGCCCACGGCAAGATTAGCAGAGAGGAGGGCAAGGGGTGGTTGTTGGCTTTCCGACGCAGCTTGGAGTCCCCTCACGTCTTCGATTAGCTGCTGTGATGGGGTTTGGTCGGTTGGCGTGGGCCTGCTGCTGTTGGGATCGTGCTGGGGGCCATCTGGTTTTGTTCGGCTCATCTGCCCTTTCTGTTGCTTTTGTTTTCGTTTTTGTTTTTGCTCTTTGTGGCTGGGCTTGGGCTTTCCCTCGCAGAGCTTCCGTTTTTTTGGTTGTTTCCTGTGTGCTGCACCTCTTGTGCAGCTGATTGTACAAGACTATGTTTCTTTCCTCAGCTTTCCTTTAATGCAATCTTCACCTTCATCAAAAAAATCCTCAAATTTTTTGAACTAACTACAACAAAACATGCTTAATATGAATATTAATTCAATCCTCAAAAACGTGGTAATTGGCAATTCCGGGCTGGGGGTGTAGTATTTCCAATTACTGCAATCATGGGATTTTAACCAAATTCCCACGACCTAATTTCCATATGCTTTGGGCTAGCCAAACATGGGATTGTAACTCAATTACATCATTATGTGGGAACGTGGACCAATTCCCACACCCAATTCCCACATCCAAACGACCCCTTAATGTTTTCTAATAAATGCTTTGTTGATCGTATTTTGGCTCAAGTCAACCTTAATTCTGAACCAATTTAATGAATTCGACCTAAACACATCATGGATTAGAAGGGTATTAAACTAGTTTCTATTTTAGAATACACCTGAAATTTCCTCATGGTCCAAAGTTGTGTGTATGTACTTAAATGAGAAATTAACTCCAAGGTTAAGAGTTAATCTAGGTCTTCCCAAGTTGATTAAGGTTTTGGAAACAATAATAGTGTACTTCCTAGTTTGCCCGGCTTCGGCTTTATCTACTACTCTACAATTTTGGCTGAGTGACGACTTCGTTAAAAAAGAAGGACGATCAATTTATTAATAATTAAGAATAAGATCACTCTGTAAATTCATCAGAAAAGAAAAAGTCTATAACTTGAACAATTTGAGTTGATGAGTGCGATTCCTTAAGTTGTTAGTGAATTTTTTTTGTTGACAAAATTAGTGAAAGTTGTTGTTCACAAAAATGTATCCTACAAATCCACACTACTATGATATTTTGTCCTAAAAATAACCTTGTAGTCAATTTATTGTAGATCTAAATGAATTAATAATTACGAAATCATTTTTAGGCATTAAATATTTACATGTATTCATGTTTTTGTGTTCTGATAATGAATTCCATAAAAGCATAAAAGAAGGGGATTTTTATTTTGCGATTTCCACATTTTCTGACCGTGACCCTCCTTCAATCCACATTTTCCACATCACCCACCCCGCTTAATAAAGAGACTAATTAAATAAAAAAATAACTAAAGCCTAAAGGAAGAATAATATTAAAAAAAGGGGAAGTCCTCTCCGCCTCTCCCTTTCGCTTTCTTTTCTTGCCTTTTATATATTTTTTTCCTCCCTTCATTTCTCTCTTCCCAGAATCTTCTCTCTCTCTCAAAAGAGGAAAAAATCAGAATCCGTCCAACCCAGAAACCAAAGGCTTTTCTCTTCTTTGCTTCCTCCTTTTCATGGAGTTTGTTTGATCGGGAAATTCACGCGAAGCTGCCGCCGCCGCCTGCATTATATTCCCTCCACCAGTGATTCCGATTTGCTTTTACCTTTTCCTCCACCGCCATCGCTCTTCCCCGAGCACAGAAGAAAGAACGATAAGCAAGAAGACAAAGAAGCGGATATCTCTCAGGTAGCCGACGAAGGAAATCGGGAGTAAAGAAAGGAGAAGAAGAATCTGCTCTGCCGCCGGAGTCATGAGACCGATTCAGCCTCCACCAGGTACCGCCGCCACCGTTGCGGCTGTTCCATCTATGGCTAATCAGAAAGCTCGCAGGCGTCCTAACCTAAGCCTGCCTCTCCCGCTTCGGGAGTCCAAGATCGCCGTCCCGCTCCCTCTCCCGCCGCTTACCGCCTCCGCAACGTCCACCAGCAGCCAGCAGCAGCAGCAGCAGGCGACGACGCACCAGGTAATCGGCTTCTCCGAGCTCGACCGGATCAACCGGATTGGGAGCGGCAGCGGGGGAACCGTCTACAAGGTGATTCACAGGCTCAGCGGGAGGGTTTTCGCGCTCAAGGTGATCTACGGGAACCACGAGGACTCCGTCCGGAACCAGATCTGCAGGGAGATCCAGATTCTCCGAGACGTCAGCCACGCCAACGTCGTCAGGTGCCACGATATGTACGATCACAACGGCGAGATCCAGGTCCTGCTCGAGTTCATGGACGGCGGAGCGCTCGAGGGGGCTCACATCGCTAAAGAGGACGATTTGGCGCACGTCGCGCGCCAAATCTTGAGCGGAATTGCTTACCTCCACCGTCGGAAGATCGTCCACCGCGACATCAAGCCTTCCAATCTGCTGATCAATTCCAACAAGCACGTCAAGATTGCCGACTTCGGGGTGAGCAGGGTGCTGGCCCAGACCATGGACCCTTGCAACTCCTCCGTGGGAACCATTGCTTACATGAGCCCGGAGAGGATCAACACGGACTTGAATCACGGCCAGTACGACGGCTACGCTGGGGACATATGGAGCTTGGGGGTGAGCATATTGGAGTTCTACTTGGGTAGGTTCCCATTTGCGGTGGGCAGGGGAGGCGACTGGGCAAGCTTGATGTGTGCTATTTGTATGTCGCAGCCGCCGGAGGCTCCCGTGACTGCTTCCAGGGAGTTCAGGGATTTCATTGCTTGTTGTTTGCAGAGGGAACCAGGGAGGAGGTGGACGGCAGTGCAGTTGTTGAATCATCCTTTCATAGCGAGGGGCAATGGAGGCCAAAGAGATGGGAGCCAGAACCTGCATCAATTACTGCCTCCTCCACGCCCGCTCTCATCGTAGTATTGGCTTCACCAACCCAACTTTTCTTGATACCGGTTATCCTTCTTGATCATTTTGGGGTTTACCTTCGTCTTGCTCGTATTATCAGGGAAATTTTTCTTTCCAATTGCCATTTTTACTCCTATTCTGTAATTTTTGATATGGTGGGTCGGATTTGATTTTTAGGAGGACATGGTTGGAAATGAATGGTCGAGCTTAATGTTGTGTTAGATGGATCGACTTTGAATCAGAATCAAATCAGTTCATGATTACAATGTATGTTTACCATGAAAAGTAAAAAAAGGAAACTGAACTTTCTGCTATGATTGCCACCTGAATTATGCTTTTGCTAGTTATGTATGCTTTCTGTTTCGAGTTTCATTGTGCCTTTTTGTTTCATGGGATTATTTCTGGCAAATTTTGGATTTTGGATAGTAAGTGTTACCATTTTAGCTACACTTTTAGGATGACATATTTAAGGGGAGATTCAAATAACAGCTGGTCTACTACTTTTGGGTCATTCTTATCAGTATTAGAGTATATACATGGATCTAATTCTAGTTTCCCTCTTCTGAAGAGTGATCTTTGTACTCAATTGCTCCTTTCTGACTATCTTTCATTCGTTCTGTTATCGTTCGTGTGGCTAGTCTGATTCTATTCTTGAATTCTTGTAGGAGCAAAATTGTTAGATCCAGTCTGCATCTCTATCTTGATTATGATGTTTGATAATCTATGTGTCCTCAGTGGGTTCATTACTCAAACCTTAAGTGTGTAGTGTGGAGGATTTGCCTTTGCCCTGTGTTTAAATGGTTAGTTTTTCATCTGCTGCATTTCATCTTGATTATCAATCCTTTCATTATTACATTAATTCCCCTGTTCGCTTACATTGGTTGTATAATCTGAATCTGATTGATTGGGTTTTGTTAGGATTATAGGTCATTTAGATTCATGTCGTGTGTGCAATGGTAGTTGATGGAACTGCATCTGTTCTTACGTATATGGCTGTAAATGGTAACTGTCAACTCATGTGATGATGCTACAATTTGGTCATTTATAGATACCGGCCTGAATGTTGGTGGTAGTCAATCATGCATGGAAATTTTTTGCTTGGTAGATGTGTGCTTCTGCTTCTGGTTTATTTTAGGGATGGCAATTTACCCACCCATGGGTAATTTTGCCCAAACCCAAGTAGACCCATTTATTATGGGTAGGGTTTGGGTGATGTGTGTATGGGTTTGGGTTTGATATGGATATTATCTAAATGGGTATGGGTTGGATATGGATATCCATTTACTTGAGGGTGTTTTAACTACACATGCAAAAATTGGACCTATTTGTAAAACTTGAAAAGTTTAGGTACCAAATTGTAAGACCAAAAAAATTTAGGTACCAAAACGTAATTTTCCATCGATATTTTGAGGACTTATATGCAAAAAAAATTAAATTTAGGTACTAAATATGCATATCTATTAAGTTTAGGTACCAAACTGTAATTTGTATTTGGGCATGGGTACAAACCCAAATCCATTTGTTATAAACCCAAGCCAACCCAAAGTAAATGGGTATGGGTACAAACCCATCAAACTTTACCCATATCCATATATTTGGATTTCATACCCAACCCAATTGGGTTGGATAGTAAAATACCCATGGGTATGGGCAAAATTGCCATCCCTAGTTTATTTCCCCTTCTGAAGAGGGTGAGCCTGTTCTGGTGTTTGAAGAACATGAGACTAATAAGTCACTAGACTAGCGTGGCCCCGGCCAGTTGGCCGGAGGAAGGTGAGGTATGAAATTTGAGAATGTAGTAAGGTGTATAGCTTTTTGTTGTATATTCTTTTTGGGAAACACGTTATAAAGATAGTGCATTTTAGCAGGAAAGCGGCATGGATGATGCAACGAATCAACAATCAGCCTTATGAACCAAGTTCGAGCACCTATTACCTTATGAAACAGTATTATTTCTGGTAATATGATGAGGTGGAGTAAAGTTTATAGAACCGAATAAAAAATTGCCTATAAAATACATTATAATTTAATCATTATGATATCAAATAATTACATAATATATATTTGAAATTATAAAAATTAGACTAATCTGGTTGATCGAGGATGAACCATTTTAATAACTTTAAAATACATTATATTTAGGCACTCAGATGTTTTAGAATGACAAACCCATGATGTTCATTTGTTTTACTTGATGGCCAAATCCCGTATGGGTCAGGCCTATTCAACTCTTTTATTCTATGGTTAGCGGTTAGCCCATTAGAATTCATGCATATTTTTATTGTTAATTTTTTTTCTTTTTAGCAATACAAAAGAAGTATTGTTTTTGCCATTTCGTATATATCTTACCAACACCGAGGAATAAAAAAGGATTAAAGGAACCCCTATATCCCTAGAAAAAGCTTCTCAGTGCTCACCGGCACATGGTTCACTTCTCTCTCTCGATCTCAATTATATCACCACCGATAGTCACTTCTCCCCATCCTCGTTTTCCTGATGTTAATTTTAGCTCTGCAAACCTTTTCCCTGCATGTCATTCTCTCCCCGAACCTCAATTTCAACTATCCCCTCTCGGTCTCTGTTTTTCATTTCTTAATCTGCCCTTCTCTTACCACTTGTTTAAACCCCCTCTTTGTCTATCTTCTATGCTAGTTTAACCAAAGAAGAGAAAGCCACCAATCTTCAATAAATACTGTATTGTTACAGTGAAGTGATATTGTGGATTTCTTTGTCACTTATCTGTTAGAGTTTACAAATGATGAAAAGGGGTGGTTGATTACAATTTGATTAGAAAACATTTCAAATCATAAAAATGATGATACTGAAAAGGAGTATCATAACAAAGCAACAAAAAGTATAGTTATTTATCTTTAATCAGCTCAAAAGTCAACATAGAAGATCAACAAAATGAACTGATGTTAAGAGTTCATATATTACTATCAAAGAAACTAAATAACCCATCAGTAAGCTCTCCAAGCAAGAACACTCAACCTTTACATGTTTACCCCTCCAAAAATTGCTTTGCGTAACAATATAGGTGGAGGAGGTTAGGCGATTGTCGAGTCCGATGGGAAGGTTTGGACAGACGCTGATAGTTGAGCCTTTAGTAGGACGGGAGCCCGGGACACTATTTATCTTTAATCAACTCAAAAGTCAACATAGAAGATCAACCAAATGAACTGATGTTAAGAGATTACACATTACTGTCAAAGAAACTAAATAACCCACTAGTCAGCTCTCCAAGCAAGAACACTCAATCTTTCCATATTTACCCATCCGAAAATTGCTTTGCGTAACAATATAGGCGGAGGAGGTTAGCGGTTGTCGAATCCGGTGGGAAGGTTTGGAGAGACGGCGATGGTTGAGCGTTTAGTATGTAGGTCGGGACACCATTTAGACCTATTTACATTAGTTGCGGCTTTTCAATCCGCATTCGACAAATTAACATCACTCAACCTTTCCATATTTACCCCTCTTTTAAAAACACATGTGCCACATATTCACTCAAAACTTCTATGTTCAAAAATATTGTTGATTTATGGTAGTTATATTATTTAAGCTATGTCAAGAATTTTGCCTCGCTTCTACACATTCTATACTGCAATTCGATGTGCAATATTTGCACCAATAACATTAGGCTTGCAATTATAAAATTATTCTCCTTTTATAAAATAAATAAAAATAGAATTGATTATTAAACTCGAATTAAAATAATCAAAGTATGAAAATAGAAGTATCAAATACCAAAAAATTATTTAGGGGAGAGTTAGTGGCTTAGCTAACTATGATGGAAAATTCCAATGATTTTTCAGATTTGAGCTTCTTGTATATTTTTAATTTAAAATTTTTAAACAAATTTGTTTAGTGTAACTGATTAAGTTTCTTGTCTTTTCTCAAAGAGATCACAATTCAAATCCCATCACTTATGTATTTTTCCTGTAAATAAGAAAATAATAAATGACTATGAAGACGAATCTATCCTTTCTACTTATGCTATGGATGCAAGGATTTTGTAATGGGGGGAGCACCTTTCACATTTCACTCTTATATTAGGTGTAGCAAAAGTAACCCGGTGGTTGAGTGTTTAGTTGGTCGGACACTATTTGGGTCCGTTTACATTAGTAGCACATTTTCCATTTGCGTTGGGCAAACCAACAACACTCAATCTTTCCTTATTTATCCCTCCAAAAATTGCTTTGGCTTAATAATAGAGGTAGAGGAGGTTAGCCGGTTGTTGAGTCTGATGAGAAGTTTGGAGAGACGATGATGGTTGAGTGTTTAGTGGGTCGGGAAACTATTTGGGTCCATTTACATTAGTAGTGTTTTTTCCATCCACGTTCGGCAAACCAACATCACTCAACATTTCCATATTTACCCCTCTCTTAAAGACACATGTGCCCCATATTCACTCAAAAGTTATGTGTTAAAAATATTGTTACTTTATGATAGTTATAACAATTAAGTCTATGTTAAGAATTCTACATCACTTCTACAAATTCAAGAGTGCAATTCGATATGCAATGTTTGAATCAATGACATTTCGGTTGCTAACCTTGGTGGAAAACTCCTATATTTTTCCAGATTTAAGCTTCCTGTATGTTTTTAATTGCAAAAGATCACACAAATGTGTTTATTGTAACTGGTTGTGTTTCTTATCTTTGTTCAAAGAGACCACGGTTCAAATCTCATTACTGTTGTATTTTTTCTGTAAATAAGAAAATAATAAGTGATTGTGCAGACGAATCTATCCTTCCTACTTTCACTCTGAATGCAGGAAATTTGAAATGGGGCTTCAAGTTTTCTCATTTGGCTTTTATTTATTGTGTAGACTAACTAAAATGTTCTCCTCATTCTGAGATTAAAGCTTTTGCGATCTGTTTTGTTCGAGTTATTGATGTGATGATGACTAGGCTGGAATCTGGATGCAGCTACCAGGAAGGAAACTGTACCTTGTGTAGTATCATGGGCTATGGGCCCTTTTCTTTTACTGCTATACCTAACGTGGTACTCTATGTTCGGGCTTCAAAATTTCTAATTTTGGACTTCGTAGCATTGTTGTGAAACCCGGCCCGGCCCGGCCCGGATCAGATGTTTTGTTTCATTTTATTGAGCCCGATCAGATGGTTAACCAGTCAAATTGACCGGTTTTGGGCAATTTTCTTTTTGATGGGGAAGTAATTAGGTGGGTTCGGGTTGGATTGTAAGAAAATCATGTCCCCCCATTATCCGCAACACTCGGGTTCGGATTTTACCCGTACCCGCAAAAAAATCCCTTTAGTTTCGGGTTTTACCCTACCCGATTAGGTCGGATTCGGACGTATATCCACGATTACATATATTTTTACCATCCCTAAACTCGGATATCTCACAATATTTTTTTTCCTATAAATTGTAAGTGAATGATTTTTCTAAACGATTTTGGTTGTTCATTTTTTTTTTTAGTTATCTCTCACTAATTCGGATCGATATTCTGTCCGGATTTTGACAACATTATTTGTAGGGGGGATGAAGGAGCTTCGAATTGTATAATAGTTTACACATTAGTACATTACACTCTTGCCTTCCATCCACCTTCTGTGTTATAATTTGTTTATTGGATCCATTACTAGTTTACTACATTCCGGGAACCAGGGAGGGATTTGGACTTGGACAAGAAGACAATTTCGCACGTAACATCCTTGTTTATAGATGTATCACAGCTCAGCATATCTTCAATGAAGCTTCCTTCGGTTCCCCATTCTTTTTTTGGATGAACATTCGGCTTCCCTTCTTGTCTCCAGCTTTATTTCGATCACGAATCTAGCTATCTTCTAGTAGGGGCAAATAGAAGGATCATTGTTATGCGTTTTTAACCGTTTGATTTAGAATTGATGCTAAACTCGTTCATATTGTCAATTTTTGCATTTTTATATACCGATTTATTATACATGATCAACATTAGACTTCGGGGTATTGACCGAGGGGCGGTGGGCTACCGTAGCTGTCCATATTTGAGAAACATCCATGAATGTTCTTTGGAAACTCAATAGTAACAACCATAAAGGCTACCCATCATTGACTTCACACCTTCTCAACAAATTTCCACCTTAATAATCTCTTTTTTTCCCCGTTAAATTCGATTATAGTTTCATCTTAGCAAAATTAACTCATGCTAAAGCGTCAAGTCATAGTCTGGATCTTTGATCACTCATAAACTGAAAAAAAAAAACCAGTGTGTGGTGCGGCAAGAGATTAATAAGACATCATTGGAAAGAATTTCGATGTAGTTTGAACGAATTTTGCTTTCAATATCCAAACAATCAGTGTATATTTCCAAGTTCCAACAACAGCCAAAGAGAATTCCGAATTACAATTTCAATACCCAAAGAAAAAGAAATGGACCAGACCAGTGGACCGAGTTAGAGTGAGAACAAAAAAAAGAAAAAAAGGGTCAAAATCCAGCAGCAGCAGCGTCTCTGAATTCCTCTTCGATGGCTTCCTCGAGCCAAGCCCTGGAATCGCTCATCAACTCGGGGCTCAATCTGAACATGAGAACGCAAAACTCCATCTGATTCAACGCGCCGTCGCCGTCCATATCCCCTTCCTTGACCATCCCGGCGATCTCCCCGTCCGACAAGTCCTGGAGACCCAGAACGGCGGCGTTTCGTCTCAGGCTCTCCGTCGTGATCACCCCTTTGTCCTTGTCCATCAGCAGCTGGAACCCATTGCAGAGCTCCTTAATTAAACCTTCCCCGCCTAACTTGTCGGCCATCACCGGCAGCAGATCTTCGAACTCCCCTCCGGCTTTCGGCGCCATTTTTGGAATTGGGGGAAAACGAGATGAAATGGTTGGAATTGGGATTGGGAATTGAGAATTGAGAATTGGGTGTTTGAGGAGGAATGGTGGGGGGGAATTGTTGGTTATATAGTTGGGGAAGGGAAGAAAGGGTGAAGGAAAGGGGAAGAAAGTTCGAGGAAATGGAAGGGAGGGAAAGGGGGCGGCAATTGGGCAGTAGATGACAGAGGATGGAGGAGGGACAGGCAGTAAATGAGCTGGTCGGGTCGCTATTCTTAATTCTTGGGTTCAGCCCACGCGATTCTCTCTTTTTGACTTTGTAAAAAAAATGGAAGCAGGGCGCAGCGCAGCATTGTTTTCGCGTTCGTTCCCACTGCTCCGACATCGGAATCAACTGTCAGCGGATGAAATGCTGCCGGAGGAGTGAGCGCGGACGGCGACGACGAACCTAGGGAACGTAATGATGGGTAATAATTAACGAAGTTGTTATAAATTACGAAAACCATCATTAAATTTTTCGTCGGCAATCAATATTTTGTTAGATATAAACAACACAAAGATCTTAAACAACTTAAGAATGCACTGACTGACACTAAACGTCTCTTGATCTGATTCTGAACACTATCAAAATCCAGGCCCATTGGGCCCAGACATGTATTGGATTCTGGATAGTTCTTTCTTGCTTTCATCCACCGAGATGGTATTTCCTCCAGGACTAGCAAAATCCAGGCCCATGTTCCATGACTATAGCAGCCATTTGGGCCCGTGGCATCCACTGGTCCGCAAGCAAATCTCAGGTCCCAACGTTTCCCAATCGCAAGGAATGTCCGTCTGTCCAGACGGGGCGAAGCAAACGTCATTTTTGTCTGTGTATCGAGGCGGGCTACCACCAAAATCAACCTCTTCCCGCAAGCAAAGCCAAGAAAGAGGCGGCAAACCGCAATGCACAAATTTCCCATCAGTTTCTTCTGCTGAGACTCACCGGAGATTCGTCGGAGAGCAGGCTGCCTTCGCCTTTGCCTCTATCGTCGGCATTTGATGACTAGTCGAAACAATTTTCCAGAAAACTCTAGCCCTGGTTCCCCGCTCAATCCGCTCATAACTAACCTCCGTCAAAATCCGAAACCCTCGCATTTCTACGACTAAACCGCGCCGCCGGCTCCTCCCGTCGCGCCGTCGCCGCCGGTGCCTATCTTTTGAACAGGTGGAACTCGTTGTTTCTCGTCTCGCCGTGCCTCCAACTCCCCGGAAATCGCTTGATTCATCGGAACCGTCCAATCAAGTGTTCCTGTTTCTCCGAGGCCGCATGCTAATTTGAATATGGTTCAAATTTCATTCCCAGATCCAGAGAGGATCTCGATTTGACAGTGGTCCGCTAGTGGGCGCTCACGTTCCTAGTTTCCCCAAAGATTTGGTTGCATTCGTTTGTCACTGGTGGCTGCCGGGTGCGTCTTACTCTCTTCTCTCCTTTCCAATACCTTTTTTAAATCGTTTTTTCCCCATTTTTTTTTTTAATTTCCCCCCATGTGTGACCTTGTGATATATGAAAACAGAACTAGCACTGTCCGAGTTCAAGTCGCCCTGGGATTGGTTGCGAGACTGTTTGTTGCTTGGCGTGCACCGTTGTGGTTCTCTGCCTTCATTGCCAAGCTATTGAAGAAGGAACCCGCATCTTCCTGGTTCAATAGAGAGTTAGAGACCATGGTGGTGACGTTGTTTTGCTGAAGCACCATGCCCTCTCCTTTTCTGGTTCTAAAACCACAACCACTTATATGCTTTTTGGGTGGTTTCCCAAAATTGGTTTTTTCCAAATTTGATAGTTCTTAATTGCTTCTAGGAAGGGTAGAGACGAGGAGTCACGAAAAAGTAAACGAACAATGAGCAACAGGAGATTTTCGGTCGTTACAAACCATCGTAGTCTCATCGAATCTGATACTTTATTTATTCGCACTTCACTGTTTCATTTTTGTTTGCTCTTCACACATAGCACCATCGCTAATGTCTTCGCACGTTCCTTAGTGCTAGCCATAGGTTTTGTGGGGTAATCGTCCTTCCCAGGATTAGTTGAATTTGAACGAGTAAGTAGCATCCGTTTCTTGTCTCACACGGTTTGCATGCTTTGTCTGTTTGTCTTACGACTTCTTAAAGATGCCTTTTGCTTGTGGATATATTTCTCTGCTTAGCTATAGCAGTGTGGCTCCTGACTCTGCTCGCTCTTATATGTCTTCATCTCTGTCTCTGTCCTTTTACCAGAAAATTGAAGAAGCTAAAAACCTCTGTTCCCAGACTTCACATTGGTATTGGTAGATCCTGTAGCTGTGGTTAATTTCTGGTGGCAAGGTAGGATCTTATTTTGGCCTCTCTTGCTGTGGTTGATGAAAGTTCTTCTGTGTCAAATCCTTTTGGGTCTCAAGGTGGTTTCTTGGGTTTATTTTACCTTAATTGGCTGCTTATGATGGTACCTTAGGAGGTTCGCAATGTGGAAGAGTGTTGTTGAAAATACTTGAGTTTCAGGGGTGTTGATATGTTGTTTAAAGTTCAGTTCCAACATTAGTCAGTGGATAAATGTTGGTCTTGCAGAGTGCTAGTTTTACAGGCTTGAACTCCATATCCATAATCCAGGCTAGTGGTCTTTAGTTTCATGCGTTGTTGAACGACTTATAAAATTCAGCTATCCGTCGTCCTTATATAATTTTATGATTTGCATTTCATTTCTTATTGGAGGAGTGTAGATCCCATACATGCAAAAACTGGTTTCAGCTATGGCTCCAATGGCAAATGACATTTTTTATTCATTTCAATTCCGAGTTGAGATAAGCTTCTGTCATTCTGTGAATGAGAAAAAGAGAATGTGTGATTTCCTTGTTCATGTTGGCTCCGTGGTTATGGATTTTCATATATTTGAAGATTGGATTATTATCTAACCAAAGCGGAAATTTACAGGCGTGAATGCTGATCTTCCTTCGCAACCATAAGCTTAGAAGAAGCTATGGCACATGAGTCTAAAGTTCCACTGTTGAAGAAGCAATACTACGAGAACTGTCCTGGTTGTAAAGTCGATCAACTTAAAGAGGCGAAAACCGGGTGGCCTGTTAGAGAGCTCATCTCCATATGGATTCTTGTCCTTTCTACAAGTAAGCCTTCTAGCTGCAGAACCATTTCTATTTGAAAAAAACAACAACATTACACACGAGAGATCTATCCTTTTTGTTGTGGTCGAAGTAACTAGAAAATAATTTCCCCTCACTGTAATTGGTTGGTGAAATATCAACATCTTACTATTGACGTTTTTAGTATCAAGTAGATAGAGAATTTATAGGTGTTATTGCTATCGGATGAAGATTGGAGAGAATGAGGAACGGGGTTAAAAGTTAAATAGATTCTGACAGTTTCTACAGCGTAGGCTGTTTAAGCAAAATGTAAGGAGAGGCATGCGGGGGGGTACTCTTTTTAACCTGGCAGGTAGGAAATGGTTGTATCTGAATACCCTTTAAAATAACAAAGAAGATAATGATGTTTACATGATTAATCTTTTACTTTATCCCATTGCTCTAGTGGAGGATGATGTATCACAGGAAAGTTGATGGATGTGTGATTCAAATGCGTGAGTACTGGAATTGACTTGTTCTGGTCACTACTCACTAGTGGGCAGTGGCAGTGACAAGACAAAACTCATGTGATCTTCTTGATTGGATCTGTGTATGTTTTAAACTTTAAACAATTTGACATAGCAGGCACATGTTTAAGAAGTTTTAACGTTGGTTTTAGCATCATGTTCATGCATTTTCCTATTTTATTCCAACATCTATTGACCTGTGCTTTATACTTTTGCAGCTCTCCCAATATCATCTCTCTTTCCATATCTTTATTTTATGGTAAGCATGGTTATATTTTTATTATGCTTTTATTATTTTATTCTTGTAGCTTTGAATACAAAATCTCCATTTTGAGGCAGTGCACTTTGAACAGTTGTATTGTACACATCGAATGAATAACTCTGCTATTCTTGGGCTTATTATTCTCATCCATAGTAATGAAAAATTGAAAATTTTCTTCGAAGCGTCGGTAACCAAACCGCCTCTACTCAGTTAACATGGGGAATTCCTATTTTGATTGACTATGGTATACACAAAAAAGATTGTGCATTTTGCAATTAATGTATTATTTGAAATTCAATATCAGTTGGTTTCAACTACTAATTTTAGGGATTGAGTTTTGATAGAAATGCGTCGTGGGTGTCTGTAAACTGGCGTGTAAGGGGACGGGTGCAAAAAAATTCAATACATACTGGAATGTGGAGGGCATGAATTTTAGATTTGAAAGTGGAGATGAGGATGGGGTATGGAAACCAGCCATATTGTCATCTCTAGCCATTAACCAGTGAACTATAAGCTTACGTATTCCTTCCAATTTAGATCATTGAAAAGATAAATGATTGGTTTACTATTGAACAGGTAGACAAGGGAAAATAGTCTGTTTTGAGTTTTTTTTTATTTGTCGAGAAAGTGGAAGGATGGGTGTTTCATTTTCGATTAATGTTGTTCAACTTTGAATTCTTATACACGTAGCTATACATCAACTTAGAGGATTGTTGTTAACATATTAGTATATTACAAATTTATCCTGTTTTTAAAAATTTCAGGTTAGGGACTTCAATGTCGCAACTCGAGAAGAAGACATTGGCTATTATGCAGGATATATTGGTGAGTTTGTATGTAACATAGTTGCTTGTGTGTATACATGAGCTCCTTGCAAGACAGTCTCAAAAATCACCTTGATATTTTTGTAGGCTCCTCGTTTATGCTTGCCAGAGCTGTGACATCTGTCATCTGGGGTGTCGTGGCTGATCGCTATGGCAGAAAGCCTGTTATATTGCTAGGGACTTCTGCAATGTCAGTTGTTATGACCTTTGTTTAAGTTTCATTAGGTTGTGCCAGCAGGTTGATTATGCTTGTATGCACTTAACAGAGTTGATGTTCTTTCTCAGGGTTGTTTTGAACATTCTCTTTGGCCTCAGTGTAAACTTCTGGATGGCGGTTACTATGAGGGCTCTTCTTGGTTGTCTAAATGGTTTAATTGGAACAATAAAGGTAATCTGAGTCTCTTCGTAAACATTCACCAATATTGCTCTCTCAGTCATTATCATTATTCCCATGGCTTGGCGATTAGTACTGATATCACTAGCTTGTTTAATTGTTCCTTCATGCTGTTTTTTGTTATTTTCACTTGCTCAATCTTCCTACACACAAACATGCAAACTAATGTTGACATTCACGATTGACAAATTCAATGGAATTCCTTTGTGAACAGGCCTATGCAAGTGAAATCTTCAGAGAAGATCAACAAGCCCTGGGTTTGTCCACGGTGAGCGTAGTTGATACTCTTCAATTGAGTTGTTGACATATTCATAGCACAAATCTAAGTAGAAGATTCAACTTCCAGGTTAGCACAGCATGGGGTATTGGATTGATCATTGGCCCTGCTCTTGGTGGTTTTCTGGCCCAGGTATTTAATTATATTATGTGCTTTCACGATCCAATGTGAAAGATGCATCGTTTGATTCTAAACGTGTGGGGAGTAAAGTAGCTGTTATTTTCTACTGCCCAACTTTGTGGTTATACATAATTTGTCAAATTTACTTGGTAGGCAGAGTTGATGTTTTGTTAGGCCAATACTTGGTTTTATCCAAGAAAGTAGTAGACCGATACCCTGATAGAATGAGCTAATGAAAATATGCATGCATGAGTTTCCAGCAAGTGAGAGAGCCTAAAATTCCTTACTATTCATGAAACAAAAGCCTGAGTGGGCAACCTACTCTTTCCTTGTACAAGTGGAAATGGGATGAAAGATTTTTGGATGACAATACTTTTGAATCACATTGTAAGATGCTGTACATGTTTTATATTTAAGCTTAGATTAAGACCTTAGCATGAATTTTTGATTATTTGGTGAAGCATAACATTCTCCTTATACTTACTACAGCCAGCAGAAAAATACCCAAATGTATTTTCCCGGGACTCTTTGTTTGGGAGGTATGTCAACGTCCATTACTTATTTTTGCTTTCCTCTGTACAATTTGGGCTGATCCACATTCTCAATTGGTATAACATGTTCACGTAATGCAGATTTCCCTACTTATTACCCTGCGTCGCTATATCAATTATCACACTTGGAGTAACCATTGCATCATTATGGATTCCGGTAAAAGATTCTATCGATCACAACCTCTTCTATTAGTGTTTTCGCTTATTTCTCTTAATATAGGTCTTGGATTACCTAGCTTACTACTTTTAATGTTGTATCAATTGACATACACCCACTGACCTTCCACTTGCAAGAAGTAATTTTTGTTGTAACTATCTCAAGATTGAATATCTATCTGCTGCTGAAATTGACATTTCATTTGCATAAAGATGCACTTTTGTGGATTGCTCTTGTTTTTATTGCAAATCGTTGTCATATTATAAGTTTGAAGTTAAGGTTTTCTCCTCTATATTTACATGATTTTACGTCGTAGTCCATAGGTGTTTAGTCTCATTGGCAAGCAACGGTACAAATGTTCTTTATAAGAAACAGTGACTTTGGCGTTGCCCAATTCATGGTTACGTTCCTGTATCCCCCTCCCTCTAAATGTAGTTCTATTCCTGGTTTGACTAAGTTCAGTGTTCTTGTTTTGCATCCTGCTGCTATCTTTTCACTTTTTTTGTTCTCTAGTTTTATCTTTCGTTTCAACTTGATTCCCTGTTCCCCTCTAATCCATACATGGAAAAAAGTGAGTTTAAATACAATTATTTCAATGTACAACCATGTTCCCATAATCATTTGTATGATTTTGTTGTCACAGGAAACATTGCATGTCCACAAGGAGGAGAGGACTTCAGGAGACGACTCTTATGATGCTTTAGAAACTGCTGCATCTGGTGATGATGGAAAGAGACCAGCTGTTGCGCAAAGCCTTCTGAGGAATTGGCCTCTGATGTCAGCTATCATCGTTTACTGTGTCTTCTCGCTCCATGATATGGCCTACTCAGAGGTATATGTCGTCTTAACCCACTACACATTGAGGCAGTGTTAAAGAATTTATGACCTCGGTGATGCATGCCAATGTTGTTGAAGAAACAATATCCTTCCTCACTTCCTGTACAATCTATGTTTATGTTTCTTTGGACTAAGCTATGATTTTGCAATGATGGTTAAAAGCTTCACCCTTTACTCATATATCGATGAAAAATTTAGTAATTTTAAATTGATCTTCTCCAGATATTTTCATTATGGGCGGTCAGCCCCCGAAAGTTGGGTGGACTTGGGTACTCAACAGCCGATGTGGGTGAAACTCTATCTGTCTCAGGTAACTCGCAACCTTAGAGCTTGCCTGCATGATACTAGCAATACGACTTTGAGCAAGGTCACTGATCAAGAAAATTTTGAACAATTGTAGGTCTTGGACTTCTTGTGGTCCAACTTTCTCTATATCCATACATGGAGAGGCTTCTTGGACCCGTAATGGTTTCCCGTCTCGCTGGGGTAAACATCCATATCTCCATAACAATTTTGCTTCCTCATTTTCTCATGTAACATACGTTTTTTTTTTATCTTTCGTACCTTTTCTAGTTACGCCCATTATCTTGTTATGTGTTGATTGTTTCTCATACAGGCTTTGTCAATCCCGTTATTGGCAAGTTACCCTTTCTTGGCAAGATTTAAGGGTTTTACTCTGCATCTTCTGTTGAATTGTGCATCTATATTGAAGAATCTTCTAGCTGTAAGTTTTGCAAATATAGTTATACAGACGCTGCTGCTACTTCAATATCAAATTATCAAAACAGAATCATGTTCTTTAATCTTTAGATCATAACATTTGGCCGTTTCTTTTCTCCATTATTAGGTGTCCATTGCAACTGGCTTATCTATTCTACAAAACAAAGCAGTGGTAAATTTTTTTGCTTCATTTGTTCATTAAAGAGTTGTTTGGTTTTGACAGTTGCGTGAAGTTAGCTTATGACTCCATTGTTTGTTGTACAATCTTCAGGAGCAACACCAGAGAGGAGCTGCTAATGGAATTGCTATGACAGCAATGTCTCTTTTCAAAGCTTTTGGCCCTGCTGGCGGGGGTGCTCTGTAAGTCTCAGCTCGCGTCTTCCAATACGTAGGTATGATTGTTCCTTTTGTGACCGCACTTTGGGTTAATCTGGTGCAGATTTTCTTGGGGAGAATCACGTCAGGATGCTGCTTTCCTGCCCGGTACGAATTTCTGGAGCCAAAAGTATCTTGTCACCGTTAATAACGTGTAGCAAACTGAATGATTAGGATGGAAATTGTTGATGCAGGGAATCAAATGGTTTTCTTCATACTGAATGTGGTGGAAGCAATTGGGGTGTTATTGACGTTCAAGCCTTTCTTAGCACAACGCCGCTAGTCGTAGTAGTCAACAAGAACCTATAGCCTCGATCTGATGGTAAAACTGAAGTGAAATATAGCCAGTAGAGCACAAGACAGCACAACCTTTTGTGTATTATTCTTAATTAGGTTGTATGTAAGGTCGATAGGGTAGGACTTAGGAGTGAAGAAAGTTACTCTGTTGGGGAGGCTTTGCTTGGTTTATCGAATTCTTCACCATATGGGCATGCAGATGCAGTAGTATGCAATACGAAAGAGCCGCGCGTTTGGGTGGTTTAACGGTAAGCCCATGGGTCCAAAGAAAAAGGCCCACAATAACTTACGAGTCAGTCCAACTAGACAACGAAAGAGCCCATCCAAGAAACAAACAACAAAAGACGCCTACCCTCTACACGTCAACACGTGTCGAGGTTCCACTCTTTCCCCCCAGTCCATGCAATTTTAGAGCTATAATTAATATTTTGGAAATTTGAGATACTCCGGTAAACCTTATTTCGATATCAATAATTTATTAGGACCAATTTTACATGTACGTTTTTTGGGTGATATGAACAAAGTTCTTGTAGACTCAAAACGGACAATAGTAAGAAAACGATTATATATCAACTAAATATCACAATCCTTTTCCTGACCATTGACATTGTTCGTTTCGATTCTATCAGGGGGAAAAAAATAATTTACATGCGTCTCGGGTTTTGGCTAATATCATTCGAGGCTGGCAGGGCTGGGAAACGGTGCGGTCTGATCCAGACCAGACCATATATACGGTCTATGTTCCAGACCGAGAGGCTAAAGTATAGACCACAAACCAGACCACAGACTATACGGTCCGGTTCAGACCACGCCTCTGCGGTCTGGTCTGGTCCAGATAGACCCCACTCAAAGAAAAATGAATAATTTGTTTAGTCAGCCACACAAAAAATTGAACCAATAACCAAGAAAAATAATTGTTATTTGCCTTAAATCATTAATCCTAACATGCATGAACAATTTTGATACTCTAAATCTTAGTACATAACAAAGATACAAAGTAAAAGCATCCCAGCTTGCACCATAACGTCATAAACATTAACATAATGTCATATAGAGACACAATTATCTCTACTCTCTAGTTAAATGTGGTTTTGAATGTAGGGAGAGACGTGATTCACAAAACTAAGGTTGAGACTTGGGTGTCGTTGGGAGAGTTGGGAGAGTGGTCGAATGGGCTGTTAACACGTATTGACAAGTCAGTTGGGTCTACGGTTTGGTCCGATAAACCGCTGTCTAGACTAGACCAGACCAAGAGATCAAATCATAAAATAATACAGACCAGACCATACTTAACGATCTACGATCCGGACCAAACTGTACGGTACGGTTTGGACCACGAGTTTCTAAGGGTCTGGTGTATTTTCCCAGCCCTAGGGGCTGGAACAACGAAATTGTTGTTTTGGCTACATGGTAAGAAGAAAAGTGGAAGCGTGAGATAGCGGAAGGCAGAGCTATCGTGTTGGGACTCAAACTTAAATGAGAGAACTGATTTGTACTGTGGTATTTCCTTTGAACCGGATTGGAGGCTGAACCGTAAAAGTTAGTGGTTTAGAGTCTAGTAGTTAACGTTACAAAATCGTTGGTGAACCGTTCATGATATATAACATATAAGATTTGTATATTATACTAATTTAAGAATTAAATTATCGTTGCCATAAACAATTTCAAATTCATATCATCACCAAAAATTCTAATAAATCATTCAAACCATCTCATAAAAGAAATCATATATTTTTATAGAAATTAAAAATTACAGTGTCAGTCGGTAGTGGACAACGTAAAGACGACAACAAGGTAGGAATGAGAAGAGGAAGCATATATTGTAGAATTTGATAATGCGGAAAGAAACGAGAACACGAGACAAATGATTTTATGTGGTATCCTCAATTGATTGATTGAGACAAATGATTTTTTGTGTTCTCGTTTCTTTCCGCATTATCCAAATTCTTCCATGGTATCAGAGCTGGTTTGTTTTTGAGGTCACGTGTTCAAGTAATCTCGACTCCCAATATTAACCGTTGTCTTTCAAGCACATGGTATGTCGGGCATGTGCAAACTTCAAGCCCATGCGCCGGCTTTCGTTTGAGGGGGCATGTAAGGAAGTGGTCAAGTACCATACACGGGCCAGTATAAGATCCAGCATAACCTTCTCCCAACAACTCGAGTTATTGGGACCAACTGGTTCATGACATATATAAAATTAAAAATTATTGTTTGATGGTCTTAGTTTATGTTAAAGTATTTTTTTATTAAAATAGTGAACCAGTTGACCAGTTAAACCGTGGTGGTTTATCTCATTTTATATTGAACCGTGAAAACCCATTTGATCCATTAATAACCGTCCAAACAATGAACCGGACCGCTACCATAACTGATTTAACGGTTCTACTGGTCCAGCCGTTGATCCGATTCGGTTCTTATACTAATGGATATTTGAGTAGATACTAAAATCTTATCAATTATTATATTTTCAAAATTTAATACAAGAGCGAGTTTATATACTCGTGACGCGGAGCTAACTCCATCACTGAAATGATCAAAGAGCAGGAACTATACCCTGGAAAGTGAAAGGGACGCGAGCTACGTACTGCAGCTCTGCATGCCGTCCCGCCTTCCATGGGCAGCACGGCTGCCCTGCCGGCACTCTGTCCTCCGATCAATTGTCCACATCGCGTCGGCAGCTCGTTCCAATCTAACCCTAGAACAACCCCACGCTTCCAGTACTCACAAGATTGTAATCCAGCCATCTTCGCCTTCCTCTCCGGCGACGGCGACCCACGGCCCCGCCGACAATCAATTTTCCTTCCCTGAAAGGTCCAAGTTTTCCCTCCGACAAACCAGGCCCAGGTGGCCAGGTGTCAGTGTGGTCGTGATCATTCAACATTCATTCCTTTTCCACCCATCCCCCAACCGATCTCTTTAATTTTTAGTTATCTCCATTTCTCTTAATATAGAATTGTTAAGCAACTTCAATCTACAGTTTGCGTCATTTTCATTAATTTATTTGCGCCCTCCTCTGTTCTTCGTGGCAGGTGTTGTTGGATTTTACGTTTGCTGCTGATCAGGTTTGTGAACAATTGATTATTCGTATAAATGGGCTAAATCCCAAATGATCTAAAGGGGAGTGGAAACTTGAAACTGAACAACAACTTCCAAATGAATGAAAAAGATTTGGTTATTGGTTTACCCCTCAATGATCTGTTCAGGCCAGGGAAAAGCTCTGGTCTTTGATTGGTGGGGTTTTACTGCCCACGTGAATCAATAACATGTGCTTAACCTGTTTGAATTATTGCCTCACAGAAAGAAAGAAAGAAAGAAAGAGTCCTTTCAATCTGTTTATAGAGGTGTTGGGTATGTTACAATTTGACCAATGCCTGAATTCTTTGTTATAAAATCGAGTAAGCTAGCTCTTCCAAGTTATCTGGTATTATAGCAGTATTATTGGACTTGAGGTAAGATTGTAACTTTCTCCTCAACTTGGCTTCTCCATGTTTATGACATGTGAAGTCATGATTAATGGGCGGGGGTGGTATGACGCCAATGGCCTAACAAGTAGTCTTTCCTTTTCTCATGTGTTTAAGACTTAGCAGCATCTCCTTCTGCTCTCTGCTTCTATTGCCATCACAATCTTTGTCATCAACTGGAAACCAGTGATGTGAAAGAGACTGATAACAATTGATAAGTTGTTCAAGCAGGCTACCTTCATCTAATAGTAATACTTCACTGTGATCATCAGTTCCTTCCTTCCAACCTCCACATTGCATTACAGATATCTATAGTTCTTGCATTTATTTTGATAAGACAACACAGGGAATTTCAACTGTTCCCTGTGATCAGTTTCCATTAGCCAGTGGGCATATTCCACTCATCAAATCCCCAAAATTGTCAGTGCATCAGATTCTCTATTGTTGTCCTCTAACCTTCTTGATTCCTGTCATATTTCTTAGTTGTGGGGGAAGCATATATGTGCTACTATCATAGTTGTGGAGGAGATTGGGTTGTTGGGTGCAAAGAAAAACGGTGGAGCTTGTTCCATAGCTGAGAGGGGCTGATATTCTCTACTAATAAGGAAGAAAAGGGATGGCAGCAGCAGCAGCAGAAGAAGAGTATACAGTGCCACTGTTGAAGAAGCAGTACTATGAGAATTGTCCAGGTTGCAAGGTTGATGAACTCAAGGAGTTGAAGAGAGGATTGCCCATCCGAGAGTTCCTTTCAATTTGGACTGTTGTCCTTTGTTCAGGTAAGGCAGGACCTCCCTTGTGGTTGTTACTCGATGTTTTTTCCCCATCCAAACAAGTCATCCCGTAACCATGTTGGTAGCATAAACGTCAGAGATGTTTTTTGGTTTACAGAACAACTCTGTACTGCCTCTCTGAAATGTGCATGGTAGGTAAGCTAGGGATCACGCTGGTGCAATATGGAGAGATCCAAGTAATCCAGTTATGCTTGTGCCTTATTTGAAATGTCTCCTCTACATTCATGACTATGGTCTAATAGTATTATACTTCATGCATGTTGTTGAACAAATAGAGGAATGGTGCAATATGGGGTTATCAGGGATTTGCCAGTTGATATAAGTTGATTAAAGCGAGCGGTATATTATATGAATTTAGCTCTCCTTCTATAAGAAAGTTTGAAGATGTGTGGCTATAGTCTTAAGGTTGCAGTTAGATATGTGGTCTGGTCAGAACAACAGCGAGATGTCTGATGGACCCTATTCTTTGACTTAAGAAGGAGATCAGTGATTAAATGATATGTAAACATGATATTTTGTATCTCTTTTGGTCTCGGTTGAGGAAGATTGCAAAGGGGCATTGGTAGATTTGAGTGGTTAATTTCCATCTCCGGTTTCATCTTTCTTTCACATGTACTAAAATGTTCTCTTTCTCTGCAGCGCTCCCGATATCATCACTCTTTCCCTATCTCTATTTCATGGTGAGCATACAGATTATGATTGTCTGTAATGTTGTCTTGCAATACAAAATGTTAATATGGCAAGGGAGTGTGAATTGTATAAGAATTATTGTTGTTTTAATCCCGTAAGCGGAGTAAAGCAAGAAAAGAAGTCACTGTTAAGTCTGAGTTACGGAGCTGGCCATGAAGTTATATGTTCTTTCTTCTTACAGCAAATGGATTATATTTATAGTTTATCGACATTTTCAGATAAGGGACTTCAAAATTGCAGAAAAAGAAGAAGACATCGGTTACTATGCTGGCTATGTTGGTGAGTTTGTTTGCAATACTATAAGATCATTTTTTTCACTTGTTGCTACATTATTTGAACGGATCCTGCCGAAGCAATCTAAAACATCTCCTTCTGGATGTTTTGAAGGATCCTCATTTATGTTTGGTAGAGCTTTGACTTCTTTCTTCTGGGGAATTGTGGCCGATCGCTATGGTAGAAAGCCTGTTATACTCTTGGGGACTTCATCAGTGTTAGTGATCACAACTAGTTTTTTTTAATATCTGCATTGACCTTTTCTTTAGCATCTATCTCTGAGATATGTCGTGCATTTCTCTCTGTCAGTGTTATTTTCAACACTATCTTCGGGCTCAGTTTGAACTTTTGGATGGCTGTTATCTCAAGATTCATGCTCGGCTTTTTGAATGGTTTACTTGGTCCAATAAAGGTAAAGTTGGTCTTTCCCATTTACTTCCATGTTCGTTTACTGCACAACAAGACATGCATGCAAAATTGAAAGTTCAACACCGTCTCACTGCCAAAATTCAATGGATTCCAGGCATATGCAAGTGAAATTTTCAGAAATGAACATCAAGCCTTGGGTTTGTCGACGGTGAGCTAGCTGTGTGGATCTGTTACATTTTCTCTGGTTAGAAAGAAAATACTAAACAGAATTTAACTATACCAGATTACCACGGCATGGGGTATAGGATTGATTATTGGTCCAGCTTTAGGAGGTTTCCTGGCCCAGGTACGAACACGATATAATAATTTCTGTGTTGACAACCATAGACTATATCAACAATAACACGTGCACTGTAGGTTGGTGAACTTCCATTACTTGGGAGGTTGGTGAACTGCCATAGTAATGAACTTCCATTACTTGATCGTTAAGAATAAAAAGTTACCCTTGTACTTGTTGCAGCCAGCTGAAAAATATCCGGCTCTGTTTTCCAAGGATTCTTTATTTGGGAGGTTGGTGAACTGCTGGGCTTTCATTTTGAGCTCCATTGGCATAACGTGTTCTTCTATGGCTTTTAATGGTGGTTTAAAAGTCCTCTGTGCAATGCAGATTTCCCTACTTCTTGCCTTCCTTGGCTATATCACTTCTTGCTGGTGGAGTAACGATTGCTTCTTGTTGGCTCCCGGTGAATATCTTTACAGCTCACTTTAACTGTCCATTTTCATTTGATTTCAGGAAGTTGATTGTTGTCTCATAAGTCATCCCGATTGTCTCAATCAAGAATTTGTGCAGCTATTGAGAATTAACTTTCTACTGTCCTTTTTGAGTTTTTAGTTTGAGGAGATGCGAGGGTGTAACATTAACACAAGCTTCTCTGTAGAAAGTGATATATACATATTTTTTTGTGGCATGAAACAACTTAGAAACCAGTATCATTTTGGTTAAGTGCACAGGAAACATTGCATACCCATAAGGAAAAGAGGGCAGCATGCGACGACTCTTTCGATGCTTTGGAGACTGCATCTGGTGAACAGAAGAAGCAAGCAGCAAGCCTCCTTAGAAATTGGCCTCTTATGTCATCTATCATGGTCTACTGCATCTTCTCACTTCATGATATGGCTTACACAGAGGTATATCATCTCTTGCTACTGTATATGTCTTATTTCCATTAGCTCGATCTGTAGAGAAGGATTCAAGAGGTCGTTGGTATTCAGAGAAGGAATATTTTATATTTACAGACCTCATTGTTTCTTTCCTTTTAGGATGAATAATCATACAGCAGGTTTCACTAGCGTGGTATGGAACAAAAGGTTGCTTGACCTGCTGCTTTGTGTTGTGTAGATATTTTCATTATGGGCAGTGAGCCCCATAAAGCTTGGCGGACTTGGATACTCGACAGAGAATGTTGGCGAAGTTCTGGCAGTCTCAGGTAGGTATCTTCCTTTCTCAACCTTACCTCCTGCTTAATATTGAAAAGAAAACTAAAAATACTAACAATATCTGAGGCCTTAGCTACTCGCATAACATGGTTAAAGGATCTCTATGCTGATGACATAATATTGATGTTTAAACCACTGTAGGTTTTGGACTGCTTGTGTTCCAACTTGCTCTATATCCATATGCGGAGAGGCTTCTCGGACCTGTAATGGTGTGCCGTATTGCTGGGGTAAGAATTTCAACTCATGCAATTTCTTGTTCATATGCATTTTCCATGGTCAGACTGAAAGGATTGTATCCATTTTGTTTCTTTTTGTGGTGGGTTTGGGAAATAACTTATGATGGTGATGAAATGGGCATCGCAGGCATTATCCATTCCGTTGTTGGCAAGTTACCCTTTTCTCTCAAAGTTGTCAGGCTTCAGTCTTAGTGTGCTGTTAAATTGTGCATCAGTCTTGAAGAATCTCCTTTCTGTAAGTTGAACAACAGTAAGATTCAGCATAGCTTCTTGGTATAACATTTAACAATAGCAGGATGGTGTTACTGCTTGACTTGACTAACGGGAACCTTTGTTCTTCTTTCCGGCACGTACGACTAGGTGTCAATTGTCACCTGCTTGTTCATGCTGCAAAACAGTGCAGTGGTAAATTTGGTCTCTTGTTGGTTTCCCTTCTTTTTTGGTTGTTTCTTTTTCTGGGCTTGAATGATAGGTGAATGAATGAGTGAAACAGGAGCAGCACCAGAGAGGAGCTGCGAATGGGATAGCAATGACAGCAATGTCACTGTTTAAAGCAGCTGGTCCAGCTGGTGGGGGTTCTCTGTAAGTTGGCGAGTGTAACAACATACACACAAACATCTGGATACGTAAATCTAAGCCACAAGTTGGGGGTGGATGTACTAGGTTCATGTCGTGTGTATGTGTGTGTGTGTGCAGGTTTTCTTGGGCTGAAACACGTCAGGATGCAGCCTTCCTTCCAGGTAAATGGTGGTGTGTTTACTTTTGTTGTTCGTCGTTGATGATGGCTGCATAAGTTTCTTCCCTTTGGTTGTGACATTTTTTGGTTGGCAATGCGATGATTGAACTAGTCTGTGGACGGAATGGGATTGATTGTGTGCAGGCAACCAAATGGTGTTTTTCGTGCTGAACGTGGTGGAGGCGATCGGGGTGTTGTTCACTTTCAAGCCTTTCCTAGCCCTGCCTCGGGGGCGAACAGCAACAGTACAATGACCCAGATGCTGCTCTATACTCTCAAAGACTCCCTAATATGAACTACACTATCCATACCATGAATACAGGCATTTGCCTAAATTGCAGCCGTCTGATCCTATTCTTCAGAGTTGGACGCAATGCAATGCAATGCCAATGATAATGCAGCCATTTTTAGCGAATAATGAACAAATTGTTTGTGAAATTGGTGAGTTGGAAAAGTGATCTTGCAAATTTCCCTCTGCTCCCTTTTGAATTACCATCTTGGATTGCTTTACAAGACAGCTCACATTCACATAGCTCTGCTACAGTTGAGCAATAGTACGATTTGCAGAAAGAAAACAAATGGATATTATAGAATGGTGGGGATAAGGCATAGCCCATAGTTGGGGTTTAATCGTTAGGTTTTGAAATTGAGACCGAGGAATAACGTTTTTATTATTAGGCTTGTGTATAAAATTTAATAACAATGAATTGTAGTCTAATGGATAACATGTTTACTAATAACAACGGTGTTAAATGGGTTACCATTTTTTCTTTGGTACGCAAACTACTACTATCGAAATTTGGATAATTATTTCCCCAAATTTTATCCCAAATCCATAGTTAGTAGTAATTTATTTGGCTCAAGATAGGGTGCATAACCATGGGTTATGCACCCATCAATAACCAAATCTGGACCCTTCATTTAGAAAATCCAGATCTAAGGATGGAGAATTAAAGGCTATTTTTATTTTCACTAGTTTTCTTAATTGACTCATATCTTTTTCGTTTTAACTTGGATTTTAATTTTTTTTGCACAGATGGAACGAGTTCACCGTGCTCTACAAAATGAGATCAATTTTCAATATTTTTTTAGGAAAAAAAAATTCTGGCCTCTCGGTACCAACTGCATATCATATGGTATCTTCTTCGTTTTTAATTCGTTTTTGAAAACGTTTGCACAGCAGGGATGAGTTCATCATGATCTACTGGATCTACAAATTTCTGGGTGAACAAATTAAAGGACAAAAAAATACCACACAATACCATACAATACCACCCTGGTACGGGGTGGTATTGTATGGTATCTTCTTCGTTTTTAATTCGTTTTTGAAAACGTTTGCACAGAAGGGACGAGTTCATCATGATCTATTGGATCTACAAATTTCTGGGTGAACAAATTACAGGACCAAAAAATACCACACAATACCATACAATACCACCTTGGTACGGGGTGGTATTGTGTGGTATACAATGTTAAAAGTCGTAAATTACAATTAATATACTTCTACTATCATGTATTCAACCATCCTACAGTATTGGTTTGTTCATACCACCATGGTACGTTTTTCAAAACATATGTATGCTTTTATTTCAATACCAGTCAATACCATATGGTATAGGCTGGTAAAAAATGGCTCAATTTTTTTTGTTCGAAAAATATATTAAAGTGGATATCATTTTGAAGAGCACAATTAATCTGATCTAACTGTGCAAAAAAAATTAAATTTCGACTTAAAATGAGCGAGAAATCGTCCGTCAAAGATTAAAGAGGGAAAATTAAAGACTTTCCATGAGAGAGAGGATGCTGATGTCATGCTGATGTGGACGGGTTACTCATAGTTACTCACCATAAGGTTACTCACCTGATCCATATATACGAGAAATTCTTGGGTGCTCCCGGCGCACCACGTGAGCTGTACTCCGCCCCAATACATAAGCGCCACGTTGCACTTCATTTTACGCCCGCCAAAGTATATCGGTCTCCTCCTCCGGCGACGTTATCTTTCGGTGCCGATTCAAAATCCATCCACCAAGGCTCATCTTCGCTGCAACATCCCCAAGCCCACCAAAAGTAATTTTCCTTGATTCCATTGTAATTAATTCCCCGACGAGTTTAGGGTTCATCTGACCAGTTATTATATATGGAATCCCCAGGATTAATTCGGTTTGAAAATCCTTCTCCATCTGACCATCTCCCTATTTTCTACCGGCGCATCAAGAGTCGACGTTTCACCAAGCAATGAATCCCTTTATTCTCTTCTTGGTTGTGCTTCGTCGTCGCTATCCTTCCAAAACTCTCCGATGGTGATTTCTAGTTCTGGTGTGTGCACTTGCTATTTTCTACGGGAAAGAAAAGAAGAAAGAGAAAGAAAGAAGAAAGGGGTTAATTGGAGAGAGTCCGAGATAAAATTGGGCTATTTAATACGTGGCAAAAATTGATTGGTCCGGTGCACCACGTGGGCTGTACGCCGGGTGCACTGAAGAATTTCTCCCATATATACATGGTATCTTGTGGCCGCTTGACCGTCCACTCTTTATTGAAAGAAATTAACCAAATTTTATAATTAATTTACCGTCCAAACACCAATATTGTGGTGATTAATTAATTTTAGATCTCGTAAATCAAGGCACGCATGGCATCCATGAGCTTGTCCAGCTGCTTATCCTTCTCTCGCGCGGATTTCTCCCACATGGATTCCACTTCTTTGTTCTTCTCTACCAGCACAGCCATCTGCTTATCCTTCTCCAGCATGGATTTCTCCAACAGAGACTCCACCTCCTTGTTCCTCTCCACCATCTTCCTCATGACCAACACTTCCTTCTCCTTCTCCTTGACCATCTCCTGCATCTCTTTCTCCTTGTTCTTCAACAACTGCCCTATGTCCACCAAAATGGCCCCGCTGCTCAAATCGCACTTGTTCCAGATCGTCGACGGGCTGATCTGCGGCTTGACGCCGTACTTGGCCCATCCGAAGTAGTCGTTGACCCGCAGCCGCGTGACGTAGGGGCCGTTGACGGAGAGGTAACAGATTCCGTTCCGATTAGCCGCGAGGTATAACTTCTGCTGGCCGTCGGATGCGGCGACGGTCAGGTCGTTGTACAGTTGGGTCAACCGGCTGCCCTTGATTGTGACCCCGTGGACCTCGAGGGCTCTGAATCGTGCGTCGGCGGAGGGGCCGATTTTGATCCCGCCGCCGCGCCAGCGGCCGGAATCCTCGTATCGGATGAGGTCGGGGTCGGATATGTTGCCGGTGTATTCGTGGACGTAGACGTCGGTGGAAGAAAGCGGCCATGTGCGGACGAAATGGCCGTCCGATGACATGTGGAAAACATCACCCATTGTTTTGGTTTTGTTTCCGTGGATGGGAATCTTATTGCACGAGTGGAATGATCAATATTTATATGCATGCGGCCGGCCATCGGAAGAGGCTTCCTAGCCTGCAGATCGGAGCATACTTTTAGTGTAGTCAAAGCGAAGGACAAATACTACAATTGCATCCAATCAAGAATCGATGCGAATCTTCTGGCTTTTCATTACCCAAGGAATGGATGTGCTGGATTGAATCAAAGAGACGCTTGGGAAGTGCTAAGGTATTTTCCTCAAGATCAGCCTTGAAAGCAAGAATTTGATTCCTAGTGAAATGAAAGCAGCTTGGAATTTCACGGGAGACACTGCAAATTACGCAGCCATTTTTAGCGAATGCCGATTCTGGCTGGCTCGTCTTCATAAGGGCCTACTTCAAAGGAAAACGAAATCCGAGCCAAGACGTCTTTGCCCAGAAGTCCATATCTTGGTTGCAAATGTAATGTACAGCAATCAAATAAACTCAGCAGAGAGGAATGACGGGGAAGAACGCGATCCGACGAGCGAAAACCTGCAATCCTGCTAATGAATTATCTATCTATCAACTTGCAAATGTCATCCCGTTGAAAACATGGTTGGAGAGTTCTGCAGAAAAATATAACCAACAACCTAGGGTTCATGCCATCCTCCGAGCTTTCCTAACAACTTCACTACTTACACTGAGGCTACATCTGCCTTCATTGCCCTAGGACGCTGCTACACTTTTGATAGCCAGAAGTAGACAGCTAGGGAAATCAGTAGAGCAAGTGCGCATGGCCGACGATCAGCACCATCTGATGTTGACCTGCAATAAAGAGGCAGAGTAGAAGCACAAAATGAACATTAAGTAAGCTACTTTGGCACTAACCCGTTAGTAGATGAGGCAGGCATGCAGCGATGGAACATTTACCTACCTTGCGACCGAGCCATTCAACGCCTCTGTCTTGAGCCCATAGTCGAAGGGGAAGAGTGGATCATAATGCGCATCTCCAAGGTTCATTGGCAGTTGATCAACACTCTTGAACCAAGTCCTTGGAAGTTTCCCACTGAATCCAAAGTCCCCAAAGAGCACATCTGCTACTCCCTGCCCTTCGCTGCCAGGTAACCAAGCTGCCACCAGGGCGTCAATTGAGTTCACGTACGGCTCAAGTACAATGGGTCTCCCTGATATGACCACAACCACACACTTCACAGATCCCCCGCATACATTGCTGATGATACTTGGACCTGGGAACTTCATTGTCAGATCACTGCTGTCTCCTGCAGTCTCAGCATACGGCGGCTCACCAACAACTACAATTGCGTAACTGAAGTTGCTCTCCTCCACAAATTGCTTGGTCGGGTCCTCTTGGAAGACAACATCTGTTTTTGGATCAACCGTGGCACTTATGGCAGCAAGGATCGTCGTTCCTGAAATTAGTAAATAGTTAACCTATTTTGGACCGCCAGAGTTACCATTTACCCACTCATAATTTAACAAGGCTTGATATGAATACAAATAACTAACTACTTCTACACGAGAACATGTCAATCTGAACCTCTATTGATAAACAGACAAGCAAGAGAGCCTAGGTTCTTCCTTGGTATCACAGCTCCTAAAGACAATGATCAATCTTATGGTGTAATGGTGAGGATTGCTAATTATACACCAACTCATTTGGTAGATAACTCTTCGTGCATACACTTCATGAACGATATAATCCTTCATTAAGGTCCACAGGTGGTTTTGCATGATTGCGTAAACAATGTGCACCCATTTGTACGAAGAAATGAAATAGCCAGTAGATACTTCTCATAAAACATTCAAAACTCAGGAAAAAAATATTACCTCTTGTATCATTGTTCCCACTAAATCCTTGCCAATTAATCGTCCATCCACCACATTGATAGCCCAAATTATCGGCATGGGTGCCTGCAACTAGAATTCTTGAAGCCTTCTTGGGAAGGGGTAGCAATGGTTGAGTCCCATTTTTCCCATTCTTCAACAGCACAAGTGATTTCCTCACAGCTTCCCTTGCCAAGTCACGATGTGCCTGCGTAAGGTACCCATAAGTTCATCCGGTAACATATTCTCGTTCAAAGTAATAATCTGGAAATATAGGAATTCAGTCAAAGGAGTAGAGGGGGGGGGGGGGGGGGGGGGGGGGGCGGGGGGGAAGGTTCAATGATGGAAGAAAATTAAGCAAAGTTCAACCGTTCAAGATACAGGCACTGAAAAGAAAATGATGTGATACAGTTGATCCTATTTCTAGGGGGTCCAAGTGTTCATGTGATTCACCAACCTGGCTTCCAAGTTCATTGACAAAGCTCAGGTCAGCCATAGGGTTTTCAAATAGTCCCAGATTGAACTTAACCAGCAAAATCCTTCCAACAGCATCATCAATCCGATCCATTGGAATGACATTTTTCTTTACCAAGAGAGTAAGATCATCAATGAACTCTGTATGGTTGTACGGAACCATGACCTGGGTACAAAGAACCATCATTAGCAAATCATTCACTTCCACGTTCCACCTGCTATTGATTGATGAAAAGATAACTGAAAACATTTTCCTGGGAATCAATCTCAAGTGATGTTTCTACAATCGAAACTACTAACCATATCAATGCCAGCTAGAATCCCTGCTTGCACAGAGTATGTGTAGTTTGCGTGCGGGTTTGAGGTAATCTTGTCTATACCTTGCCAATCTGAGATAACAAACCCCTAGAAATTATCCAGGAAGGGAAAGTACAGTTAGAAAGAGCATAATAAAGTCAGAGCCATGATATCATATTAGTCATGCAGGCCTAGCCTGTGACACACATACAGTAAGATGAAACGTGAATATTGAATATCACCAAGCTAGCTGCCCAAAGATATGCCACATTAGCATCTATGGTAAATCAATCAGAGTGGTTTGTAGATGAAAGCTCCATATCACCAGTAAAATGACAAGAATTGCAGATGCATGCCAGAAATGATATGGTGGCTAAAGAAATAATGAGAATATAATGACATGTAACCATGCTCAAATATCTATAAACAATAACACTAGGATTAGAGGTTAACCTTAAACTTAAGGGTACCCTTGAGGAAGCCCATTACTAGCTCGCGGTTAGCATGCATCTTTTCCCCATTCCAGCTGGAGTAAGATACCATGACAGTCGATACGCCTTTGATCACAGAGTCATCATAGGCAGGCATGTGAATGCTCAACAGTCCATGCCTGTCTATTACCGTATTGTTTTCATTGATGCCCTTGGTTGTTCCGCCATCTCCCACAAAATGCTTAGCGCAAGCTGCAACTTTATTCCTACAGCATAGGAACATCCATGTTAGAGTAGAGCTTAATGGGATACAGTAACAATTAATGCAATTCAAGTGTATTTCGAATGCTTTAGTAACAAACCATATCACACAATGCTTTTTTAAGAAAACGAATGAACCATCCTCAGTATCGGTAGTAGTATTGCATGGACAGAAACACTAATGATTTTAAAGTTTTTCTTCTACTCACTTCGGAATGACATAAGGAACTCCTTTCCGAGAATTAGAAGGCATATCTCCTTGTAACCCAGGTATGATTTCAGTCATTTCTCTAACAACTTTGGGATCCTCGCTGTAGCTCTCATAACACCGACCCCACCTTGGGTCTCTACAAACCTGCCGAAGGCACGCCAGCAGAAGAGAATGAGAAGTATAACCTTATGACCTTATTTTCCCATCTCCAATCTGTGCAGTAAGAAAATATGAATCATCCAAAAATAGCATTTAACAGCACTTTGTTTACCGCTATGCATGGAGCAAAAACGTAAGGAATTCCTGTGGCTCTAGCTTCAAGAGCAGTTGCAGCACCAATTCTCTTCACCAAGTCTGGGTCCCTAATGAAGAAAACCCTCATGAATGTCATCAAGACCTTACTGCTGAGCCTATTATATGAAGTTAGAATTTATCTAAACTTCTCCTTTTCAGACTAGTACACATTTAGAACAGACTGAGCACAGAAGCATGACTTAAGTATTACATAAATTGGAGAATCTGTAAAAACAATAAAATAATAGGAAGCTACACCGTGCAGAACAGCAGCCAGAAGATTACTATATAATTCCTGAAACCTTGAGATTCATACTTGCCTGGTGGCTCCAAGCCCTACATTATGAGGGAATATGGTGGCATTATACACATTGTTGTGTCCGTGAACAGCATCGATCCCATAAATCATGGGAATCCCTAAACGACTGGACATAGATCCTTTCTGAAACCCATTTATCATATCAATCCAATCCTTAGCTGAAGCATCAGGAAGTGGTGCACTCCCCCCACCACTCAAGACACTACCTGCAGGAACCAGAACGATAAGTCCATTCATATTTACTTGTATGGCAGCTTCGAAATGATTACAATGACTGTACTACAACAACGCATAATCCAAAACGGTATGTGAAATAAGGTTCAGATGAAATGCTACTTTTGGCATTAGATATCAAATTGCATGAGCAAAGTGCGAAAGCAGTCATGGACATTCACACCTACAATGCTACAACCTGACGCACCGCCACACTCCAGTATTCTAGGCACCAAGTCCTACCATTGGAATAACTCAAAAATTATTGCCAGGACATAAATTAACCGCAAAAATGGCTAAGCATACCAATGGAGTAGGTCCGCATTATCTCAGGGGTAGCTGATAATCTGTCAAGTTGGGCTATCTGACCAATCTTTTCCTCTAGTGTCATTCGACTCAATAGGTCCTTGATCCGAACTCCCACTGGTTGCTTCGGATCTTTGTATTTCGGGGAGTCAGCCTCTGTGCCCACCATCCATGCGAAAAGCCACAGTATCCCCAACAACTGAAACCTCGAAACCCTAGACATCTTCGCTCACGAGCAACTTGCCTGCAGCAAAATTAACTGGCGTGACGACGGAGTAAACAAACAGCGAAACAGAGCAAGGAGCAAACAGAAATAGAAAGAAAAGAAAAAAAAAGCTAGCTACTCAAGGATGTACGTTGCCAATGGACATTCTAAGCATGAAATAGTCTCGTTGTAGGCAGTCGAAGAAGAAAATCAAGATTCGCAGAAACAAGCGCTTGCAAGATCAGAAAATTGGGACTGTGGACAGTAAAGGAAATGGTTTCTACGCATTTCTCGCCGTATCCAGCGACAGGAAAGAAAGCGAAGCAGGTTAAGCGGCAAGGCAAGGGGCTCGGCACAATGGAGCAAACCGCCATTGAAGTTACTCCCGATCACATTCAAGAAGCGAAGCAGAGAGCAGAAAACGAGAAAAAAGAACGGAACTAATAACTATCTGCATTCCGAAAGCACCAGAATGTCGAAGAACAACCGTCCGTACAAAAGTTCAAGAACGCTCGCTCTGGTACGGACGTCGATTCTTTTTCTCGGGAAAAAAACACCCGAGTTCGTCGAGAGTGGGAGCGAAAGATTGTTTGGAAGAGAAAAACACACAGACGAAGGTAGGCAAGAGAACGCAGAATCGGAAGTTCGTAGCTGAGATGCAGTTACCAGGAAAACAGCGAAGCAGCCACTAGCAATGGCGGAGAGAGCAGTCTGTTGAGGAAGAAGACGACGAAGAAGAGAGAAACTGGAGTACGAAAACGTGAGCGCCTGGCTCTGGTGGTCTGCCTCCTTACTTTGTCTCTTGTATCTTGCAGCTCTCGCTACGTGTGCTCTCTACTCTAGCCTATAAGAAGTGTGACTGGAAGTGGTGGGGCCGAAATGCGTGGGAAATGTGGAGAATGGAAAGCGGCAAAACGCCCCGCAGCTCTCGGAAGAGAGTCGATCTGAATTACAGCAAATGGGCCGAGACACTGACTTGGGCCGGGCCGGGCCGGCCCATCCTGCCTGCTTCTATGGATCCCATTCCCGTGTTACCAAGTTCGTAAAGTCAACAACCTACCACTGTCATGAGTCATGATGACACCCACGTCGCTGCGACATTAGGCCGAAGGAGTGTAGAGAGAGTTTTCTTTATTCCTCCAATCAATTGCGCGGCCAACGGGACGGCAAATGCGCCAAATCCCGTGCTCTACTCACTGCGGACAAAAACTGCTTCGGGCTCGATGCTTTCTCCGCCTTCCTCTGTTTCTCCGGCGCAATAGTCTGAGTGTTTCTCCGGACGTCCACTGCCCCAAAACTTCTCCCCATCCGTCGACGGCTTGCATTTCGTCTTTCTCCGGCGGAACTGAAACAATCAAACAGAGATGAGAGAACGTAACCGGAGGCCTCTTTCTATCTAGGTTTTGGTTCGACAACTTGAATTTCGGAATGCGGCTCATGGACCGTTGAGCGTCGGCTTGCATTTTGACTTCGAAAGCGGAAGTGATACAGATTATGTGGTAATCAGAATCGGCGGCCGCTTGAACAAGGCTTTCGTTCGGGAACTTGAATTTCGGAACGCCGATCATGGCGGTCAGTCATCGCGACTTAGATTTGCTTTGCTACGTTAATACTGCTCGTACTTTGAATTTATTCGCCGCATCATTCACACCACCTCTTACTCTGTTTCTCCCACTTTGTTTCTATTTATGACTTCTGGTGATTTTGTGAAGGATGCGAGGCTGGTCGAAGAGATGGTGAACGTCGAAGAGGGAGGGAAGGTTGTTCCCAGCTCGTTGGAATCAGGAAGTAGCAGCGTGGAGATGGGGAGGAGCTTCGATCATTTTGAACAGGATCATCATGATACCTTAGTCTACAGTTTGTGGCCGCGATTAGTTTTGAAGAGTGTCTGCACTGTGTTACTAAGAGCCCGGATCAAGGTGTTGTTGCCATTTGGCCCTTTGGCTATATTCATCAATTACTACACTGCAGACCCTGTAAGCATGCAACTCGTGAATTTGTTTCACCTCTTTCAACATTTTAGTTCTTCGTGGCCAGCTAATGATTGTTCAGCTGACCCCTTCCCCATCTATCTTGTTGGTACATATGGGCAGGGATGGGTCTTCTTTCTCAGTTTATTAGGTATAACACCTCTGGCTGAGCGTCTAGGCTATGCAACTGAGTAAGCATTCAATCGGGTATTCCATCAATTGCTGATTTTTTCGTTGAATTTTGACTCGGTTCACTTGCTAATACCAGTAATCCATCATGTATGGCCACCACCAATTACTCTGATGCAGGCAGATTGCGTACTACACGGGACCGACAGGTACTACTAAACTCTATATCATTGATCAATTTGTTGTGTACTAAGTGTGGTAAGAAATGGAGGTTGTATTCAAAACCTCTGTATCATTGATAATTTTGTTGCGCAGCAAGTGGGTTAAGAAATGGGAGGTTATGTTGGTGGCTTGGTGCTATCTGCTATCTGCTATCTAATGCTTTTGTGCATGTTGGCCTTTGCCTTATCTTTGCGTTTTGAGTAGAGTGGCCAAATTACTTATGTTTTTCTTATATCTTCTGTAGTTGGTGGTCTTTTAAATGCAACGTTTGGGAATGCAACAGAAATGATTGTGTCAATCTATGCTTTGAAGAGTGGCATGGTAAGGGTTGTCCAACAGTCTCTCTTGGGCTCCATTTTGTCAAATTTGCTCATGGTCCTTGGATGCGCCTTCTTCATTGGGGGGATTGTTCATCGTGAAAAGAAGGTTCAGGTTTTCAATAAGGTAAATTTACCGTCATGCTTGCTTATTCTCAATTTACTTTCTTACTGACTTGGATAAGACATGCACTGCCTGATTTTATCATTTGTAACCACTTACCATGTCAGTTGAAAATGATTGCATGTTCGTACAACTAGATGGCTGTTTTCACACTATTGATTATAACTCCTAATGATCTTACAACAGGCAGCTGCAGTTGTTGATTCTGGATTGTTGCTGGTGGCAGTGATGGGGATCATGATACCAGGTGTGCTTCACTCAACTAACACAGAAGTTCAGCTCGGAAAATCAGAGCTGTCGCTTTCAAGGTTCAGCAGCTGCACGATGCTCCTCGCATATGCTACTTACCTTTTCTTCCAGCTTAAAAGTCACAGCTATCTGTATAATCCTGTTCATCAGGTAGTCCATGCGCCCCTGTAGTTTAAATATTTTTCTGACAAATTGATTCTTTGGCCATCTCGCTTCCCGCTTCTGTTCTTCTTATTATTTATAGTATTCTGAAAATTTCTGTCCCATTATATACTGTTATTGCTGCAGGAGGATGTTCCAGATGAAGAAGGTCAGTGTATCCTGGAGGAAGAGGTGCCTGAAATTACTCAATGGGAAGCAATTTCTTGGCTTGCAATTTTAACTTTCTGGGTCTCTGTGTTGTCTGGTTATCTTGTTGATGCTATTCAGGTAAACTTTCCTAGTGCTTTAAAACTGACTTTTACTTAAACTCTGGTAAACTTAAGTTTTCATGTGATCAAACATATGCTTTTAAATAAAGAAGAGAGGAAAAGCAAAGAAGTCATTTTTAAAGCACTTTAGAACTTATATATTTTTCTGGTTCATTTCCCTTTGCTGAATTGTGTCTTTAAGATCTTGCAATCATGTCCCAGGTGAACCCATTGCCTCAACCAACATGGCTACCCCTCCTTGGCTTTACTGCTTTCTGTACTCTATGTTGAGCTGGATTTTTGGAAATCTAAAAGACCATAATTAGTAAACAGCCAGTGATTTTGCTTTTTTACCACTGGACCTGTTTAATCTATGTAAAATGGATAGAAAGGGTGTTTGGGAACTGGTCGGTATCAATCTAGTTTTTTTCTAATCAAAGAGTTCATTGATAAGTAACGAGTTAAGTGAACGGCTTGAACATATTTCTTTTTCGTCTTCAATAATTTATCAGTTGCAATGATGTTTTCAAACTAACTTTGCTCATGGTTCTGAATCCCCAGGGAGCATCTGAATCATTACACTTACCAATGGGTTTCATCAACGTGATCTTAATTCCAATAGCTGGAAACTCTGCTGCATACGCCACCACCATAATGTTTGCCATCAAAGATAAGCTTGTAAGTTTCACAGACGTTAATTCTGCTGGCAGAATTGTTTCGAGTACATTAAGGGTGGCACTTGTAGAGTTTGTTTTAGTTTCACTTCTGGCTTGATTAGATTTCTTTCTTTACGTTTTGAACTATAGGATATAACCCTTGGCGTTGCGATTGGATCGTCCACTCAGATAGCCATGTTTGCGGTAAGATTTGAAATTGTCATTGTGTTATTAGTGTTACCGCTCGGTGGGAATCTCAATCTAAATCGGTGGTCAAAAAGCTTTGAGCCTAATTCTTACAATGTTTCAACTTCCATTGCTTACTGTTGACCTATGTAGATCCCTTTTTATGTGGTGGTTGGGTGGATTGTGAACCAACCAATGGACTTGAACTTCCACCTGTTTGAGACGGCTACCCTTTTGATCACTGTGGTGATTGTTGCATATACACTACAGGTATTATATTGCTCTATTTGTTTCTGTTAGTAGAGAACTAGATTGTGATACTCGGTTGTTGTAGTGAACTTTCTGAAAAGTGTAACTATCTCTGCTTAGTGCTTCCAGTTTCCAAGGTTAAGGTATTGCAATTGAATAGGTTTCATCCACCGTTGAATGAGATCTCTTTTCTATGAGATGGTGTGCATATCTGCAGAACTAACTAATGGGGTTGTAACTCTGTGTATGTTGCTGATGATGCAGGAAGGGACATCAAGTTACATTAAAGGATTGATACTGATGTTTTGCTACTTAATAGTTGGGGCCAGTTTCTTTGTACATGTTGATGACAGCATATAGAAAATGTTCAAGCCTTTCCCCTTCTACCTTCCAAAGTTGTTGGAATTAGTGAAATGCCCTCTGGGAATAGCTAGTTTTCACCATTTCCGGCCTTACGATGGACAGTGTGCGAGGAGGCGCTGGTTCCTGCTTGCTGGCTCGTATCTCGAGTTCCCTAGCGAAAATGACTCAAACCTGTCAGTAATCAGCCACTCGTGCCATTCAACTATTGAATGGCCGTCTAGCGAAAATGACTCAAACCTGAATGCCATTTGCAGTCGCTTCTGCTATTTCGGGGTTCCAGCAGAAGCCTGGTCTCTGCAGGCGGATATGGCAATTTTGATGACAACTACTATATATGCCTTTCTCATTTAAGTTCACAGAACCTGTTTGGGCAACAAGCCGGACGACATCGTTTTATTCGTCGTACCCGATTAAAAAACCCTTGCTAATCCTTCACCATTAGATTTTATCATATCCATATAAGATTAACATTTCATGATAGCGACCAGCCTGAAGGTGTATCTATCAAGCTCAATCATCCACTTGACCACTTGTAAGAAGTGAATTGTAATTTGGCATGCGCGGGGCCTAAAACCTGATCAAGAACATGCCTAAAATATCAATATGTCTCTTGACTGATAAGCTTGTGAGGCAAAAAAGAAAAACATTTTGCATATTTTTCCATGGTACAACGTTCTTATATTCTTCCTAGTTCGTCCTTTTCCTTAAAAAAAAAAATATAACTTATATTATATAATAATTTGCTTGCTGGCTACTGGCCATTTGGAAGCTTGATAGAACAGAGTAGAGTGGAGATGGCGACTAGGAGGAGCTACGAGCAGTTTGAAGGGGATGATCGTCTTCGTCGTCATGATGATGGCTTTGCCGGCGGCGGTTGGTACTGGCCGCGATATGTTTGGAAGAGCGTCTGCACGGTGTTGCTCGGCGGCCGGATCAAAATTTTGATGCCATTTGGCCCTTTGGCTATATTCGTCAGTTACTACACCGGCGACCCTGTAAGCATATGTATATGCGCTTGTTATTAATTTTCTTTCAGCTCTTAAGAAATTTAATAAAAATACATATTCTTTGTGGATTAGTTAATTTAATTGTCTGTCATCTGTACGAAGAGACAAAGCCATTTTTGTTCGAATCTTTTCATTGAAGAACCCTTTTTTGTTCAGACAAAAAAATAAGGAAAAAAGGAAATAATAGCTAGAAGCCCAGAAGCGAAGAAAAAGAAACAAAGCCAGCGATTGGGTGGATTGTTGACTTCCGGATCAAATATCCAGTTTGACGTATCTTCCACCAATGTTTAGCTGACGTGTCTTGGATTTTTTATAACAAAACATTTATGTCGATGGGTGATCGAGATATCTAATATAGTATATGCTATTGTAATATATAAATTGTATCATACAATATCGAAATGATTTTATAGTAATACAAAATTATGTTATATGATATGATGACTCTATATTATGGCAATACAAAAAATTATACTTTTTTTTTCTAAATATATCTAGATCAATATAATTTTCTGCGTGGAAAATGTTTCATTCTAATTCTTTCACTTTCTTTTAATCTTTGTTCATTTGGTTTTATCTGGGCAGGGATGGGTCTTCTGCCTCAGTTTATTAGGAATAATACCTCTGGCTGAGCGTCTTGGCTATGCAACTGAGTAAGCTTTCTATTGGGTACTGATCAATTACCAATTGCTGATTTTTGCTTGAAATTATACTTAGTTGACTTGTTAATACAATATTAATAATAACATATGGGCCACCAATTATTCAATTCTGATGCAGACAGATTGCTTACTACACTGGACCAACAGGTATGGCTAAAACTGAAACCTGTATCAATATAATAATTTCACTGTGTGTACGTAAGGTTGTTAATCCGTTATCGGACCATCAACCCGACCAAACAAATTGGATCGCTAGTTGGTCGGTTGAACCGGTTTGGCTGACTTCTTTTGCATTTTCTGGCAGTTGGCGGTCTGTTAAATGCAACGTTTGGAAATGCAACAGAAATGATCGTATCAATTTTCGCGCTGAAGAGCGGAATGATAAGCGTAATCCAACAGTCTTTGGCTCTTTGCTGGGCTCCATCTTGTCAAACCTGCTCATGGTCCTTGGATGCGCCTTCTTCATTGGAGGCATTGTCCATCGTGAAAAGAAGGTTCAGGTTTTCAACAAGGTAAAAAGCCATCATCTTCTGGTTCTGCATTTCCAGTTTCTCGATCGATCGACATCTCTACTGATGAATGGTTCCTTGGTCAACACTCAGGCAGCTGCAATTATGGACTCTGCAGTGCTGCTGGTTGGAGTAATGGTGATCACTACTGTCCAGCTTGTAGCTCTCTCGACCGACGATGTAGAGGTTCAGCTCAGTAAACTAGAGCTGCCACTTTCAAGGTTCAGCAGCTGTTTGATGCTCATTGTATATGCTGCCTACCTTTTCTTCCAGCTTAAAAGTCATCACAGTCTTTACAATCCCAATCTTCAGGTTATACGAATTACAGAACGAACAATGCAATGCACCTCTAGCTCTTGTTTCTTTTGCTCAACCTGTGGCTTCTTATACAGAATCAGGAGGAGGTTCCAGATGAAGAGAGTAATCGTCACATGGAGGAAGATGATTTTCCTGAAACTAGTCAGTGGGAAGCGATTTCCTGGCTTGCAATTCTAACCGTCTGTGTCTCTGTACTGTCTGAGCAGCTCGTTGATGCCATTCAGGTAACATATTTTCTAGTGGTTTTTGCCTCTTATTAGGGCTGGGCATGCGGGCGGATCATCCGCGGGTTTGGGCAGACCCACCCGCATTTGACCCGAATTTCGTTAAGTGGGTGGGTCTGTGGGTGGGTGACGGGTTGCGCTGGGAGCCATCCGCCGGGTGGTGGGTGGATTGTGGGTGAGTGTGCGGGTGACCCGCTCAACCCAACAGTAAAAAGATCAAAGTCGTTGCGCTAGAGAGAGGAGAGTGGAGACGTTAGATATAAACTCGGACTGCTCCTGTAGTTTGAACCTCAAAGCCAACCTTCCAAATAGAGATCCCTCTTCTCCCCTTTACTTCTTCCTCTAATTCTTGTGCCTAGATCACCGCCCTATTTCAACTTATTGTTTCCCTCGATGATTATCTTCACCTATTATCATGTCAAGTTGACTTCTTTATATTATATACATTGTGATGTGGGTGAACCCACAAACCCACCCGCATCATCCACCATCCGCCCGACCCAACCCGAGACTAAATGTGGGTGGGTGGTGGGTTAAAAATTATCAATCCGTTTAAACGCGGGTGAGTACATTTTATGGTCAAAATCCACCCGACCCACCCAATGCCCACCCCTACCTCTTATAACAGATCAAATGCAGGACTATAACACGATGTTAATCTAACTTTGATCGTTGTACGTTCTGAATCGTCGTCAGGGGGCATCTGAATCGTTACACTTTCCGACGAGTTTCATCAACGTGATCCTAGTTCCAATAGCAGGGAACTCTGCTGCATACGCCACCACCATCATGTTTGCCATCAAAGATAAGCTGGTTAGTAACAAAGGACATACATTTTTTACTGTCCTGCTTCATGGTAGAAGTATCGAAAGAGAAGCTTGATTCCATTATTTCTTTATTTTGGCACTGATCTGCAGGATATATCCCTCGCGGTTGCAATTGGCTCATCCACTCAGATAGCCATGTTTGCGGTAAGATAAAATGAAGCTGTCTCTGTCATCGTGCTCTTGTAGTATCTCAAATTCCGTGGCTTATTGGTGGTCAATGAACGTTTGTAGATCCCTTTCTATGTGGTGGTTGGGTGGATTGTGAAGCAACCAATGGACTTGGACTTCCAACTCTTCGAGACGGCTACCCTTTTCATCAGCATGCTGATCACTGCATATTCACTGCAGGTATTGTATACTGTTCATCATTCCTGCTTACTTCCATCACAAGTAATAACTTTCATGTAGATTGATTGATATATGCAAGGATATGGTACAATTTACTTTTACTTCCATCACAAGTAACTTAATCTATTGTTGACGATGCAGGAAGGGAGATCAAGTTACATGAAAGGATTGGTACTGATACTTTGCTATTGCGTAGTAGGGGCCGGTTTCTTTCTACATGTCGATCGATGATCACAAGTAACTAGATACAACTAACTTTGTTCTTTTGGTTTCGCTCTGGAGGAGCATATAATTCTCTAATTAGTTGGGAGGGAACATTAAAATTTGTGAAAAAAGTTTGGAAATTATTTGGTTGGTCGTATGTAGGAACGTGAAATTTGTAATGATATGCTACTTGTACGAATGTATGGAAGAAGACCAGGTCACGAGGAGGAAGAAGATGGATTGGGAAGGGATAAAGCACGACAATTATTATAAGGACAAAAAGTGTTAAACATTGGAATGTTAATTTCGGGGGGAGTGACCGTATTTTCAATTCCCACCTCTGTGGGAGAGTGGCCCAAATTTCATGGTTCAATTATCATGCTTTTTTTATCATTAATCAATTACCATGTATTTTTGGTCCATCCAAATAAAGTAATTTAGTCCAATTACTGCATTGTTTGAGAATTTAGCTCAATTTCCTCATTATTATACCTGCATCCAAATGACCCTAAAGTATTCGTATTCGTGTGGAGCCAGGGATGGTAACAAGTCGGGTCGGAGACGAATAGTACATAATCGTTACCCTACCCAAAGTAGTTCGGGTTATACCCATATTTATATCCACATAAGAATCGGGTAGAACATCAAAACCATGTTTATACTAGTTCGGGTTTTCGGTATCCACGGACCACGGTTATCTATGTGTTATAATTTCTCTTTATAACTACTAATCAATATGTTAACATTTACACGTATATTCACATTATATAAAGAGGAAAAGTACGATAGTAAATCACAAGGATGAAGAAAATTAATTAAAACAACACAATTTTATGAATATATTATATTTTTATGCTAAATAAATATGTTATGGAAAAATAATAATTATTTTATTTCTAGACAAAATACATATGCATTTGTATAATCAGACTAATTCGGGTTGGATAGTGAGAAACTCAACTCATGCCCACTCATTATCCACAATATTTGGGTTCAGATTTTATCCATATCCACTAAATTTTTTTCGGATTCAGACGGATATATATGGTTACGGACATTATTGTTATCCTATGTGAAGCATATTCATAAGTGTTGGGCCTGCGTTAGCCCATGGGCTGCCGAATCCGGTGCTGAGCCGTTACGCTCGATTTTACCAGGTAAAACCCTTGCATTTATTATCATTATCTCTATTTATTTACAATTAATTCTGTCCTGGTTTGGTGCTGTTCTGAATTTTCTGAATTTCAAAAATGATACGAAGGAGCCAGAAAAGGAGAGCGACGAATCACGAATGTGACATATTTTTGCGGTAGCCTGGTTCGGACTTTTGGGATATGTCGGCTCAGCTGTAGTGTTATTTGGCGCGTCTTGGTGGGAGAAGGGAGAGTGGAGAGTGATTGATACTTTTTCAACAGCTGGTGGTGGGGAAGATAGGAAGCAGATAGCTGTCGTCATCATCGAAAATGGCTGCCGCAGCATCTACCGCCCATGCCATCAACTTCCGTCTTCCCTTTGCGGCGATCACAAACGGCAAACCCGTGGCAGCTCTTCCTTCTGCTTCCTTCATTAGCTTTGGCGCCACTCGATCGCCTCTTCCATCGACTAATTCGGTTGCTAGGTTCGTTCTCTGCGGCTTACAGGCGCCGCAATCCCCTTTTTTCTCTCAACTTTCTCAGATTGTTGGATGAATCCTGCTGATTGCTACTGAACTGAATAATTGTAAGGGTTAGTGGATATATCCTTGCCGGTTTTGGTCTTGATCATGAACTCATAAGCTTGTAATACTCTATTTCAGGGCGGTTTATCTTTTTGATAATTGGGGTTTGGAGTCAAAATTTGAAAAACTTACTCGCTAGAATGATTGCTTAATGATCTCTGATTCCTGTAGGCCGGTTGAAGTCAGTAAGCCAATAGAAATGGAAACATTTTGTTGTTTTTTGCAAACTAAGTTATCGATGGGATGTCCACTATTTTGTTCATTCTGTGCTGACTGTTTTCTGCCGATTCATATGCATCAACTTTGTTGCAGATTGACGTTTTCTAAGAGCATAATTGTTCCCCGAGCATCAGAAACCACTGCTGTTGAGGTCTGAGAGTAGTGCTTATCTTATTTTGTCTTTCTTGTTTTTAGTTTTTAGACCTGGGGGATTGGGTGTGAAGTAATGCGTTCATCGAGTTGGGTTTGGATGTGAATGATTTTTGAACAGGATGGGAGTTACAGTGATATGGATGGAGTGCCGACTCCCAAGGTGATAATCGACCTGGACTCTGATCCAGATGCAACTGTTGTCGAGATCACCTTTGGTGATCGCCTTGGAGCACTTGTGGATACTGTGAGTACTGCTTACTTCTGGTGACGACAATGCTCATCTGCTCTTTCCTTCCCGGTGATGTGCCTAATGCGTGTCTTTTGGTTTGATAGATGACAGCACTGAAAAACCTTGGACTAAATGTGGTGAAGGGTAATGTCTTCTTGGATTCTTCTGGGAAGCATAACAGATTTGCCATCACGAAAGCGTAAGTTGCTGGCTGCATTTACCTTTTCTTGTATTTCTCGCTCTGTAATTTATTTACTTCTTATAATGACTGCTAATTTCAAGGTGTAAAGCTAAGGTAGTTTGGTGTTTCTATGTATTGCTGAACTCCAAGTAATATCTGTTGGCTAGTAAGACTTTGGAGGCATAACAGGTGCCCAAGCTTATAATTTTTTTGTTGTGAAGCTTTCCATCATCCATCTTAATTATCTAAATTCGAATTCCAACAAGCTTTTCTTCATATCATAATGAAGTGACGAAGAAATAAGCTGGAATGAGAAGGCTTAGTTGAGTTTTCAAAAGCAGATGGTTTGATTCACTATTAAATCAAAGAAACAGGAGCTTTAAGTCTCAGAATTTTGTTCGATATTCCTAGGATTAGGAGCTCTAAACTTGTCTCTGATTTTCATTTCAAGTTTGATAAAGGAGGAGCTATGAGAAACTAGTAGAATCTGCTATGTTGGGTTACAAGATTGTATGTTTTTTTATGTAGAAGGGGGAGTTAGAGGTCTCTGCAGATATGTCTGTGGTTATGCCATGATGGTACACAAGTTCAGAGTTATTAAATCTCCTTGTTCATTTTGCGCCTCTAGCAAGCCAAATTTGGAATCAGCTGCTACCAGTTCCATGGTTTCAAATGGAAATATTTACAGTATGGGATTTACAGTGGTCTGGGTATAGACACGGATATAGTGTCCTGTGCACTTTCTTGTGCATTGGAACTTTTCCGCCATATTGCCTAGAAAATGCGGTTTTGCTTATTCCGAGTTCGAGACTTGCTAGAGAAATGAGTACTAGAATATTTGAGATATTGGCTTTTGTGTGACAGGAAGATCCGTTTATTTGAATTGTGTGTCAACTTGGCGAATATATGTTTTACTCTTGGCTTTCCTTTTTCTAGTTGTTTAATTTGACACTGCTGAATTATGCACAGCGCGACTTCTATTTGCATAATACCTTTTTGGTTTTGCAGTGATAGTGGTAGGAAGGTTGAAGATCCAGAGCTCCTTGAGGCAATTCGTTTGACAATAATTAACAATCTACTTAAGTATCACCCAGTATGTGATACAACATCTTCTGATTAACTTTGTATCTCTTGTAGCCAATGTGCTTTGTTTCATCTAATTTGAATACCCTCATTTCTGTTCCAGGAATCAAGTAGTAAGTTAGCGATGGGAGTCTTCTTCGGTGCACAACCACCAAATCAGCAGGTTTTCTAATTGGTTTTCCCTTTGAAGATTACATTGTAAATTTTCTGGTTATTATTCCTTCTCTGTGACGCTCTTTTCATTATCTGAGTTTTGTGATAAGCAGTTACAGATCACCACCTATATTTCTAATTTGTTACTCGAGGGATTTCTTTCCTTCTGATGTAACTAGACTTGCTAACATATACAAATGAAGATGAGCTGAGAACTGTGTTGCAACTCTCAGGTAGATGTGGACATCGCAACCCATATAACCATCTCGGATGAAAGTCTCAATCGAAGGTAATGAGTTTACCCGGCCAAATTTAATATCTTCGTCATGTGACTAAGTTTTCTGAGCCTGTCAGGTAATTTCTGTGTAGAACAGTGATTATATTGTGATAACACAGGCTTAACTTATGTATGTGCTTCTCTGCTCTAAGAATGGTATTGGGAATTGTCATTCTTTGTTAAGTTAGAGCAAATGGTGGCCATGCATTTTGGCTGTTGCTTCAGCATCAGCAATAATAAAGTCTTCAATTTCTGGTTATGTTAGCCTTTGTAACTACTTAACCAAGGCACACTTATACCTGTTACTTTTATGACCATTGACTTGCTTTGGACCAGCAATTCCTATGGTGGAAAGAACATCTGTTTTGTATATGCATCATTATTAAGGGCAAGAATATAATTCAGTAAAACATAGTTAATGCACCGTGACATCCAATTTTATTTTGAAGTTCTGATCTTGGAACCAGTAAAAACATTCGAATTTTCCACCCTTGTGCCTTGTTAAAGCTTAAATGGAGGATAATAAAATTACTAAGTAATGTTGAACGAGTGAAGGATTACCGGTTGGCATGTGAACAATAATGCTGAGAAATAACACCATCTCACTCCTTTTTCTTGCGCCAGCTTATTGAGTGTGGAAACAGCTGATCGCCCTGGTTTATTGGTGGACCTTGTGAAGGTCATCAGTGACACCAATATTGCAGTTGAATCAGGAGAGTTTGACACCGAGGTACATGTGTCTAGTGATAATGATCATCTTAGGACGGTCTTTTCGTTGTCTTCGTTTTTTAAGAGTTAAAATGATGTTCATGGGCGATCATTGTTTTGTTGCACAGGGTTTGTTGGCCAGATCGAAGTTTCATATCAGCTACGATGGTAAAGCTGTCCCCAAGCCTCGTCAACAGGTAAATGAACCACTCAGAGTCTTCCTGCTAGCTAACAGTTTTGTATGTAGCTGCTGACTTCTCTTCTGCCCCTATCGATATTCTGATATAGAATGTGCTGTTCAAACTTTGTGACGTGAATCGTTGGCCAGGTTCTTGCTAACAGCTTGCAGTATTTCTTGAGGCGTCCTGCAACGGAGGACTCCAGCTTTTAAGCCGGTGAAGAAAATTGTGGCAGATTGGAGAGAACCAACCAAACCACTACTGTGTTTCATCAATGCATCTCTTTCTATTGAGATGCATGTATCTTTGTGGTAAACCATAGAACTTGCTTAGTTGCTTGGGGTTTCTTTTGATCGCGAAAACGGGAACATGAATTTCAAAATCTGAATTCGTGTCTGTGGTTGGTTTTGTGCAATCGAGCTTTAGTTAGCCGAGTGTGAACCATTCGACTGTGTTGAAGAAGTGGTTTGATTTGGTCCAACAACATGATGCATGGGTGGGACTGATTTTGAAGGAGGGATCTCTTCTTCATCCAGGATATCTTCAAGAAACATGAGGCTCTGAAGAAGCTGGATTTGCGACCGATTGGTATAGATGATATGGCGGGTCTTAGTGACGTGGCGGGTTGGGTCTCACTATTTTTAGTTGAATAGAGTTGATTAGACGATTATGTCCGCCATGTCAGCACTTAACGAACTCTACTAACGGAGATGGACAGCAACTAACGGAGGGTGACCAAACGTGAACGTTTTCACTAAAATTAGTGACCACCCATGGAATTAAATATTTTCAGTGACCATACATGAATGTTTTTGTAATCTCAGTGACCAACCATGCAATTAACCCCAAAAATCTCAGACCAGATAATTAATTGTGATCGAGTCAAGAATTATGTTCATCGAGAAATGAATTTTTGGATCATGATATTATCATCGTGCTACAATTATACATTTCCGTACCACTGTGATATATTTTTCTGTGTGGCACCACTATATATCAGAACGTTTAAAATTAACTAGTTTTATTTAAAATATATCAAATCTAGACAACTAGATATCATGCTATTTATAAAAGGGTAATTATTAATCTAATTTTTGTGGAAAATAAATTTTGAATTAAATCGAACGAAATGTAGTCTCGAGAGAGGCTAGCTTGTTATATCCATTTTTTTGTTACAAAATATATATAAAAAAAATGATACCCTCTCTTCTTCCTCTTTCATTTCTTCAACAAACTGAGAAGCTGGGTGAGTGGAAAAGAAGGGGGACGCGTAGTGCAAGCAAAATAATTCAACCAAATCAAAGAAGATGACGTATCATGTATTTTCGACGTCGAAGTATGGAAGACGGCTCCGCAAAATTAATGCTCTGCGTTCAACAACTGCAGAAATGGCGGAAAGCAGAGAGCCTTTAAAGCATCGTACACAGGCTTGTTGAACCCCGCTCACCAAATCACAATCACACTGACATGTCCTTTTTATATTTCCAAATTTGGCCGCATCCCGCCATGATAGCTTTCTTTTAATTGCATGCAAGGCTGCAATCAATCATGATTCATGTGGTTGGGCGATAGCCGATACGATTGCCTGCAGGTATCCAGCTCTATAAATTCAGGCCAGGCTTCATAGAACCCAAGCATTGCCTCAACATTCTTCTTTCTGGGGAGTAATTGGGTATCTATGGCGGCGAAGACAGCGGGCGAACCCATGAGTGGGAAGCTGGAGGCAGAGGTGGAGCTCCATTGCTCGCCGGCGAAGTTCTACGACGTGTTCAGGAACACAGCTCACCACATGCCAAACCACTCCCCGACTCATATTCAGGCGGTGCAAGTCCACGAGGGCGATTGGGATTGTCATGACACCGTCAAATTCTGGATCTACACCTGCGGTAATAACTCTTGATACTCTGTTTTTTTTATACTCTGTTTTTTTTTTTTATACCCTGTTTTTCATTCTGTATGTGAAAAAACAGAGGGGAAGCTGGAGGTGTTCAAGGAGAGAGTGGAGTACGACGATGCCAAGAGAACGGTGAAGTTGAATGGGCTGGAGGGGGATGTGATGAAGCTGTACAAAGTTTACAACGTAATCTATGAATTTGTGGCCAAGGAGGACGACAATGGCGAGGGGAAGCAGCAGGGCGTGGCCAAACTGACGATTGAGTACGAGAAGCTGAAACCAGATGTGCCGCCTCCTACTAAGTACATGAACTTCATCACCCTCCTAGTCAAGGAGGCTGATGCTAGCCTTGTCAAAGCCGCTTGATTGATCGATCCGTCTCCATCATCAGCTTCGCCATATATAATACAAGCATCTTATCATCGTTACTCTTTTGTTTGTGTGCTTCCGGTTGTGCTCATTCGTATGGATCGAGGTTTTCGATTTCGGATCGGATGTATCGACCATGTTCGCTAATAATCGATATTTCGAAAGTATATGCAAACCGTTAATAAATAGTGTGTGTTTTATTGTTGTTAAGGTGTGTTTGCTAGAAATGCTAAATAAAGTGGGTGATAAGGTGAAGTATAAAGTATAAACCTCACGGTAATGCTACAAAGCATGGCTCGTGGACATCGGATTCTCAAAATTGACATGGTTGATTACATAAACACCCTAGCAAAACTAGTTATAGTTCATGACACTGAGTCACACTGACGAAGTCTTGACCACACCCTGATGTTATCAATGGATCTATACTTAGCTTTTTTATTGCTCTGTTCTTGCTGGTTACCTTGATGGAGTGTCTTGTTAGTTAGACATGGGTGCCCAGCTTGATAAGATGAGACCCTAGCATTTTCCCATAAGGGCTACACACTTAGTTTTAGAGAGCTTTCCCTGGGGCCAACTTGTCATAGTCGGTAAGCCACTCTTACCAGCTTGCTATCAAGTCAAATCCTGACTTGGTACCCCATCAACATCCCACCTTAGTTAGTCTTGGCCCCTTAATGGGCTCGACACCAAGTTCTCATCAAGTTGGTATCCTGTCAGCTCGGTACCCTGGCTGACAAGTCTCCACTCTCAAAGTTTCATACTTAGTCTTCATGATCTATGAATTGTCCATGTCGGTACCCTAGCTGCCAAGTCTAACACCCTCGAGGTTCCACACTTATTATTCAGAATTTAGGGATTGTCCCTGATGGATTGGTACTCCGTCGGGTGGCCACCTCAGTTGGTCTCCCGACTTTAGTTTTTTACAACTCATCAAGTTGGTACCTTGGCGGCCTACTAGCTACCTTGTCGCCATGTCGGCTTGGTATCCAGTTGCCACCAAACCTGTATCACCTGCTTCATGGATTTGAAAAATGAAGGTTTTGATAAAACTTGGGTTTTGTAAAACCATGGATATATGAGGATTTTGGGTTCATCATGGACTTGAAAAATACCATTGTTTGTTACATAGATTTCATGATGGAATTGGTTAATTAGATTTGTATATGTGAAGTGAAATTTATCTTTATTGCCCTCATTGGTATGAGAAGAGATATGAAATAGTAGGGGTAGTTTGGTCTTAAATGATGAACTTCAAAGTCCATGATCAATTCTCACCTAAATAGGTGAAACTTTCAAGTCTGTGGGGTCCACAGATTTGGACCCTTACAGTTTGTGGGACCCGTAGATTTGTTGCTCCTAAATGCATGAAGCAAACAAATGGATTTTGGACAAACTCAAACAAACAAATGGATTTTGGACAAACTCCCTGATGGATCCAAAATCCCTCAACAAATCAATTTGATACCAAGCCGACATCAACTACAAAGGCAATGGGGGCATTTGTGCACCTATGCTAGGAAGAGAGAGAGTTAGGCCATTTATGTCCGCAAATCCAATCTAATAAGGTCTAGCTAACAATAATAATATTTAATGTTCAGCTAACCTTATAAAATCATTAAATCTCTTATAATTAATCGATTTGGTATGATATTGATTTTTAGGTATAAATATTAAAGGGTAAATGACACATTTGGTCACTGAGATTATTAAATCATATCATGTTTAGTCACTAAAAAATTAATATTAATTTTGGTCACTCGAATTACTGAAACATGTCACATTTAGTCACTCTCCTGTTAGTTTCCGTCCAACTTCATTAACGGGTAATTGAGTCTAATTAGTTGAAGAAAAAAATCAAAATTGAAGAAATATAAATAGGTACGGTAAGAAATTGAGATAGAATGGGACAACAATGGAGCAGTGCTGTCGAAAATAGATATTCATGTTCCGCCGAATAATACTGCAAATCGGATAATACCAACTCCATCACAGATAAGATCGAATAATATCCGACTTTTAAATTGTCATTTTGTGCAAGGAAAATAATTGCCCCAGGTCCAACCAAATCAAATAAGATTAACATTATAATATAGTTGGACGTGATACTGTGATAGTATGGAAGAGGGCTCCGCAAAATTAATGCTCTGCATTCAACAACTGCAGAAATGGCGGAAAAACAGAGCCTTTAAAGCCCTATACATGTTGTTGACTCCCACCCACCAAATCACAATCACGCAGATATATGTCTTTTCTTTTTGAATTTGGCCCCAAGAAAATAACCTTCCTTTGATCATGATTCATGTAGTTGGGCGATCCGTTCACTAGGTAGATTACAGGATTGCCTGCAGGTACACAACTCTATAAATCCAGGCCAAGCTTCATAGTTAGTTGTATTCCCATACGAGAATAACCCAAGCTTGCTTCTATTTTCTTCTTTCTGGAAAGTAATTGGGTATCTATGGAGAAGACAGCGGACGAAGCCATGAGTGGGAAGCTGGAGGCAGAGGTGGAGCTGCATTGCTCGCCGGCGAAGTTCTATGACATGTTCAGGAGCACAGCTCACCACGTCCCAGACCGCACCCCGACTCATATTAAGGCGGTGCATGTCCACGAGGGAGATTGGGATTGTCATGACACCGTCAAATTCTGGATCTACACCTGCGGTAATTACACACATATATGAGTATTTTTATAACGCTTGATACTCTGTTTTTTCATACTCTGTTTTTTTTTTATCCCCTGTTTTTCATTCTGTACGGGGGAAAAACAGAGGGGAAGCTGGAGGTGTTCAAGGAGAGAGTGGAGTACGACGATGTCAAGAAAACGGTGAAGCTGAATGGGCTGGAGGGGGATGTGATGAAACTGTACAAAGTTTACAACGTAATCTATGAATTTGTGGCCAAGGAGGACGACAATGGCGAGGGGAAGCCGCAGGGGGTGGCCAAACTGACGATTGAATATGAGAAATTGAAACCAGATGTGCCGCCTCCTACTAAGTACATGAACTTCGTCACCCTCCATGTCAAGGAGGCTGATGCTAGCCTGCTCAAAGCCGCTTGATTGATCCCATCCATCTCCGTCATAGATCAACTTCGCCATATTCATTACTCTCTCTCTCTCTCTCTTTGTGTGTTTTCGATTTCAAATCGGATGTATCAACTACGTTTGCTAATAATCGATGTTGCAAAAGTATATGCAAATCGTTAATATAGAGTGTTTCTATCGTTGTTGCTAAGATGAAGATCTTCATGAAAAACCTGGTGGTAATGGTAGAAAGCATGATTCCTGGACAATGGATTCACAGAGTGAGGGGATTGATTACCATGACACAATTGCTTCTCTGGCCAAACTAGTTATAGTTCATTATCATGTTATGGGCTATTAAGGATTGGCTTTTGCATCAATTAATATGACCATCTAATGCTTTTCTTCACGAAGATCTTCGTGAAAAGTATAAGAGATTCAGCAAAGTTTTCTTTATGCTAATGACAGCAAGTGTGCTAACTTCACAAGTTTATCTATGGTCTCGAAAATGTTTAAGGTAAATGGTTTCAAAAAAATTCAACAATCTGGTGAAATTTTAATCTCTTCAAAATCATACGGACTTTCTCCTGTTATTCATCATACTCCAAGTGTATTTGTGGTGGTCACATATGTGGATGGTTTACGTGAAAACGCACTTCAATTTTAAATGAGTAACGAAGATATGAATTAATTTTCAATTGATATATTACGGTCACTCTCATTATAGTTTGGACAATAAATGAATTTATAAATGTTTTAGAATATGAAAATAAATCGTATTATATAAAAATGCTGAAAATTAACTTATATAATTCCTTACATCGGACACACCTTAAGGTAATTTTTGACTAAACAAGTGATCGTCGGTCGTGTTTTAACCTACCTGAAGCAGTCACACTTCCTTTTCCTTGACATATCCGCGGTCACTGATCAAATCATCTTTTTGTTTGTCAGAGTAGCTCTCTTTATCTTCATGTCCCTTCTCTTCTCTTCTCCGTCCCCTTCTTCTTTATGTGTTCATCTTTAATTCTTTCACCAAACTCAACAAAGAATGGTTCGGGTGTGCATGTGCAATCATATCATAGCAATAGTATTGCTTCCCTCATTTGGTAGACCTGCAGGTACCCAGCTCTATAAATTCAGGCCAAGCTCCATAGTTGCACTATACACTATAAGCCAAGCTTGCCTATACTCTTCTTGCTGGGGATTACCAATAGATAGACAGCAATCCATGGCGGCCACAGCGGCGGAGATGATCAGTGGGAAGCTTGAGGCGGAGGTGGAGCTGCACTGCTCGCCGGCGAAGTTCTACGACATGGTTAAGAACTCGGTTCACGACCTGCCAAGCCACTCCCCGACTCATGTTCAGGCGGTGCAAGTCCACGAGGGCGATTGGGACGCTCATGGCACCGTTAAATTCTGGATCTACACTTGTGGTACGTTTTCCATTGTTACAATGTGATCGCGACAGTTGCTACAGTGTTTATACTCTGTTTTTTTATGTACTCTGTTTTCGTTCTGAAAAAACAGAGGGGAAGCTGGAGGTGTTCAAGGAGAGAGTGGAGTACGACGATGCCAAGAAAACAGTGAAGCTGAACGGGCTGGAGGGCGATGTGATGAAGCTCTACAAAGTGTAAAATGTGATCTATCAATTTGTGGCCAAGGACAACGGCGACGACAATGGCGACGGGAAGAAACAGGGGATGGCAAAACTGACGATTGAATATGAGAAGCTGGACCCAAATGTGCCGCCTCCTACCAAGTACATGAACTTCATCACCCTCCTTATCAAGGAGGCTGATGCAAGCCTTGTCAAAGCAGCTTGATTGATGGCATCCACAACCATATGTGCATGTGATCATTTACTCTATCGTTGTATGCTTCTGCTTGAATTCGATTGGATTTTGTTATGCCGAACATGCTATAAATAAAAATGGATTTGTTTTGAGATAGAACGGTGGAAGGGCAGAAGAAACCAAAAAAATGTTCATCTTTTGTTCTTTACAGGGATTACAATCCTAACTTACTCAGCGTGATCTAAAGTGTCACAATTTTCAGTTCCCACCGATCATTTCTCCGGGAATAATGTTTCATGACCAGCATCAGAGAGACCTATGAGATTGACATGTTCAGAAAAAGTTACAATATTGGGGGTTAAGGTACTACGTACTCGCGCTTTTTGTTTTTGTCACAGGTGCAGCAGCCGGGTTTTGGTGAAGCAGAACTTTCAGGACAGGCAGCCAATACATCACTCGATTACAACCAAGCCGACAAAGAAGAATGCAGCACTAATCTGGTATTCAGATCAGCAGGATTACTGGGCTTCTGGTGCAGGATAGCCTCTGGCAACAGTGTTGGGCAAAGAAACCAAATTCCAGCTTTGTCAGGAATGCTCCTTTCCAATGTGTAACAAAATATGCCCTCCACTCTTCTCGACTGTTAGCTCCCTCGGACCAAGCGTGACCGACTACCTAGTCATCATCTGTAGAAAACGATCACACATATAGTTGATGATACAACAGTTACCAAGTTATCTTTGGATTCTGAAGAGGACCCATAACTGAATGATCACTCCCCCTTATAGCATGAGTGACAAACTTCCCAGACAACTTACCACTTGAACGATCAACATGCACGAAGAAACTTGCCGCGACTATAAGATAACACAGGATGAGCATAAGGCCTTTAAAGTAGTTAGAGGTTCCTTCCTGAATCCAGCAACAATGAAACGTGGTGAGCAAAGTGAAGAAGATGAAAGACATCTCAATATTAGCAAGCTCAAAATGAGAACTGTTCAGAGTAGAAGAATAGTAAACAGACTGAGCCACGAACCTGTAACATGAATGCCACCACTAGAACAGTGATGAAGAGGGTAGCAGTCTCAAACAGTTGAAAATTCAAGTCCATCGGTTGGCCCATTATCCACCCAAGGACGACACAGAATGGGATCTACAAGTCCCAACAGAATGACGGTTACTTACTATGCTAAGTACTTTAAGCAACAAAAATCATAGTTACAATGAGCATAAGGAAAACAGAAAGTCACCAACGCTAGAGTTAACTTTCACTACCCACTCGACAACTGCAACAGATAAATACAAACAGAAAGAGCTAATTACCACAAACATTGAAATCTGCGTAGAGGACCCAATAGCAACTCCAAGGCTGATGTCCTGGAAAGATATTGTCCATAGAGCAACCCAGATAAGTATGTCAGCATTAGCAAGAATGAACTAGGAGAACCAAAACATCCATTATTGTTGAACATCATCATTCCTACTTACAAGCTTGTCCTTCATAGCAAACATAATAGCACTTGCATGCTCAGCTGCATTTCCCACAATGGGAAGCAGGATCACACTTATGAAAGCCATAGGCATATTCAGTGACTCGGATGCTCCCTGAAAGACACGTATCAATGGGATAAAGTAACAATGTTCTCTAAAATGCAGAGTTCACACAAATTCTAACTTGTTACTTGGATTGGGATAAGAAAGGGGTTACCTGGATGGCATCAACAAGGTATCCAGACAGCACAGAGATCCACAAAGTCAAAACTGCAAGCCAACAAATTGACTCCCACTGTGTAATTTCAGGTGCTTCTTCATCATCGGCACCTTCTTCATCGTTATTCACTACCTGTAGAATTTGGGAAGGATTACAATTTGGAGTATTGTCAAGGCTCGAAACACTGCCCAACAAGAAGGCTAAGGTTGCTTTACAAAGAAATTATCTTTTTGTATCCAAATAATTTGCATTACTCCATTTATTAAGTTCCTTCCCAAAAAAATTAGGAATTTAAAATTTTAAGAGCGCATTCTTGAAAATAGTACCCACTTGAAGACAGCAGAAGCAGGAAGAGCAAGAAGACGGCATAGACAATGTACCTCGTCAATAGGGCTGTACAGATTATGCTGACTCTTAAGTTGGAAGAAGAGGTAGCTTCCATAAGCAACTAGCATAATGCAGCTACTAAATCTTGAAAGCGCCATTTCTGACTTCCCAAAATGGATTTCAGTGCGCGTGAAGTGAAGCACTGCTGGGAACATTATCCCCATTACAGCCATTAATAATAGTCCAGAATTCACTACAGCAGCTGCCTGTTCCAAGATAATTCCCATTTTCACATTTCACAACCGCTGAGGCATTCAGACTTTGTCATGGAAAGATGATTTAATGTGCCTGAAAATACCTTATTGAAAACCTGAACCTTCTTACAATGTACAATCCCACCAGTGAAGAAGGAAAATCCAAGCACCAAGAGCATATTAGATAAGATGGAGCCCAACAAAGATTGCTGAACAACTCGTACCATTCCACTCTTTAGAGCATAGATGGATATAATCATTTCAGTGGCATTTCCAAAGGTTGCATTCAGAAGACCACCGGCTGGAAAGATAACAAGAAACATTAAAATAACTGCAGAACTGCAACCTACTGTGACGTCATTAAATCAAAAATCATACTGCAACCAATCAATCACTGGCAAGATGAAGAAAAAATTATATTGTCATCCAAACAACCCATTTTAAATGAGGCCCAGTGAAACAATAGCCAAATCCTCAGGTCACATATACCAAAATTTTCAGTTCCTAATAGAACACATAGAACTCATTATGCATCAATAGATCAAAGAATCCTTGTTTGCTAAGGTAGCATAACACCACAGATGGCTCAAATCACAAGTAAAACGGTCTTTTCTTTCTTAAAAGAAATGAAAATAAAAAACACGAAAAAACTCCTCTCTCTTCGGCCTTCACTCCCTAACGCCATCACTTTGTGTCAGCCCCTTCGTCCTCCATTACAGCTGCCGACTGCCAACCAAACCTTAACCCCTACCTCCTTCACCTTGCCTCAATCCACTACTGTTGTTTTTCATGATTTAGACCCTTTTTGCGCTTTGATTTCACGAATTTGGATCTTAAGCTCTTCCATGAGTTATGATTTTATGTTATTGTGCAACCTCTACTCGTACTCTATATTTATGAACTTCCTATAAGAGTTAGGATTCAGTCTAGTTTAAGAGATTGTCAAATTAATTTATGTGTGACTGCCAACCTTTTAAATATGTACAGAGATAGTAACTTGAATTCTATAGTGTTTATGTCCCCAAGAATACAAGTTTTAGTCAGAAGATCTTTATCAATTTTACATATTGCTTAAAAGTTCAAGCTTTCAGTTACTACCGATCTTTCCGCTTGAATCACACTTTTAACTATATTGACGCTAACGTACCAATGCAAAAGTCTCGAAAGATGGATAAAATAATTTGTAATGACTCAAAATTTTAGTTGTCGAATATAAAATGCATAGAAGTACATATATTAAAGTGAACCTAAAGCTCTTGCCACATAAGAGCCTTTTATGCTACTACAAGTGAAGAATAGTTTCCACACGTTTAGTAGGCTCTCAGAAAGATTCCCATATGTTTGATCACCTTTGAACTCTGTTCCTTTCTTCTCCCCAGAACTTAAGAATCATGAATATTTACATACGATGCAATTCACAATCCCACATTCTTCTGACCACACACCACAGAAAGAAAGTTCAGATCTGATGCTCTGAATATGGATTCGAAGACTAGTTGTCCGCATATACTTTGAAATATTATGATGAATGAAGTCAACAACTAAGTAAACCATATCTGACTTGCATAGTAAAGCATCCAAGTTAACAATCCAACTAGGTATAGGAATATTCAGCACCAACCGTACCTGTTGGTCCAGTGTAGAATGCAAGTTGCCTGCAAAGCAATTACCAGTAAACTTCTCACTACAACTTCGAGCCTAAAACAGGAAAGAAAATTAGTAATACAATTGATGACATATAGACACTTACTCAGTGGCATAACCCAACCGCTCAGCCAGAGGTATAATCCCCACTAAACTAAAGAAGAAAACCCAAACCTGGAAGATGACAATCAAGAAATCACCATTGTTAGTGAACTTGCAAATCAACCACAGCGTTCTAGAAAATCAAATGACAAAAACCAACACAACTCCAGATCAAATACATACATGCTTTCCAGTGAAGTAATGGAGCAAAATTGCTAGGGGACCAAAAGGGAGCAAGACATTGATCTTGGCTCTGATCAAAACAATGTAAAATGTCCTGAAAGGGCTCCTCTCCATCCGCTTGACAATCCAGGAGTTGGCCAAATGATTAGAAGAAGTATTAATATGGGAGTGATTGGATGAACTCAGTGGCAATGTCTCACTCTCCAAATCAAAGTTTACTGCTTTCCTCCTTGTTGGTGAGGAAGCGGCGCCACTGAACAAGATCTCCATCTCCTCATCACCAGATTCAATTGCTACTTCCACTTTCTCATCCACAGGTCCCATATCTACACGCCAACAGAAACACAACAAAGGGGAAGGCTTTCAGCAGAGAACCGAACTTATCGATCCAGAAACCAAAAGCAAAAAAGCCCACCAGAACCCAGTTCAGAAAAGTTCAACAAACATCATAAAGTTGCAAGCTTTAAAGCTTTTTCCAAAGATGAGCGAACAGATCAAGGTGAAAGGAGAAGAGGAGGAAGGGGAATCGGGACTTCCCGACTCCAAATCAGTACCTGCGATTTGCAGCGCTGACGGGGAGGCTAATCTGGATTGCTTCAACTTGGCGGTTCTTCTGATTCTGTGGGGATTGACGTTGTGAGATCCTGTTAGGAAGCTTTGCGATTATCGGGAGAGAAATGGGATAGTTGGAGGGATGGAAAAGCACTAACAATAAGGGAGAAGTGGGCAAACTTCCAGTATCGCAGGAAAATAATTAACTGAAAGGGTCAGGACGGGGTGTAGGAGAAGTCAGATGTGCACCATGGCCAAAGACAAAAGGAAGCTTCTTAGAAGTGCCGCCAATTAGGTCGCTGTTTTCACTTTTGATTTTTCGTTTATTTGGCTAATAATATGTTCCACGACTTACAAGTTATCGTAATTTGAATAAAATGATCTATCGATTTTATAGATCGATTTTATAAATTAGCCGATTAGATGACATAATTATACTATTATAGTATTAAGATCAATACAATAACGAGAACAATTACATATGTTGTTTTTATTGTCACCTCACATTTTATGTAATCCAATTTATTTTAATTTTATTGTGCAATGTCAATGTAATTTAATCGCAATTACAATTGATTATTTTAATACAATTATAAAAATAAATACTTAAATAATAAAAATTGATTCATAATTGCATTAGATGCAATTTTCATGTCATTGTACAAGTTAAAATCAAATTCCAATGTGGGTGCCTTACAAAGGTAAATAACAGTCGACCGTCATCATGAAATGATTGGCGATTGGCCATTATCTTATTGATGTTGGAACATGATTCCACCACTAAAAAAGTGTTTGTCCTAATTAAGGACATAGCTACTACTTAACCCCTGTTAACATATCAACATAAACCTCTATCAATAGTCATATGCATTATTAATTTATCGCTGTAAAAGTCTTGTAAACGAATTGTCGTGGCTATGGAGCATAGTTAGTAAAATACGGTACGGGAAAGTTACGTAAAAAATATGTACGGGTATTTTACGTCATCTCTAAGCTAAAGGTACGTTTAATAGTACGTTAATAGTAATAAATATATAAAAATAAATTATTTTAAAATAAATAAATATATAAATAATAGTAAAGTTCACAATTTAATTCATTAAATACGGATATTAAACGTGTTATACGGATTTTATACGTGTTTAGTACGGGAGCCATCCAATGAACGGAAAAAAATTAAACGGCTTGACAATAATACGGATACGGAAGTTTTAAACGGATAAAGTACGTACGAGTACATATACGTGTATTAAACGGAGTATTTACTAACTATGCTATGGAGTTCGGTAAAGAAGAAAAGACATCGGAATATCAAATGTAGATGATGCAATACCAACAGGTTGACCACGCCAGTTGTTCATACTTTAAAGCACCCTCCACAATGTTAGCTTCTTGTATGGATAGATCTTTAGCCCTAATCGGTCGACCACTCCATGATGCAGTCAACCAATTTCTTCCTTAACATGAACCTATACATCATCAAGTAGAGCGCAACATATAAGCAGTCAACTGTTCTCTTCATTTGTCATAGTTGATTCCTATTGTAAGTGTGTCATCCGGTCGATCGTTTTACGAAAGCTGTCTACAAATTTGCAAAACCAATCAGCCGCTTTCCATATACGATCTATCTTTTTTCCAAATTGCAGTCACTTGAAAGTCACCATTAACATATACCCTAAGTTCCTCTCTTTCCCCTATGTCTGATAAGTTAGTTGACCGGTATCTTCCGTTTTCCCATTCTCGTTTGTTTCTACTTTTCAAAGAGACACAAGTCAGAGATATACAAATTCAGCCACCTCCAACCCAATCCAGCAAGTGAAGTTACCAGGCTTAGAAAAATAGCAGCAGGGGTCTTTGTTAGCTGCTGTTTGGGCTATTTTGGCTTTGCATTGTTTAGCTTATTCCTCGCTTGTGATGTTTGAGCTCTTAAAGTAAGTGTTCTTGGCTTCTTCCAATGTACCAGCAGCAAGTTCTAATAAGTAAACAACTGGAAAACTGCATATAAAAATATGGACCTCTTTCTTCTTCTCCCAGGACACTCATTGAAGCAACAAACTACAAACTTTATCTCTCCAACTTAAACATTCTAACCTCCCTCGACTTTGCACAAAGATACAAAGATTAGAAATGGTAAAAAAAAGTAATAAAAAAAAAAGAAATACCCCTCATGAGATTGAGAAGCAAGCAACAATAGCTGCCTCTAAAAGGCTATAAAAATAAAGGGGGAAAAGATACCCAACGAGAACATTACCCCTACTCAACTTCTGTCTCCTTCTTCTTCTATTTTCCCTTTGTTTTTCTGGTCATTTCAATTACAAGCACAAGGCCTTCAACAAATTTCATCAAATGTATGGAGAAGAGTTATGCATGGAACATTAGTTAGAATGGGGATGACGAAGTTCTCCGCAGCTGATATCTTCGTTCAAGTGTCGGTGCACTCGGCAATATATTCTCCAGCTCCTGCAACATTCCACATTTCAACAGCTTAATGTACTGAGATTTCTTTCTATTGCAAATCACTAAGAAATCATGACAGAAAAAACCATGTGCATCCACAGCACATTTATGTGTTGAACAAATGTGAAGCATGGGGCATGTTGCAGACTAACAAGTACAGGGTAGTAAAGGGAACACAATCAAGGTTGCATGTAAGCAAATCAATACTCCACTGACTAGGTGATGTCCTTCTAACAATTCCTAAACCCAAGTTATTGTTGTTGTTGCAATAACTAAATAAGAGCAGCAGCGTCCTGCCATGCTTAGGATGTTATCAGTGGTCAAAACTGCAACAAACTATCATCCAACATCAAGACCTCAGACTTCAAGCACTTATACTCGGCCAAATTATCAGCTCACAACAAAAAACAACATTTCCAAGCTACTTTTGTTCCTTCCTAACAGAGCAAACCACCTAAAGCCATTAGTATCTCCTTAGCTGGAGCTATACAACTGTTGATCCAATATCTAGATGAAAGCAATCTATTGCACGGCTACAGAACTTGGATCCTTCTTAGCTGTTCATTTGTGTAGACCTTGTGGACAATCAACGAGACAAACTCAAAAAAAAATTAGGATATTCGCAGTGCTGATTGCTGCACACACACACACAAAAATCCTACTTAACTAGGAACCTAAAAGGATTTGTTTTTTAATGACAATTCTCTACAATGAAAGGAAAGATGGCTCGAACCGTATCCTTCTTAGTACTTAGATCATAGTATTACTTTCACAATCAAAACATAATCATGAATCTAAACATCTTCCATTGTGGCCAGTTTTCAATTACCCTTACAGGCTTAGAGCTAATACTAGGGAAATGGATAAGGACATGAAGGTCAAGAGTCCCAAGGAAATATAGTGTGCTTGAAGGAAGTTAATAACTAGTAGGAGTGATCTTCCTGCAGCTATTAATTAAGGAAATGATCCACATCAAATCTAAAAGACTCCATGATATGACCATTATTCATGGAATCAAGTTCTTTTTCATTTTTTGTCTGATTGTAAATATAATTGTTTGTACAGTTGAAACATTGAAGGTGAAGGTGCACCAGTTGGGACATTTGTTTGCCACAATGTTATTAAGTTGATTTAAGTTTTCTGCAAGCGGTTTCACAAAACAGACATTGAGTTACCATGAACTCAACAAGTTATGCCTGAATGTATGCCCTTCATAAGGAAGACATAAACTTGAATGCATAGTGAGTACTGACAAGACGAGATTGGACCTAAGAGATTAATTAAAGTCAATCAGAGGAGATTATGGTTCTATAACACACCTCACAAAGCCAAAGAAAACCATTCACAGATTCCCGAGTTCTCATATTTCTGAAGCAAACAAAAAGACATATCACCCACTCAAAATCCCCTCATTCTGCTCATGAGTTAACCACTAACTTTCAGAGATGTTATTGAAATATAAGTGATACTCACTCATCCAAAAAAGTAGTTGCATGTTATCTACAAATCTACAACGTCAATATCATAGAATGCCTCCACTTGAGCTTTCTAGTCAACTCAACTATTGTCATCAACTTCGATGTAGCGGAAGGGGGGAAATAATACAAAAGTGTAAGTATCAGAAACCTTCATTAACATATTGACCATGCAACAAATATTAATTGACAAGCACGACAACAACTGTTCGACAATCACTATCATTAATGATAATCAAGATGAAGCAAGATAGAACTTGAATGAAAGCTGACCTTTAGTTTCCTCAGTCTTTCATTTTCCTCTTCGAGGCGAGAAACTTTATTCTCTAGCTCATTTGTGTAGGCCTGGAATTGCCAATTTAATTACAAAAAAAAAATGAGAGAAGCTAAATTGAAGAGAAAAAAGGGATATAATGGCATAAAGAGGCATAAAATCTCTTCAACAATTCAGCCAAGCAAAATTAGACCTGTTTCCGAGCTCTTGAACGAGCAGCCGATTCTCGATTTTTTATCATCCTCTTCTGTCTCCTTTCAACATTCTTCTCAACAACTTCATCTGGTGCACCTCTTTTCCTTGCAGGCATCTGTGAATCCGACAGTGTCCCCATTAGAGGCGGAGGTATTGGAACTGGGTTCTCTGGATACGCAATATCCATCACAGAACCAGCCCCCATGTGGAGCGGCTGGGGTACAGGCTGACCTGGCATGAACATCCCCATCATATTTGGTTGTGGATGTTGGAATTGTGCATGCTGATACTCCAACCATTGACCTTGTTGGGGAAACGACGACGCTACATTTGGGTCAACAATAGCAACCTCTCGGTTATTATCCATATGTGTTTTGGCTACAATCCTTGCTTTAACCAGAAAATCCTCCAATGTCATCTCTCCCAAAGTGGGTTGTCTATCCTTAGACTTCCTTTCTCCATTGGCCTTGCTTTGCTGAATGTCTCTCCAAACTTCATCAACTGTCTTCTTACTCAAAGCTACAGTGAGTGACAAGCTTGCCTGCCGTTGCAGGGAAGTTTGACTGGACAACTGCGTGCCTTCAGTCTCTGTACCCGTAGACTGGTTGGCCTCAGCTGTCCACACATTTTTTAGAAGTTCATCCAAATTCATACTACTCAAGGGTTTCCCCAGGTCACCCAACTGATTTTGGACCTCATCCAAAGTGAGGTTGTACAATGAGTTCTGCCGCTCCAGTGGCTGGAAATGAGACTGAGTGCCATTAGTCCTAGCTTCACCATGAGAAGCCATTGTCTATATATCCATTCAACAATTTTCACATTCCATGCCAACCATGCATAACTCAGCAGAACCCTTTTGGTGAACCCAAACCTCTTCTCCAAGCTGCTCCTCGCCAAATTCAAGTCATAAACACAACCAGAACCTGAAAAACCCAACTAAGAAGTCACAACCGAATGATCCAATTCAACATGCTACACTAGCGATTCCATCTAACCAAACAGGATCATTAGATTCAATCTCATTACAGGCAAAACTCAGACATTCCAGAATAAAAAAGTCATAATCTCAGCCTTGATAATCAAAAGAATCTTAGACAGATTTAATCAACAACTAAAGGTAGGCAGAGGAAAAGGAGGAAGAAAGCCGATTAAACGAGAAATCAGGTGATCAGGACCAGTGGAATCACCATCGGCTTGCAGATACAAATTTTGTTGAGGATTCACCTAAAACCATACATAAAGAAAAAAAAAAAAAACGAAGACATAGAGAGGCTCCTCAATAAATAAATCCGACCGACCAACATATTTGGGAAACCCCAAACGTAAACTGAATAAGACACAAGGAACAAAACAAATGTTAAACAAATTCATGCATCAGTTGCCCACACAAACATAGTGACAGAGATTATGCAATTGATCAGAATAACCAGAAATAGAGTGTGGAAAATGGTAGAAGTGACTACCACAAGGGTGCAAAACTGGAAAATGTAACATGCAAACCTGGAAACAGCTAAAAACCGACAGTCTCTATTGACAAATGAAGCGCTTGAAAACCCAATACCCCAAATTTGCCCATGAACTCAATCCCTCAATCACATCATACAAGGGAGTACCCACATGATTAGAAACCACACGGGAACTTTGCATGGAACAGTGGGGAAGTGAATCAATACCCTCAAACACTGCAACAATCGGAAGTGGGAGGAAAGCCCAAAGCTTGACAAGAAAGATCACTTCACACTAACCCCTTTCTCCCCTCCCTCCAATGCAAAGCTGCAAACCCAAATTAGAGTGAGGTTGGGAGAAGCGAAACCGAAGGTGTGATTAGAAAGAAAAAAAGAGAGAGAGAGAAGTTACCCTTATGTGATCCGAGAGAGTCTGAAACGCTGAGTGAAGCAATAGCGAGAAAAAAGATTTCGAATTGGAGTATTTTTTATGTTTCTGTTCTTTTTCCCCTCTTTTTTCCTCCTCTGTGTGGAGTCGCAGAGACTGCCTGGATTCAGGTGAAGGAAAAAAAGAAGTCAGTTGTTTGTTGTTAATGTATTAACTCAATCGCAGCACAAGGAAGAGAGGAGAAGAGGAGGACAAAAAAATTAAGAAAATAATAATCTAATAGACAAATAAGCAAGAAAATAGAAGGTAAAAATTTAATTTCTGAAAGTAGATAAAAAAAAGTGTTGAAATATCATTAAAAAACATGTCTTATCTTTTTGGTGTTATGCTATGAAAAATAACACAGGGTTGTTACCACATCTAGCTTTTGTTTTAATTTACAATTCATCATAGTATCATATGTACCAAAATCTTATATGAACAGAACGAAAATGACAGATCCTGCGATGGGGAAAATAGGATAAACGAGTAAACACTCATACTCATTGCAGTACAAAAAATGTTATTTCAAATATGTGTTGGTAACTTTGAATTGAGAAATTGTGCTCGAGTTTGGCTATGTACGGGTCTTGTAATAATGTTTTTGTAAGGATGCAAATATGACATTGGATAAAGGCGTTAATTTTGTATACAGTTGTCCTACAGAAAAAGGGCAAAAGAGTAAAAAACTTCAAGCTTACTAAAATAAAGATGAATTCAAACGTATCTTGGTAACACTGAATTACAAAGATTATACTCGAATTTGGCTACGGTACTTATAGTGTTTTATGTAAGGATGTAGACATAAAATTAGAGTATGTTCACTTAATTTTTGTGTTTTGTTTTTTTAACATATTGCAGGTTTTACAATTAACATGGGTTTAAATCTATTATTTGTGAGGATTGACGACAACGGATTTGTCTGAATAATTCGAGTTACTATAAAACTGGATAACATAAACACGATATTATATATGTAGTCTCTTGACATAACTTTTTTTTTTCCAAGTAATATCAAAGTACAATAGTTATATCCTCTACCCAAGATCCCAAAATGACAATTAGTGCAGCCACCCTACAAAATCGAAGGACGCTATCTCTACAGGGGACAGCAGCAGGGCTTGTCTCTTGACATAACCTTACAACAACACGATTAATGTAACGAATACCGAATTAGTGCTAAACTGCTAATTAGTGATTAATTTGCAGCCTGCATTTTAGATAAACCATTGATTCTATATTTTTGTACATGAATAAAACCCGGACTCATTCTTGTAAGCTTTTAATAGTAGTGTATGCATAGTGCGATGGATTAAGAAAAATAAAATCTCAGGTTGTTATGCATATATAATACAATATTATGCTGTGATTTGGGAATTAGGTTTTAGAAATGTATCTGGAAACTTTGTTATTTTCTAGCCAGCTAGTTTCATCCCATATGGCACTCTGTAATGATACCGGACTTAGGGCACTATTGCATTGTTCACCTTTCTCAGTGCAGGCTTTGTATTTTTTTCGCCTTCTCTCTCTGCCATGAATACCATTTTTATATATAAAACGGCAATGGCAATATAAGGCTAGCCTAATTAGTGAAGCATTTCTGATAAGATCTTGAGTTCGATCCACAGTGACAACGATGATCCTTGAAGCATCATCTGTAAATGGTAAAACAGTTTAGCGGTGTCGCCACAGATAGGTTGTCCCGGGATGTGTAAGGTCTTGTGTTTGATGTCTCTCGAAGCCCTAATAACGAAATTTGTATTATAATATTAAAATTATACAGCAAAGATTATGTTTGACAACATGCTGGCCAAACCATAAGTGACAAGTGCGGCAGTGCCACTCCTCCTGGTGTCGACCCAAGATAACTTTTACTGTGTTCAAGCCCAATCCAACCTGCTGAAAACTCCGGCCCAAAACTTTCCCACTGCGGACCATAGCCTACCCTCTCTCTATGACTTTTTATCGGGCTCTCTGTGAATTGATTTCCCATTCAAAAGAAATCAAACAGACAAGACGAGCGCTCCAAATATCGCGTCGGTTTGAATTTTTTCTTTTCTTTCTCATCTCTTTCCCCGTAATTTCTTTTTTTTTTTCTCCTTTGTAAATCCTTCGATCCGATCCACCGCGAACCTCTTTTTTCCTTCTCCGAGACACCTCCCTCCAAATCCGCTCCGCCCGAAAAATCCATATCAGTTCGTCAATTTTCTCCCCTCCCTTTGTTTCTGTTCCTTTACTCCTCTCAGTTTTTGAATTCTAGGGTTTCGGGTCCCTCCTTTCCCTCCCATTTCCTGCTTCGCGGTTACACATTCAGAGTGCCGCTTCTGCTCCGTTGATAGGTAGCTATGTCCGCTTCGACCGTGTCTATCACGGCGAACCCAGCGGCTTCCCGCCGGAGGCCGGTTTTGGCCGGCGAGAAGAAGTCCAACACCATCGAGTTGTTGCCCCATGAGGCGCAAGCCAATGGAGGCGGGGACGGGAATGATAAGGTGAAGGTCGCCGCCCCCGCGCACAGCAAGGATCTGAGTCATAATTCCATCCGCGGCGAGCCGATTCTCGAGAGGACTTCTAAAGATCCGGTACTGCTTAGGAAGGGAAACGCGGTTAACTCGACGGTTTCCCCGCGCAGGGGGCGGAAAGTGGCGGCCAAGCCCGAGAAACCGCGGTGGGTGACGGTTGTGAGTATTTTGACCAAGAATTTCGTGCTTCTGCTCGTCTTGCTAGGGCTGGTGCAGTTGATTAGGAGGTTAGCGACATCGGAGAGCACTTCGGCTGCAACGCCGACGGGTTTGGCGGAGATTGAGGGCCGTATTGCGGAAGTGGAGTCGTTTTTGAAAACCACGGCGAAAATGATTCAGGTTCAGGTGGAGGTTGTAGATAAGAAAATTGACAATGAGGTTGGAGGTTTGAGGCATGAAGTGAACAAGAAGCTTGATGATACTGGTGCGAGTTTGGATGCGGCATTGAAGAATTTGGAATCGAAGAGTGAAGAGTTGGAGAAATCAATTGCAGAGTTGAAGTCAGCGGATTGGTTGTCCAAGGATGAATTTTTGAAGTTCTACGAGGAATTGAAGAAGACGAAGGATTTCCAGGTGGGTGAAGACTCTTACAATTTGGATGTTATTAGGGCTTATGCGAAGGACATAGTTGAGAAAGAAATCGAGAAGCATGCTGCGGATGGACTTGGCAAAGTGGATTATGCCCTTGCGGAGGGTGGCGCTTCTGTGCTAAAGCACTCTGAGCCGTTTGGTAAGAGGAGGCCCCTTAGCGGATGGTTCTCAGGTGCTTCTGGCTTGAGTGGGGTTCATCCTGATGCATATAAGATGATGAGGCCGAGTTTTGGAGAGCCTGGGCAGTGCTTTCCTCTTAAAGGAGCCAGTGGATTTGTGGAGATTAGGCTCCGTGCAGCTATTGTTCCTGAGGCTGTTACGTTGGAGCATGTTGCCAAGGTAATACTCTCGGACTCCAGTCTGCCTTGCAATGTTGATTGGGTAACATAGTTTAAGTTTGTGTTAATGTAATTAAAATTGGCCAAGTTAGCATAGAAACTAGAGAATACAGTTCCTCGTCCATTCTAGGTCTGAACCTATGGTTTATTTCCCAACCATTAAAGTGAATGTCAGAATCGTTCACCGTTTCTCTGAAGCTAGGTTGCCATGCTAGTCGACCTTTGCCGTTTCCGCGTTTGTTTGTCAGAACCGGTGTAACTCCTTTGTAGACAGACTGATGCACACCTTCTTAGATGCTCTTATTAGTGCCTAGTTTGAATTGGATTTCTGTTTGATTCAACATTAAAGCAATCGAAGGATAGGAGCCTTCTGCTTGATAAAATTGGGGAGGGGAACTGATCCATTACCTTCTGAGAAATGAGAATGCAACATCTTGAGTATATACTTCTTTATAATCCTTATGGATATATTATATTAGTTTCGGAGTTTCCTCTATATAGGAGCCATCATATTCATAAGTAACCTGATCAAGATTCCACAAACATAAACTTAAGTACAATTTGAGTATGTACTTCTTTAATAATCTCCTGGGTATATTATGTTAGTTTTTGAGTTTCCTCTATATAGCATTCATCATAGGTAACCTATAAGGCTATAACCATAGCATTCATCAGGTTTATGCTTGCATCTTCATATTTTGATAATACGAGCTCATCTAGGATTGTGCATGTTTCTCATATAGTGGTTAGGGCACATCTATAACCAAGAGTGACCCTCTAGTTTGCATTTGTTTAAGGTGGCAATTTTTAATGGCTGGAAGTGGCAAGCATACTTCTAATCATATTATGCATGACTCTTAATTTGGTTTTCCTCTATATTAGCTGTAAGCTTTTTTCGTTATGCTATTTGGTCCACGTTTCTAATGTGGATTGTCAGACTGACGCCTTTTGATTGGGAAATTTGAATGGGGGCTTGCAGTTTGGCTATCAACTTTTCCCCTTGTATGGTCCTGAACCCACAGTGTCATCACACGACTGATTAGTGACTTCAATGCTTCAAACTCCATACTCTAGGCAATCAAAATGGATTGTGCTGTCTTGTTTGATGTCTAATGAGTATCTCTCGATTGGTCTTCTGCTATTAGGACGCTAGGAGTTCTATTGAAACACCTAATCCAGCCAGCATGAATGAACTAATTGTTCGCTCTAACTATCATGGAGAGGTTATAGCAAGGTAGAAGAGTTTGTTACAAGTCAGATGCATAACAGGGAGGTGCTTATGTGTTTCCCTGTTATTTGGTTGCTTGCTTGAACATCAGATAGGGCCTGTTAGTAGACCGTGCAATTTATGAGAACATTGAGGTTAAACTCATTCTTGGTTGCTTGCTTGCTTGAACATCAGATAGGGCCTGTTAGTTGACCGTGCAATTTATGAGAACATTGAGGTTAAACTCATTCTTGGGTGTATATAAGCCAGGAGCTAGTTTGTGTAGGATTTAAAATTCGTAGTAACAGCTTCCTAGCCAGAGATGAAGCTATTTACATAGAGATTGCTGTTCATATGGTTGGTGCTTCTTCCGGCGCCACGTCATGTGTTTTTTTTTTTTTTGGTTGTTAGCATGTTGTTGATATCCTTAGAACATTCTATTATTGCTTTAGCCTCTGCTTGTTCAGGTCTCTTATCAATTCCTTACTGTTTTGTTTTCCTTGGACAGAGTGTTGCATATGATCGGTCAAGTGCCCCGAAGGACTGTCGAGTTTCTGGCTGGTTCAGAGGGTCCGATGCTACTTCACCTGCAGATCCGGAGAAGATGTTTCTACTCACCGAGTTCACGTACGATCTGGAAAAGAGCAATGCTCAGACCATCAGTGTTGTTGATTCGGCAGCCTCACATGTGATTGACACTGTCAGGCTGGACTTCACATCGAACCATGGGAGCCACGCACACACATGCATATACCGCTTCCGGGTACATGGCTACGAACCTGACTCTGCCTCGATGATGCCATTGCAGAATTGACATTAGTTGACAGTTCTTTTAGCTGCTCCTGTACTTTGTATGATTCTGTTCAGAACTTCTGTAGCTCCTTATGTAGAGGGTGTACATTTGTTTGTGTGCTTAGGTTCATGATTTGTTCTCAGCCTGGCGTATATTACCACTATGTTATGTTAGTGTCAAATTTTAGGCATTGCGAGTTTCTTATGCCGACGTGCAAGTTGTGATCACATTATGGACGTTCTGTGAGCGCCGTAATTGGATTGTTCGTTGGATGCTTTGCGATTGTTGGATAGATGAGGTATCAATTTCGTAATGTACTCTCGTCCAACTTGCAATCCAATGACTATGTATCTCGTGATCACATTACATTTACTGATGTTATGTGAGCAACGTAGTCGGATTGCATTGTATAAGTGATAACTCATCTCATTCTCGTTCTTGTGAATTTCAATTTAAAAATGGAAAAGGAGAGAGACAAAGGAAGCATTTTCTCTTGGGAACAAGTTATCAAAGTAGGTATTCCACGTGTGGTTTCCCAGCTTGGTCAGTTAAAGTTTGGTGCTTACTCTGTTGCACTTTTATAATCTCGGCTTCTACCCCTTTGCTCTTTACATGCTTGGGGTTGATGACGACGATCTTGTTTGCCGGGCAAAGCAGCGACTGTGAAGTGTGAACATTTCCTTCGAGGAGAATTCAGTAGCTCAAAGACAAGTGTTCTTATAGGGTGTGTTTTGTGGCGACAACCACTGAAGTTTTTTTTTTGACAGGTACAACCACTGAAGTTAGTGGGTGGTTTTCGGTAAAACGAATATGAACTCAAAGGAAAATATGAAGAAAATGGGTTTGAATATTTTCGCTATTCATAGCAGAAGTTTAATAGTTTATTCAGAAAAAAGAAATTTAATAGTTTGAGCATTGGATTTATCACTTTTTTACCTGAAGGTAGGGTAACAATTTTATAGTGATATGATGTAACATTGTGGTTGCGTGCCGGCGCAGAGGGCTCGATCGGTGTGGGTGTGGCGATGATGGGTCACAAATCGCAATTGAGAGTCCGTTGAGCTCTCCCTTAAGCTCTCGCCGAGTTTTCGGTGAGGTCACGTTAAGTTGACCGCGAGGATTGAGTGGTGTTAATTGACAAGAGCGGTTGAGTTGGACTCAAGGTTGTCTGCTCAGGGTTTAGCCCACTGACCCGGGTGAGCAAGTGAGTTGAGAATTAATGATCCAATAACATAAAACATTACACCAAAATAACAATTCGTTATCGAATTGGATTCCAATATACAACGAAAATTCAAACACACTCATTGAACATCAATATTCAAATGTTCAACTTATAATTATAAAGATAGGATTAGGCGAAAAAAGAAAATCGGGAAGAGAAGCATTTCACAAACCAAATGAAAAAAACAAAGCCGTGTGACATGCAATCCGAGAATATTGATGCGGGTCGACCCGCTGGTGTGTGGCTGGCGCCCATTTCTTGCACTGAGTCGGAGTCAAAACGGGTCAACCAACATAGGCATTGACAACCTTGATTGGACCTGTTTGAGTTATTTTTCGTCATATTAAAATCTTTTACTTTGGTTTCTAACTTTCAACCAGATGTGCGAGTCTCGGACCTTTTTTCTAAGGAACTGATTAACTTTTAGATTCGAAACCAACGTTTCATAAGAATTTTCCGGTTTTTGCCGTTCCTCTTTCTCTCTCTTCTCTCAACCTCCCAAATTCACTCCCTGTTTCATTGGCCCGCCCTTCCACTTCCAGATCCAGAAAACGAAAAAACAAAGAGTTCGACTGCCCATTTGAGAGATCGATTCCCACTGTTGACCATAGGCGGAGGTAGGCCATTTTGGCCTTGTCTCGGGACAGGGGTATTTTTTGGGAGAGGAAAAACATACCACACCTCGAAGTAACATAAGGATATTTTATCACTATAGCACAATTCATTACTTGTTCATTAATTGCTAAAAATTAGTCAATTGATTCCACTCATGACACTATTATTCGACAACAGCTTGTACATGATGAATTATCTCGAGCAATGGTGGAGATGAAAGTTTATAAGTCATATATCCGTAAGTTTATTTGCTTATGAAACTAGAAAGAGCATTTTTAGCTTCAGCTGTATTAAGAACAACTTCAAAGTTGGATTGGCGATCAGTTTGCTAATGATTATTTAATGGGATACACTGAAAGAGACTTGCTTAAAAGTGTACACAACGAATGTATTTTGCATTTGTTTCGGAATACGAAAACTCATCGTGGTTGTTTATGCAAAATATAATTGTATTAGTTGATTGTTTCTTTATCTATGAATGAATTATTTAAATAATATTACTTTTAATTATATTTATTAAATTTTTATTAATTATATATTTATATTTTGAAAAGAGGACAGGGGTAGTTTCTAATCCTGCCTCCGCCACTGCTGTTGACTGTTCCCCTGTTTCATCCCCGAGGAATCCAAATAAACAAACCTCTTCTCTCGTTTGTCTTACCATTTTATAATCATCAAAGACAGCTTTGCGGGAACCCCTACGTGCTGGTCCAATCAATGTTAACGAAAAACCTCAAAAAGATGGTCCAAGTTGCTTCCTTTTCTCTCTTTCTTTCCCCATTTTCCCTCCATTTGTTCCTTTCCTCTGTGCTTATCACCCTGTTTCCTTCCCAAGATACTTCCCTCAGTTGCATCGCCCGAATATTCAGAACCCTCCTTATTATTTCTTTTTCCGTTCTTTTTAGTGCTCCATTTTCTTGTCCCCCTCGACCCTGTAATGCTCTGCTCGTCTCCACCTTTGAGAAAAAATGTCACATGTTGTTAATAGGACTGCTTGGGACGATATTTCTTGACAAAGTTGACTTTCTCGAGAAAATTTCCTCACTTTCTCTCCTACCCATTGCTGCTGGCAACGACTGCTTTCATGGGTAGTCCCCATTTTCTCTCTTTCTCCGCCGCAGTAGCATCATCATCATCACCTACGACAACCAAACCCTTTTCCGCCGCTTCCCTTTTCTCATTTCTGGTAATTGGATCTCCTTCTGCTTTTTTCTAAATTTCCCCTCTTTCTTCTGGGCTTTAATTCAGTCAAGTCGGGGTCATCTGGGAAAAGAAACAGCGCGAAAGTCAGTTTCTTTCTTTGCATTTGGGAGTTAGCGTGATCGTTGCTTTACTTTAAATTATTTGATTTGTTTATATTCTTCCTTTTTCTCTGTTTAGGATTAAACGGATTTTCGACAATCTCAATAGGCGCGGAGGAGTTGTTGATGGAACAGTTTCAATTGAAGAAAACTCTTCCTTTCAGATTTTAGTTTTCTTTTTTCCTTCTTCTTTTTCGTGTTTGGTTCCGAGTGGAGTCTTCTCCTTTGTATTTGATTTGACTGAATGAGAGAGCATTGCATTGTTCTTCAAGATATGAGAATGACCAACCAAGACCACAGAAAGCGGGTATGAACAGAGCAATGCATTACCGTTGTTACTAGTCATTGTTTTATTTTCTATCTAATGATGATTTGGGGAATTGGCAGTCTTTCCTGCAGAAGATATTCTCGTCCAGGGAGGTGATTGTGACGAGATCGAGTGGAGACCCATTCAATTCTTCCCCTGGTGAGTATTGAGTTAATTGTATGGTTTATCGTTCGTTGATCAATCAATTCAGCCTAACTGAGTCTTCAGTTCTGCAATCATGGATCTGATTTTGGTGCCCTGTTGATTCTCTCTTATCTTGTTTTGTGACACATCACATGCCAATATTCCACCCACCATTGTCATAAAATGTCTTCTTTTACATCTGGGTTACTCTAGATACTCGAATTATCTCGGGTGGGTCCTTTGGTTTGCATTCTGTAGTATATAGTGAAGTCCTCCTCCCAATGGGTTACCCAAAATTGGAACTTGGAAGGATCAAGTTCTTGGATTTGGGTATAATTTCTTCCCTTTGTTCATCTTTTAGGGGTTTGGTTGAGACTTGCGAGAGAGGATAAGAGAGCATGTGGGGCGGTGGGTAGAGAATATATGCTTTGAATGAACTTTTGAAGGAATGTAATAAGATGCAAGTAAAGGAAGCTTCTTCAATGGCATAACATTCTTTGAGGGCCCATCAGATGCTGTGTTTTCTCTTCTGTTTCTTACTTTCAGAGTCTTCAAGATGCCTGTAATCTGCTCTAGAAAAGTTGGTCCAGTCCATGGTTTTGTTGGATTCCTTGGGAAGCCACTAAGAACAATCTTCCAATTCCTGAGTGTTTTCTGGCCTAAATTTTCCTTGCTCAATCGTCCTGTTTCATCATCAGAAAGGCGGACCGGTTCAGCGCTTGAGGCTCTTTTTTCAAACCATTTGACTTCACGGATGCCAAATCACCAGACCGCAGAAGAACCATTTAGGTAAGAATGGATCATACGACATGAACTTCTCTTTTACTCAAGGTTGTTTGATGAAGTTGTTACTAACAAAGTCTGAAATATGTCCAGAATTTTTGTGGCAACATGGAATGTGGGAGGGAAATCTCCCCACAGCGGGCTCAATCTGGATGATATTCTCCAAGTCCACAACCAGGCAGACATATATGTCTTAGGGTGAGTGAGTTGATTATCCATTCATCTTAACCCAGGATTTGGCCTCTTTGATCTTGATTTGGCAGCATGTTTCTGATTGCTCTTTCTTTGTCCTTTTCAACTGTTAGCTTTCAGGAAATTGTTCCATTAAATGCTGGGAATGTTCTTGTGGCAGAGGATAGTGAGCCTGCTGCAAAATGGCTTGCTCTTATCAACCAATCTCTGAACAGATCATACGCTGTAGGTTCAAAAGGCTCAAAGCCCTTTGCATCACTTGGAAACCCGCTTCCATTTCAGAGGCCTTCTCTGAGGAAGGTTTGCAAGAGCTTCAGGACCGAGAGTTTACGCCGCCTCAAGACCTGCAACTGCAGTCATGTGATGGACAGGAAGATCAACAAGGACTCCTGCCTTTGGTGCCCTCAGACGAACCTAGGGGATGACGGATTGTCATCGGAAGAGGAGGAGGATGGACTCAATGGCTTTGGATCTTTGGATATTGTTGCTAATGGTGACAATCACTTGAGATACAGTCTTATTGTGGGGAAGCAAATGGTTGGGATTTTTCTCACTGTTTGGATGAAGAAAGAGCTTGTTCAATATGTTAGTCACTTGAAAGTTTCTTACATTAGTCGTGGAATCATGGGTTGCCTTGGTAACAAGGTAGGAATACATATAGATAGATAAATATGGTGTTTGTTCTTTTTGGTTCCTTTTGAATTTATTTCCACAATGGATCTGTAACGGTGAAGCTTGTGGCGGTTGAAAATTGCAGGGTTGCATATCTGTGAGCATGTCTTTCCATCAGACGACCTTTTGCTTCATCTGCAGTCACTTGGCATCAGGGGAGAAAGAAGGAGATGAGCTGAGGAGGAATTTGGATGTGATCGAGATACTAAAGAACACTCAATTCCCCAGGACTTGCAAATCACCCTATAGCAACTTACCCGAGAGAATCATCCAACACGAGTAAGCAACACCAGCAAAAGCCTCCTCTAGAAAATCATGATACTTTTCTGTTCTGTTCTGTTCTGTTCTGTTCTGTTCTGTTCTGTTCTGTAGTTGGTTAGTTATGAGACTAACATTTCTTGGAATGATGATGTCCTCACAGCCGGATCATATGGCTCGGTGACCTCAACTACAGAATAGCTCTCAATTATTCGGAAACTCGAAAGCTCCTCGAACGGAATGACTGGAATGCACTCTTTGACAAAGATCAGGTACAATCAGGGGTTCCTGGGAAACTCATCTAAATCCTTTTCATTTCTATTTTGCATACATCATCTTATATTCATGGACGGAAAAACAATCATGACAGCTGAAGATTGAGAGGGAAAAAGGTAAAGTGTTCAAGGGATGGAAAGAGGGGAAAATCTACTTCGCTCCAACTTACAAATACTCCTGGAACTCAGACATTTATTCTGGAGAAACTGCAGACTCCAAAAACAAAAGAAGAACTCCAGCTTGGTAAACATCCCCTCTGTCTCAACTTCTCAAATGCGCTTTGTCACACTTATATTGAGATGATTGTGCTCGTTAAGCTTACATTGGAAATTCACATCTGCAGGTGTGACAGAATACTCTGGCATGGGAATGGGATGCAGCAGATGTCGTACGTGAGAAAGGAGTACCGGTTCTCGGATCACAGACCGGTATGTGCGACGTTCTTGGTTGATGTAGAGACCGTGGAAGGTGCTTCGAGGAGGGCATCATCCGCGTATCACATTTGAAAAATGGAAAAGCTATGTGTTTGCTGAATTCCTGCTAACCAGAAACTTGTGGAAATTGGAGAAAGATATAGAGATACAAGTTTTAGTCTTTGTTTTACACCCCATTTGCATATGTTAAATGTTACAAAGAAAACCGTTCCCAGGGGAGAAAGAAAGAAGAGAGCATTTCCTTTTAGTTTTGTGGGTTTCTTCTTGCCTAACTGTATAGATAGGAAGTGGGTGGTGGTGGGTGTTGATAAGTGTTTTCTTCAGAGCAAAGCCTTCTGGGTCCTAGAAATTTCATTTGGGCAGATTTGTATACATACAATTGTGAAGAAAAAAAGGGAACTTGCAATTTGTTTTTAATGGTTTCATAACAGTATAAGATTTGGTTTGGTCCCGTTGTGGGAGCCATGGATATAGGCTTTGCTGTTCTGCTGCTGGAGAAAAAGGAGGGGCTCTGCTGAGATGAACGTGTTCAATTCAAATATTATTATGGGAATGAAAGTTGGCATCATGCTCAATTGTTTTTAGTTTGAAGGCAGGAAACAAGTTAGAGCAGAGAATATGATTTAGCTGTATGTGTCTGTCCAGCATCATGACTTTGAATGTGCAGAGACAAAGTTAATTGGTAACCCACTAAGCGTGTTTCTGAGAGGTCCATATCAGATTAGAGAAATAAAATGTGCCCCATTGACTAATCAAGTGGAGATTGTATATATATATTATATCCGATTGTTGAAAACATGCGGAGATATGATTTTCATAAACACAAGTCTATGGGGGAGAACAATTAGTTGTCATTTGCAACAATCAGAGAGGAGCCTCTCACCTGGCTGCAGCCTCCTCGCCCAAGAGATCGCTCGCATTATTTGCAGCCTTTGTGTTCTTCTCAGATATCATCTTCATCTAGGCAACAATTCCTGTAACCAATTAGGCAAACTCTGATTCCAGATTCCAAGTTGAATCCGGAAAAGAAAATGGGACCGTCTCGGAATCGGAAAACTGATAATGGCGGAGAAGTTATCTTTCCTATTTCCCTTTGGATTCGGGGAAAAAATTTGCCTATATAACAACAGACTCCCTACTTCTATCAATTCATCCAATCCAATCGGCAGCCTGCAGGATCTCTGAAAACCATTATTGCTTACTCCTCGCCGGCGACGCTACGATTGGCAGCATGGAGGCAGTTGAGCCGCAGTCGCTGAAGCGAGCGGCGCTCGATCTATCCTCTCCGACATCCCTCGGCAAACGAAGTCGCGCCACATCAGGGCCGCGAAGTTCCACGTGTCACGCACCATGGAAGAGCTACCGGGTAATTAGCGGTCACCAAGGGTCGGTTCGATCCGTCGCCTTCGACCCCGGCAATGCGTGGTTCTGTACCGGTTCGGCCGACTGGACCATAAAGGTGTAGGACGTGGCAAGCGGGAGGCTGAAGCACACGCTCACCGGACACATCGGTCAGGTTCGAGGCCTGGCCGTGAGCCAGACCCGCACCTACATGTTCTCCGCCGGCGACGACAAACAGGTCAAATGTTGGGACTTGGAGCAGAACAAGGTCGTCCGATCTTACAACGGCCACCTCAGCGGAGTCTACTGCTTGGCTCTTCACCCAACCATCGACCTCTTGTTCACCGGCGGACGCGACTCCGTGTGCCGCGTCTGGGACGTACGGACCAGGAAGCAAATCTTTGCCCTAACCGGGCACAGCGACACGGTATGCTCGGTGTTGGCCCGTCCGGTCGAACCACAGGTGATCACCGGTTCGCACGACTCAACCATAAAATTTTGGGACATTAGATATGGGAAAGCGGGGGTGACCCTCACGCACCACAAGAAGTCGGTCCGAGCCCTGGTGGAGCATCCAAGGCGGCGCGGTTTTGCGTCTGCCTCCGGCGACGGAGATATTAAGAAGTTTAGCCTTCTGAGGGGCGAGTTTCTGCACAACATGACGGGGGAGAAGGGAGGTATCGTCAATGCGATGGCGGTTAATGGGGATGGCGTGATGGTTGCGGGAGGAGACAATGGGAGCTTGTGGTTTTGCGATTGGGAGAGCGGTTGTAGCTTCCAGCGAACGCGGACGGTGGCGCAGCCTGGGTCGCTGGAAAGCGAGAATGGGGTTTTTGCTGCTTCGTTCGACGTGACGGGATCGAGGCTGGTGACGTGCGAAGCTGACAAGACGATCAAGATGTGGAAGGAAGATGATGAAGCCACCCCAGAAACACACCCGCTCAATTTCTAATCACATCATTGCTCTGGTTGATTATCCTGTGCTAATTTTTTTTTTTAATTCAGTCGCTTAATTCTGTACTAATTTTTTTTCCCCAGGAGAGAAGGATGCGCTGATGTGACAGATTCTTATTGGGTTATGCATGGGGTTACTCACCGGATCTCCTCCCGTTCGAGAGTAGCAATCTTTCTGGACTTCTGTGTTTGTGTTCTTGAGAAGGAAAAACGGGAAGAAGATGAACGTTAGAACTCAAACTTCTGGCCAAAGTCTCTTATATTGTGAGAAAACGGACGTTCCCTTGTTATGTCGTTTCACAAAACTCAAATTCAATTAATCATCTGAAATTAATTCTCGAAATTAGTTAAATAGCCAAAAATTCAATTTCGAATGCATAGTGCGATTTAATATGTCAAATTAAATAGCCCACACTTTTCCAAAAGTCCACTAACTACTTGCACTTTCCTTCACCATCAATATGGTATTTTCTTTTAACTCTTTTGACTACTCTAAAAGAAGAAGGTGTCCTGATGCCCTTCGAAGCTGCAGCGGTAGAAAGTGGAGAGGTCGGCGCTGTTCCTCACCGCCACCGCCTGGTGCTTCTCCGCCCAGGACGTCGACCGCGGTGAATCGATCACCGGAAACGGCTGCAACGTAACAAAGCAAATCAAAAATCATGTCATATTCGTGTTCTCAAAAGATATATAGCTTCAATCCATAAAAAATAATTGTTCTTGTTTAAGGTGAAGTGGCCATGTAAATTAAATCAGATAGGATTCCCCTCCTCGTGTAAATGCTCTAAAATCATCTTAAATGGACACAAAACATTCAATGCTGAAAAAGATTGGATGGAAATCATTCATGTAATTAATTCGGTAATCGATCGGGTACTTACTCATGTAAAAGTTATAATTGTGGAATCCTTAACTTTTCTTCCTCAAATAATTTGTATTGGTCTTTAAAGAAAATAAATTTGGATTTTCAACTTTTATGTAAAAAAATGAGTTGCATTGATCATATTCTATATAAATGACATCTATTTCGACATATTCCAAAATTTATTTTAAAATAATGTGAAGAAATAACAATATATACGTGAATAAACACTAGATTGTGTGAATAACCACTATTGTTAGCGTGAATAAACCACCACTACTATTGTTGGAAATGTGTATGAATAGCTTTGAAAACTATAGAGTCTCAAGTGGAAAAACTACCACATTGGTAGTTTTACTTGGTGAAATGAGTATAAAGATAGGAGCCTCTCTCCTAAGGGCATGCCCCTTGGGGTGACCCACTTTTGTGGGAGAGGGAGGACCTAACGGACCACCACACACACGCGCGCGCGCTGACCAGTCGGTCGGTCGGTTGGATCACTTGAGACTATATACATATTTTTTGGAGAAATTCCGAACGAAATTAATTATTATATAATTAATTATTAATCAGTTATTCTGAGGAATATTCTAAGGGATAATCGATTGAAAAGAAATATTCGAAGGATAATCTCTGCAGGATTTATCCTAACCGACGGTTTTAATTAAGGAAGATAATTAATCCGACTTATTCCCCAAGCAAGAGGGTATATTCCTAGGGGTTCGGCTCCCATAAATAGCCGTCTCCCCAGCCCCTCTAAACACACCACAACGAGCATAAACACAATAGAGAGAGTGTTCAGAGAGCTCCGGTTTTCGCACAAACCGCGAGTACACAGAGGAGCTGTTTTATCCTGGAGACGACCGGTTGATAGTCTGCCGTGCGCATCGAGGGCAGTGCCGCGAACGTCTTAAAGAGAGCGACCTAGTCCGCGACTCAGCTCCAGATTCGGTATCCTCGGTCTTCTTGTTGTTCCGTTTCTAACAATTTTAAGACGTTCGGCTGCTGCTATGTCGACTGAACAGAACAACATGCCCGGATCTAGTGCTGTCGATATCAATCGACCGTTTCGCTTCGTTGGAGTCAACTTTCGTCGCTGGAAACAAAAGATGGAGTTTTACCTGACGACCAAGAAGTTGGCACACTGCCTCACTAGCATGCCCGTCGAGCTGCCGGAAGAAGCGACCGATGAGGAGAGGACTGCTTCTGGTAAGGAAAGGGAGCATGACTTCCTATGCAAGAGCTACATCTAGGGATGTCAATTTTGACCTGACCCGTTGTACCCGACCTGTTTGACCTGTTTTGGGGCGGGTCGGACCCGCCCCGTAGGCGGGGCGGGGCGGGAATGGGTACTCTCATCGACCCGACCTGCCCTGACCCGCCCCATTCTCGACCCGTTCTTGCCTAAATTACACGTAATTTTAGTCAAATTACTTAGGATTTTCCTTTTACTAAATCAAATTTTAGCTATAATAAAGTTGTAAATTAGTGAAAACCTCAATTTCTCCAATAATTTTACTATATTTATCATAATATTGTTCGTTTCCATGGTCTTATAATAAAATTAACGAACATTTCTAATATTTTTCATATAAATTGCTTACCCATTGGGTCGACCTGCCCCGACCCGTGACCCGTGATAAATTACCCGACCTGGACCCGACCTGCCACGGGGCGGGTCTGGGTACCAAGAAACCCGCCCCGGACCTGCCCCATTGCCATCCCTAGCTACATCCTCAACGGCCTGGCAGACGACCTCTACGACTACTATGCGGACAACAAGAACACCGCAATGATGGTCTGGGATGCGCTCCAAAAGAAGTACGACAGGGAGGAGGCTGGAGCTAAGAAGTATGCTGTCAGCCGCTACCTGCGCTACCAGATGGTGGATGACAAGTCTGTCGAAGTTCAGTCCCACGAACTTCAGAAAATAGCTCACGAGATCGTCTCTGAAGGTATGCCTCTGGACGATCAATTTCAAGTTGCTTGCATTATTGATAAGCTGCCCCCTTCGTGGAAAGATTTTAAGAATATGCTTAGACATAAAACCAAAGAATTTTCACTGGAAAGTTTGATTACTCGCCTAAGGATTGAGGAAGAGTCCCGCAAGCAGGATATGAAAGAAGAGGTGATGGTCGTCACTGCTAAACGACCCACCCCTAGAGCTCTTAAACCTAACCAGAAAGGGTTTAAGGGTAAGAACCAGCAGGTCCGCCCCCACCAGAATGGTGCCTCTCGAGGTAACCAAAGGGTCATGGCCCAAACCTCTAAGAATGACCCACCGTTTATCTGCTTTAACTGCGGAAAACCGGGTCATATGGCAAAAAAGTGCAGGAACAAGCATAACCCCGCCGCTGCGGCCAGGGTTAACTTGACAGAAGAGGATTTGGTAGCCATGATCACAGATATGATCGCTGAAGTTAACCTCACTGGTGACTCAGAAGGATGGTGGCTGGATACAGGTGCATCGAAACATGTATGCAACAATCGTGCTATGTTTAAAACATATGAAGAAGCACCTGCTGACAAGAAAGTGTTGTTGGGGACTACTCACACCACTATGGTTGCTGGTTCTGGTGAAGTGGAGCTGAACTTCACCTCTGGGAAGAAGATGGTGCTTAAGGATGTGTTGCACACTCCAGAGATAAGGAAGAATCTTGTTTCGGGATATCTTCTTAATAAGGCTGGGTTTAATCAATCTATTGGGGCAGACTTGTATACTCTTACTAAGAATGGGAGTTTTGTGGGAAAGGGATATGCATGTAATGGGATGTTCAAGTTGAATGTCGAAATTAATAAGATGAATTCTTCAGTTTACATGGTGTGTGATTTGAATGTTTGGCATGCTCGTCTTTGTCATGTGAACACACGAATTGTGAAGAATTTAAGCAAGCTAGGACATATCCCTAAACTCTCAATGAATGAATTTGATAAATGTGGTTTCTGTAGCCAAGCTAAAATAACGAAAACGCCCCATAAATCTGTGAGTAGAGAATCAGAACCCTTAGATCTGATTCATTCTGATATTTGTGAACTAGATGGGACGTTAACTAGGTCTGGCAAGAGATACTTTATCACTTTCATAGATGATTGCTCTGATTATTGCTTTGTTTATTTGATGAAAAACAAAAGTGAAGCCCTTGACATGTTCAAGGTATTTGTGGTTGAATTCGAAAATCAGTGCAATCGAAAGATAAAAAGACTTAGGAGCGATAGAGGATCAGAGTATGACTCTAATCCCTTCAAGGAATTCTATAGCTCACATGATATCATTCATGAAACCACGGCACCATATTCACCATAAATGAATGGTAAAGCTGAGCGGAAAAATAGGACATTTACAGAATTAGTTGTGGCTATTATGCTCAATTCTGGAGCTGCTTCTTCTTGGTGGGGTGATATTTTGTTGACGGTTTGCTATGTGCTAAATCGTCTTCCAAAAACAAATAGAAAAGAATCACCCTATGAGATCTTGAAGAATAAGCCACCTAATCTGTCCTACTTAAGAACGTGGGGCTGTTTGGCCTACGTAAGAATTCCTGATCCTAAGAGGGTTAAGTTGGCTAGTCGAGCATATGAATGTGTCTTCGTTGGCTATGCGGCCAATAGTAAGGCATATAGATTCTATGATTTGAATGCTCGTACAGTAATAGAATCCATTGATGCTGATTTCTTTGAGACACGATTTCCATTTAAAACGAGAAATAGTGGGGGTAATGTACTACCCGCTATTAGAGATAACGGAACAAGTGGGGGTGTTGGATCTGAGGATGAACTCAGAAGAAGTAAAAGAGCTAGAATATCTAAAGATTTTGGTGATGACTTTACTACAGTATACACCCTAGAGGATCCAAAAAGTTTGCAGGAAGCATTAACTTCCATAGATGCAGACTTTTGGAATGAGGCCGTTATAGATGAAATGGAATCGTTAGAGGCTAATAAGACTTGGCATCTAACAGACTTACCTCCTGGCTGCAAAGTCTTAGGTAATAAATGGGTTCTAAAAACGAAACAGAAACCTGATGGTGCAATCGAAAGGTTCCGAGCTCGCCTAGTAGTCAAGGGCTACAGGCAGAGAGAGAATATAGATTTCTTCGACACCTATTCACCAGTATCTAGAATAACATCCATTCGTGTCATGATTGCTCTTGCTGCCTTGAACAATCTCGTGGTACACCAAATGGATGTTAAGACTGCTTTTTTGAACGGTGATCTAGATGAAGAAATCTATATGGAACAACCAGAAGGGTTTGTTATCCCTGAACATGCCTCGAAAGTCTGTAAGTTGGACAAATCATTATATGGTTTGAAACAGGCTCCAAAACAGTGGCATGAGAAGTTTGACACTCTCGTTCTCTCACATGGCTTTAAGGTGAATGAAAGTGACAAGTGTATTTACTGCAAGTCAGAGAATAACACTTGCACTATCATATGTTTGTATGTAGATGACATGTTGATATTTGGTACAAATATTCACGTGGTCAATGAAGCGAAAGCCATGTTAAAAGAGAGCTTTGAGGTGAAAGATCTGGGAGAAGCAAAGTTTATGCTTGGAATCCAGATAACTAGAAGAGCAAATGGTTATTCTCTAGATCAATCTAGTTACATAGAGAAGATATTGAAGAAGTATAACTATTTCGACTGTAAACCTGCGTGTACTCCGTATGATGCTAGTGTAAAGCTATTCAAGAACACTGGAGACAGTGTAAGACAAACAGAATATGCTAGCATCATTGGCAGTCTCCGTTATGCTGCGGATTACACTCGACCAGACATTAAATATGTCGTGGGATTGCTTGGCAGGTTTAACAGCTGTCCTAGTAGAGAGCATTGGAATGCTATAGAGAGGGTCATGAGATACCTCAAGAGAACAGCAAACCTTGGTATACACTATCAAAGGTTTCCCGCTGTACTAGAAGGGTATAGTGATGCGGATTGGAATACCCTATCAGATGACTCCAAGGCAACCAGCGGATATGTTTTTAACATTGCTGGTGGAGCTGTGTCTTGGAAGTCAAAGAAACAAACAATCCTAGCTCAATCAACTATGGAATCAGAGATGATAGCACTAGCAACGGCTAGTGAAGAAGCAAGTTGGTTGAGAGGATTGTTGTCAGAGATTCCCCTATGGGAAAGCCCGGTCCCTCCGGTATTGATACATTGTGATAGTACCGCAGCTATCGCTAAAGTTGAGAACCGGTTCTATAACGGAAAGAAACGACAGATTCGTCGTAAGCACAGTACTGTTAGAGAACTCCTAACGATAGGAGCAGTGAGGGTGGATCATATAAGATCCGAACAGAATCTAGCTGATCCTTTGACGAAAGGATTACCTAGAGAGAAAGTCCATAATACCGCCAAGGGTATGGGACTTATGCCTACCGAACCACGGACTACAAGTGATGGTAACCCGACCCAATAGACTGGAGATCCCAAGAAATGGGTTCAATGGGTAATAACAAGTCATGAGTAGTATGCGAAAAGTTCATGCATAATGAAGCATGAATCCCAAAGCAATGGAGGTTGAGTTAATAACTCTTAATGAGATCTATACCCTATGTGGGGTGGAGCACTTTACTTTGGGGGTACTCCTGATAGACTCACCTATGTGAATGTGGGAGTGGGGCCGCTCCCTATGGAACTTTGAGAGGCACAAAGTTGCTAGAGCGTTCACTAAACTAGGATAACGTGCATGGCCATAAACGCACGGGCTAAGAAGAGAACATAACTCAATGAAAAGATCCGGTGTGCTACACTGTCTGAGATAGGGTTCAAGACTACGAGTCACCCTTATGAAATCGGAAGTGTAACCACTACGCTAAGGTTCAAATCTTCTCGATACCTTAGCTTATGCCCGATCTTATGGAACTGTCGATGCTCAGAGATAGTTTCAAAACTATTCAAGTGGGGGATTGTTGGAAATGTGTATGAATAGCTTTGAAAGCTATAGAGTCTCAAGTGGAAAAACTACCACATTGGTAGTTTTACTTGGTGAAATGAGTATAAAGATAGGAGCCTCTCTCCTAAGGGCATGCCCCTTGGGGTGACCCACTTTTGTGGAAGAGGGAGGACCTAACGGACCACCACACACACGCGCGCGCCGTCCGTCTGTCCGACCGACCGGTTGGATGGATGGATGGATCACTTGAGACTATATACATATTTTTTGGAGAAATTCCGAACGAAATTAATTATTATATAATTAATTATTAATCAGTTATTCTGAGGAATATTCTAAGGGATAATCGATTGAAAAGGAATATTCGAAGGATAATCTCTGCAGGATTTATCCTAACCGACGGTTTTAATTAAGGAAGTAATTATCTTCCTTAATTAATCCGACTTATTCCCCAAGCAAGAGGGTATATTCCTAGGGGTTCGGCTCCTATAAATAGCCGCCTCCCCAGCCCCTCTAAACACACCACAACGAGCATAAACACAATAGAGAGAGTGTTCAGAGAGCTCCGGTTTTCGCACAAAACCGCGAGTACACAGAGGAGCTGTTTTATCCTGGAGACGACCGGTTGATAGTCTGCCGTGCGCATCGAGGGCAGTGCCGCGAACGTCTTAAAGAGAGCGACCTAGTCCGCGACTCAGCTCCAGATTCGGTATCCTCGGTCTTCTTGTTGTTCCGTTTCTAACAACTATTACATGAATAAATACTCTCGTCTCCATTATACAAATTGATGATATTATTGTGACGGTCTCGATCACCAATTATTGACCCGTATGTTAGAAGCACATCATTATATGACTAACCAGCATTGTCTACTATTATTAGTTTAATTATCACCTGACGAATAGATAATACAACCTAAGTTTATTTGTATTGTAGGGAAACATATCTGTTGATTAATAAATGATACCGTTTGAAACTAATTTCATGCACAATAACTCAATGAAAGTAGTACGTCTATTGTTGTGTAATTTCAATTAATTTCATCCTTGTAAAATACAGGTATGCATTTACCATTTTAAGAAAGTGAAGGTACAAAATCAAAATGAAAGGCAAAGTATATATAGCTTGATTGAAATCAATAAAATGAATGCAACTTTGTGAACCCTCTGGCCAAAAAAAAAATGTGTAGTATATGTTTCTCAAGTGGAGAATTTTTCTTTTTTTTCCCCCTTAGTTATAAGTAGCCCCAGAAGCTGGAATCCATTTATCTCCCTGGATAAACGCCTTCACCGAAAACTTCTCCGCTTCCTTCTTGTTCATAAACTTCACTCCCTTCCACTTCACCCTCTTCTTCGTATCCGCCCCGGCCCCAAAGTTCCCGTACTCCGCATAGTAAATTGTCGGCGGCGCCGTTGTCCCCGTCCACGCCAGCCACCCTTGCGGATCAATAAGCCCACCAATCTCCGACCCAACAAACGCGGTCGTCGAATAAGCCTTCCAGGGCCGGCCCAAGTAATTCTTCACCGCTGAAAGCCCATTGGTGTTTCCCTTGTAGGGGAGGATTTTGCAGTTCTGGATGGCGATCCCCGTGTTCTGGTTCGGGTCGGTTTTCCCCTGGGCGGTGATGGTGTTTTTCTGACCCGACATGGGGACCCGCGGGAGGATGTTGGAGTTCTGGATGACGGCGGCGGAGTTGCCGAAGATGAAGTCGACGGTTCCCGTGATGTTGCACTCGCGGTAGAACTGGCGGTTGGCGTGGGCGTAGAGGGTGTCCTGGTACGCGTCGAAGCTGCAGCGGTAGAATATGGACTGGTCGGCGTTGGACATCAGGGCCACGGCCTGGTGCTTGGATGGGCCGGCCGTGTTCTTGAAGCCCATGTCTCGAGCCATGAAGCCCTTCCCGAAAACAGCTATAACACAAAGAAGAGAACCAAAAAGAAAAAAAATTTTGATATACAAAATTGAGAAATAAAGTACGGAATCGGATTAATGGTTGGATCAGTAGAACTACTAATGGATGATTAGAAATGAACCGAACGGTTTTCAACAGTTTGACCTGAATTTAAGTGAACTACATCGGTTTGCATAATCTATTCTAACCACAAAAGTAATTAATAAAAAAATCTTTAACGTAAACTAAGATTGCCCAGTTTGAATTAATCTGCTTTCCTTTTTTTTCAGTTTTTTAGTTTGCTTGTCGACTTTATATGATCTACTACGGATTGTCATCCTAATTACTAACTTGAATTTTAATTAAAAAAATTATGATACATTTTGTGAGATAGATTGCATGATTTGTTAAAAAAACTATGATAGATTGCATAATTAAAAATTCATCTTTTGTAGTTAGTGATAAATTCACTTTTAAATTAGTGTATTATATGTCTTTTATGTTATACATAATGAACGGTTCTATCAATCGTTAATCACACAGCCCTAAATCACTAAATTTTATGGTTCCAGTTCTAAAAAAAGCCAGGAAATAATATGCTAATGTATAATTTGTTGAATATGATTGATTACCGAAAGTGGCGGTACGGAAGGTCGGAGTGCCGTCGACCACATTGAGGCCGCCGGTGACGACGGTGGCGTCCATCCCGTCGCCGACCATGATGACGTTCCACATCGTCTTCTCCACCTTCACATTCTCCTTATAAACCCCCTTCTTCACGTAGATAACAAACCTCTCCTTGCTCTTCTTCGGCACCGCCTTCAGCGCCTTCTCTATCGTCTTGTACTTCCCGCCAGCCCCCACCACCGCATCCGCCTTCTTCTTCAAATCCTCCCCCTTCTCCGCCAACAGCTCCCTGTATCCAGCCCGGCCCAACAACCACTCGGGCCCCTTGCCCAACAGCCTCCTCCTCCGGCCCACTCCCCTAAACGACCCCGCCACCTTCCCCATCCACGTCACGATCGCCAGGCTGTTGCTCGTCAGCTCCGTCGCGTTCCTCATCCCCGCCACGTCACCGTCCACGTCCAGCACCCCGGCCTCTCGTAACCCATCGAGACACGTGTCCTGGTACGTGGCAGCCGAGCTGAGCCACGTCCTGACGTCATCCACCACGTCGGCCACGTTGGTGGGTCCCGAGGAGGAGGAGTACGTGTCGTTGAGATGGTCGGCCGCGAGGTCGAGAAGCTCGACGCAGTCGGCCACCGCGGCGGCGGTGGTGTTGTCGTAGTTCTTCGACGTTTTGGAGAAGTAGTCGGAGGCTTTCTCAACGGCGGAGACGGCGACCTGGACGGAGAGCTTGAAGAGGTCTTCAGGGTGGAGGTGGCCGGACTTGGCGGCGGAGGAGAGGGTTTGGTAGCAGGAGTCCTTGTAGAGGGTGACGCCGCAGACGGCGGCCACCGACTTCATGGCGGCGGCGTCGTTTTGGGTGTCATGGTGGTTGGAGTTGGCGGAGCGGGTGCCGAGGACGGAGGCGAGGATGATGGTGAGGAAGAGGAGGGAGGAGAGGGCGATGATGAGGACGCGCTTGCGGGTTTTGCGTCGGGCGTCGAGGCGGGCCTGGTCGGCGTCGTCGATCTTGCCGTAAGGTTCGAGAAAGGAGGACGCCATTGAAGTTGGGATTGGTTGTTTGTTTTGCCGGGGAATGAGGTGGCGGGTTATATAATGGGACGTATATACGTACGCCATTGTTGATCGGTGCGAGTTATATTATGATATTTGTTTGGTTACGCGGTCAAACGTGCGGTGCAGTTAGGGTAGTGAGGGAGTGGTGGCCGTCATGTTTGGAGCTCGGCGAGGCGGCAACGTGGGAGGTATGTTATGTGTATACTGTATATGTTAATGATGTATGTTTGGTGTATGGGTGAGTGGTGACGTCCAGGTGGAGGAAAGGAGAATGGCGATTGGATCAAAGAGAATCTAAGATGAATTTAAGGGCTTAATCTCCTGTTTTATTAGGGAAGAATTAGTGCTGTTAGAGTATATATGTGATGTGAAATTAAAGTCGGCTAGATCTCCCTTTTAGAATTACTGAAATAGTCAACGCGCTTTTTCCCACTCATGAAATAATAAACCCTAGTCAACAGATTATCTTCAACGCTATTTGTGGATATTGGGCCAGCTGTATAGCCCAGGGTAGTGAGTTAGCCCCATTATTTCTGAGGTAAAAAGGCCCGGCCCGCTGGTGGTATATAGGGTGGCACTGACATGTTAATCACCTTCTCGTGGTGAAGTTATTGGTGACTCAACTACGTAGTGATTCCATTCATCCTTATCCTACTTTGTTGGGTCTGATTCGCCAGGAAGCTAAGGATTGGTTGGTCAACCTGTCTCATACATATCGTGAGGGGAATAAAGTCGCGAACTGGCTCTCGAGATACAGTCTCGTCTATCCTTACGGGATGTATGAGTTGGCGGATCCACCAACTTGTCTCGTCCCGTTACTTCGAGACTACGTGTTAGGAGTCACTTTTGAGCGCCGGGTTGTGGCTGCTCTCTCCTCTCTATCTAATCTCTCCCCGTACTTGTTCTCTGGCTTTTCGGCCCAAGGCCTCTTTGCAATGCAAAAAAAAAAACTATGTAGTTTCATGACTCGTATCTTGCATTTCGTTTATATTATATCATGTGTGTTAATTTTCTTGGTTTGTTAACAAAGTGCCAGAGTTTTTGTCTATGAAATTAAAAGGTTTATATTCTATCTTGGTACATAACGCTTATTTTTTGGAATTTCAATTTTGGGTTTCAATAGAAAGAAAAAAAAGGTATTTCCCTATTTTTTTTACAAGAACCTGTTTGCTTTTATTATGATATCACGTACATGTATTCTTGAGCGTACTTTTAAAGCAATAAGATCAACATGCTATTGATCAAGATATTGCAACATGAGTGATGAATGATGTCAAGGTTCATTTTTGGATCCCTGACCCCATTAATTTTTATATTGTTCTTGGTCGTCGACTATTGCTACTCCTCTTGTTATGCGGAAGCATTTGATTTTAACATATTGGAGATTTGACCCCAATACTGTCTGCGAATAAATTGAGTGAAATCGTCAACATATGTAAATTGTTTGATCCATCAATTGAGTGAAATCGTCAAAAACATATGTAAATTGTTTGATCCTGGTTGGAGTAATTGGATCTTATACCGTCAATACTGGACATCACATTTCATTATACAGTCACATTTCATTATACAGTATACAGTCAATACTGGCCATCGTCTCATCTAGATTCCTATCAATGAAGTAAAAGCTAATCAGCTACATACAGAGGCAAAACCTCCCTGGGAAAGGATGAACTGATCAAACTAGTGGATCACAATCAAAGCTATATCCACCTATGTCTAGGGGTGAACAAATACACCCGCAAACCGACCCACCCGTCCAACCCGACCCAACCCACCCGTATTTATCGCTATAACTAAGGTTTTGGGTTGGGTGAGGGTTTTCTTTTGTACAACCCGCCTCTTTTGGGTTGGGTTTGGATTTTGGATTACACAACCCGTAGAACCCGACCCAACCCGTGTTCCAACTATTTATATGAGTTCGTATCCAAAAAATATTTATGTCGTACATAGTAATACTTATGAGAAAATTAAGATATTTCGCTATGTTTTTCTCACATGGTCTCTCTAATCTAATGCATTTTTTGGGTTAAAGTTTAGACATAGATTTAATATAGCTATGATTCACGTAATCCTTTTTCTTATATACAATTTTAATAGAATAAACATATTATGGATGCGTGCGTTAATAACATTTTTAGCCTATTTCAACAAATGTCATAAAAAAATAGATATATGTTGAAGTAAATCACATTTTATTAAAATTTAAACAACATTTGTGAATTTTGATAAATTTCACCTCCGTTTATTCGTTTGAAATTTTAATTAGTTATAAAATATTTTTATGGTGTAGACTAATTACATATTTTGTGTTGGGTTGGGTTTTTACTTAAAAATATCGTCAACCCGACCCAACCCAATTAGAGACAAACCGTAGGGTTTTAATTTTTTTGGGTGGGTTTGGGTTTAATATTTCCCAAACCGTAGAGCATGGGTCGGGTGATTAAAATGGCTAAACCCGGACCACCCGACCCATGTACACCCCTACCTATGTCCCTCCAAGAGCAAAAAAAAATCTTTGGAAAAAGCATTCGTCTGTCTTAAGTTTTAACCTCCCGTAACCAAGTCTCTCCAAGAGCTAAAAACCTTAGAAAAAACAACTGAGCTGCCGCACAGATGCTCAGCATAAACAAGGAGAAACAGAATCAAGAAAGGCTCAATGATGCTACAGCACCTCGAACTAGAAAGGGAAGCAACTGTTAAGAAAAGGACACCGAAAAGGACAAGGCAATGTTTGTTCACCGTAAACAATGAGCCCCCCTAGAAAAGCCATTGGTTGACCTCTTCCCATGTCTCCTTCCTCGCATACCTTCATCCCACCCACCATTTCTCTCTTTATTCTCCAGCACTGATTAGTTTATAACTTGATCTGATGAAGACAACTGCAAACTCAGCTTTCAAGCTGATGTCAATTAGTTATCACCTCAATTCAAGCTTTGTTTATTGTTCCAGCCAGGCTCATCACCTGCTGCAATTACACCTAACACCACCACTCACCATCCTCTGACTTCTGCTGCTCCCCTCAAAGCCATTATTCCATCTCAGTCAATAATTGATTCTTCCAGCTTCTTGCAATTTGGGTGTTCTCCAGTTTTAGGGTTTTGAATTTTGCTTCTTCCCATAATGGGGAAGGAGACGAAGAGGATAGTGGATGAGTACGAAATAGCAGAAGTCCTAGGCAGGGGAGGATTCTCAGTGGTGAGAAGAGGTATCAGGAGAACCTGCAGTAGTGATGGAGAAAAAACAGGGGCAAGCCATGTCGCCATCAAAACCCTCAAGAGGCTCCTGGCCCCTTCAGTTCCCGGGCCGCCGGCGGCAGCCCTCCCGCCGTGGAAGCACCAGGCTTCGGTTTCTGATGCTCTGCTCACGAACGAGATCCTGGTCATGAGGAAAGTTGTGGAGAAAGTCTCCCCTCATCCAAACGTGATTGACCTTTACGATGTGTACGAGGATCAGAACGGGGTTCATCTTGTTCTGGAGCTCTGCTCAGGCGGCGAGCTGTTTGATCGAATTGTGGGGAGGCACGACAGGTACTCGGAGCGGGAGGCGGCGACCGTCGTCAGGCAGATTGCTGGAGGTTTGGATGCTCTTCATAGTGCGAATATTGTGCACAGGGACTTGAAGCCTGAGAACTGCTTGTTTCTGAATGAGAAGGATGATTCTGCGCTTAAGATAATGGATTTTGGGCTGAGCTCTGTGGAGGAGTTCACTGATCCTGTTGTTGGGTTGTTTGGTTCCATTGATTATGTATCGCCTGAGGCGCTCGCCCAGGGAAGGATCTCTTCCAAGAGTGATATGTGGTCTTTGGGAGTCATCTTGTACATTTTGCTGTCAGGGTAAAATGGGGGGAAAGAATAACTGCTTCGATTTCTTGCAAGTTCTCTGAGAAATTTATGTTCTTTTCTTCTCTATTGTTGTGGGATTTTGAAGAATCGAAATGGGTTTTTATGTTGTTGGCAGGTATCCGCCTTTCATTGCGCAGTCGAACAGGCAGAAGCAGCAGATGATACTTGCGGTATGTGTTCGATGAAATGTCTCTGAGAGATGAATTAGTTACTGAGAAATAATGGGGTGTGTTTGGCCTTTTGGGGATGTTTGCAGGGTGATTTCCGTTTTGACGAGCGGAGTTGGAAGCAGATCACATCATCTGCAAAGCAATTGATCACTGACCTTCTGCAAGTTGATCCAAACAGAAGACCAAGTGCTCAAGATGTAACCCTAACACAAACAGAACTAGATAGTTTTTCCCCGATTCAGAGATAGTTATATTGATATGAAGTACTGAAATGCAATTTGCTTTTCTTCCAATTGTGTGATTTTGAATATGCCACAAACAGGTTCTTAATCATCCATGGGTGACAGGAGACTCAGCCAGAGAGGAACAAATGGACCCGGAGATAGTCACAAGGCTGAAGAGGTTCAATGCGCGAAGAAAGCTCCGCGCTGCAGCCATAGCTAGTGTGTGGAGCAGCACAATTTTCCTGAGGACCAAGAAGCTTAGATCTCTGCTGGGATCTCATGATCTTACTGAGAGTGAGCTAGAGAACCTCAGAGCACAGTTCAAGAAACTGTAAGCGCCTTTTTTCAGTTCCTTGAGAATTCCAGAAACCCTTGTTATAGGGTTTTCTCTTGGTCCTTTTCCAATGACAAATGCTTGCCTAGACCTTGAAACCATCTCTTCTTTTCCTGATACTGCCCTCAGATGTGCGAAGGGTGACAATGCAACTCTATCAGAGTTCGAGGAGGTGCTCAAGGCAATGAAGATGTCCTCATTAGTCCCTCTGGCGCCTCGAATCTTCGATATGTTTGACAACAACCGAGATGGGACGGTTGACATGAGGGAGATCCTCTGTGGGTTCTCAAGCCTGAAGAACTCCACAGGAGATGATGCCCTGCGTTTATGCTTCCAGGTGAACTGATCGAGCTGAGTCTCTCCATTTCATTTTCTCAACCTGTGGCTTCATCACTCTAGCCACTCATCAGGGTCATTTTACCTCTGCAGATGTACGACACAGATAGGTCTGGGAGCATTACAAAGGAAGAAGTAGCCTCCATGCTTCGTGTACATCCTTCACCCACCATTCCCTTATGTCACATTATTGTTGATTGATTCTTTCAATCTCTAGTCTTTCTGATATGGAGCAACGAACCCAAATTTGTGTCTGTGCAGGCCTTGCCGGAGGAATGCCTGCCAGCAGACATTACAGAACCTGGGAAGTTGGACGAGATATTTGACAGGATGGATGCCAACAACGACGGGGAAGTGACTTTCGAAGAGTTTAAGGATGCTATGCAGGTCGACAGCTCTCTCCAGGATGTTGTCCTCTCATCTCTACGCCAAAAATAGAAAGCTCCCAGCTTTTGGAATGACAGGAGTGCCCTAACCAGAACTTGATATCCAGCAACTTGCATTATGTTACCAAGGCACATAAGGTTGCTGTGGATGGAGGGTGTTTCAAATGACTGGAATAGAGGAATACGAGTCATTCGCATCAATCTAATCCGTTTGTAATTTTTAGATGTGGACTTACCTCAGCTGATTGAGCAGCTTTAGTTACTATATTACTTCCTAATTTCATATCATATACAATTCAATGTGAACTCTACATATTTTGCTTTACCACAGTTTTATTTTAATACTTTGGCTTCTTATATTTGAATTATTTTCTTCTGATTTTGACCAACCTTATCATATTGTATAAAAAATAAAACTTGAGAGATCAAGTGATCTATGATTCAAAATATATATAATTGGTGAAATTTACATCATTTGTTTTTTACACGTTTTTGTTTCGATACTTTCGATTTATATATTTCAAAATTCAAGGATTTTGACTCACATTTACTGAATTCAACCCACAAACACACCCATAATAAGTTATCTGATAATACACAGTTCAACCCATATAACTAATCTATAATGACCAGAACAACTAATCTATGTTACAATGTTAGAAGATCCAAACACTACATTTTTTCCATATCCAAACACTTACTTTAGAATGATAAAAATGAGTAAATGACCATTGACCAACAATAAGAACCTAGTCCCAAAAGAACCATCTGCGTTGGGCTTCATCATAATGTGGCCCTGGATCTGGCCCAGATAGATCCCAGACCAGCCTAGCCCACTGTAATAAGAATTGAGTAAGAAAGACTGGAATAAGGAAAAGCCCAACAATAGAAGAAGAGCCAAGTTTCCCCCCCTGGTATAAGGGAAAGATAGTATGGAAGAAGATAATTGTTTCCTCTAATCTTCATTCTTTGCTGTCATGCATCATGGATGATAACCCAATTCCACGAAATTTAAGTATGGATTTGTATTCGTTTTACTTATTGGGTGCTGGTCTGGATGAAAAGCTGACCAAATTTTTGCAAACCCGAATCTCCACCAAATTCAAATCTATCAACACTGAATTTTACCCAATTTGATTGAATCGGGTACTCATTTAGTTCGGATTCAATCACTATCCAACAAGTTGTTAGATAATGGTATAAGATCAATCACAACTTTCTCCCAACAACTGGTTTGATTAAGTGATCGTGTGTTCAACTCTCCACTACCCCCAATATTAACAGTTGATTAAAACAAAATGTATGGTGGGCCTGTGCAAACTTTTTGAGGGGCATGTTAGATAATGATATAAGATCCATCGTAACCTTCTCTCAACAACTCGAGTTAATAGAACTGTCATGGACATCCAACACAGGCCACAACCAAACAAGATCAAAACAAACCTTCAACAAATTTCTACCTTCCAATTCCAATTCTCCCCACAAGCAAGCAACCAAAAGGTAGAAAACCAACTCATCAAAAGGCTCCAAACTAACCAAATAAATTCCCGACAAAGAGAACCCCCATTCTCCCCGCCACACACACAGCGGCAGCGCACAGTCAAACCCAATAACAACCATCTTAATTTCCTAGTTACAAGAAACCGACGTTGTGGTTGACCCATCATCATCCGACAAGGGCTTCTTGTCGTTTACGACATCTTTGCCACCACCATCACCGTCCAGAAATTCCGCGTCGAACACCAAGTAGTCAATGTCGTCCAGTTGGAACCCTCCCGCATCGTCAAACAGCTCCGGCAGCCCTGCGCAACCCGCCGTCGCCACCGCCGCGTTCTCCGGGTAATCCAAGCACATACTCCACCCGCTCATCCCGTCGTCGTGCTCGAAATCCAACAGCTCCTCTATTGCTATCATGCTGTCACTGTCGCCGCGGGGCGGCGGCGGTGGTGGCATCATCATCATCATCATCGCCGCCACCTCTGCCCCAGCCTCTGTTTCTTCTTTCTCTTCTTCGTCTAACGAAGGCAGGGGAGGCGGCGGAGACGGTGAAGCAGGGGGTGGTTGTACTGCATCGACGGCGTCAATCTCCAATTCCGGCGCTGTGGTGGGCGGAGGAGACGGGTGGATGAATTGGTCGACGTTGAGTCCTTTGGCTTTCAGGCGGTCGACGTAATTGGCGACGTCAAAGTTGGTGACGGCGTTTGCTCCTCTGTACTCGAGTGCAGCCAAGTCATATGCCTCTGCCGCTTCTTCCTGAGTGTCTACACCACACACACACACACACACACAAAAAGTAATTAGGAAGAGATTTATTCTTTTAAACATAATTATTATTTGTTAATACTTAATATCACTGCATGCTAAGATCGGTAGCTAATGTAAAAGACGGGTGTGATAAGAAGTCACGTGAGCTCTGCTGCAGCTACTAGTTGCCACTCCACTCTGCCACCAGATCTCTAATTACAGTTTTTATTATAATAATTAACTAAGTATAATTAAAGATAAAAATGTTAAATTGTGAAGATTAGAGTAGGTAGATATGTACTTAATTGGTAGGCGAAAGAGGTGAGGCAGGCACGTTAGTGAAATAATAATTAGATCCACAAGTTCGTGTCTTGTGTATGGCTTAAAGGGGAAGTAGAACTGAAAAAAACACGGGGTAAGAGGAGGCAGTTGTACCTTTTCAACCATCTTTCACGAAACAAATTAAACAAATTCTCTACTCCCAAATTGACCTAATTATTACTCTGCAATATTATTCAGCAGCCAGCCACCAAGTGGGTGGTGGATGTTGGATGCTGACGGCAAGAAAAATGTCTTTTCATCATAGACTACCGGGGGAAAAAGTACAATGGAGCATGCTTACAAAAGACAACAAATGATATTGCGACGGTCGATTCTAATCGAGCAATTGTTAAACGAGTTTTTTTTATGTACTAAATGGGCAGCTCTATTAGATTCGTAAGAATTATTTGTTATTATATATATGTGTGTAATGTTAGTTTGGGTTCAAATGAAATGCACCAAATTCCTTTGCACTATACGATAAGGGATTAGAACGTTCGAGTATGACTTCATGTTTGGTGTGTTTCGAAATCGTTCAATGCACATGGCGGGACATTTGTGAATTGTGAATCATCACCACTACATGCATCCAACGATCACGGATTGAAGAGCACACGACCCAATAGTTATCGGCATGTTGGGACGTCCTAACCCTAACCCGGCATTTGGATAGCCCTGGCTCGATTCAGCCAGGTAGAGTTTGCAAGATGTCTAGCCCAAAACACCAAAAGGAAATTGAATGGTTTTCAATTTGGTCAAAATGGGGACAGTTCTCTGTCTCTCTCCACTGACTTTAATATGGGAGAAGAAAAACAGCACCTCAAAATTAGCTATAGCCCAAAGAAATAGGCAGGCTCATTACGTTTTGGGGAACAACTATTGATGAAGAAGAGGTACAAAATTGCACTACTTTGCCCAAACCTACATCAAACAGAAACCAACTAACTTAAATCTACCCCCAACTAATAGAGAGAGGCCATTAATTAGTCACTTTCCCAGCTGCTAGATCTCTTCCTATAAATACTCCAATCCTGTTTCATTGATGAACTACTACATGGGCCCCGGGCCCGGGCCCAATAAAGAAAACCAGAGGGGAAGAAGAATTGTTGGGTATTATTATAGAGAATCACCCATGCATAATGTGACAAACCAAAATGACTAAATGAGCAAGGAGGTCGGGAATAAAAAGGAAATGAAAATAGGGATTATTCTCACGTGACCACTCCTCAGGAAAGAAAAGAGAGATCGTGAGGAGGTGTGATGGATTAATTTTTGTGGATTTGGATCTGATGATGGATTGGCAAAAAAGATAAGGAGGAAAAAGTCGTGTGCGTGAGTAGGATAATAAAGCTCAAAGGCAAAATCAGGCAAACACACACCACTTTTTTGTTTTTTGTTTGTTGGAATCCCTCGTGGATCTGCCGCATTTTCAGGTGGCAAAACGAAGGAAAGAAAATTCTAATTAAAAATCCGACGTGTTGATTTATTTTTCTTTTCTCTTCCATGATTATTAAAGATCAAATCTATAAGATTTCAATTCTTTTATAATTATTGATGATGTTGTTCATTTTGTGCGTACACATAGTTTTTGTTTATAGGTATTATCATAATAACTTTTTTTTATGCACCACCACTCCTTCTTCGTGTATCCTGTTGTTCACAATTAAATTATACGCGCTATTATCCATGAATCCCTCTCGTACTTTAAACAATATTTAAGACGTTACAAAAAATCTTTGACAAAGAAGAAATCTCCTCAATCTCGTGTTATTACAATCTAGGTTAGTCCGTTTGCACGATCACCACCTTAAGTTTGGACTACGAAGCCTAAAAAATGCTTTGTAATAATTTATGTTTTTATTATTATTATAATAGAATGACCCGAGGAAGCGGGAAATCTGTAGACTAGAAAACGAGGGAGAGAGCCAAATCTGGTGATTAGTTGGAGGAGATCCTACTAGCTTAGCTACCAGCCTATTATTTTTAATTTATATAATTAAGATGCCACGTAATTAATTGTTAGAGTTTATAGCTGGAGAGAAAGGCATGCAGGAATGGTTGCCACGTCGTTCGCTCCCCTTATTTTGACTTCAAAGTTCAAACCTCCATCCCCAAAAACACACGAAACCAGGAAGAGAAAAGGGGAAAAAAACAACAAAAAAACGGGCGTGGTGCCAGAATGAAACGGCAAAGAAACGACGAACTTTTTTTTTTGGGGGGGTTATTATGCAAAAACAATTATAAAAAAAATAACTGGAAAAATAAAAAGAAGAGTGTGTTAGTGTTACGTACTGAAAGTGCCAAGGTAGAGGTACTTGTTGCCTAACACCCGCCCGATTCGCGCCTCCCACCGCCCGTTGTGGTGGTGCCTCGCCACTCCCCGGTACTTGGACACTCCTCGGGAGAAGCCGGAGCTCCGGCGCCGGAGTGACGCCAGATACTCTTCTTTGGTCACCTTCCCCATCTCCTCCATCTCCTTCTCATACCCTTCCACCTGCTCCCACCATCATTATTATTGTAATTATTTCCCCGTTTTTATCTTAAATTAAGATAATTAATCGGAGAGAGAGAGAGAGAGTTGAATATTACCGGGAAATTCAAGGTGGTTCCGGGACCCCAGTACTTCAAGGCTGCAAGATCGTAGGTACGGGCAGCTGCTTCCTCATCGTCGTATGCCCCTGCCACCCAATATTTTATAATTACTATTAAGTAAAATAACGGATTTAATTTTAGAAAATAGCAGGGAGCGAGGGAGGGAAATGGAAAGGGGATAATTAGTACTATAATTACTGGAACAGAGTTGGCACTTACCCAAATAAACTGCAGCAAGGAAACACAGAGTACATGAACATTGCCCATTTTCACAGTCGGGATGGATGCAAAAGAAAGGGAATCGGAAAACAATAAACAAGTCAGAATCGTAATTACTGAATAAATAATTAAGGTAATTAACCCACCCCTTTCTGTTCTGTTTAGCTTTATGAAGAGGTGAAAAGACAAATATAATGATAAAATAAAACAAGGATTAGCGACCAGATCTCCTTCCAATTACTTTAATTCCAATTACACATTCAAAACCCAAAACCCCTGAAAAGGGTTGAAAAAGCAGGAGGAAGAAGAAGAAGAAGAAGCTTAAGCTAGGCAATAGCCATACTGACCTTGGCGACCCTTCTTGTTGTGCATGTTGTTCCAGGAGCTCTTATCCCACAGATGCGCTTCAAATCTCCCTGTCCATCTATGCCTGTTCACAATCCAACCAAGTTTACATTACAGGGTCAAATCCCCATCCGTAATGGAACAAGAATCTCATACATGCAAACCCAAATCAATGGTGCGGAGAAATTGGGTAATCCGTTTTGCCTAAAATTGGGGGATTAATCAGTAGTGAATTCAATTACCTGGTGACTCCCCTGAAAGCAGAGCTTCTTCTCCCTGGGGGGTGGGGAGGCAGGGGAAGGCTGCTTCCTCCTCCAGTACCAATGCTCTTCTCCTCCTCCTCCCCATCATTCTTGTTTTTACTTTCCTTCTTAATTCGGCGATCAGCAGCAGCGGCATTGGCTTTAGTGGAGCGGGTTCTTTTCCGGCGTTTCGATTTGGGTAACGCATCCACTTCCACTTCCAATTCCACTTGCAATTCCAATTCATGCGATTCGGCGACGGGAGGTGGAGTATGATTGTTGATTGCAGCATTACAGGAACAACACGGGGACGAGGAGGAGCAAGATGTAGAAGTAGAGGAAGAAGGGGAGCACGGGGAAGAAGAAGCGGCGGCCGCTGCTGCAGCTGTTACAGTAGACGAGGAAGAAGTGGACGAAATCGAAGAAAGAGAGGAGGTCGAGGAGGAAGGGGATAGCCTCTGCCTCTTCTTCATCTTTGTCGACGCCATTGTCATAAGGGTATGGTATGATCTGAATTCGTTTCCCCCCTTGTCAGCAATGGAAGATTTGGAGAAGTTGTCAAGAAGAAATGGGGAGGGATTTTGTTTTGTGGGTTTGGGAATTGTGGGGGAAAGAAAGGAGGGGGTTTTAAGGAGAGGTTGAGCAGCAGAAGTAGTTTACCAAAACAAGGAGAGGGAAGGAAGAAAGGGGTAAAGGGGAAGAAGAAACTGACATATACCCAAGGGCAAGGAATATGGCAAGTGATGGGAGCAGACAGAGAGCAGTACTCAAGGTTGAAGCACAAGCACAAGCACCTCCTCCCTCATAAATATTACTTTGACAATTCCTCCTCCTTCCCCTGTTTTTTCTTTTCTTTTTTTGTATAAAAATGGTTGGACGGGATCCCGCAGAGGTTTAATTAAGGGAGGTGCAAGGCAAGCAAGAACCCAGCAAAATCAAAATTAAAACAAAAAAAAAAACCCAACAGAAACCAGAGAAGAGAATCCACGTTCTAAAAAGGAACAGAATCCACGAGAGATGTACAAAGAGAGATACATTACAGAGAGAGGGGTTGAGTTGGATTAACCACGAGGATGAGTTAGGAATTTCACCCACCACCCACGCCTGGAAAGGCTGAGAAATTGGGTATTTTTACAAGTATCGTGAAATCATACCGGAAGTTGTATCGAACAATTATTTGTGCAAAAAATCATAAATTATTTAATTATTTTTTATCGTTAAAAATTATATTCTAATAAAACATTTTTTTGATTAAACCATCGACACAATATGATATCACAAGACACTCAAATTTTTAGCTCAAATTTTCATATATTCACTTAAATGGGGGAAAAGAAAAGAATTAAAGAAGCAGCCAAAAAGAAAAGAAAAAAGGGAGTTAAAACGGCCCAAACACTTGGCAAAAGGGTGCAGCCATAGCCATGCTGCCAATCACCACCACCGCCTCTCTTTCTTTCTTGCATTTTTTTCTTTGCTTTTGGTGAATTTTGTAGTGTTGCTGCTGCTGCGGCTGACCAACTTTTGCCAACTTCTTATTTTCACTTGTCCATTTCTTACTCCTCCCTCAATGCTCGCATCACCAAATGCAATGCACCCAGATTCACATTACTCCACCTCCATTACGTTCAACAGTCCAAAAAACTACGACAATCACGCTACAAATGCAAAGCAATACAAATTCTGGGGGGGGGGGGGGGGGGAACGAGAGGGTTTTACGTATCGTTTTATGGGGCAATTCAATTAGTAACACGAGAAATCGTTGTAAAAACAACACTGCGTGGAACAATAAGACATCGACATGAAAGCATTCAACCTAGAATCAAAGAATCAGAGCAAACATCCTTTCGAAGTTGACGAACAACAACCTCAAAGTCACACTCTCAATAACCACGTGACTGATGTATTGTTTGATAGTTGAGATTCTCGTAGTTAAAAAATTAGAAAGATAAATTTTCCTATAAAAGTTGCTTTTACTTTCGTTTGAGTGATGGTGAAAAATTATAGCAGTGGTAATTGTTGGGAGAATTAGGTCCCCCTGGATTGAGATTGGGCCAGCCCATCACTTTAAATGGGCCTTACATCTTCCTCTTCCTCACGTCAAAGTCAGGATCTCAAAAGCCTCTAACCGAGCCCATCAATCACACCGACAACTGTCGGCCCACTGGACTCATCGGCTTCAAATGGACCGACTCCGCAAGGCATGCATAAAAAAAAGCAAGCCCGATTATGAAGGATATATTAGCTAGTGGTTACATCATTACACTAAAGCCCTGTTCACTTCCAATTTCGTTTTCTATTTCTGTTTAGAAAATGAAAATCAAGAAACAAAAGACAAGAAGTGTGTTCACTTACACTTTCAGTTTCTTTGGAAAAAACTGTTTTTTACAAATGAGAAAGCTGGGCGAAAACAACAAAATGTTGTTTCCTGGAAATAATGACACGGGTTATTCCCCGTTTCTTGGTGGTAAGTGATTCACTATTCATTAATGTGGTCACCGTTTCGATTCCCACCTGCCACTTAATTTTTGCATCTGCTCCGCTACACAATACACCATCGCTTTGCTCTGCTCCGCTTCTCCAACCCTATATGAGTTGGATAGCAGCGGCGCCGTCCTCTTCCTCCACCAGCCCTGCGTCCGCGACGAGAAGCTCTCGTACCGGTGACGAATTGAAGCTCCTTCCGGCGACGGACCGTTCACACGCCTGCAATCGAGTGGCTTGAACTAGGCCGCGATACTCTCCATGTTTTTTTTATCTTTCGTCCCACTACCTCACTGGCCCCCTGCCGCCGTCGATCTACAACGCTCCCCTTCTCCAGAACTTCGATGGGTATTTTGCCTCTCTGCAAATTAAATGGATTAAAGCGACGTTTAGTGGCTTGTCATGGATCCCAAAATCCAAGATCCTAGGCCTTTGCTTTGCTAACGCCGTCTCTGTTTGGTTTGAAGTCCCCTTTCTAATTGAGTATCTTCACCATCTGATATGGGTGGTGCCTACACATTGCTGGTCCAATTTCCCGGTGGTAGGAATTTTGCCGATTGCTAGTTGCTACTGGTACCATATATTATCCAGCCCTTGTTTCCCCAGTACAACAAAATAGGTCTCTCTCTGTACCTATTTACCATTACATGTTAACCTCCCACCATTAGTGTTATTATCTACTTTAATTGTAAAAGATGACAAGAAGGATCACAAGAAAGAAAAGTATAAAATTTCAATTCAAATCAAACTCGAGCAACAAATGTATCACGTGATGAAATCACAAACAAATAAGTTGTGAGATATCAATGTGATTCATATTACAAATTACAATCATCACTAGAGTGGTATGATATTCCATGAAAAAAATGATGACAATCATGTATCAGAAAACAATATGAAATAACTAAACAGGTTTTCATTTTCAGAATCTAGTTTCAGAACTCACCAAATTTCCAACTAAACAAGTTTTCTTCAGGTTTTGTTTTTCAGGAAACGACAGCTTCATTTTCATTTTAGTTTGTTTTCTGTTGCCAAAACTATAAGAAATGAAATGGCAAGTGAACGGCTCATAATTGAAGCGGCTTCCTGTGTAACCAATAAATAAATGGTCGATTAATGATTAATCGAGAACTAATTGAGTCTTCGTACCTATGTTTCTCTCCTCAAAACGAACACGTCCCTCCTTAGCAAATTCTTGAACTTCGAACAAACAATATCCTCCCGCCTCAACGCTCTTATTTTTTCTCTCATTGTAAATCCAAAAATTGAAAGGGACAAATAGCATCGTTGACTCTGCGATTGAAATGTATGCACAAATGTTGGATTGAGAATATCATAAAGCTTCTACGGAAGGAAAGATTGCAGAGAGTGCGCCCCAATTTCTTCCATCAATGGCTTCTTTCACCTAGTTTGTACTCATCACACTTCTCCTTCTTTTCGCTTTATTCTCACAGTGCCAACAGGAAATACTAACCAATCCCAAATCGTTAATCCTAATGCTCTCCAAATACGACTCCATGGTGCATTATAGCACCCATGGGCCTTGGTGTCGCGTATAGGCTTAGTAATTAGGATTATTATTAGTTAACTGTTAAGTTATTATGATTATTCTTATTAGTTTATTATGTCTATTATGTCTTGTTGAGTAAGTTACTGTTTACTTGTTGGGTTGGGATTAGTTTACCTTATTTGAGAGGGAAAGGGTTTGTAGAGTAGTTCTATAAATATGTACGTTGTTCTTTGGTTTTGATACGTCGAGGAATAATAAACCAGTTTAGTAGTATTCGTGGTAATTTAGGAGTAGAAGTAAAGTAGATTATCGTTCTCTCGACGCATTAGAAATTATAATGCGCCACTCCACCAACGAAATCCTAACCTACCTCCACATGGAAGCACCTCTTGCCACCATGGTCCATGAAACCGTACCGGTACCGGTGGTTCAACCACAAAATACCAGTATCGGAGGCTAAACCGATAGATGGTATTTAACCTTATGAACGATTAAACCACTGTTTTGTCATAAAATACCTTACCACTGACTTTTCCGATACGGTTTCATGGACCATTCTTGCCACCCGTTTCTTCATCGTTGACCTCGTCGGCCACATTCCCTTACTCTATTGTTACACTACAACCAATTCCCCAGCCTCCACTCACCACATTGCTAAGTGTGGATCTACCACTTGCTTTATTCTCTCCTTCGTACACAGCAACGAATCTTCGAATCTTAAATTTGAACTTGTCTTCGTTATCCTCCATTAGTTTCACCTTTGAGTTGGAAATCCACGACAAATTTTATGTATGTATTTTGAAAAATAGAGATGCAGAGTCAAAGCCGAGCTCAACTTGTTCATTTGTGCGCCGGAGACGATGGTGATGGCAGAACAAAGGATTAATCGATTTAGTTTGGACTAACCGCTATAAATAAATAACTTGCTAATAGATTAGACGGTGAACTAAAAAGATTAATAGATAATCGACTAATTAACAGCGCTAAATTCTCTTCTCCTCGATTGTAGATTCCAATTTCATTACAACTTTTTTTTTGTGCATAATCAGAGGCCCGAAACTCCACTCTCTACAAACAGTGCATCAATATACGTACGTTCCAGCATCTGCTTCTAACAACAGTGTTAAACCGTGAAGTAAATATGGCTTAATTAATCAACGAAAGTGTGGCTGTTGACCGTCCAGGAGCCCATCATCAAAACCGAGAAATCTCCGTCGTCACTCCCTCCGCCGAACTCAATCGTCCTACTCTTTCCCGACGACCGTCCTTGGCCTTGGCTCCCCATCCGCTTCCTCGAACATTCGACCTCCAAATACGGCGCCGTTTCTACGCCCGAAACCGGCGCCCCCCGTCGTCGCGGCTTATTAGAGCTGCTCATCACCACTCGACCCAGGTCGTCCCACCCATTGGTCCCAACCAGGTGCGGGAAATTGAGCTTGGCCTTGGAGCCGCGGATCCGGTAAGCGGCTCGATCGTAAGCCAGCGCGGCTCCCTCGGGAGCGTCGTAGGTCCCGAGCCACAACCTGGCGCCCTTCTTGGTGGGGTCCCTTATCTCCGCCGCGTATTTCCCCCACGGCCGCCTCCTCACCCTCCTGTACAGCATTTTCCTCTCCTTCTTCTGAAACGGCGCCGTTTTGTGCTGGCCGTTGTCGCTGCTGCTTCTCGTATTGTGATCCAATGACGACGGAACTGAAGCGACAACCGACTGCTCCTCCGTTTCTTCCTTGACGACGTCGTTCGAGGGAGGATAATTACTCCAGCTCAGGCCCAAGTGACTGGGCTCGGGGTTTAGTGGCAGCTCGGCCCAGCAGCTCCAGCTAATATCTTCCACCTCCAACAGATTATTGAAAGAAGAAAACCCACTAAAGGGTCGTTTACTGTCCACGCAGACACATGTTACTGTCCATCGTGACCCAGCGGTACTGTTTCAACTCGGAAGGGATTCTGGTGTGTGCGGGTTTACGGTGGTCTCTATTTGGTTCGGGACAGGACTCGGCGATCCCGTTGCGTTGTGACCAGAATTTGCCTACTGGTTGGAGTCCTTTCAGTGTCCATCACACGCAATGATCGCTCTGTACGTTTTTTCTCCTTCGGGTTCTTGGACCGGACGCTTTTTTTTTGGGTGAGTGGAGTGGATTGGGATATTTTTCCCATTACTCGAGGTCCCCAGGGACTCTGATTGGCCAGGATTTTTCTTTCCTCAATGCAATTGCAATAGCCTTGGTGATAAGCAAGGCCACGTCGAGTGTCTTGGTTCTTGGGTACTGAAGAGTAGAGAAGGGTCTGCTTGGGAAACCCGCCAGTGGGTGCTACATCCTCCCTTCCCTTCTCCACCACACATTCCAGCCGAGAGAGAGAGAGAGAAGGGTCAAATTTCTCAACTTTGTAGCCTGTTTCTCTCTCCCTTATTTCCATTCTTCAGTCTTTCTTCTCGACTTCTCTCTCTTTTCTGTCACATGACATCCATGACATCTCTCTATTTGGTAGATGGGTGGGGTTGAAAGCAAGCTACTGGGAAGCATATATTATTCAAGAGGGCCGGATAGGATTCAGAGCCATCGTTGATTTACCCATCTCTTCCGGTGAGTTTTCTTTTCTCTTCTCCGGCTCCATTCATCGTCCAGATCCGCTGCTACTTCCTTAATCCCGGGTGGCTTATTTCCGTTCGTCTCGGCGAGTCATCTAGGTCATTTTTCTTCATCCTTTTTCGAGTATCTCACTCTTCTTCTCTCTCTATTTTTTTTTGGGGTGTCTCCAGTAAATGCAAATGAAGGGGATAGCTTTTCATCAATGGTCAGCCTGTGGAACCAAACGGTACGCTATCATACTTTCGTTTCTTTCTTTTTTTCCTTCAAGATTCCATTATTTAACAAGTCTATCGAGGGTTTTGAGAAGATCCATATATGTGGGTGTTGAGAGAAGAAAGACAAACTTGCCTGGGCTCAAACTAAGGAAGGTTGAAGATCGGAGAAGAAGAATAAAATAGAAGGGTTGATTCTTGACAAGTCAATTGAGGAAAGCAATTATCAATCAAGATCACACCAAGATTCGCTAGGATTAACTGGCAGCAATCATCAACGGTCAAGAGAGGCAATTGTATAAAGCATTAAGCTTGGGCGGGTTGAGAGCTATCTTTTCCTAGAATCAAAATCAAAAACAGAGGAGTACTGTTAGAGTTTTGATTAGAAAAGAGAGAGACTTAGCCATCAGGGAGATTGCTAGTGATAGTTCGTTGATCGACTTGGGACATCAGCAGGGAGCTGTGTGACCAGGGAGATTCTGATCAGTGTGACGGGGAGTCACTGTGAGATCAAAGCTGTAAACTGTAAACCCAAAACACAGAGCATAGTACAACGTCGAAGGTCTCGAAACAGAGATCCTTCGACCGTGGATTAGTCGGTGTTAGGTTCAATTAATCGCCTAACACCGGATACCACGTAAAAAGATCGTGTCCGAGTCTATTTTTCATTTTGCTGTTCCTCATTTTGTTTCCAGTTATTCTTGAGCCTTTTTGATCTGCTGCTAGTGTGAACCTCTTACAGAACAGGTTTGATTCTCTGGTACGAAGGAAGAAGAAGGAAGTGGTGTTTACAAAACGCAGAGTTCAACTTAAGTAAATTGGGCCAGTTCTACGTTTGATATCAGAGATCAAGCAAAGCCCAATTCAGTTCGAGAGACACGCTGCCGTTTTGACAAACACATAGAGAAGTGTCTTTACTTCCTCTTTCGATCTGTTTCTCAATTCATTTCATCCTTCTCGCTTGATCTTGCCGAAATTGTATCTAGGGTTTTCAGATTTCCAAATTGTCGAAGAACAGGGGCGAACCATCGCCTGAGTCTCGCGCTCGACTCCAACAACAGGTGGTATCAGAGCCCGGCTCCGGCAAACAAGGTTAACGGCCTACGGAGAAAATGAGCTCGAGTGCAAGCAATGGCGGAGTGTTCATGGCCGACGGATTTTCTCAGACCAGGCCTCCAAGATTCGAAGGAGTACACTACGGCTACTGGCGCAATCGCATGGAGCTGTTCATAGGCTCGACTGATCCCGATCTTTGGAGCATCGTTTTAGATGGACCGCTCGAAGTAAAAGAGGTACGAGGGAAATGGTCAGACGAAGACAAGAGAAACTTTCAATTGAACTCCAAAGCGACGAATCTGATGTATTGCGCGCTGGGTCCTGAGGAGTATCATCGGGTCTCCGGATGCAAGACTGCGAAGGAGATCTGGGACAAGCTGCAAGTGGCGCATGAGGGTACTAGTCATGTCAAGGTATCTAGAATCAACCGACTGAAGCAGGATTTCGAGTCGTTTGTGATGAAGCCAGAGGAGACCATCAAAGAAATGCACGACAGGTTCACCACCATAGTGAACAGCCTGAGGAACCTGGGTGTAGAATATGGGAGTGGAGACTTGGTGAGGAAAGTGCTCTGGGCTCTTCCTAAACGCTGGACACCTAAAGTCACGGCGATAGAAGAATCGAAGGATCTCACAAGTCTAAGTCTAGACGAACTCATGGGATCACTGATCACACACGAAGAAAAACTCAGAAGAGAAGAAGGTGAGGAGATCCGAAAAGAAAAGAAGAGTATTGCCTTCAAGGTGTCAGCGCCAGATGAAGAATTCGATTGTCTGGAAGACATGGAAGATGAAGAACTGGCAATGCTAAGCAGGCATGTGGCCAAGTTACTCAGACTACGCAAGGAGAAGAAAAAAGGCGGTTTTTCAAATCGAACAAGAGAAGGTGATTCAGAGAAGGAACAAGGGAAGAACTTTAGGGTCAATCCAAGAGCAAGAAGAGAGGTCAGTAATAATGACAATAAGAGTGGATCGGCTGCTGGATGCTTCAAGTGTGGGAGGAGTGGACACATCAAAGCAGAGTGTCCACAAATGAAGAGAGAAAAGGCATACACAGCCACTTGGAGCTGTAGTGAGGATGAAGAGGAGGAAGTCGATCCCAAATATGAAGCATACATGGCTCTGGATGAAGATGACAGTGACATTGAGGCTTCACAGGTAAGTAATCTAAACTATTACTCTGATTCCTGTGATGATGGTGTGTTAATAGAAACAATAAGGGATATTCAGATAGACTTTGCTCGTGTTAAATCAAAACATGCTAAAATGAAATCAGAATTTGAAACCTTGTCTAAAAACTACAGTGATCTGAAAAAGGAAAAACTAGAATTGGAAAGAAGACTGGAAGAAGCTCTAAGAAGAAATGCTGCTCTAAAAAAGGAGGTGTCTAAAGATCAGAAAGAAAGTAGTTATTCAGGCTTAAAACACAAAAGAACATTAGCAATGAAAACAAACTACAAAAATTCAGTAACTGAGTGTTTTTACTGCCATGGATTAGGACACTACATCTCGCATTGTCAGAAACGAATAGCTAAGGAAACTAGGTTAAAAGAAACAATGTGTTTTTCGTGTCATAAAACAGGACATATAAGTTATAACTGCACTAGTGCTAGAATAAGTAATAAGGTACCCAAATTGATTTGGATACCTAAAATTAAATAAAAATATCTTTGTGTCCAGGTCTGCTTCCAAGTGAGCATGGAAGACAGTGAATGGATCTTAGACAGTGGCTGCTCACACCACATGACAGGAAATGAAAAACTTTTCTCTAAATTGACTAAGGGTAAGAAAGGTAAGGTCTATTTTGGAGATAATTATTGCACTGATGTGTTAGGAAAGGGAGAAATTGGATCTGGACCAATTATAACTAATGTTATGTGGGTTGATGGGCTTAAACATAATTTATTCTCAATAGGTCAAATGTGTGGAGAAACAAATAGGGTAATCTTTGAACCAAACAAATGTTATGTCGAGAACATTAAAAGCGGGAAGGTACTATTCACAGGAAGAAGGAAAGGAAAACTGTTCTGCATAAACTTGGACAATAAAAAAGATTTCAATGAGATGTGTTTGGTATCAGTAAACAAAGATGAGCAGTTAGAATGGCATAGGAAGATGGGGCACATTAGTGTAGGATCTTTGGCTAAACTGGTGAGTTTAGGTAGTGTAACAGGAATACCCAAACTTAGCAGTAAAAAGGAATTTTTCTGTGAAGCATGCACAAGAGGTAAACAAGTCAGAACCACCTTTAAAAGCAAACCTGTGATTTCTACATCTTAGCCTTTGGAACTGTTACATTTAGACCTTTTTGGACCCTGTAATGTTATGAGCATTGGTGGTAAATACTATGCTTGTGTAGTAGTCGATGATTACACTAGGTTTACATGGGTTCAGTTTCTTTCAAGCAAAGGGGAAACATTTGTGCAATTCAAAAATCTAGTGAAACGATTAGAAAATGAAAAAGGAACCAAAATTGTAAGCATAAGAAGTGATCACGGGGGAGAATTTATATCTGACTGCTTTGATAAGTTTTGTGATGAAACTGGAATCTCTCATAATTTTTCTGCTCCTAGAACTCCACAGCAAAACGGAGTAGTAGAAAGGAAAAATCGTACTCTAATAGATATAGCCAGGACTATGTTGAATGATTATGGTTTGCCTAAACACTTTTGGGCTGAAGCTATAAACACTGCATGCTATGTCATCAATAGAGGACTAATCAGATCCAAATTAAACAAAACACCTTATGAACTATGGAAAAATAGAAAACCAAATGTGGCATACTTCCATCCTTTCGGGTGCAGATGTTTTGTTTTGAATACCAAAGAGAACTTAGGGAAGTTTGATTCTAAATCAGATGAAGCAATTTTCCTAGGGTATTCTGTTCATAGCAGAGCATATAGAGTGTACAATAAAAGGACCCTCAGAGTTGAGGAGTCCATAAATGTGGTGTTTGACGATTCCCCTAGTGAGTGTGCAGATTTAATTGATGAGGATGATGATCTTGGTTTAGGAAGATCATCTTTATCACTTCAAACTAACCAAGCT